TTTCCTCCCGGTCTGCGCGATAAGGAGTTCATCTTCGAGGCCTCCCCGACTGAACGCATGGCTTCTTTCGTGGATCGCATGCAGCGGGAACACCCTACTGCGCAGGTCATGTCTACTGGCGAGATTCCTGACTACGAAGGCCAGTTCCTTCAGATCAACGCCGTCAGCGCATACCGCGATGTGTCTCATCCTGTCTATCAGCGCCCCAAGGTTCCATCCTCTGTCCGCGAGCATCTACTGATCTCGGATCCGTCTCGTTTCTCTGCCACCTCACGACGACACACGAACGGCTCGGATGTCCGTGAGCAATTTGTTGAAAAGCTCGTTTTCACTGTCTCGGAGGCGTTCCCGAATATCCTCCGTCGTAGTGAGATTGTTTCTGCTCAGGAGGTTGCTCTGTCGCCTCTACAGACTGCCATTGAGCGCACGTGGCGCAAGACACAGGAGCTTCAGCTTATTGGGCGCCGTGCTGCATCGGGTGAAGATTCTAGTCTGTCTAATCTGACTGAAGCCTTGGAATCACTGCTTGAGCTCAGATCATCAACCTCGAACTGTGTGGCATCGTACCGTGTGTTCCTATCCGATGCGGAGATGGCAAGGAACAAGCTGCTCGAGGAAGTTGACGAAGACGCTGGAGGAGTACAAGAAAGACAGCAGCCTGTGGACCCAATGGAGACTGCGCTCTCCGTTGCACTCATCGACCATGCTCTGGCTATCAAACACGCACTGTCTCTTTACCAGCGTCCCGCTCAGCAAGCTACCCAAGCTGAACTGCTTCGACGCTTTGAAGATGTCTTCGAGCCCGAGCTGGGTTCTCTCATGCCAGCTCTGGCGGAGTACTCCTCGCCTACCCCCACACAAACAGCCCGTCAATCCCCCATCTTGGGCGACAGCCGCCGAATGCCTATCCAGCAGTCAGCCAGTCCGGAAGATCCCAACCGCGCAGCCCGAGGCAATGCCCATACCCGCAAGCGCTCCGACCGACAATCTGTCAGTCACCGGATCAGCATCATCAACCCCTTCAAACGATCCCACGGCGCCTCCAACTCCATCTTCACAATCCAGCCATCCGACAGCAAGGGCCAGATAGTGGGTGAACATGACGAAAACATCGACGACGACACGGCCACCATCCACAGCCGCACCACCAGCCATTCCCGCGGCGGCCGAAGCGAGAAGCGTCGCAGCTTCTTTGGCGACAAGACCTACAAGCATGACGCCGCGCCGTCCGTCGCCCATGATTCTCAGACCTCCCTGAACGCGCACAATGCCCGTGATGCAGTCCCCCGCTCCAACGACGGTCGCAGTCGCGCTGGCTCCCAGCATCGTGGCCCTACTGCCACTGCCGCTACAGACCGGACTGCGCCCGCCTCCAGCGGTGGGTGGTCGACGCTCCCGTCCACGCGAGATTATTCGCGTCCAGTCACGCGCGAGAGTAATGCGGTGACTTTGACGACTACGAATGGGACGGCGCCGTTGTCTCCTGTTCTCAACAATAGTAATAGTGGGATGCGGGATTCGGTGTTCCGTCGTTTCAGTATGCTCAAGGGTGTCGGGCGCAAGAGCAGTCGGATGGATTTTAAAGCTAATGGTGCACTTCCCGAGGAGTAATGAAACCCCCCCCCCCTTTTTATTTTATTTTTTCTTCGATTCTATCCTTTATACCTCTTTTTTTGTCTTGACCCTCCTTTTTATTTTCTTTTGATGTGATTTACTACCTTACCCTGATGTATTCTGTTTTTATGAGGGTTTATAAGATCTATACCATTTGTTATATAGTTCCATACATAATGTTATTTTCTATCAGTTCCATGGATTAGGTATATGTGCATTAGGTAAAGTCCAAGTTTATCCATGGATCTCTTAAACCTACTGTCCGTGCATCCAATCGTAGAATGTGGCAGTGTAGAGACTTGGCATTGAGCTATAACCAATCAAAACATTCAATAGTCTATGATGTGGAGTTTCCAAGGTTGGTGGGTCGTCATCTCAAAGCTCTTGTCTCCACTGACTGGGCCACAATCCACCAATTGCCTCTCCACTTTCTCTTCATTATTCCCTGACTGAAAGGCTGTGCTAACCTTGATTTCCACGAAAATCTCAGGTCACAGTCGCTAAAATAAAGTGGCTCAATCTCCGCCCAAACCACTTTAGAAGCTTGGCCATAATGTGTGAGTTGATATACTAAGCCCTTTCCCCTTCTTTCTTCTCATCCGCTCCTTTCCGGCTTTCTGTGAAAGTCCTATATCCACTCCGTTCCGGTAACGGAATCCAACATTCCTCTAACTCGAAAATATATCTAGCTCTCCCAAACTTCCGCTCCCACTTCAGAAGCCACACCTTCGGCCCACGAAGAATGAGCTCAACAAACGGTTCCCTGGCCAATGAGCGATCAGGTCTCCTCGCCTCACACCGTGGCTCCTTCGATGGCATCGCACCTCACGAACACACAGATCATGGTCAACATCACCACCACCCCAAGGATAACCGCGTCTGGGTTCACTGGCCCATGCATGTCGTCCATCTAACCTGGAAAACCATCGTCCGGGACTATGTTAATGTTTTGCTTATCTTCGTCCCCTTGGGCATCATCGCCGGTGCCCTCGGTTGGGACTCCACCGCTGTCTTTACGCTCAATTTCTTTGCTATTGTTCCCCTCGCTTCGTTGCTCAGCTTTGCCACCGAGGAATTGGCTGCTACCCTCGGCCAATCGCTTGGCGGTCTTATGAATGCTACTTTTGGAAATGCTGTCGAGCTGATTGTAAGTTTGCCAAGACTCAACCCCCAGAATTAATGCCCGATGTACAGTGCTATGTACTTCGTACGTAGTGGATGATACATATTGAATGTTGAGATGCTAATTTGCATTACTTGATAGGTCAGTATCATTGCTCTGAGACAGGATCAAATTCGTGTCGTCCAGGCCAGTATGCTCGGTAGCATCTTGTCTAACATCCTACTCGTCCTGGGATGCTGCTTCTTCGTCGGTGGACTTCGTTTCCGTGAACAGTCTTTCAACAGCACAGTTGCATCAACCATGTCTTCGCTCATGGCTGTGGCTTCCGCTTCGCTGATCATCCCCGCTACCCTCTACGCCGCGATCAAGAATAATCCCGTCTCCAAGGACGATGCAGATAGCATTGCGGATCCGGACAAGGGCATTATGGATCCGGAGAAGGACGCGCAGCACAACATCCTCATCTTGTCACACGGCACCTCTATCATCCTGCTGCTTATCTACGTCATGTACCTCTACTTCCAGCTGGTATCTCACTCCGACCTCTTCGAAGAGACAAATGCCAGCGATACCGAGAACATCGCCGGCACCGAGGAAGAAGAGGAAGAAGAAGAAGAACGCATTCTCAGCCCCTGGGCTGCAGGCGTTGTCCTCGTCGTCGTGACCGTCCTCGTCTCTATCTGCGCCGATTACCTAGTCGATGCTATCGACCCCCTCGTAACAACAACCGGCATGAGCAAGACCTTCATTGGACTAGTGCTGATCCCGATTGTGGGTAATGCCGCGGAACACGTCACCGCCGTTGTGGTTGCGTACAAGGATAAGATGGATCTTGCGATTGGAGTTGCTATTGGTAGCAGCTTGCAGATTGCGCTGTTTGTTACTCCGTTCTTGGTTATCCTGGGCTGGATCATGGGTATTGAGATGACACTGCACTTCCAGACTTTCGAAACCGTTGCATTCTTTATTTCTGGGTTGGTCGTTACTCTGCTTATTCAGGATGGAAAGTCAAATTACCTCGAGGGTGGTATGTGTCTCGGCATGTATATCATTCTCGCCTTGGCGTTCTACGTTTACCCTGATAACATTTAAATGTTGTCAACTATGACTTGGGTTTCATTTTCGGGTTGGGGCGGCTGTCGTCTCTGTGAGGATTTTTCTTTTGTTTTGTCCTAATCTCTGCCGTTTTCTTGTATTCTATGTCAAAAATGCTTGTTCATAGTACATACCTTGGTAGTCAAAATTGCATGTCTTCTACGAGTATTTGAAAGTATGCACAACTTCTAGGTTATACATGGAAAACTCGTTTTTACAAATCAAGCCTCTAAAAGACATCTAAACAGAATATCTGAAAAGACATCACAAGCGGCCAACTATTCTTGTTGGCTATTAAAAGCGAATTACTTGATAATTCTATATCGACATCTTATACATTGGGGAAAGCATGGATAACAGTAACTACAGGGTTGCATGCGTTCTGCATATGCCGAAGCTCCGGCATCCTAACAAAGATTACTATTGGCATAGGCGCTTTGTCAACGGTATCAAAGATGGTTCTCAGGTGGTGACCTCTAATATTCCTAAGTGGCTGAGGCCAAAGGACGCCGTATCAGAGGCGGAAAACGTTCACATATCGTTCCAACAAGGACTTCAGCATCTACCTAAAGGTAGCACCGGCAGACCCCTGGGATACCGAGCTCAAATTTTTCGAGTCCGATTAACTGCCTAGAGCGATAGATTTTTCCCGTTAAGCCTCTGATGATGAAGATTGATGATGGCCACGAAAGTCTCCGAGGGAAATGTTTTATTTTTCTAACATCCCTACATCACATAATGTATTTATTACGTCTAATGTTTCAAATGGATATCATTATCCCTTCTAAGCACTGTGTAATGGCTCAACTCAAGGATATAAGATGGGGTTTGATATTGGGACCTCTAGAGCTTGCGGAAATATATCTACGCTGAATGACCTTGGAATCAGCAAAAAAAGTCTTCTCTTCGTGCATAGACCTGGGCAGGTGAATCAAAGTTAGTTTCATCCCTTTAATCATAATAGGCTAATTATCCACCTGCATCCATGAATCTTCAATCCTGTTTCCATTGTACATTGTACTTTTCATGACCTCACATCGAAATCCTTGGCGCTTACATAAGTATCCCGGAAATTTGCTCGAGACCGCAAACTTCCCAAAACAGGCAGATTAATCACGACCTCCCCGTCTCAATAATTGCACAGGGGTCAATTCTCACAACTGCAACCATGGCGCCTCGACTCAACCTTTTCACAGCCAATAAGGCCGTCTCGGCCCTGCGCCAATCCACCACTCCCGCACTGTCTTCACCCCGGAGCATCGCCAGCCCCGTCCGATTCCGCGCCGTCCAGTCACTACCCATTCAGCGCCGATGGAACTCCTCCGATGGCCCCAAGAAGGTCGAGCCCCAGCCCGACGAGCAGACTTTCCCGACTGTCGATCAGCTGCCCGATGTCACCGAGGAGGCCAACGAGATCTCCCGAATTATGGATAAGGAAAAGCGCTGTGATGGTATTCCTTCTACTCCAGAGTTGGATCAGGGAACGCCTGTTGAGGAGGTGAGCAAGAATGCATAATCCGAGGCATTGCTAGCTCTTGGCTGGGAAGCCGACATCGGATATGGTTGTTAACCGTGTTTGGAACAGATCCTCAGCCGCGATAAGGACGCTATGAAGCACATGCCGAAGGTTATGCGGGATGCATTGAAGAAGTCTGGTGGCTCGCGCTCGTTCTCGACTTCCGCCCGGAGCCTTATGAACGATTTGCAGGGCTCTGAGCCTAACAATGAGTCTAACCTTATTCCTAGTATGTCTGGACTCGAGGGCGCTAGTGACGAGGCGACCGCTGCTCTTGCTAGCATGATTGAGCAGGTGCAGGGTCAGGCTCTCGAGGAGAACCCTGGACTTAAGTTCGATCCGCCTGTCGTTCCCGAGGACCTTAAGACCTTGAACTTCCGCAAGCGCTACGATACCATGCAGGATCAGTTCACCAAGATGATGATGGAGAGTGGGAAATTGACCAAGGCGCAGAAGGTATGCTTTTCTTTTCCGTTTATCTTTGGTTTAGGTGTGGGAAAATTGACTAACTGAATACTTAGAACATGTCTCTCGTTCTGGATCACCTCCGCACCTCCTCTCCTCCCCAGGTTAACCCCCGTCGTCGTCTCCTCGGCGCTCCCCCTGCATCCCAGCTCCCCCTCGACCCCGTCCTCTACCTCACTCTCGTCGTCGACTCCGTGGCGCCTCTCTTCCGAATCCGTCAGCAGAAGGGTATCGCTGGTGGTGGTACTGCCGTGCAGATTCCCCACCCGCTAACTCTGCGCCAGCGTCGCCGTACCGCGATCAAGTGGATTATTGATGCGTCGGAAAAGCGACGCGATGCGCTGTTTGCGAACCGCGTTGCGGCTGAGGTCGTGGCTGTTGCCGAGGGTCGTAGCGGTGTCTGGGAGAAGAGGGACCAGCAGCACAAGATTGGTATCTCTGGTCGTGCGAACTTGAATACTAACGTTCGTCGCTAAATTTGCCTTCTTGGCTTGTATTTCTTCTATCTGGGTTTTGGGGTTTGTCTTGTATCTCTGAGCACTTCTGCATATGTACATTTATATAGTCTGGTCAAAAAAAAAATTGACATTTATTCTTCATGGGCTTGATTCTCCGAACTGAATTATACAATTTGGACCCCTGGAATTTGACACGCGACTTGAGTTTTTAATGTGGCTTGGGATCTCTTGGTATCATTTCATTGCCCTATATAGGTATGGCTTACTCCCTAGTCTACATTTTCTATTATAGGCCACCTGCCCTGAAAAAAACTTACCCATATCAATTGCTATACTTCGTACTGCATATAACCTTGTTCTCTGTGCTCTACTTCGTAACATTGTCGGATAGGTCCCCTCACAGTACCGCTTACCTAATTACAGCTTAGCTCCAGCAGCGCAACTATTCCTGAAGTTGAAGGGAAAAAAAGGCCCCCCAAGACATTCAATATTTTACATATTTACAGTCTCGGGGTAGATTCCAACCAGACATACGATACATTCTCGATCAGTGGAGTGTCGCGTTATATCATTACCGACTCGACCATTGCCCAGTGCAACCCCAAGCTCCAGCTGACCCAGACTTTTCGGCCCTCTTTGCGACCCCCCCCACCACAATAGAGCCCACTACATTCCCTTCGGCCTTGCCTCTCTCTCTATTGACCTAGGCCGACTACCCTCCGGCCTCCTCCATTGACGGTGGCTCCTACGTTGCGCCACGATTCCATTGAACTTGTCGACTACAACCCTACCATCCACACAGCAACCACCAGCGCATCTGGCCGCGCCCACTCAGACGAATATCAAGATAGCGACAGGCGGTCTGACCCTGCCGCCAATTCGCCGCTGGGCTTTGATACCAGTTTTAGAGAGTCGCAGGAGGGATTAGAGCTCGACGAGCTTCGTCCCGAGGGCTCCCCTCTTAGGTTCTGGGCTGAGGCTCTCCGACGTCGCGCTCATAACGCATCGCACGGGATCGTCGATCCGGATTCCGAAAAGATGAAGTTCTCGCATAGTGTGCAGTTTAACGCTGTGCCCGATTGGAGCTCGAATTACATCGCCTATAGCAATTTGAAGAAATTGTAAGTTGGCTTGTTCAATCGTCGGGTCGTTGTGACTGGTGATTCGGAAATCGGAATTGGTGTCACATTGCACAAGATCGATGCGTGACTGACCGGGTCGGATAATTGTTTTAATTATTGTGCTAACGTTGCATCGCGACTAGGATCTACACCCTTGAGAAACAGGTCAATCGCATTGATGGACCGTCCACCACAGATGTAGAGGCCGCTCCGCTGCTGGGTGGGATTGAACCGAGTAACCCGGATGCAATCTTTAAACGGGCTCTTGACGTTGAGATGGATAAGATTTGTTCCTTCTACAAGAAGAAGGAGGCGGAGATTTTTGAACTCGCGGATGAGCTCATCAGAGACGCCGATGTATATCTTTCCGAGACAGACGGTGTCAATATGGACCCCGTCAGTGAGACAATCATCAAGGCAAGCTCCCGTCGCGGAAACGGGAATACCGCGATCCCGCACCGCCGGCCCAGTGCTATGAGCAATGACTCGATGGCGGACGATGAAGGAGAAGGCGGCGATAGCGACGACGACCGATCCCCGACAGTCCTCCCGCAGCGCCGGAGATTGCTGCAGTCGACCGATGGCGAGTCTAACACGGACGATCAGCACGGTGATATGGCAGACTCCTACTTTGGAGCGCCGACCACCCGAGAACCGCATGAGTCGCACTTCAACGACGAGGACTTCCTCGCTCTTTACAACACCGGTATATCGTTGAAGAAGCGCCTGATCGAATGCTACGTCTCACTCTGCGAACTTCGCTCCTTCATCGAGCTGAACAAGACTGGTTTCGCCAAGGCCCTGAAGAAGTATGACAAAACCTTGGACCGCAGCTTGCGCCGAGACTACCTAGCCACTGTTGTCCATACCGCGGTCCCTTTCACCGAAAGCACCATGGCTGCCATCGATCAGCATATCGAAAACGTGGAGGGTGTGTACGCGGGCATCGTCACGAAGAACAACAGGCAGTTTGCTAGACGCGAGCTGCGTCTGCATCTGCGTGAGCATGTTGTCTGGGAGCGGAACACTGTCTGGCGTGAGATGATCGAAATCGAACGTCGTGCGCAGGCTGCCAATGTTGGTATTCGTCGGACCCTACTGGGCGGTGATGAGGACCCGGCCACTGCACGGCGCCAGGGTGACAAGAACGAGATCCGCACTCAGGAGGTATCGACGCCGCTGGGTCGTTTCCAGTTCCCGTCGTGGCTCTGCAGCTTGAGCTTTGGCACGCTGATATTTAGTGTAGCCATCTTCATCACAATGCTTTCTGTGAAGATAATGGACACTCCCGAGGAGCAAAACTGCTTGGCTATGTTGGTCCTCGTTAGTATTTTGTGGGCCACTGAGGTATGAGATAATTGATTGTTTATTTGCTCACATTGAATGCTAACATCAAGTGATAGGCTATTCCGCTGTTCGTCACTTCGCTTCTTATCCCCTTCCTGGTCGTGACTCTAGGCATCATGCGGTCAGACGATGAGGCTCAGACGCGACTGGGACCCAAGGAATCAGTCGGCAAGGTGTTCGCAGCGATGTGGACTCCTGTGATTATGCTGCTCCTGGGTGGCTTCTCGATCGCAGCGGCGCTGTCCAAGTACGATATCGCACGGCGCATGGCCATGTTCGTGCTCAGCAAAGCTGGATCCAAGCCATCTGTGGTTCTCTTGACCAACATGTTTGTGAGCATGTTCCTGAGCATGTGGATCAGTAACGTTGCTTCTCCCGTGCTCTGCTACTCGATCATCCAGCCTTTGCTGCGCAACATGCCTCCCGAGTCCGACTTTGCCAAGGCACTCGTTCTGGGTATCGCATTAGCCGCCAATGTCGGCGGTGCCGCATCCCCGATTGCCTCGCCCCAGAACATCATTGCCCTGCAGAACATGGACCCCGTCATCGGCTGGGGCACATGGTTCTTCATCGCACTGCCTGTCTGCATCATCTCCATTCTCCTCATCTGGGTTCTGCTGCTGGTGACATTCCGTCCGGGCCGCAACACAACCGTCATGGCCTTCCGCCCCGTCAAGGACCGCTGGACCGGAATGCAGTCCTTCATTACCATCGTCACAATCCTGACAATCATCCTCTGGTGCACCAGCCACCAACTCGAACACATCTTCGGCGACATGGGCGTCATCGCTATCATCCCTCTCGTCCTCTTCTTCGGCACCGGCATCCTCAACAAAGAGGACTTCAACAACTTCCTCTGGACAATCATCATCCTCGCAGCCGGTGGTCTGTGTCTAGGCAAGGCCGTCACCTCATCCGGCTTGCTACACACAATTGCCATGGGAATCACCGCCCGCGTCGAGAACCTCAGTCTGTACAGCGTCCTAATAGTCTTCTGCTCTCTCATCCTTGTCATGGCCACCTTCATCTCGCACACCGTCGCCGCCCTCATCATCCTGCCGCTTGTCCGCCAGATCGGGGTTAGCATGGAGGACCCTCACCCCAACTTGTTGGTTATGGCAAGTGCGTTGATGTGCTCCGTTGCGATGGCTTTGCCCACCAGTGGATTCCCTAATATGAGTATGTTCTTCTTCCCCTAGCTTGTGCTGAGCTCTCTGCTAACTTGTTTCTCTTAGCTGCTATCATGACCGAAGTACCCACCACAGGCCAGCGATACCTCCAAGTCCGCCATTTCCTTACTCGCGGCATCCCGGCCAGTCTTATGGCCTTTGTGGTGATTATCACGCTTGGATATGGACTGATGTATGTTGCGGGATTGTAGGTATAGAGTGGTCTCGTGACACCAAAAAGAGTTGCAGTTTTTGGTTAGATCGGTTCATATACGATGCAAAGGAGAAGAGAATATATGAAATGTACGAATCATCTTGTGTTTTGTGTTTGGGACTACTCTTTTCTGTGTCTTCACCTGTATTTATTCTTCTTGTTGGTTTTCTGGGGGTGGATTTTTGCACAAATGATAATAGATAGCTAGATGGGTTATCCCCAGTGTTCATTGCATATATTTTCATTCTTCAATCAAGTATGGGGATAGTTACACCTGTCCGACTTGAGGACTTGTAAGCCAATTTCAAAAGATGTACACCTGCATGACGACTAAGAGGATATTCTGTGTAAGGTGTTTCCCTGTTTTATGCTGCGCTTACAATGTATGCGAAGAAAAATAACACAAAAGCTTAGTTCATTATTCCAATTCTCCAGACCCAGATACTTTATAAGAAAGGCTAAAGTACTGTACACCGCAAGACACCAGGCCAGATCTAGGGAGATGACCTAGCAAAGACAAAAGACAAGAGACAAAAAAAAAAAAGAAATGGACATAAAAATGCATCATGCATCACCGTAACATAACCCATAACAAGTCATTGAAGGTATCCGTAGACACACCCGATCCGGGATCCGGGTATTCGAGAGCAGGTATAGAAGGTATATATATACACAATTCTATTTGCTGAGGATTAATTACTAGATTGTCAGTCAGTGAAATGCACCAACATCGAGTCAAGTTATCGCCACATGAAAGGGCTGGGTTAGAAGGTAAAAGAAAAGGGAATACTAACAGCAAACCAATCGTCAAATCACCATGAATCTTCGCCTTAAGCTGAACCTCAATATCCAGATTAAGGTCCAATCGCAAACGAAGCTGCTCATCGCGACCACCATCATCATCCTTCTTCTCCTCGCCACCATTCAGGATGCCGCCAACAGCCTTGCCCGCACCACCGGTCGCCCCATTCAGGGCATTCCCGGCTGTATTCTGCACGAGCTGACCAGCCTGATCGGCACCACCGACACCGGGAAGTCCACCAAGCGGACCATTTTGTTGCTGTTGCTCTGGACGACGCTGGCGACGGACGCGACGTTGTCTGGGTGGTTCTGGCTCCATTTCGCGGGGAATGGATTCAGTGTCTGATTCTTGAGGACGGGGACGAGGTCTGCGACGACGACGTTCGGGCTTAGGTTGAGGTTCGGGTTCAGGTTCGGCTTCTTCTTCTTCTTCTTCTTGTTCGGGTTCAGGCTCAGGCTCCGAGTCCGGTTCTTGTTGTTTGGGCTTTTCTTCTTGTTCGGTGTCTTTGGATTTATCCTCTTGTTCCGAGGGGGAGGTGTTTGTTCTTGTTTGGCAGGAGACTTTTTGCCTAGCTTGGGAGGAGCACGTTTAGGCTTGTTGGGGGTTGTGGTTGTTGAGTCGGGATTAGGAGTGGGGGGTTGTTCTTGGTCGGACATGTTGGGAAGTAAAAGAAGGTTAAAAGGTGGGATTGGAGGGGAATATGAATTGTTTTCGAGATGAAGGACAAAGCGTCAGTAGGTATATATGAAACTAAGTGCAATGATGTTATCCGAAATGAACTTGTTCAACCGTTTATATCATCAGATGCGCCACCAGGAATAAAACCCTGATAAATCCGATTCCGCCTCCGACGTCAGATGGGAATACTTTGGTACTCAGGTCCAGATCCCCTTTCTACAGTAAGTAACAGACACTGCAATCCAGTTAAAAAAAGGTATGACGTCCGGGGGGACAAGGATTAAGCCGTGGAGGGTCTACGGGATTGGGTAGAACTCGGGAAATAATGGCCAGATGGGGTTTCACGGGCCAATTAGATCGAATCTCGGCGAAATTAGTGCATCGAGACACTCTGAAATAAATTAAAGTAGACGTAAGATTTCATCTCAAGGAAATGGTTATGACGCCACTCGACGTCAACCTTGGTCTTCACAGTAAATTGTATAGAGAAGTATCCATTTCAGCCAATAATACAGATGAGAAGATAAAATTTACCTGTTCCTGACCTTGTCCTGTTTTTTTTTTCAATTTTCATTTCCATTGGTACAAGCCACGAGTTTGCACTTGTTTCCACGGATCGTAAAAGGATGAGGCGCATATCTAGTTGGCCACTTGGCGTATTCCGAGCATTGACCGTAAGTTTTCCATTGTGGACACGGCCATTGTGTCAGACCCTGCCCCATATTCAATCTGGCAATGACGAGATGCACAGGGACAGCCTCCAACGTCATATTCCGTACTTGATATGATTCCTTAGATCATTTTCATTTACTTTTTATCTTTGAACATATCCTTCCACTTTGATACATTTTTCTTCTGAAAATATCCTCTATACTCTATACTCTATACTCCATAATCTAGTCCACCACACACACATTCAATATGGCAACCGTTGAAAAGACCAGAGAGCAACCCAAGAAGCTCCAGCCCAAGAAGCTCCCCGTACAAGAGGACCTTTCCGACGGCGAAGACTACGACAGCGCCGACGACTACACCGACGATTCGGAGTTCGAAGACGAAGTACCAACCAAGAACCAAAAGGGCAAACTGCCCAGCAAACAACTGCAAAAGAAACCAGCACCGAAACAAAAACCCATCCAACAATACGATTCAGACGAATACACAGACGGATCGGAATACGACGAAGACGATTACGAATACTCTGATGACGAAGCCGTGCAGCCCTACTCGAATGAAAATTCAGACTTCAAGCCCAACGGCGGCATGGACGTCCTCAAGAAAGAGGAGAAATCCATGCTGGACGAGGAAGGCATGAAGTTGCGATTGGAACTCAACCTAGAAATCGAGGTCGAGCTCAAAGCACGCATCCACGGCGACCTCACTATAGCTCTCATGTAAGTATTAACTGAGGCATGCAATCCCTCCCCTAAAAACCCTTTGATGAATGTCTGCTCAAAGACCGAATTAGGAGTTGATCGCGTTCTATCAACAACAGGGCTTGACCACCCATTTCTGGTTTCCAATATCACGAAGATCCAACGTCGTCACGAGTGATCCTTTTATTTCAATGCTTTTGCTTCGCTTTTCATAGAGCCATGTTTGTGATTCAATATCCTTCCAGTTATCTGTTTTTGTTTTTTTTTGCAATGGTTTTCCTGGTCGGCGTGCAGGGCCAAGGGGGTGAAATACACCGGAGTGTATAAGTGTATACTGCTATGTATATTCCTTGGGCGATCAAATGGAGTTGAACAATTTTCTTTAAGTGCAATAGTGCAATAGTGCAGAAGTGTAATAGTGTAGTACGTAGTAGTGTATAGTATAGTACAGGGTTTTGTGATGAGTGTAAAGTGTCAAAGCGGAAAGTATGAAGCCGAGGCCCCGGTCTTGGCGTTGATTTCCCGTTGTGTTACTCCCCTCTCGCATTGTATCCTGTACTCGGTCCAAATCCCAATCGTCTCACTTGTTTCGCAGTCTCAATTGACACACACTGTAAACCTCCCAATACGGTTGAACTGCCACCATGTCGTCCAAAGATTTCATCATCAAGCACATGAATGCCGACCATCAAGATTCCCTCGCGCTATTCCTACAAGCCTATTGCGGTATCACCTCCACTCAAGCCAAAAATGCCAAATTGGAAGAACTCACCACCTCAAACCTGATCATCACCGCCCACGGTACCCGCTACAGCGTCCCCATCGAACCCGAGATGAAGAACTACTCGGAGGCACGCGGTCGTATGGTCGCCATGCACAAGGACAGCCTAAAGCGCCTGGGCCGCAGCGAGATCACACTCACAGAGTACCGTGCCCCGCGCGGTATCCACGCCGTCATCTTTGGCTTGTGTTTCCTTCTCTACGTCACCTGCTTCCAGCGCAGCAATCTACATCCCGGCTCGGCTCTCTACGAGTACCTGGGACTCCAGCGTGTGCCCTGGCTCCCGCGTTTCGTCTACATTATCCAGCCATACGTTGTGGCCATTCATGTCTTTGAGACTGTCGCACTGGCTGTGACTATGTTGAAGCCGTTGAATGTGCCTGTTCTTTCAGGTTTGTGGTGGAAGTGGATTGTGTCGTGTTCTGTTGAGGGGTATGGTTCGTTTGCGCGCATTAAGCAGTTTGTGAAGGAGCAGAGGGCGAAGAATGGCAAGAGACAGTAGAGGGTAGCATAGGCAGTCAATGGTGGTGTACTGGCAGAGAAAGTCGATCAATTGTATATTTATGGATTTCGAATAGTTGCAAGGATAACTGGAAATAGACAATGGAGGTTCAATGTTGCACAACGTTGGATGTAAATGGCGTTCAGATCGTCTCCGATGGCCCCTTCCAGATCATAATCATTATAGTAACACGTGACTATATTCTGAGTCAGCAAATGAATATCACCTGACCGGATCCAGTGACTGGAGCCACTAATCCCAATCTAGTCTAGTGTCAGTTAGGGCACTACACAAGCGAGCGACACAGTGCGCCCTGCGAAATTCAGCGACTCCACGACCTCAAACTCCCACGACAACCCTACGACAACTAATCTGTGTTTCTGGTGAAGGGCTGCACATTTAGAGGTGAGTTATCCGGCTATCTCAACTCCTGCAAGGTTTCTTTCGAAAAATTCTGTTTCGCTCGCTGCGCCCATCAATTTCGATCATCGGTATTCAATTCCTCCACATCAACCATCGATCCTGTCTCGCTCTCAACGGTCCTACAACCACTCCGCAACCACTGTCGCCCAACTGTTCGATATTCGAAGATTGATTTTGCACGACGCTCGCGACGAAACAGAAGGATTGAAAGAAAAAAAGAAACTTGTTCAAGGTCCACAATCAACAACATCTAACTTGTGTCCGTCAACTTAGACCCCTCCATCAATCGCAAACATGGGTATTTCTCGGGATTCTCGCCACAAGCGCAGCGCCACTGGTGCCAAGCGCGCTCACTACCGCAAGAAGAGGTACGATTCTATCAACCCAGCATGAGATTGAATGTTTCCATTTAGAGGAAGGAAAAAAATGGATTCGATATACCAATTACAGTTTCTTACATGTCTTTGTCCTACAGAGCCTTCGAGAAGGGTCGCCAGCCTGCCAACACCCGTATTGGCACCAAGCGCATTCACCTTGTCCGCACCCGTGGTGGCAACCAGAAGTTCCGTGGTCTCCGTCTTGAGTCCGGTAACTTCTCGTGGGGCTCCGAGGGTATCTCCCGCAAGACCCGTGTCATTGGAGTGTCCTTCCACCCCTCCAACAACGAGCTGGTCCGCACAAACACCCTGACCAAGTCGGCCGTTGTCCAGATTGACGCTGCCCCCTTCCGTCAGTGGTACGAGGCCCACTACGGCCAGCCCATCGGCCGTAGACGCCAGCAGAAGACCGAGGGTGTCGAGGAGGAGAAGAAGTCCGCCTCCGTCGCCAAGAAGCAGGCTGCCCGCTTCGCTGACTCCGGTAAGACTGAGTCTGCTATCGAGCGCCAGTTCGAGTCCGGTCGTCTTTTCGCCGTTGTTGCCTCGCGCCCCGGCCAGTCTGGCCGCTGTGACGGTTACATTCTGGAGGGTGAGGAGCTTGCTTTCTACCAGAAGGCTATCCGCAAGTAAACGAAAAAATAAAATATTCGGTTGTTGCAACGGGTGGATCGGAGTTTCAGCTATGTCATGATCAGAGCATTCACAGGATGCAATTTGTCTGTAGAGCTCTGAGCCGTCAAATCCATGGGAATTGTTCCTAGTTTCATGTCTTCTTTGGTAATTGCATCCTGCGTACTCCGTAGTGTATAAGTATCTACCATGTGTAATCTGGCCTCGGTACGGGAGTATATGTGATTAACATGGGGATACAAGTACCATGTAGTAAACTCAGGAGAACATATTTCAGTTTATTCCTTTGTAAAATATATCAACATCCCTTTTCCACATCAATGTTCTACCTTTGAAGATCTCCGGGGGTCCTTCCCGGGCCCGAGCTCGATGCTTATCACTTTCCCCTTCCCCCACAGCCCAACCTTCCTCAAACACCCAACATGGCAACAATCAAAACCCGCATCTGCATGATCTCAGACACTCATACAAGCACACCACACCCACCCCAAAGAACAGATCATGTCTACCGCTACCCCCTCCCAAAAGCAAACATCCTCCTCCACGCTGGCGACCTCACAAAAGTGGGGTACCGCGTCGAACACGAAGCAATGATCTCCATGCTCACCTCCGCCGAAGCCGAACTCAAACTCGTAATAGCAGGAAACCACGACATAACCCTCGACGAAGACTACTTCACCTCCTTCGGCTACACCCGCCACCAACGCCCAGAGCAACTAGGCGAACAATCCATCCTGTTATCAGACGATGATGACCTCCAAAACACCCTCCACACCTCAGCCCCAGACAAAGAATCCCTAAAAGCCTACGCTGCCTCTATCAAATCCCTCTGGACAAGCGAAGAAGCCCGAAACGCAGGAATAATCTACCTAGAAGAAGGAACACATTCCTTCACACTCTCAACAGGAGCATCATTCACCATCTACGCTTCACCCTACCAACCAGAATTCTATAATTGGGCCTTCGCATATCCCCGCGACGAGGACAGATACAACCCCGCCCCCGCTACACACCCACAACCCGCAAACCCAATCCCGGATTACCCTGCCATCGACATAATGTTAACCCACGGCCCACCCGTCGGAGTCCTGGATCAAGTCCCGCCTGATTTGAACGTCGGCTGTGAACATCTCCTCCGCGCGGCGCGGCGTGCAAAGCCCCGTCTGCATCTCTTCGGTCATATCCATGAAGGGTGGGGCGCGCAGCGTGGGGTGTGGGATGATGAGGTGGGTGGTGGTGTTAGGCTTGAAGATGTAGTGACGGATATGGAGGCGATGTTGGAGAATCGGGGTGCGTTTTGTGATGTTAGTGCTGGGGCGGAGAGGCCGTTGAGGGTTGGGGAGGAGACGCTTTTTGTTAATGGGAGTATTATGACGGTTAAGTATGAGGCGAGGAATGCGCCTTGGGTGGTGGATTTGGAGCTTCCTGTTGCTGGGGGATAGGTTGGTGGTATATTGCGAGATGCTCGGTGGATGGTATGGCTGATTAAATATGGATACACTATTGAACTGATGGTAGGAGGTTATTGCTAGGACTGAGGAAATTAAGAGAGGAGATGGGTAGGATGAGGATTGATGTGTGACGTCTATTTCGGGTTTATCTTGTCGATTTTCAATTAAATATATATATCATGAAGAGCTAGAGGTTTATAGAATAAAGTCTGGTTTAAGAATGAATATTTAATAGGGAGATAGGAAGAATTGTATGGATATATATTTACGGGTTAGGATGTACACAAAACTACCAATTGAGAATAACGTAGGTCGAGGATAATATCATATATCATATCATTCTATATATACGCAGTACAACATCGGAAATAGCTACAAAGCTCTCCCCACAAATCCGAAAAACAGAAAAGCAAATGCACTGGAATATGACCTGTGGGATTGACAAAAATGACCGCTTTTGCTAGAGACGGCTGCCTTTCCACCCGACGTCCAGCATCCATGATTGGAAGAATAGTTCTTCGGATTCCTTTATCCAACCCACGGTGGTATAAATTAGGTACATGCAACCCTAAAGGCTATACCCCTTCGTAAACAGACAATTCACAGGTCTGTTTGCATATAAGAAAATCAAATCATAAGGCCAAAAGACATAAACAAAATAACCCCCAACTCCATATCATCAGAATTCTCCAAATCCCCTAAGCACCACCAAGACCTAATATATTCATTAGCTTCTGCAAAAACATCATAAACTATCAAGAAACTCACCAGCAGCAAATGCCATGTACCAAGTCCGCGTAGCACCACCATCAATCCAACTGTAGTTGAAATTCGGCTGGGCAAAGAACTCCCACGACGACTTGGGATCGATGAGGGCTAGATTGGCGTATAGCACACCCTTCCATCCGCCGTCGACCTTGGAGGCTGGGGTTGAGGCGTTTTCAGCGAACATCGCCTGCCATTCCTGACGCACGAACTCCTTTCGTCGGGTGAAGGGGGTGTGTGGCATGAGTGGTAGCATGTGGATACTATGCTATTTGTTAGTAACTGTTCAGAGTGGGATAATATGACCGGGACGGTGGTATACATACCCTTGAACGTATTCGAGGTTGGCGCCGAAGTATGTGGTGTGATCGACCTTGTTTTCAAATAGCTGTTTTGGTTTGTTAGCACTGAGTTTGGGTTAGAAATGGATGAAGATAATGACACTTACAATTCCAGTGACTCTGTTCGCGACAAAGTTCGATGGTTGGTTGGCATTATCGTCCTCCATCAAGAAGTAGTTATGGAGAGATCGACCGAGAATGCCTAGCATCATATTGCCACGAGCTTCCATGCTAGCATCACCGATCGTCTGTCCCCACACCTTGATCGCATAAGCGAACATGGTATCTTCCGAGGTAGATTCTTGATCCTTGCCATCGAAAGACTCGAACAACCCCTTCGCCCAGGAGTGTCCGTTGTACCAATCGAACGAGCGCGAGAATGGGAAGTGGGGATCATTGGCAGCAGAGTTACCAGCGTCACGAACAAGCATGTTAACCCACTCCTTGTTCGCGGCCAGCCAGCTCGGATCAAGGGAACCGATGATGGCGGCTGCTTGGATGAAGTAGCCATAGTGGAAGTGGTGGTCGTTGTACGCAGTGTTTCCGAAATCTTGGTTCAGATCCCCGTTATAGCCGGCAGTCGAGACAACGCCCTTCCAGACAGCGTCGTAGGCAAGCGGGTGCTCTTGCTTGTTCTGCACGAATAGATCAAAGGACTTCTTCAGCTTCTGGAAAGCGTCTGCTGCGATGTCGACGTTGTTACCGAGCTGATTGACCGTGTACACAAGTGTTGCGAACTTGCTCAGCGCCTTGCCGCTGTAGTACATGCTGTTGAGAGCGGTCTGACCTGAGATGTTCTGCTGGAGCTCGGCGGGAGCAGCCTGGATAATGGCATGCTGGGCCGCGGCCGAGAGGTCATGGATACTGCCATGCGTGGTTGACCACGGGGCGAACCCCATATCGATGGGAAGGTTTTCTTCGACCATAGTCCAACTTTCGCCGATCACGGCTGTGGCATTGCCCTTTGTTGTGGTGCGAAGGTGGATATCGGTGATACGGCCCTTGGTGGCGCGATCGAAGGACTGGATGTGATGGGGTAGGGCGAACATGATCAGAGGTGTACCCTGGACATCCTTTCCGGCCTTAGTCCAAGACAGTGCGTAGTTGCCTACATCGCCCGTGACAGAGCCAGAGACTTCTCCGGACACCGGGTAGACACCGCATGAGTTATCGTAGAACTTCTCGCCGGACTTGCCTGCGGGGTTCTTCGCGGCTTGAATAGTACCAGAAAAGCCCTTGGGACCGCGGATATTGGTCTTTGAGTCTAGCTTGAACTCCGGATCCTTGCCATCTGCTGGAGTGGCATAGAGAAGCCAGGTCGTGTCATCCTCAAGGTAAACCTGGTACTTGAAGATGCCGGGCCTAGGTGAACCGGCGCTGACGACCTTGCGGAAGAAAATACCACTTTCAATCAGGGGCTGCAGATCATTGTATACAGCCGTTGTATAGCCCATGCCTTGCACAACTGGGAACGTAATCTGCTGAGCCGAGCCTCCGGAGCGCTTGATCACAGCATGGGCTGAGAAAGCCTTTGGCTGTTCGATCTTCATGATGGAAGACTGGTCAAGCTCGGCCGCAGAGAAGATCAGATGTTGAAGACCGACTGGGTTAATGTAGTATTGCACTGGGTTTCCTGGGATATTGTTGTTCTTAGGTCCGTATGCGAGCATGTGAGGCTGGACATGAGAGACACCCATACCCCAGCTCTTCAGGGTGCCACCTCCCTTGGACCATGCCAGGGAGTAGGGCTGAGAGAAGGTAGCATTGGTCTGAGAGCCCAGGAAAAGACCGGCGTAGAACTTATTCGTTGCAACAGGGTCAGTGGTATCAGCCTATACCATGTTAGAATTTTGTATTCGTATCTTGCTCGCATTTGGGATTGTCTTACGTGCTGGTTCTGCACAGGGTGGTCATGTCGAGACTGGATATTAGCAGGAACAGGACCAGTGGCCACTGGCTGGAAGATATCTTGGCCGTCCATGGCTTTGGGATGATCTGCTGCAACCGGGGGTGAAAGACTTGTGTGAACGGGCTCTACTAAGCATTAGCATATATGCAAAGTGTTACAATAATTCAAGCTCAATCATACCTTGCGCCACCGTAGTGCTTGGTTTGGCCTGCGGTGGGTTTGTTACAGATCCAGCTGTAGGAGTTGGCGCTGGATTTTCAGGTTCTTTTGCTGAAGTTGTCGGTTGAATAGGATGCGGTTTGCCTGTATCAGTGGACGTAGACTGTTCTGTCGCAGTCGGTGCCGGTTCAGTAGTATTATTACCTTCTTCGTCTAACAAATCTTCCAAGCCGTCAATGAACTCGTCAATGTTAAACTCTGGAAAAGGCTGCTCCGATGAATGGCCGTCTTGTTCCAAAGCTACTCGATAGACCTAGTCCATGTCAACACCATGTCATATACCATGCAGCTTTTTTCTCCAAGACTTACTGGGTGAGACTCGGGAATGAGAAGCCTGCTTTCACTGTTTGAAGGTGGATATTGAGTCTGAAAGGCTCTTGCAGGCTGGATAGCTGTGTTTCGTAGAGCAGCTTCTATCTCATTTCCCAGATGCGGGAGACAGTGGGCTATTTCTGTGGTTAGAAGCCAAGTCAGTAAGGTTGTAGCCTTCCATTTCGAGCGAGAGTCCATGATGCAAAGCCAGATCTTGTCACGAGTGTTCAACACACGGAGCTTGTAGGAAGTCTGTGTGCTATTTAATTCAATCCAATCGGATATGAATCACTTAGGAGCAGACGACTTTGGAGGGATCCAAGAGGCAACGTGAAATTGGCAAAGAAGACAAGTGACTTCAGAGGAAAGCAAACTTACAAGTATGTACTATGAATTCCAGGCGATGGGCACTCTCAGGTCCAGATTGGGACAACACACAGGGCCGGTTTGTTGTGAATGGCCTGGAGATAGATTCCACAGATTGTCGATCTTCTCAAAAATATCAGCAGTGCACAGTGTTTAATCAATGGGAATGACAGGTGCCTGGTAACGTGTCTTGTTCAAGAATGTAGGGCGCAACTTCGAGTCCACGCGGGTATCGAGGTGAGGTTGTCGTCCCCACCCAAGAATGTGTGCGGGAATCACGTTAATCACTTACTGGATTATACAGGCGTTACCTAGGTAATTCGAATAATTGGAAGATAGACGTGAATACTAGCCTTGGAACTGGCCTTGGAAGTTGAAGATGTTAAAAACCAGGCAACACCGCCAAGGGATCACCTATGTGGAGTAGAACTGATGATATGGAAAGAGAAAGAAAATATGAAATATATTCAGATCAAAGACTTAGATGACTCAATATGAATTATATAATCCATTACTTTTTAGTTACCTCTATAGAATCATGGGGCATGTTTTAATGGTTTGAGGTCTAAGTTGACATTCCAAAACGAGACATCTTTGCCTACATTCAGGTAAGTCATTTTCGAAGTCCATGTGGAAATATGATTGACAAGGACGAACAATTATATGAATATAGTTGGCTTATGCCTTGCGATGTCTTTTCAGTGATATTCTGTTTAGATGTCTTTAAGATATTTTCTAGAGGCTTAATTTGTGAAAATGACTTCTCTATAGCCTGTGTATTGTGCCGCCTGTACAGCAAGAATAGAAATGCTTTTAATTCAAAAGGCGCCGCAAAACGGGTCGCATTAGGTGCTATCATTGGACATGTTATATGTGAAATACATATTGACCAAATATTTACATTTATTGCATGGGCTTCGACATGGGCTTGATGACGCCCTGCTTGATCATGACACGAGGCTTGGTGCCACTCTGGAAGCTTTCTTTTGTAGACCACTCGGGGCCCAGGGGCAACCGCAGGGACCGTTCGTACTGCTGCTTGGTCTCGAACTCATGCGGCAACTGGCTTGCCATGTACTTCTTGTTCTAGAGTAAAAAAGTTAGTGAGTGGTTCGTCTTTGTATGTAGGAACACGACTTGGCTTACCTTCTGGACTCGCTTCTGGTTGATAATGACCCGATCGAGCTTTGCGTCCTTACGCTGCCCGGGCTTCACACCCGCAATAGTAGTCAGGTCTCGCTTTTGCTTCTTTTGCTGTCTCTTGCTGACACCTTCGCCGGCCCAGCTGCCCCAGCCTAGGAGTGTGTTGTCCACAACCTTGTCGCCTTCGTCTTCAATGGTGTCCATCTTATCCTGTTCGAATTCTTGGACAACTTCATCGCCGGCAAAGGCTCTCTTCACGAGGTCGTGGTTCTTAAGCAAGACGGGCACCTTCTCTTCATCATCGCTGTCGTCCTCGTCGAATTGCCGTTTGGCGACAGTTGGCTTGACGCTCTTCTGCTTCTTGCTCTGTTGCTTCGCCGGAACAACTTCGGGCTGGGCAGCATCGAGTGAAATGTCAATGCTCTCTTGGGCATCCGGGGCAGTTCGGCGACGGTTGGTCCGTTCGGTTTGAATCAACCAGGGGTTCTCCTCCTCTGCGGTATCCTTTTGCTGATCGGGAGAATCGCGTGAGGATTGTGAAACCTTCTTATTGCCAGAAGCTCCCGACTTGTGCTTGGTGGAACCGTTGACAACAATATCAACTTCTTCGTCTGATACTGCTTGTGCAGCTTCATCATCGGAATCTAGCTTCTCCTCGAACTCATTCTTGGGCAACTGCTTGGCACGGGACTTGGGGTCGGTCTTCTTTGATTGACCGAACTTTCGTCGACCGACCTCCGACTCTGCCTCAGACATAGAATCCTCTCCGTGAAGTTCACGGTTGAGTTGGCGAAGCTCCGCATCGTTCTGTTCTTTGCGGGCGGCGTCGGCGTTTTTCATGAATTTCATTTCGAAAAGGTCGGCATGGCGTCCCTTCACGCCACCAGCATCATCACTACCCTCGAGGGCATTGAGCTTCTTCTGGATCTTTTGTCTTTCCACATCGGAACCCTCCTCATTCCAAGGGTCCTCCTCTTCTGACTCGGAACTGGAAGAGCCCAAGTAGTCATCGTCACCATTGGAAACACGCTTGCCTTCGATTCTCTTTCGCAGCTCCTCCTCTCTTTGGGCCAAGTCAGCTGCACTGTTGCGGGCCTCTTCGTCCCAGGCAGTGCGACCGGTCTGTTTCAACCCCTTGGCCCATTTGCTTTCACGGTGCTTTGAGCCCATGCGAGCTTCGGCTCTTAAACGCTCGTTCTTCTCCTGGTCCATATCGTCCATATCGACGCCGGCTTCCACGAGCGCATCGTGCTCCTGCTTCTCCATCTTCTCACGCTCTCTGCGGTGAACGCGGCGATAAGACTTGCTCTTGATCTTCTTGATGCGCTTGGCGCGCACTTCCTCTCGGAAAAGCAGGTCACGTCGCTTGCGGAGTTCTGCGCGACGGGCCTGGATCTCCTCAATAGGAATATTGCGAGCTTGTAATTCTTCGAAACTCTGGATCTGGTCCTCGGCTGTCTTGCCTTCGGCCTCAGCCAGCCCACTCTCCACAAGGATGTTCTGGATGGCGTTTTCGAGGTCTGTCTGCGGCTTCGCGGATTCCAAGCGGTGAGTCTGCTCGGCATCAGGATCACGTAGCGGGAAGGAAAGGTGTTCGGCTCGGCGGTTGGCCTTGACGGTTTCGAGCCAGCGGTTCAAAGTCTCCTTGCTCTTCTCGTAGGCAGCAGTCCGGTCAAGTCGGTCCTGTTGGCGTTTAGCTAGAGGAGCATCTAGCTTTCCTGGAATGCCCGATTTTGATGCCTGGACAACAGAGTCGATGTGTTTGAGTGAATTCTTGAGGCGGGAGTCGGTGATTGAGGGGAGGAGATCGGCGACAGTCAATTTGTTGGCGGATGTCAAACCGTATTCCGAGTGCTTGCCTTGTTCTTGTGACTTTTGAGTGCGTTTCGTAGGTTTTTCGGTTTCCATAGACTGGACAAAGTCTTGTAGTTTTGAAAGTCCGTGAGGATCAGCATCGGCATCGTCATCCGAGACAGAAAGCCCGTCGTCGCTGGCATCGCTTTCACTGTCCCCCTCTGACCCAGAATCCTCGTCGCTATCATATTTCGCAGCCCGCTTCGATTTCGCAGCTGCTTCCTGGGCCTCCTCCTCCTCGGCCGCAATATTCATATCCCAAGCAGTGGCGAGGTCAACAGCGTCTTCACCCAGGTCATCGTCCTCATCGTAGTCTTCGCCGTCAGATTCTTCATCCGACTCGTCGACATCCTCAGACAAGCTGATCTCTGTAGGCTTCTTTGGCTTGGGCGCCGCTTTTTTTGGCTGAGATTTGGACTTGGATGCGCGGAACGTGAAGCCCTCGAATCGCTCTTCGTCGCTCTCACCGAGAGCTTCGTCGCTGTCCAATTCACTGTCGTTATCGCTGTTCACTTGTCCGAGCGTCCATTCGTGTCCCTCACTGTCGCTGCCACCATCAAGGCTTCCGGTGTCCTCGGTTCTGCGGCGTTTGTAGTGGGCGGCGGGATCCTCCTCATCGTTCTCGTCGTCATCGCCGGTGTTTCTCCTGGGCTTGAAGGTACCATCATCGTAGGCTCCAAGACGACTGCGTTTAACGCCCAATCTAGTGTGAATTGTTTTCTCTGCAATAGACAGTGCATTCAGCGCCCGAGTGCTTTTCCGCTTCGGCGCTGCTTTCTGCGTTGAGCGGTCTTTCGGACCCTGCTTCTGGGTTTGGCTGCGAGGCATAGTGGCGGAGTCAAAGAAATTAAATTCTTGACTAAGAAAGAAGCTTCAGATCAGTACTCAAAAAGTACCAAATGATCTGATGGCTGCTTTCAAGAGGGGTGTAGATGGTGTTGAACTTTTTTTCTGCCGGGAAAAAAAGTTCTCGGCGCGGAGATTAGCGCGACCCGTTCATTCGTCGAGTTTTGTCTCCCAACTCTCTCCGGGACAACTCGACTCGCTCTATCCCCCTTTCTGTTCCAACTTTAAGACTACAGAACTGTCGCCATAATGAAGCCCACACAGCCAATGATGGTGCGTTTGCGCTTGACCACCAAGCAGGTCAATGGTGGCTACTACAAGGGAAACCGGACTGGCTCCATGGGTCACTTCGACAAGAGAGGCACATACAGGCCTGATTTGTCAAAGCACCGTGTTTATATGCCTGCGGAAAAGCTCGAAATTCCTGGATGGACTTACACCCCTGAGACTTCGAAGGAGCCATTCACGGTAAGCATTGGAACCCATTTGATACCAGTTGGTTAAACATCGGATGCTAACATGGCTATAGCTCGCCCCCTTCGTCACAAAACACATGCGCAAGACACAGTCAAACTACGTTCAAGACATTGAAAGAAATGGCCGACGGGTTACCGTGATCAGAGGATTTGAGGGCAACGACTATTTGGAGAAGTGGGCCGAGACCGCCGAAGCCGAAGAGGCCCGACTACAACCCGCCCCAAAGAATATCAAGACGATTGGGACCAAGGAGATTGAGCAGATTGAGCAGATTCAGAACCAAGAGCCGACCCGAACGCCTGAGACGCCTCAGCCCAAGCGCAGCAAGTTCCTTTTCTAGAAATCCCAAAAGGCTGAAACCGCATAGCGGGGATTGTCTATGTGTTTTCAATTGAATGTGAGTGCGCAGGAGCCCAGGCGCATAAGAATACTCCCTAACCTTTATGCCAGCTGCCCAGCATACCATTCACAACCGCCTTCGCTGGGCATCACTCGACTTCGTTGATCAACCTTCTCTCCGCTGGTTGATTGAATATATCCCATGTATTATAGTCTCTACAACATCAACTTGATTCGGACCACGGAAGACCCCGGTGTATCGGTAGACGTGTACCATTTGGCATCGAGACAGGAGTAATTGTGTACGATCTTGACAAATTCCATAAATATCAGACAAAAAAAGTTATAAGCAGTCTCTCGCGCATTTGTTTGTTGCCATATCTTTTCTCTATGTATTTTCTTGATCTTTTACTTGGAAGGTATATAGTAAGTTCCATACAGTTTGCCAAATATATCCGTCTATACATGTATTCGGCTCACCTCAGCTTGACCAGAATGTTCCAGTGGCAATGAAAAGTACCTGGGCAGGTCTCGGCGATATGTGGTCCGTGCTCAGTCCGATAAGCCCGCCATGCTCTCCCGTATCAGCACCCGACAGCGACGGCGATGTCATAGTTCTTCATCTTTCTTTCCCTCCCGGTGATGGCTTGCGTTGATTTGTTTCTCTGCATCTAGAATTTTCATCTTATCTAGCCTGCTGATTATTTCCCCATCAGGCAGCTCCTGCTGCAACCATGTTTCAATCCTTTACAGGCAATTCTCGTCGCCCACGGCAGGTGAACCTCAGTGGCCGAGCCAATAATCCCTTCGCTGCATTCCCCGGAAATTCGCCAAACAGACAAACTCCCCATGCCACAAATCCCGAGAGCGCAGTCGCCATTGCCCAACGGGAGCGAGCCCTGAGGCAACATGAGAGAGATCGCCAGACCGCGTCTCGCACCGTCCAGCGAGTTTGGCGGGGTCATCAGAGCAGGAATGCAACTTATAAGGCCTGGAAGTCCGAGTGGGATAATTTTGAGTGGGAGAGAGTCATAAGCGCGCTGGAATTTGACGATGATCGGGGCCCAACGTCAGAGGTCGAGCGTCTGGAGTGTTTAGCACGTCTTTCTGCACCCCCATATCCCACAGCAGAGCAATGTTTGGACCAGCTCAGGCTTCTGATTCAGTTTGTGGGAATGGTAAGAAAGAAAGATGATGTTCTACGTCTGGTATACTTCTGCAATGTCTTTGAGCAGACCTTCCATGCTCTTCCCACGATCGCTACGGAAAATGAATGGACCGAACTGTTGAAACGGCTGGCAATCGCTATTCTACATGCCCTGGGATCAGCAAAGGATAGCCCGACCCATGAAGCAGCAGTTTTGCCTCTCCTTCGGACGATAGTCTTCCTCGTTGACTTGATACCGAAGAAGATGGCAACAATTGCCAAAAAATACTATCAAACGATGGCCTTTTTGACAAAGAACATCGAGCTTTGGAGAGGCACTCTGTCACCGGAGCAGGTTACGAATGCTGTCCTTGCCCTTCTGAGACCAATCACCTCAGAAACGATGACAGCATACGAAGCGCTTGCTACGTCTTATCTCACAGTCCCGAACCTGCCCACTTATCTTGGCGAGCTTGATGGATTAGCGCACCAAATCAACTACAAATTACTGGCGCCTGCAATCGAATCATGTATCCCTCCGACCAAAGAGCGCCTTTCTACCGACGACGTCGAGGGTATCGAGGGTCGACTTTGGCTACTTGCATATTTGATCTTCTTTCACCGATATGCCCTTCCAGGTCAGGCCAACTTGCAAGCGCCGGACCTTGGATTCCTGAGTGTGGTCTCTGGGTTGCTTAACTCAACATCTATCTATCTGACACGGTGTTTGGAAGCGGACGAAAGTGGTCCTGATCCAATCAGAGGCCCTTATCTGGATCAGTTCGTCGCGGATCAAGTCAGTAGCTTGGTCAACCAAAGTAGCATCACAGGGTTACTTTCTCGCATCAAAACATCCCACCTTTCTCACACAGATGTACCAAACAGCGAATCCAACGCCTCGAAAGAAGCAAAAATTCTTGCTACCTATGCTCTGAACTTGCTGAGGGTGTTTCCCCGGCGCGGAGACGACATTCGAATGTGGCTGTACCTGGGCTCGGCACCTTCAGCAGGCCCGACTTCCGGCCAGCCAGGTGCGAAAGTACCGGCGATCAAATATTTTTGGCAGGCATCAAAATCCAGTCGGATATTTGACATCATCAGCAAGGATTCGACACAAGTTCTTCCATTGCTGCAACCGCCACAAGATGGGAACCAAGAGGATCAGGATCAGGAATGGACGATCATTCTCCTCTTTTTTGAGCTTTACACATTCCTCTTGAAAGTCATGGATGACGAAGAGTTCTTTTCGAGCGCCTCGCCATTTACATCTTCATCAAATGTCCTGTCTTCGTGGACGAAAGAGAGTGCGCTACCCCTTGAAGACATCAAAGACATGACCGTCTTCCTCAAAAATCTCGCCTTCACCCTCTACTGGAATGTTGCCGACTTGACCAAGAAAGGGCCTGTTCCGTCATCCGCTGTGGATCTTAGAAGTTATTTTAGCAACACGGCTCAAACTTCTGAACCAACAGAGCGTTTTGAAGTGGAGGTCAAGAAGGAGATCAATGATCTTCCCGGTGTGACAGGTATCCCACTTGACTACTTCAAAGGCTTGGTTACAGGTTTGCTCAGAATGCTGCATGAGCGAGAGTAAGTTGATTTTCTATTCAGCATGATGTAAGAACGCCAGCTAACATGCTCTTAGTTCTCGACGCAAGTTCCTTCCTCAAAATCATTGGCTGATGACTGATCGATTCGACATGGAAGGTTTTATCCCAGCCGTTGTGGCAGAAGAGGAGAAACGCCATGAATTCCAAGACGACGATGAAGATTCCGAACCTGATCTTCTTGACGAGGAGTACCCGGAGCCTTCTCAGCTTGTCGGCAATAGTCATGCGCGACGACTAATTCACATCCAGGCCATGCGAAATAGTCAACGAAGACAAGCTCATAACAATGCTCTTGCCGCCATTGCGCCACGGCTAGAGATACTTCGAAACATGCCTTTCTTCATACCATTTGCTACGAGAGTCCAAATCTTCCGTCAATTTATCTTCAGGGATCAACAGCGTCGCCGAAAAGGCTTCGTTGATCCCGAGTCTTGGCGCCTGTCTGTGGCCCAAAGTGCTATGATAAATGGACCGCCTGAGGGTGCGGCCAATATCTTGGCCCGGCACCATGCGGACATCCGGCGTGAGAGTGTATTTGAAGATGCATTCTCACAATACTATAGCTTGGGTGACGGGCTCAAAGAGCCGATCCAGATTAGTTTCATCGACCAGTTTGGAGCGATGGAGGCCGGCATTGATGGTGGCGGGGTGACGAAAGAGTTCCTGACTAGCATCACTTCGGAAGCCTTCAAGACGGATGATTACGAGAGCATGTTTGCGGAAAATGATCACCATCTGCTGTATCCCAGCCCGACAGCTGTTGACCAACTCAAAAAGGTTCTCAGCGAGGCTGGACTCACAAGCTCAAGCGCAGAGTGGCAGGATGACGTGCGCGGTCTTCTTCGACGGTATGAATTCCTCGGCCGGGTCATCGGAAAGTGTCTTTACGAGGGAATTTTGGTCGATGTCAACTTTGCACCGTTCTTCCTCTTGAAGTGGGCCTTGACAGGAGGTTCTAGGTCTGCGGTGAAGGAATCTTCCTATCGTGCTAACTTGAACGATTTGAAGGACCTTGATGAGGGATTATACCAGGGTTTGGTAAGTAGTATCTCCCGCCAATCTCGGGATTGTGTCTTTTTTTTTGAGCCTACAGCTGACCAATTTGTTTCACCAGTTACAATTGAAGAACTACCCTGGAAACGTGGAAGATTTTGGTCTCGACTTCACCATTAACAACGTGATTCGGATGCCCAGTGGAAACAACCGCACTGTCACGGTAGAGTTGAAAACAAATGGTTCACAGACCGCCGTGACAAACAAGAACCGATTGGTCTACATTTCCTACATGGCTCGTTACCGTCTGCAGTTGCAACCTGCTCTACAGACAAACGCCTTTTTGCAAGGTCTGGGCCAGATCATTCAACCCGCCTGGCTATCCATGTTCAATCAATCCGAGTTGCAAACGTTGGTGAGCGGAGACAAGGCGGATATTGATGTCGAGGACCTGCGACGGAACACCCTCTATGGAGGTGTGTATGTGATTGGCGATGATAATTTAGAACACCCAACTATTGCACTGTTCTGGCAGGTCATGCATGAGATGACGAACGAGGAGCGACAGAAGGTTATCCGGTTTGTGACATCAACTCCTCGAGCTCCATTGCTTGGATTCAGCCATCTGCGTCCACACTTCAGCATTAGAGACTCTAGCGAGGACCAGGAAAGATTACCAAGTACTAGTACTTGTGTTAATCTCCTGAAGCTCCCACGATACTCTGACGCAGAAACTTTGAGGAGTAAACTGTTGTATGCAGTGAGCTCGGGTGCTGGATTTGATTTGAGTTGAGAGGGATTATTTGTACATTTTCAGAAATAGATAATTATTGCATTAGGGAAAGATATAATCTCTTTAATATGTATATAATATGTGTATAATATATGTGTAGTCCGAGGTTATACTTAATAAGCCCTTAAAGCGGCAATGTCACCCAAATAGGACTAGTGTCCCCATCTACGGGCTCTGAGTTTTCCAGAACCAATTGCTTTTGGTTCAACTTTTTTTCTTTCCAACCTCCCCCTCAATCTTCCGTTCTCTCTTTCTTTAGGGAAAAGTCTTCCTTTTCTTTTCGAATCCTTACGAAAGATACAAAATCTCAAAAAAACGCGAAAAACCCCAGAAAAAACTTTTTCACAGTTATCTTATCTCATCCCCGATTGTGCGGTGTGTTGTGTGGAAGATTTTCTTTCAACGCCTCCATCGTCTTCATTTTCACCTGGTTAGTCATTTTGCTTTTTGTCTTCCTTTTTTGATCGAGTCATCTCTGCCTCGTCTCTCTCTGTCTCTCGCGCATGCTATACACTTCCGATTCCCCCTCCCCGCTAACCCGCTATCCAGTGCTCTTTGCTCAAGTGAAATTTCTCTGAACTCTTTGTTTCGTGGATACTTTGCTGTATGGCACCCCTCTCTTTCCATTGATCCACCCCTCGTTTTTCTCATTTCCCCCTTGGTTGCTTGCTAAAGAGACTGCATTCAACTGCCGTGTAACCTTATCTCATATGCCTCCTTGATTTGCCCCCTCCCCCTCTCCGCGATATGCTCGGAATGCACATGCTAAAACTTTTTCTTTCTCAGTGAAAACAGCCGCCATCATGTCTGCTGAAGCCCCCACCACCGCTCCCGTCACCGACAACGTTGTCGCCGCCACTCCTGAGGCCAATGACGCTCCAGTTGAGGCCACTTCCGAGGCCGCCGGTGATGCTGCCAACAACCAGCCCCACTCGGCTTCCCTCTACGTCGGCGAGCTTGACCCCTCCGTGACTGAGGCTATGCTCTATGAGCTTTTCTCTTCCATCGGTCAGGTTGCCTCTATCCGTGTCTGCCGTGATGCCGTCACCCGCCGCTCCCTGGGATACGCCTACGTCAACTACAACAACACCGCTGACGGTGAGCGTGCTCTCGAGGACCTGAACTACACTCTCATCAAGGGCAAGCCTTGCCGTATCATGTGGTCCCAGCGTGACCCTGCTCTGCGTAAGACTGGCCAGGGTAATGTGTTCATCAAGAACCTCGACAACGCCATTGACAACAAGGCTCTCCACGACACCTTCGCTGCCTTCGGTAACATTCTCAGCTGCAAGGTCGCCCAGGATGAGTTCGCCAACTCCAAGGGATACGGATTCGTCCACTACGAGACTGCCGAAGCTGCTAACAACGCCATTAAGCACGTTAACGGTATGTTGCTGAACGACAAGAAGGTCTTCGTCGGTCACCACATCTCCAAGAAGGACCGCCAGAGCAAGTTCGAGGAGATGAAGGCCAACTTCACCAACATCTACATCAAGAACATCGATCTCGAGATCACCGATGACGAGTTCCGCGTCATGTTCGAGGCCTTCGGTGAGATCACCTCCGCTACCCTCAGCCACGACCAAGATGGCAAGAGCCGTGGCTTCGGTTTCGTTAACTACGCCAACCACGAGAGCGCCGAGGCCGCCGTGGCTGAGATGAACGAGAAGGACGTCAAGACCCAGAAGCTTTACGTTGGCCGTGCCCAGAAGAAGCACGAGCGTGAGGAGGAGCTGCGCAAGCAGTACGAGGCTGCCCGCATGGAGAAGGCCTCCAAGTACCAGGGCGTCAACCTCTACGTCAAGAACTTGACCGACGATATTGATGATGAGAAGCTCCGTGATCTTTTCACTCCCTACGGTACCATCACCTCCGCTAAGGTTATGCGTGATGCCGCTGAGCGCTCCCCCCTCCCCGAGGGCGAGGAGAAGGAGGCCAAGGACTCCGAGGAGAAGGAGGTGAAGACTGAGGAGACCACCGAAGAGAAGGTTGAGGAGAAGACCGAGGAGAAGGCCGAGGAGAAGAAGACCGAGGAGACCACCGAGGAGGAATCCGAGGAGAAGAAGTCTGAGAAGAAGGCCTTCGGTAAGAGCAAGGGCTTCGGTTTCGTCTGCTTCAGCAGCCCCGATGAGGCCTCCAAGGCCGTCACCGAGATGAACCAGCGTATGGTCAACGCCAAGCCCCTCTACGTTGCTCTCGCTCAGCGCAAGGATGTCCGCCGCAGCCAGCTTGAGGCCAGCATCCAGGCTCGCAACACCATCCGTCAGCAGCAGGCCGCTGCCGCTGCCGGTATGCCCCAGCCTTTCATGCAGCCCGCCGTCTTCTACGGTGGTAACCAGCAGGGCTTCATGCCCCCCGGACAGCGTGGTGGTATGCCCTTCGCCCCCCAGGGCGGTATGCCCATGCCTAACATGCCCGCTGGACGTCCCCAGTACCCCGGTCCCTTCCCCCAGGGTGGCCGTGGCATGCCCCCCAACCAACAGCTTCCTCCCAACTTCCAGGGTATGCCCATGGGCATGCAGGCTCCTGGCGGTATTCCTAACGGCATGGGTTACCCTATGCCCCAGGCTTTCGGACGTGGCGGCGGTGGCCGTGGTGTTCCCGGTATGCCCATGAACATGCGTGGCGGCCCCGGTTTCGGCCGTGGTGGTCCTCAGATGGGTCGTGGTGGTGGTCGTGGTCAGCCCGCCCCTGGCGGTCAGCCCGCTGGTGGCGAGCCCGCCTCTGCCAACCAGGCTCTCCTCACTGCTCCCCCCGCTCAGCAGAAGCAGATGCTCGGCGAGGCTCTTTACCCCAAGATCCAGGCTCAGCAGCCCGAGCTTGCTGGCAAGATCACTGGTATGCTTCTTGAGATGGATAACGCTGAGCTGCTTGGCCTGTAAGTTGCACCGATTGATTTTTCTTATTTGTGACATGATTTGCTAACTTTCTTTCAGGCTCGATGATGAGGAGGCTCTCCGCGGCAAGGTCGATGAGGCCCTTAACGTCTATGATGAGTACATGAAGAACAAGGGTGACGGCGAGACCGAAGCCAAGCCCCAGGAAGCCGCCAAGGAGGCCCCTGTTGAGGAGAACAAGTCTTAATTGATGTGTTCTTTTGTCTTCTCGGAAATCTTGGACGCACGTTTTTGACGACTTTTCCTTTCTATCATTATTTGTTCCCATCTTTTACCCTTTCCCCCTACATCTCCCTCTGATCCTGATATCCCTCGGTTCGAAAAGTTTGTTCTTAGGCAGTCACCTTCCTGGTGTTTAGTGAATGCGGTATGACATTCGGATTTTTTTTCTTTTCCGGTTTCCCTAGTATGCGACCTATTTTCCATTTACCTTCCATTCGGACTGGGCTATATTGAATGTCTTCGGGCGATATTGGCACTGGTAAAAGTCTTTTTTCTTCTAGGCGCTGGGTGTGGTTCCTTTGAAAACTTTTCACCATCTTCGTTTCTATTTGTTTTATTTTTTTTCCAGCTGGGAGGGATTTGTGAAATTTTTTCCTTTTTTTACACCTCTCCCTTGCTATGTTCTCCAGGTTGTGGTTCACTCAATATGAGTGTCAGATAGATTTATGAATTCCTCACGGAAAAGAGTCCGGTGGTCCTTGTGTTTGCTCTCGGATTCGAGAGAGCAGCGCCAGACAATCAATGGGATGGCCGAGGCCTATTTTGCTTCATCAAGTTCCTTTCGTAGATGAGATATGTCTTTATTTCCTAAAACTCTTCAGTCTTTTGGCCACTATCGTCGGGACCCCAGGGCCGCCATCTCCGATGACTCAGCATGTCTTGATCACCACGGTGGATGGATGATTCCTGTGGAAACATCGAGATTTAAAGTGAACATCTCATTGACACAAGATGAGATATGCAAAATGGCGTCAGAATTTGTACCTGAGACATCTGAAATTGGTTCCTTGACGGCACACTCAAACGAGCACAGCCAGTTCGTCGGTAGCTCGAGTGGCGTCTATTTCATCAAGACAGTGAAACGTGCATTCAACGGTCTAGATGGGCCGGGTTCATCCGAGTCTAATTTCCCCACGGCAGAGGAAACACTCGTAGGCGCGGAAACCTCACCTCATGACAAGCGCCAGCGCACCTCATCCGTCAAAGACACTGCTTCGTCCTTGGAGGTCGAATCTCCCACAGAATGGACCTACGACCCATCATTGACGACATCTCTGGGAACTCTGCCACGCCCAGATATGGCCAAGGGCCTAATGATGATGTATTTCAAAGTATGGCACCCTCTATTCCCGTTCCTACATGGACCCACCTTCCTGCAGGCGATGGAGAAGGTCTACTCCAGCGGAAATCAAACTCAGCACACACAAGAACCCTGTATAGATCACCGGAGTACATGCTGGACAAGTATTTTTCAATGCGTCTTCAATCTAGGCAGTCTGCTAGCGCCAGACTTGGATCTACCGTCCGAATCGAAGATCCAATCGCCGAGCAGTTTCAACTCTTTGCTCGGGACTCTCTCCTCTCGACATGATATCGCCTCCTTGCAAGCGCTTCTAGCTATCCAAGTCTATCTCGTCGCGACCATGTCACTTCGACAAGCATCGACTGTCGGAGGCTGTATCTTACGCTCGATGCTTCATGCTGGTCTCCACCGGTGTCCATTTCGATACAAGCAACTCTCCACCCACGACCGACAACTACGGAAGCGGGTATTTTGGTGCGCTTATGCCATCGATAGATACCTGAGCCAGGCTTTGGGCTTGCCGCTTGGTATACAGGATTCTGATATTGATGTGTGTCTGCCTGCTGCCCGGGAAATGCATACCCTTCGGAGCCAGGCGACTGAATCTGCCAGTGGTAGCCCTGCGCCACAGCACAGTAATAATGATAACCACAGCAAGGAAAGTGTTCTTGCTAGCTACGTTGATTCAGGGACTCTGACAGGCCGGGCATTGGAGCTCTTCCATAAATCAATATTGGTTCGATCTGTTCGTCGCAGTTCGGTGTTGTTCCTCGTGACAGACGTGCATAAGTGGTGGAATGGCCTTCCCACCAATCTTCAAAGAAAGCCAGCGGTAGGATCTGTAATGGGAGACGCTGCGTTCGACTTTGCTCCTTTTTTCACTGTGCTGTATCAGCATCTCATTCTGATCATTCATCGGCCTTCGCTGTCGCTGGATCCGTCGACTGCGGAGTTCTGTTCTGGTCTGCAAACCTGCATCGGGGCTGCTCGTGCTATCCTTTCGGCGCTCAGGTTGCAGGTTGATAGCCAGCAGGCTTTGTTCTGGCCTGGTTTCTTGTCGGCTGCGTGGATGTCTGGATTGGTTTTGGCATTGGCTTGTCAACTGAACCAATATGTGTTGAAAAAGGGTCTTCAGTACGTTTCTTACTCTGGGACCTTTAATTGATTACTATGTACTAACTACCCGATAGGGAGATTGAAGAAGTTTCGGGATTCCTGCGTTTGATGTCTACTCAGTGGGAGACAGCCAAACACTGCCACATGTCTCTCTCAGTGCTGGTCGCGAAAATCCAACAGTCAGAAAGCGGTTCTCATCCAACAGCAAACTCCCAAGCATATGTGACGAGGGGCTCTGAAGGAAGTCCGACACTGGTGAAATCTTTAAATGCACGCGAGGAGAACAGACGGAGACTTAGTAGTGTGTCATACTTGCAAGAAGAGCCTGGGTTATCCGCAGAACCGTCCGACCTTGAGCAACGGAATAATACATGGGAAGAATCTATGCACAGGGGGCATGATCCCACGATGTTTCGTTCGGCGTCGATGCACCCGCCACAAATGAACGAGCAGGGAATCCTCTCCGATACACCCTCTTCACTGTATATGGATTTACAGGACATGGAGCCCGCACAGCTTGAGGGGATATCGAATTTCGACTTGAACATGGTCGATTTAATCGATGGTGCTAACTTCGACCCTCTGTTCGATTTAATCGGACAGCAATTTCCAAGCTTCTGAGACCATAATACTCACTACTGATTCAAACCGCAAAAGAATTTACAATCTAGCAACCAAGTCCATATTCATGATACCAAAAAGCCAAAACAAAATAATCATATTATTCACGCAGTGTGTATGGGTATTTCTCTCAAACGCTCTTGTATCATGGGTATCGTCCCCCACTGTATCAAATTCTCATGTATCGCATAGCTCGAGCCAAAACCCCTCCGTCACCATCAACACTGATCTTGCACCTGAGGCCTGAAAAGCAAAGCCCGATTAATCCGCACTCTCCCATTCCGAATCTCCTGGCAATAGTAGTCAGCCTGCAGCTCGGCCGCCGCGAGAATAGACGCCTTGTTGGAATGGTAATCTCCGGGCACCTTGATAGAGACGCACAGTGGGTGATCATGATGCTTGGCATGGACGGAGATGGAAGCGGTGCTGGTTCGGATGTAAGCTGCGACTGTGCGCATGAGAGTCTCGTCATCAGAGTGGGAGTCCCGTGGCTTGATGTAGACGTTCACCCAGTTGCTGACCTGGCGGGGATCGTACTCGGGTTCTGGGATTAGCTCCCCGTCGAAGTAGAACATGCTCTGCATCTTTCCGAGGTTGGAATTGGGGATGTTCTTGTCTTGGATGTGGGGTGTGCTGCCTACCTTGTTTTGTTTGGAGTGTCCTGATGTGGTTGGGAGGAAGGGGGAGATGGGAAGGAGTGAGGACAGAGGAAGGATGGTTCGAGTGCCGTTTGGAATCATATGGGCTCTGCTTTTATACTCTCTGCCTAGGAGCTTATTCTTTATAGTTGGGGGCCTAAACAAAGGAGTTATGATACAATGCTATTCTCAAGTCTTTCATCTATTCCAGGATGTCTTTGTGTTGTGTTTATTGGGTCTTTGGGAGATCCCCCAGTTTGAGATCTGCCTAGTTTATGACTCGAAAGAAATCTATGTATTCCGTCTGCCTACTCTATTATGACAATGGACCTTTCAGGTTGAGCTTGAAAATATAATATATGCACTTAGTTGGCTATTTTGACTAGCAGCACGGTATAACAGCGTGAGAGGTGATGATATCAAGACATACTGTCTTAAAATCTCAGACCCAAATGATCGAGGGCTACCGAGATTTATTGCTTTCATCTGACCGTAGGCAGTAATATCATATATGGAGGACTAGGCTGCTTAAACTAACTGAGCTTACACGGTTGACAATATAGGGAAAAAGCAAAGAGACTCCAATTCTCCAATTCTACCTAAGCAAGTCTAAGCAAGTCATGAGCTTCAAGCATTAAAGAATTCCATCCCAGAGACTGTAAGAGCAAAACACCACCAAAAGCCCATTTCCCCAAGAACCAAACCCTATCTCCGAAAAAGCAAAGACCGATTAATATGAACAGACCCCCTAGCAACCTGCGCTCTCAGATATTCCGCCGACAGCTCCGCAGCAACAAGAATCGACTCTTGATCATCATGTTCCCCGGGTACCTGGATCGAGATGCAAAGCGGGTAATCGTGGTGCATTGCATGACCAGTGATGCTGACGACTCGGGTGCGGATACAGGTGACGACTGTGCGCATTATGGTGAGATCATCGCATCCATAGTCGTGTGCGTTGAAGAATACGTTCACCCAGTTCGTTGTTCGAGGGTTTGGCTCTTGCATTAATCTTCCGTAATGGTAGAACATGCCTTGGATATTGTTAGTTGAGTTGGTGGGTTTATGACTGGAAGACTGACTATGTTTCTTGATTGGCCCTGTTCTTTTTAATGATAAATGAATAGTGAGGCGAGTAGATGGATTCGAGTGGCTTTGGCTTGGAGGCCTGTAGGAGCGCTTTCTGAGTGAGAGGCCCTGATATAGGGTGCTAAGCCTTTTTTAATGCTGGACAATAGTTGGACACTAAGACAAGAGCATACTGATATCGTTTCCATTCCGTTCATATGAGGAAAACAGGTGTCATTCTATAATGGCATTTTCAGGCTTCTTAGTTCTTGGGCTCCTGATCTGTTCCATCTTGTGCGAGATGGCTTTGACATTCTCTTTATGAATATTCATACAAATTTATTGTCAAGTGATCTTTCTAGAACTGTGCTTAAGAGTTTGTTGCTCGGAAACTGTCCTCTATACATTTTCTATTCTGATATTCAAGGGTCAACTGATCAGTTTATCCAAAGTGTTATTGTAGATGATATGAGACAAGAAGGAATATAAACAAAGAAAAGAAGGAAGGATAGAAGAAAAGAAGAAAGGCAATGAATTGTCTCAGACTCTCTTTCAACCCAACTTCTCAACCTCCAGACAAACCGCATCCACAACCCCTTGAGTGTCAGATGTCCCTCCAAGATCAGGAGTCAAAATACCGGCAGCACAAACCCGTTCGACACAACCCATCAGTTGAGCAGCAGCATCTTTCTCCCCAATCCAAACAAGCATCTCCGCCGCCGACCAAAAAGTAGCAACCGGATTCGCAACCCCCTTCCCAGTAATATCAAAAGCACTCCCATGAACCGGCTCAAAAAGCGACGGATTCTTCCGCGTAGGATCCAAATTACTAGAAGGCGCAACACCAATCGATCCAGCCAACGCCGCAGCAAGATCCGATAAAATATCCATATGCAAGTTCGTCCCGACAATAGTATCAACCGACTCGGGCTTCGCAACCATCCGAACAGTCATCGCATCAACAAGCATCTTATCCCATTTCACATCGGGGAAATCCTTCGCGACAATCGCCGCAACTTCATCCCACAACACCATCCCATTACGCATGGAGTTGCTCTTCGTGACAACGGTCAGGAGCTTGCGCGGCCGCGATCGAGCAGTCTCAAACGCGAATCGCATAATCCGCTCAATGCCCACACGCGTGAACACAGCTACTTCCGTTGCCACTTCCCATTGCTGTCCGACGTGAGACCGTCCGCCTTGTCCTGCGTACTCGCCTTCCGAATTTTCCCGTACGAGCATCCAGTCGATGCCGTCTGTTGCGGTGTTGAGGGGACATTTGGTTCCTGGGAAGGTACGGACTGGTCGGACGTTTGCGTATAGCTGGAGGGGGCCGCGTATGGCGAGAAGTAGGCCCCAGAGCGAGATGTGATCGGGTACATCTGGTTCTGTTAGCATTATTCTTAACCAGTCCGATAGCTGGTAGGATTCTATGCACTATAGACAACATACCGGGTGATCCAACGGAACCGAATAATACGGCATCGTACTTGCGTAGAGTGTCGAGACAATCTTCAGACACATATCGTCCGGTTTGCTTGTAGTAATCGGTTCCCCATGGGATATGTTTGAAGTCGATATTGAATGTGCCGAGGGTCTTTGCGAGTTTCTCGACGACCTGGATGGTAGCACTGACTACCTCGGGACCAATGCCATCGCCTGGGATAGAGGCAATGCGGTATGAATTCTTTGAACCCATATTCAGGAGATATGTGTGAAACTAGAGAAGATGTGATGAGTGTTTCCAGAAGATCAAATGCAGATAAATGTCCAGACTATAAATATGGCTGCGATCAATATGGTTGATAGTTCATCCTGCCATATAGTTTGACCGAATGGCCGCTATAGCGACAAACTGGATCTTCGGCAGAACTTTCAGGCGATGAGATTTGCCGTTCGCCACTACATCACGCTCTCAACACGTCTAGATCTACCACACAAACCAAATGTCATCGAAACCAAAAGAAAGACGACCAGCGCGTATAACAATCGCCTGCAACGTATGTCGCTCGAGGAAACAAAAATGCAGCGGCCTCAAACCCGTTTGCGAACAATGTCTCGAGAACAATCGACCGTGCAACTGGCCCGAACAGCTTCGAAGAGGACCAGAGAAAGGATATGCCGAAGCACTGGAGAATCGACTCAAGCTCACTGAGAGCATTCTTTTGAATTTGCTCCCACACGTCTCGGATGAGCAGCTTTCAGCTGCGATTCCGCGCCGAGAGATCCAAGATCACGGGACTGGCACGTATGTGCCATTCCCCAGACTTGAGAAGAGGGGGATTGAGAGTTGGTCGCAATTCCCTCTTGATACTTCTCACGGTATTCGGAAGTGGCAGCAAGCTTGTACTGAGCCTGAAAGTGTGGGGTTGGAGACACAGGGCTCTAAGAAAAGGCGTTTGCAGAATGAACGGTCTGATGGTTCGGTTCAAATTTCTACTACAATTGGAGAGATCGATGGAATTTTCAATGAAACATCGAACCGTCCGGTCGACTCGTCAGGTAATGCACGTGAAGAGAGGGCTCCGGTGGAGAGAATGAGTTCTTGGCAGGGAGCCCCTTCAGTCGAGTTTCAACGTCAGTTTCTCTGGTGAGAAAGCAGAAATAGGCTTCTTGATTCAAGTCCGTTCCATATCGTTTGAAATACCCCATTTTGCTCTATAGTCCTCGAGATCAGCTAATAAAGATGAATTCTTAATCGCAAGCAAATTTACGCCGTAGTCAACTAATCGGATATAATATCAGCTTTCTACTCCATACCGTCATCAAATTCTCATATGAGTCCTACAATGATTACATGAAGGTGTGGTATTTCTGCAAGCTATCTCATGCTCACTGCGCATGTCTCCTGAAAAATGGAGCTTCTATCCATTCCATCTCTTTCTCTTTCTCCATTATTGTCATACTCAGCCGGGTCGTATCGATCGGGCTGTTTGCATGACCGAGAATTCAACTCCACAGCAGGTCCGAGTTCTCTCCAACTCTTTTTTTACCGTCGACGCAGATTTCTCCACAGCTTCATTCTGGGATCCTCCTTCGCTCGGGTATCCTACTAGTGCAGAATCGTCACTGGTCTTTGCTTGCAGGATCTCCTCGCGCAATTCCCGCCTTTTGTAGATCTGTGGAATGTATTAAGTTCAACGTCAATGATTAAATGGTTGACTCTCGGGCGTTCACTGCCAATACCAACGCAGCCTTTTGAGCTGCTTATCATTTCGACGCCGATCCACGCGATTGACGTAGTATCATCTTCCATAGACACATTCGTCGAGGGAGTCGGGTCTCAAGAGGCGTAGGGAGATAGATCAACAGCCTGTCGCACGATGAATGTCATCGCACTAGCGACCTCAATTCAAATCCAAGTCAACTCTTTCTGATTCCGTTTTGTGATGGAGGAGTCGGCATACTTGTTCCCTAGCACGTGTCAAAGTAGAGCATTAGTGCCCGGGACTGTCCCCTAGTCCCATGCGCGCATCGTGATTCGAATTGCTGCACTAGCAACTTGCTTGCTGAGACCAGTCACCCCAACACGGGTGAGTTCCGCCTGATTCTTCTTCCCAGCCTCGGAGTTGGCCTTGTGAGCCTGAATATCGAGGACTGCTTCGACAAGTTTTCGTTGTGTGATCTTGTTCGTGAAGACTTTCCTTGGCGCCATTTTGTTGCGCCATTTTGTTGTATCTGACGAGATAAAGGGGACGTAGCATGCAGCAAATCGCCGAGATTCAAGGAGAGAAAGGGAGCCAGGTTGGGAGCCAAATTCCAGGCGATGATTGTCAGCACCAGTCCATTTCCATGTTGACCTTTTGGAGGCAGGTTGCCTCATCATACAGCTTCAGCATCCCACTTGCTTCAGGTCCAGTTGGTTCATATACCGGCAGCTGCAGGTGGCCTAGAAGTTTGCCTAGGCGTTATTATATCCCGAGATCACCAGAGGGAGCTTCCGAGAGTTGGTCATATGTACTGTTCTAACACATCAATGAGGCTGTTTGCTTTTGAAATGAGAGAAATGGTGGAAAGAAAGGCCTAGAGGGTGTAGAAGTGGGAATGTCAACCACCTGGTCTCAACGCAGCCCACAAACAGGGAGAAAAAAAGAAAAAGAAAGGAGGACCCAGAGGGCTCGGAACGAAAGATTATGGGTGGATGTCTCCATACAAATCACTTGATCAGCGTTTAAAACGAACGGCGACCATTTTCTGATTTAGATGGGGGGGGAGCGGGAGCTCCCCCGCCCCTATTGCTGCCTTGCGGCGTTTACCGCAAGGCCACACCTGGCCATAGGGGTACCAATTTGCATTTACCCTTTTAGATATATCATTCTTAGCTCTTTATCTACTCTTTAGATGAACTAAGATATGTCTATTTATAGTATCATTGCATGAGTCCAAGTGAGTGGTCTATAGTCTATAGTTATATAGAAATCAGGTAGTGATATTCTCCTTTGGCCAGACAAAAGAAACACTGCCTATACGTCCTCTCTAGAAGAAATGATACGGGGAAAAAAAAGAAAGAAAAAAAAAAGAAAGACCCGGATGGGTTGGAACGAAAGATTAGTGGTATGGATGTCTCCATATATCCACGTAGGTTGTTTTGAGTGATGGGAGCGCACAACGAACGGCGACATGGCTTAAGTTCAATTGGGGGGGAAGCTCCGCTCCCCCTTCACGCGCTTGCGTTTGCCGTAAGGCCACGGCCCCCCGTAGGGGCACTACCTTGAATTTACCCTTTTAGATATACTTGTCCCTTTATCTACCTCTTTGAAAAAAAAATGAGAGATGCTAGTATCACACGAAATTAAAAGTGTGATTGACTATCTATATAGGAATCAGTGACATGGCAAGTTTAGGCAGATCAAAGGAACACTGAATTGATACAATATAGGCCTGTAGACACCTTCTCTCAAGTCTTAAAGGAAATATGATATAGTAAAAACCTACACTTTTGAAAGGAAAAAAAAAATTAGCCCCACCAGGAGGGCTGGTGAAGCGAAGCTCCAGGGTCGAACGACGAGCATTTTTGCGTTCTACTTCGGGGGGCAGCACAAACTCCCCTTGCCTTGTCCTCGGTGTTAGGTGCGCCTGGCATTTCTCACCAGGCCACAGCCACCCACAGGAACACATATTTATATTTACTCTTTTGGATATAGGACTTATTTATCCCTTATCTACTCACATCGCTGGATGAAACTGATATTCTAGCACTTTCAAGCGAATTAGTATACAGTGGGTTTTGGAAGCAAGTGGTATGGTATTATATGGGAAGATAGGAGAAATTTGTATGATTCAGCTCTGGAAAAGAATCTAGACTATGACTGTTATAGAGATCACATTTAAGCCTGTTTGCATGTCTTAAAATATTGCAGTCTCACCTGCAACTCGTTGATATGATGCAGCTTGCAGCTCACCGCTTCTTCAGACGATGTTGTACACAGGTCTATAGTTACCTAGGGGAGTATGGATAGAGGATCAAATATTGGCTGGTATCAAGCAAATTTGGCATATGGTACATGTAAAAAGGGGACATATGAGAAAAAAAAGTACACAAGAAACAAGACAGGAACAATCTCTCTTATTGTTCTCTTTGATATCTACTCGGATGCTCTCAAGTCTTTCTAGATCTGACGGAGAGACACACACAAATAGGATGAAGATCTCTGATGCTTAAATGCATAAGCCAATTCTGGGACGGCGAACTTGCCAGGGTTCTCCAGGATTTATCTATTTTGTTACAGAGGAGCCTTGAACGAGTACATTAAATTGCATTGAACAGTTTGTCAATGGCAGTACAGTCGTATAGAACGCACATGCCACTGCCAGGCAGGGCTCATAATTTAGGTGCTTCAGCTTGTCTGTAACCAGCACCACTGAAGCTCCAGTCTTTCGAAGACTAACTTGAAGGTATGTGACAATGACATGTTGACACATTGTCAGTATCCCCAGGAATATTAAATTTTCATGTCATCGGCTGATGTCGATCTGCATGAACGCGCCCCACTGTATATGGACTGACACTGGCTAGTGTTGGTCCTTCAAGATTATTTGGATCCATAAGTGGGTCTCGGCCATTCCTCCGCCGCCAGTACGTATACTTTCGCTTGCCACTGCACTAGACAGAGTCTGGGACAAGGTGCTTGCAAACACGGAGCCGCAGCTTCGCCCAATACTCTGGGATATATCCCATGCGTTCGATGTTCCCGCAGACAGATTATCCTCCCCGCCGGAAGCTGTTATCGTGGTGTGGTCAAGATGGGGACGATTTTTTATATCATGTTGGAATGTGACTAAAGCGAGGTCAGTAAATGAGTAACTAGTTCTCACACTAGCTGGGTGGTGTAGCAAACCTATTTAAGAACCTCCAGACGGTCCTGCGCCCAGGTCTGGGGGTTTTTTATGCCCATTTGAAGCCTTTGAGTGGGAAGACCTCGGTGCTCATCGAATAGTGCGCAGTCCAAGGTCGGAAGCCTCCCAGACCTAACCCTCTGATAGTACCAGAAAAGTCGGCTTCTGTACTTCTTTATCGCTTGGTTGTATAAAGCTCATAGGGGCACGTGGTTATGAGGATCTCTTCTATCGCTTGTTGCTTCCTGATCGTTGAGATGGCCGAACTGGTGTTTTTGACCGTATGGGCTTCGTCGGCAACCAAAGTGCCTAAGATTCCTTTGTATTGTGTTGCTGATGTCTGAGATTCTTTGTCTCTCAGCCCATTGCCGTTGGAATCACATCTCGGGGGCTTGTAAGGAATAGGTTGTCCTGAGGAAAATATCGTTTTTGGCTCCGGGAAAGAGGCTAGACTGTAGATGGAGGTCAACTTCCTAACAGAAAGCAGTCTAAATGTGTTTGAATCTAATGGCTAGATGAAGGCTGTGGAGAATTAGGTGGAGAAGGTAAAGAGAGAAAGAACCCATTGAATGGAGCTAATCACTAGGAGAGAGAGAGGAAGGAGGATCAAGTGAGGAGCAAAGGCCCCGCCTGAGGCAGAAAGGAATTAATGCATGTGTAAACAAACGAAAAGACTACTAGAAAGACCACCAGAAACGTATGAAAAGGCCGCATCAGCGGCCGACTATTGTGGATATCTAATTAGACAGTGTTGGGAAGGTGCCTTGCACCTAAAGTCTAGCCTCTTTCCCCGAAAAAACAATCTTTTCACCAGTAGTCAAGCTCCTCTGCAAAGCAGAACCAATGACAACCGCCTTCACCGAGCTTGAAAGTGACACTGGCGGAGTCGTATTATCCAAGCAACAAGCAGTGAACTCATTAGCCTCTGTGAGGAAAGCCTCTCTAAAACGCTCATAATAATGCTTAGGAAGATCACGTCTGGCTCCCTGACGATCATGGATCTCAAGGTGATTCTTCTGGCCATGCATATTAACTCTGAGTGACCCCCTCTCGCAGATGATCTCGGTAGTATCTTCCTGTCCAGCAGCCATCATACGCGAGCAGAAAAGGGTAGCAATCTTGCCTTCGTCAAACTCGACCGTAGCTACCGCGTTATCACGGTCCTTGCTCGAATCTAATGCAGTGTGGACAGCAACGACTCCAACGGCTTGCAGACTTTTGATATTGGTGTTCTCACCAAGGAACCACAGCATCAGGTCAATGTCGTGGATGGAGCAGTCGAGGAAAATTCCACCGCTCGTCTTGGCGTAATTAACGAATGTCCCAGTGGTGTCGAGCATATCTGCGGTCTGGGATCTGAAGACCACTGGTCGGCCGTGTTGGCCTGAGACCATTCTCGCATAGGCTTCGCGGTAGGAAGCATCAAAGCGGCGCGAGAAACCGCACATGACTTTCTGGTTGGGGTTTGTTTTGAGAGATGTATTGTAGGCATCGAGAACAGATTGAGCCTTTTGTAATTAGTATGCGTCTCTATATTTGCTCTCATATAGAAAGACCTACAATCTTGATGTCAAGAGACAAAGGCTTCTCACACATGACGTGTAAGCCCTTCTTGATAGCAGCAATGGTATGATCCGCGTGAACTGCAGTAATACCGGCAACAACTACAGCATCCAAGTTTTCTTTCTCGAGCATTTCATAATAGTCTTTGTAAATCTTTGCTCCTGTAAGGTTTTCTGCGGCCCACTTGTGCTCCTTGGGATCGGGGGAGCTTGCTGCTACCACTTCGGCACGAGGAGTAAAGACATGGTAGTTCAAGGCGTGTCGCTGGCCTGCTATATGTCAATTGAAGTCCTTCCGGAAACCAGACATGGGAATAATGCTTACCCATTCGGCCAAGACCGGCGATACCGACGCGCAACTTCGGGGCTGACATCTTGAGATAAAAGGATGTTTTATTAATGAAGTTGTAACAGTTGAATAATTTGAAAAATGCTTTCTAGGAGTAATTGCTTCAGCACTGGCTCAGCCGGGTTTATATACACAATCATTGTTCGAAGTGGATACAATACTTGGCCGGGAAAGGGAATCCGAGTGGAATTGTGACTTGCTAAGTGATACTACTAGTGCAATTGCAAGAAGTACGGTCAAAATATCTTGTTACTGAACCTACTTTGTTACGCTAGCCGCACATCCTTCCAAGCTTCAATGCACATGAGAAAGGTCAATGTCAAAGTAGGTATATGCCTCCTGAAGCAAAGAAACTCTAGATTTTATTTGTCATAGGCAAATTAGCTCTAAGTAATTGAAGATTACCAATTGCGCTCTTCAAATAATACGGGATACTCTTGGGGGTTCACAGACAAAAGCGCTGTGCCCTGGGAATGAACTAGATGAACCCCCACGAAGTCTAAAAATAACCTTGGGAACACATTGGATTCGATTGAATACTCCTCATCTATATAACATGTAGAGAAACCCCAAAATCAAGTCGCAATCTCGCAGTGCTCAGCGTCCAGATTTTCCTTCTCGGTGTGTGCCAAATCGGAAATAACCTCCGTACGGGCTATCATGGTTGCCTCCGTCCAGCTAATTGCATTCCCAGCCTCATGTTTGATTTCAAAGAGTCTATCAATCTGCTCGAGAGACAAGTTCGCAGTCTCAACATAGAAGTACCAGATAATTGGCAGGAAACAGAAGTTGAATATAGCAAAAAGCATATAATACTTCCACTGGATGTTTGCGATGGCTGTTGGGGTAGCAACAACGATAACATAAACGAACAACCAATTCGTAGTAGTTGCAAATGAAGTGCCAATATTGCGCATTTGCTGCGAGTTGATCTCCGCCGGATAGATATACGGTATCGACAGGAGCGACGTCCCGTAGAAGATGTAGTAGACGAAGATGAAGACCACGGCTAGGACAGACATACCCTTGTTATCGGGTCCACCATACCGCAGTCCAACGGCAACAAGTGCAAAACAGACGCTGCTTCCACCGGCGCCGAAGAGCATCAGTCTCTTTCGGCCAATGCGATCAATGAGTAGAGCTGCAACACAGCCCCAAAGCATCAGTGACATGGCGTCAACGGCCGACAAGATTAGCGCCATTCTGTTGTCCAATCCAACGGACCGGGTCAGGACTACTGGCAGATAGTATGCAATAACGTTGGTTCCACCAACTTGTTGAAAGAAGGCAGTACCAGCTCCAAGAAGAATTCTGCGTAATGTCTGCTGCTTGTTGTTACGCTTGAATATTGCTTGTAAAGGATTCGATTGTTGGACCTCGGATTCGTGGTTCACAGAGATTTCCAGAGTTTGTATCTCATCCACCACTTCAGGGTCATCGACTGGCTTTGCAAGGAGCCGTGCTAGGATTTGACGGGCTTCATTGGCACGGTGTTTCATGATAAGCCAACGCGGTGACTCTGGGGCGACAAGAACGAAGGCAATGGTGACGAGCGCGAAGAAACATTGGAAGCCAAGGGGGAAGCGCCAACTCACTGGAGAGTGAGGGATGAAAGTGAAGCCATAGTTCATCCACTACCGAAAATCAGTATTGCGCTTGTATTGTATGTGGAGTAACTTCTTACGTTTGTGATGACGATTCCGAAAATATTCGTTACCAATTGGGCAACGATGAGTTTTCCACGATGCTCTGCACGTGCAGTTTCCGATTGCCAGATAGGAATTGCGATTGTGTTCATTCCATTTCCGACGCCAGCGACAACACGACCGACAATCATCTGCGTGAGGGAATAAGATGCGGTTTGGAGAATAGCGCCGACGATCAGGATACAACACCCGATCAAAATTGTTCGTCTTCGACCGAGCTTGTCTCCAGTAAACATCGTCAACAGAGTGCCTATTATGCAGCCAATGTCATAAGTCGCCACAATTTGACCTTGAATGGTCGCACTTGGATTTCCAAATGTATTGAGGAACGGCTCATTGTCCAGAAGCCCACCAAAAACTCCCTGATCATAGCCAAAGAGGAGGAATCCAGCACCACATGCTGCAGTTATTCTATATTGAAGCCATTTTCCTTGTGAATTTTGGTATAACATGATAAGTAGGTTCTTTGCAAAGTACCTAAGAGATGTGATATTAGCACGGGCCACTCGTGTGTGGTTTATATCGGTATTTATATTCTCTTTTCTTTGATAGGACGCATTAATATCAAAACCTGGGGTGTTGCAGAAAGCGTGGGGTATGCATCGATGTACCCCCACCGGGTTCTGATTCCCGATAGGGGTGATCTATTCCGGATTAGGTTAGATCCACTACGGCTATACCAGCGATTGGTCCCCCAAGGAACGCCTGGAAAGGAAATTAGGACGACATCTCCAGCTCCTTTAGGGCTATCATACATGTAAGGTTGAAGCCCCATAGACGCATATTGATAGTGGGTATAGTTCGGATTAAACATTTCTCCATATTACCCCGCACTGTGGGATCTTTCAAGCCTCTTTCGCTAAGGAACTTGCATACACAGTCTCATGGCATCCTAGAACTATGTCAAAGCCTAGTGTCCCCCAAAAGAGGAAGCACCATGCCTCCATGGCATGCGTATCATGTCGGGAAAGTAAAGTCAAGGTGACCATCAATTAGCCCAGTGGGAAATACAAGCTAATCCCAGCAGTGTGATGGTGGTAAGCCTAAATGCTCCAGCTGCATGAACAAGCACCGCGAATGTCGATACCAGGCCGTAGACAAGAGAAAGTAAGTAACCCATCAAGGTCATTCCATAAAAAGAGGCTCTTGGTTAGACCATAGCACTGACTATGTGAAGACTCCCACTCCGTGTTGCCATAGAGCTTCTATCAAGCCGAGTCGACCAGCTCTGTCTCTTCATTCGCCAAAATGGATTGGAGGCCCCGCCTATGCCACAAGAAAGGGACACAGCTTTGGCTAAAGTTCTTGAGGTCCTTGGCTTGGCTGAAGTTCATTCAGCTGCAGGAGGAAATGAGGCAAACAGCAAATCCCCCAATCCCAATTCCGCATCCGCAGTCGATGATCTGCTTTCTGATGCTCCAAATTCTTTGCCATTTTCCGCTCCTGAAATAACAAATGATTCGAATAGCAATTGGGCTCAGGCATCTCCAGACAACACATCGCAAAATTCTCAGTCGGGTCTCACAATGCTGTCGGACCCACATTCCGTATCGATACTACCCATGATCGATACCGAAAATCTAGATATCCCAATTACAGAGCAGTATCAGCGGACGGATGAACACTCGGATACTTCATTGGTCAACTGGGACTGGACCTTGGACTTTGGAACATACATTACGCCATCGTCCCCAGACATCCAAAGCACAGAGCCACTACAGCCGCCAGCGGAGCAATCGGAGAGGCTACCTGAACCCTTTGAGCCTGCCGTCATTCAAACCCCACCCAGCCTCGACAGTGATACTAGGAGCACTGAAGAAATCGAAGATCTCATCGATGAGCTTTCGGATCGGATGGGCACATTGCGCTTTGGCCCTGGAGGGAAAGCTCGTTTCTATGGCCCAACTTCCACCTTCAACCTTGCCGATGCCCCAATATCTATCAACACTCAGACACAACGTGCGGTTGATTATCTCGACGACACAGACTGGGACAGACAAGTACCATTATCTCTCGAGGAGCATCTTCTTACTCTTTATTTTACCTGGCAAGATCCATCATTTCACGTAGTCGACCGAGAATTGTTCGAGAAAGGAAAGACCGGCTGGTATGGGAAAGAAGATACCCCGTTCTATTCTGAGGCACTATGCTATGCAATGTGAGTCGACTTCAATTTGGCGAATCGACACATGAAATAACATTTGCAAACAGGTGCTCTCTGGGCGCTGCTTTTGAAACTCGTTACCATCCATCCTTTGTGACGTTCCCAAAGTCTCTCGGTGAATTCTTCGGGGACCGTGCAAAAGAGCTCCTTGAAATTGAACTCGACTCTCCATGCGTGGCAACAGTCCAAGCACTTGTAATCTTAAGCAGCCACGAAATTGGTGTGGGCTCAGATACACGCGGATGGCTCTACAGTGGTAAGTTCTGTCGAAAGTTCCGGGTTTCCTTAGCTTACAATTCTAGGGATGGCCCTTCGACTTGCTTTTGATCTTGCCTTACATATCGACCTCTCTCCATATGTTGCTCGTGGGTCTGTTACCGCTGCCGATGCCGAGCTGCGTCAAACTGTCTTTTGGGCTGCGTATATGGTTGATCAGTGAGTGCCCGCATTGTTTTTATGTGCAATCAAGATATCTCTAATCTGTTGAAATTCCAGTCTTGTCGGCTTCTATCTTGGTAGACCCTTTTATACCAATATGGAGGATGTTACAGTCAAAAAGCCCAACAATGACGTCGATTATCGAGAACCTTGCAAATGGACGCCCTACGCATCTCCTATTCCGTTTGATGATAACTCGGAATTATTTGACTGCATAGGCGCTGTCAGTCAACAGGAAGTCTCACTATGTGAGCTGATGGCACCCTGTGGCTACTTCCTGTAAGTTTCCGTTCTCGTTTGTTGTTGTCTCTCCTCGGCCCCAATGAGTTGCTTCGGCTAACCATCACGCCCAAAAAGTTATGGAACATCAGGGATTCCAAGAGCTTTGCTCCAACAGCTCAATGCAAATAATGTTGCCAAGCTTCTCAATTGGAAAGCTCAGTTGCCCTCATTTTTACAAATCAACCTCAACGATCATACTTCTCCATATCTTCCGCATGTGTTGCTACTTCAGTGAGTTGCTATGACACTTTCCTTCAAAATTCCCATAGAGTACGTCTGCTAATTCATCCATAGCATGCAATATTACCAGAATCTCATCTACACTCATCGACCCTGGATGTCAAAAGGCTACCTGCAACCACAACCCCCGAAAGGACCCGGCTCCACCCACGCTCGAGAGATGTGCATTAATTCCGCCATCTCCATTGCCAAAATCCTTGTATTATATGAGACCAGATATACCCTCCGCCGCATAAACATCAAAGCAGTCTCAATTACATCTTCTGCCGTGCTGCTCCTTCTCTTCGCCGCCGTCTCCCAGTACCAAACCAAAGAAGAAGAGAATATTATCGCTCATCTGAGTACCTGCTTCAGAGCCCTCGATGAGTTCTCTCTATCCTGGCAGAGTGCCAATCGCGCCAAAGACCTCCTGGTAAGACTACAGCACAAATGGGAGGTTCGTACCCGCGCTACCAAGCCGGACCGCGGACCGGATGGGGCTGGGTACCCCCCAAGAAAGAGATCACGAACGCTTAATGGATCTGACTCGATCATCCCGAATGAGGGAAGACTTCAAAACGAGCCCGAGACGCGTGATTCCCAACTGGAGTCTGGGTTGGGCTGGATGCTCATGCTCAGCGGTCAGCTTCCATCGGATGGGGACGAGGATCTCTATTCTTTCGTTGCAAATACAAGTATTCCAGAGTCTGAATATGAGACTATATAGGCAGGGCGATCTTATATCTATTTCAAATAGAATGCCAAATCTGCACCATCTTCCCTCTCCCACTCTAGTTCTCCATTTCCAAGATACGAGAATGGATCCGAGGTGTTGTTGTGTCTGATATCAAAGTCTTCACCCCGAACATCCTCAATAGCCTCTGTTATCAAGTCAGCATATCTATTATCGTGAGACTTTTTACCATTACAATTGCCAAACTTGCCTTTATAATGCAATACACTACCTGGGTACATCGCCGTGACAGCTTCTCCGTTGTTATACCAAGCATGACAACCCTTACTCCAAACAGTTCGTCTTAGACCCGCTTGGGCACGGCGGTTGTAATTTCTCACAGCGGAATCGTTTACTGCAATGGACCTGTTCAGATGTCAGTTGACGTCCATGTATAATCTCATCTGATAAAATACTCACTTTATATCCTCCCGAGCCATCTTCTTCACCCATTTCAGCATGTAATCAGCAGTCCAACCGACCATCTGTGGCACGCTGCCATGACCAATGGGACAGTTGGGTCCATTGAATATGAAGTAGTTAGGCACTCCACCTGCGCAAATAGAGAAGTATGCCTCGGGTACCTTCTTCCACTGCACATCAAGTCGTCGACCATCTCGAGCAACCAGCTCCCACCCGGGAATAAAGGTGGTGTCAAAGCCAGTCGCACAAACAATCAAGTCAAACTCCTCTTCACCCGCTGCTGTGCGAATGCCGGTCTTGGTGATCTCCTCGATGCCTTCAAAGCACCATTCGGCATTTGATTGCTGCATCGATTCGAGATATCCATCACCAGGACTTAGTCTGCGACATCCGATTTCGTATTTCGGGATAAGTTTATCAATCAGATGGGGATTCTGACTGAGACGTTGGCGCATAAGACCCGAAATCGCATCAAATAGCCCTTGATTGAGCTCAGAGCCGGATAACATCAATCGGTAGACGGTGTTGACACTTTTAATAATTAGTCCGATTCAAATCAAAAAGAAGCATTGAGCAACCCACGAGCAGTCAATTTTTTTCCTGTACTCCAGGAAAGCTTTTGGGTCATCTCGGAACATCGCCTTCTCTTCCTCGGTATATTCAAAGTTTGTTCCCATTCCATCCTTCGTAACGTCCGGACAGAGATTGACGGACACCCAGGTCGGTTGACGAATGTAATTGACAATTTTTGCGGCCTTGGGCTGGAGCGCAGGCACAACTTGAAGAGCAGATGAGCCATTTCCAATGACTGCGATCTTCTTATCAGTCCAGTCGTAGGTTTTATCCCAACCAGCCGTGTGCACAAGCTTGCCAGCGAACTGCTCCAAACCAGCGATGTTCGGCATCTTCCACTGATTGAGAATACCGGAACCATCGATGAGAATGTCCGCTTCATCTTGGATAGTCTTGTCATTTTGCTTGAGCTCGAGCGCCCACTTGCCTCGCTCCTCGTTCCAAACAGACTTGACGAGCTTGGTGTCAAACACGATCGGATCTTTCAATTCATACTTATCTACCGTGTCAACAATGTATTGCTCAATCTCAGCACCTCCGGCATAACATTTAGACCAATTTGGGTTCGGCTCGAATGGAAAGACATAGCTGTGGGCAGGAACATCGCATCCGACACCGGGGTAGACATTCTCGAGCCATGCGCCTCCAACTTCGGAGTTCTTTTCGTAGATCGTAAAATCTACGAACTCAAACGGCTGCTCGTGTTTCAGTTTATGAGAGAGGATCAAGCCAGAGAGTCCCGCCCCTATGCAGACAACTCGAAGCTTACGCTCTTTGAATGCATATTGACCGGGGTCTACATTGATCGTCTCATTGTAAAGGGATTCGTTGGATGGCATGGTCGCTTTCGCTCAATAGTTGAAGGTTTGTTTGCTTTTTCTTTCTTTTTTGGCCCTGTCTGTTTCTTTTTTTTTTCCCTCTCCACCATGGGAAGCCGGAAAAGGGAAGACTCCGGGCCCGACTCCAAACTCAGGGGTTGTCTCCATAGCTTTAGCCTTGACGTGGTGCTCAGTAGCGTTGATCGGTGTTTGAATTAGATCCGAATCCTTCTCGGGTAGGACTAGGGGCGATATTATAGGTTGAGATCTTGAATGCGGTCCCATCGGGGGCGGGCGTAGGCGGGAAGTGCGTTATGGACCTCCGATATTGTCTGGGGGCCGTCCTTAGCCTAGACATTTTAAAATCTAAGAAAATATACAATGTCTTTGTTGGAATCAAAAGGTACTTCGTACCTACAATATTCAGCTTTGAATGTGAGAATCTCTCTGTTTCTTTCATGTCGCTCAGCCCGTTCGGAGAACCTCCACCCGGGACGGATCTATCCGCCGATCATGGCTTACGGAACAATACCGCTGTGATCACAACCTTTGTCCTGGCAACAATAGCTGTCGGGCTTCGATTCTATACAAGATATCAAATACAATCTGTGCGAATAGCTGCGGATGATTGGATGATCGTGGGCGCCTTTGTATCTTGTCACAAAAATCTAATCTGTCGACTTGTGTTTCTGACAGATCTATAGCTGGCCGTAACCACAAGTCTCATTTTGACTGTGGTTGGTATGCATAAATTCTTTGACGGTGCAAATTGACCTCAGTTCTAACATGTATAATAGGTGGATATCATGGTCTCGGAAAGCATGTATGGGTTGTCCCCATCCCCGAAGTCGTGGAAATGATGCGCACTCTCTTCGTCTACGTCCTGCTCTACATCGTCACCGTTCCCCTTATAAAATTATCCATTATTCTCTTCTACCGGCGCATCTTCGGCATGACATATACAATGTGGTTCTGCGTGTTTCTGACGGCTGGATATTTCATCTCTTGCCTGGTCGCCTTTCTCGTTTGCTGCAGACCAGTGTCATATTACTGGACACAATATGCAGAACCCAATGGAGGAAGATGTATTTACGACCTCTACCCATTCTATATCGGCAATGCTGCGGCGAATGTGGTTACGGATGGGATTATTCTGTTGGTTCCAATCCCCCTTGTGTGGAAACTACAAATGCGAAAAACACAGAAATTCATGGTATCCGGCATTTTTTTGCTTGGAGGATTGTATGTCACCCCCAAGCGAAGTGTATCAGACTTAAGCTCACATATCCCAGTGTCTGTATTGCAAGCATCATCCGGATTTATTACATGACCTTCCTCAAGACCTCCCCCGATGTCACTTGGATCATGGGCGACGTCTTCATCTGGTCCAGCGTTGAGCCTTCCATCGGCATCGTATGCGCCTGTCTTCCAACACTACATCCACTGCTTCGTTCTTTTGTTGCTCGCGTGTTTGGCAGTAGTACAGGGAGATATGCTGAGCCTTCAAGCAACCAGGAGTCAGCAAAGAAAAATATCTTTGTTCGCAGACCAATGCCACTTGACTGGGACGAGTCCTTGTTAAGTACACGTGACGTACATGTCGAGATGAGTGGTCTCAGGAGGGATCGTGGCGATGATGGGAAGATTACGGTGGATACGGACTTTCGAATGGCGGAAGAAAGCAACCATTCGAAGTAGGATAGACCCTATTTGGACAGGTATAGCAGTCTATTACCGCTAGTATGCCACTTCATCGAACGCAGACCTGCCAAACGGCATCTTTTGAATTGTCTCTGACTGATTGTATCACGACCGTTAATAGTTCTTCGGTGATATCGGCGAGGGTTTTAGCCTTCTGCACTTTTGACGCCTGTCACTTTCAGAGGTATGTAGTTTCTTGATCTACTTTTGAAGTCATTTCGAAACGGAACAGCGGATGGTCTTGAGGGTTAACCGAGAAGGATAGACTATAACTATAGAATGATGGGTATGTTGTAGCCTAGAAGAAGTGGTAATGATACGACTGACAAAGAGGTAGGCGGTCAATCCCGTCAGAATCAAGCGGCCCTTCCGAGGTTCGACCCCGGACTTGCTGACTAACATACTTTCCCCTCCAGGGCTTTTCCGGGGTGACCTCGGGCAGAAGGGCGACATGTACCGTAATCAACCATCTTTTTGAGAGCGCCGTGATGGTGTTAAAAAAATGTCCAATCTGCTCCCGGGTGTTTAAAAAAACCGAACATTATAAGAGACATGAGCGGTCGCGTCAGTCACGTTGAGCCCCTGCAAGCGCAGCAACCTAACATGAAAAAACAGACACCAAAGAACGCCCATATGAATGCAGTGTCTGCCACAAGCGTTTCTCTCGAAGGTAAATTCCATTGAAGGCGCATGTGAATTGTAACAATATTCAAAATCCTATGTTCAAATCCCTAAATTTAATGAGCATATAGCGATGTCTTGAGCCGACATGCCAAGGGCCATAATCAAGCCAATGCGACAGCCGGCCCATCGGAAGCGCCAAATCGACAGTCATCAGTAATTTCCGGCTCATCATCAATGATCCCCGGATCTGTCAATGGTTTTCTTAGTGCAGAAGCACAGATTCCACCTCTATCTACCATGTCGCGAGATGCAGCCGGGCTCCCATCATCACTAGATTACCTAGCCGACATCTCAGCCCACCACGGCCGCACCGAACCAGATCTTGGCGTAATGATGATGAACGACCAGCAGCAGTATTTTGGATGGAATGGAGTCGCTCCAGCAGATCAGGTGTCGCACCAAACTGGTTTGGCCTTCGACCCTGTGCCAAAAGACATGCTACAAATGTGGCTTGAACCTCGCACAGATTCAAAATCAAATGGCTCGCTAGATCTGATGCATGATACTCATTTCTCTCTGATGGGTGACAATTTGATTCTTACTCCAGAGCAGGATCGACATTCAGTGGACCGCGATAGCATTCCCAATGAACGCTTCGCTAAAGTCCAACAGTGCTGGTTAGCACCACCGAACACTGGACGTCTTATCAACAGCTTATGGCGGGATATTGCCATGTCGCCTGTTGATAATGTCTTCTCTGTTCAGTCATCACATCTTCCCAGCGAGCCAAGTGTCGTTCAAGGATCGCGCTACGGATTCGACGAGGATTGCAGACGGCGCCTGCAGGCAGCTTTTGGATCTATGACTAGGTCTGCACATATGCAATCTCCCATGAATAGGGGTATTTCTCCAGCCACGCCTACCTCGACGTTGAATAATTCTGATTTCCCTCCTGCTGAGGTCTTGGATATGGCACTCGACTTATTTTTCCGTCTCTTTAATCCGCTCTTGCCGCTTGTCCATCAGCCAACATTTTCGGCAAAGAAGGCACGACCATCTCTTCTATATGTTATGACGCTGGTTGGCATGACCTTGCTTGGCACTAGAGGAACAACTGCCTTTGTGTACAGAAATTTCTCAGTAAGTCAAGTATTATTTAAGAACTATGCAGGTAACCTACTGACAGTCGCTAGGGTGCTTTGGGAAAGGTGACAGCTGAATTTGCTCGATGCTCAATGGGACTTGAGGGCGCCTCCGGCACTATGACATTATTTGCAACAGCTTTACTCTTAATAAACCTGGCTGGTTTGACCGGGGTATGAGTCCCTCACTCCGAATCTGCTGTTGAGATACTAACCGATGTTACTCTGCAGGAAAAAGTATATCTAGAACAGTGCCAACCTCTCTATATCAACGTCATGTCTGTGAGTTTGAAGAGAACTTTCTTGTTTTTCCCTGTCCCTGTGATGCTAATGACAACTACTGCAGGTCGCCCAAAGACATGGGTTGTTCTCAGCCACTGAGGGGCAGAGCCTGGACATGACTTTGTTCGAAACAGTTCCCGATATTGACACGAGATGGAAAGCCTGGAGCAAGGTCGAATCAACCAAGAGGTATGTCGCACTTCACGCTCATACAACACATAACTAAAAATTTCCCCAAGAATAATCATCGGACTACTGCTCCTGGACTCTTGGTACTCCTCATTCCTCTCAACGGGTCCAATCGCAGTCCCAGACCCGATCCAACTCACCCTCCCCTGCAGCGAATCCCTCTTCTATGCCCACTCCTCCATCCAATGGACACACCTAATCCGCAGCGGCAAACACATCCTCTCATCAACAATCCTCGCCCCATCCGAAAACATCAACGTCCCCACCCTAGAAGCCCCTGCAGATGACTTCTGTATACAAGCAGTACTAGCAGTAGTTCAGCTCCGCCAGTCAGAATCCTACCACCGCCTCCTCTCCAATAGAGCCAGCTACCCCTTTGCCCCATGCCACACCTACGCCATGGATGGCCGAGCCAGATGTCTCCCCTCTCTCCAATCCCAACTCATCATAAACTACGGCGAAACCCTCGATCGCCTAAACCCCAACGCTCTCATTACCTGGCACAACATGTGCATGACTCTCACAGCCGATATTCAAATATTCGACCTCGCAGCTGGCCGCTCAGGCCCAGCTCCTGCACGCAAAGCCCTCGACGATATCCGCGAGTGGTCACAGACACCTGCAGCCCGACGCGCGTGTCTGCACGCCGCGCATATCTACAAAGTGATGACTAATCGCAAAGCTTCCGAGCACCCCACGTTCCAATCTATGTTTTCGCTCTTCTCGGCTGGTTTAGTGCTCGGTCTGTATACGTTTACATCGTCGGATTCGGCGAGTTCGCCGTCAGATGTTGGGTCTGTGGAGTTGATGGATGATGTTGACTGGAGGTCGGTGGGGACGGAGGGGTTTACGAGTTTCATGGAGCCTAGGGGAAGTCAGACTTTTGCGCCGACGGATGATCCTGCTGTTAATTTTATTCGAAATGGGGCTACTATCTACTTGCGTGGACAACCATTCCACGGTGGGTTCCAGTCTGCGCGGAGAATCTTGCTTGATTATGCCTCTCTTCTCAAGGACTCTGGGAAGTGGAGTATCAAGCAGTTTTCGTATATTTTATACATAATGAGTGATGTTCTTATGGATGTCGAGTGATGATGTCTCGACTGGGATTGGCAAAAGTAGGCGGTTTGGTTATCTCTTTCTTGTTTGCACGATACAGTTACATTGATTCTCTGATCAGCCGGAATAAACCCTAGCTATCCAGGAACATACTATTCCCCATTGACTTGATTACGAGCCCACCATGGCGAATCCCCCAGAATCCGCTTAGTATCCAATGTCTCCTTACCAGCCATAATCTCATCCCAGTGCTCATCCGCAATCTCAGCTGCACGCCAGAGAATATGGACACGCACAAGCTCGGTATCTCCAACAACCGGCAACGAGAGACAGCATTTCTGGTTGTGATGCATAGGCATAGATGTAATAGTGGCTACTCCGGATCGGCACTGCTCGGCCATAAGACGCATCATACTCTCGCCGCTGTTGGGCTTGGTTCGTCCGCCGAATTTGGTGAAGTCTACTGTTACCCAGTGGACGAATTCCTTTGTGTCGAGGTCGGGGATGTTGGTGCCATCTGCGAGAGAGAACATACCTAAGGGCATCTTGAGATGGGAAATGTGGGTTTAGATGGTTTAGTTGATGGATAGGTATGAAGAAGTATAGTTGTATAGTTCTGATGAATGGTTTGAGATGGGTTCACGATGGGATGTATGCTCTGTTAAATATTTACTCCAGTTCATTGTGTCGAGTCTTTGTTGGGCACAATTACCTTCATTTTCTTTCATGTCTATATCCGAACAGCAGTTTTTCTTTGTATCTTTGTCCATATTTAGATCTATACTCTTTTCTCTAATTCTAGTCAAATGAATATCTACTCTTATATCTTTATATCTTTATACTTTTATACTTTGATAGTTCCAGGGGTCACATACTTTTGAGTTAGCGTGATCCGTTCTCGGGATCGCGTCATACCCGAGGTCATTCCCCGAGGCCGGGGTATTCTTTCCAAATTTCCTCGCAGATTGCTGGTCAACTGCTTCCCGAGGTCCCGACATGTCTGCACGTGCTCTGCTTAAGCAGTTTAAGCTTAACAAGCTTACCACTCGCTGCCTTTCCACCACCCGACCTACCAATGCAGACTTCACCCATGCGGTACAGTGCACCTCCGAGATCCAAGACAGACCCAAAGCTAATGCGAATAAAAGGTAATTGGCGCAGGCGTCGTCGGCCTCGCAACGGCACGCCAGCTCGCAGCTCGCGAAGGCACTTCAACAATTCTACTAGAGCGACATGACGCACCAGGGACAGAGACGAGCAGTCGCAACTCCGAGGTATGCATACCCCAACATCTAGCAACAGACAACACACAACCCAATCTTACCACTCACCAGGTAATCCACGCCGGCCTATATTACCCAGCCACCTCCCTCAAAACCCAGCTCTGCATCCGCGGCCGCAACCTCCTCTACGACCTCTGCGCGCAAAACAACATCCCCCATCGCAACACGAAAAAATGGATCGTAGCGCAAACCCCCACGCAGTGGGAAGCATGTCTGAAAATGCACGCACACGCACAGGGACTAGGCGACGCGCCGACGCGGCTGGTGGGACGTGAAGAAGCGCAGCAGCGCGAACCAGACGTCAAGGCGGACGCAGGCATTGTCGAGAGCGAGACGTCCGGTATCGTGGACAGCCATTCTCTGATGACGTACCTACAAGGAGACTTTGAGGAGTGTGGAGGCGATATTGCGTTCAAGACGCGCGTGACGCGCGTGGAGGCTATTGATGGTGGTCGTGGTGGGTATAAGATTACCGCTGTCTCGGATGAGGATGGCTCGGTCACTTCTATTACCGCCGAGACGCTGGTTAATAGTGCGGGTCATGGTGCTTGCGCTATTAGTAACATGCTCCTCCCGCAAGAGCGCCATTTTGTTCCGCATTATGCGAAGGGCACGTACTTCTCGTATGCGGCGTCTAGGCCCAGGACTTCTGTTTTGGTTTATCCGGCGACTTTGCCAGGGACTGGTGGGCTTGGAACGCATTTGACGCTTGACATGGGTGGGCGTGTTCGTTTTGGGCCGGATGTTGAGTGGGTGGATAGTCCTGATGATTTGGTGCCGAGCGCTGCGCGTTTGGAGCAGGCGTTGCCGGAGATCAAGGCTTATTTGCCTGGTGTCGATGCTGATGCCATTGCGTTGGATTACTGTGGTATTCGCCCTAAATTGGGGAGGGGCGGTGCTGTCAATGAGGGTAAGGGGTTCCAGGACTTTATTATTCGGGAGGAAGAGGGTTTGCCTGGGTTTATCAATTTGTTGGGGATTGAGAGCCCGGGTTTGACGAGTTGTTTGGCGATTGGTGAGATGGTTAATGGTATCTTGTACCGTTAGCTGTCTCTTGCATTTTGGCTTGTAATTACATGAGCTGGATAGTATATAGAGAAGATACATAGAGGGAACACTGTATATAGGCCTTTGAACAAACCATCCCATCATTGTTTTACTGAATTCCAGAAAGAGCATGGCCATGGGCTTGCTAATTTTAGGGTATCAAGGCTTAAGGACCAATGAAATCGAAGGCATGAAGTGAGAGGTGAGATTTTAGTTCGATTTCTTATATCAACGACCCCCAATTCCTTCCTATACACTCCATACACAGAACTTCAATCCAACATCCAGCCCAAATGGCATCCCTCCTACCAACCCTAGGCCTCCGTTCCTCCCTAAACCCGGCCCCAAACCACGGCCCTATATTCCTAACATTCAACTTCATCCTCGCTTACGGCCTACTCTCCTCACGCACGCTCAAACAATGGTACGGCCTCGACCACCAAGTCTCGCCACGCGAAGACCTATCCAAATACGGCGAGACGGCTGTACGCGAAGGCAAGATCACGCGCAAACAGCTAGACATGCTGAAGCGCAATGAGTCGGCGCATGCTAACGCGGTGGAGAATTTCCCATTACTGGTTGCTGGCGTGCTGTTTGCCTCGTTGGCTGGTGTACCCGCGCAGAAGGTTAATGCTGCGGCGTTGTCGTATACTGTTGCGCGGGTTGTTTATGGGGGTGTTTATATTTTTGTGGATCATCCTACGTGGAGTTGGGTTAGGGGGTGGGTGTGGTGGTGGGGGAACTCGAGTTGTTTTTATATGTTGTGGAAGGCTGGGGAGTTGTTGGGTTGAGGAATTGGTGTATTATCAAGTGTACTGTATTCTTAGCAGAGCATAGTGCTAGGGTAAAACAACGTGCAAGAAAGCAGATGTCAAAGAGACTCTCGGTCGTCAAGACTGGATCAATAAGCAAGACACAAAACCTCGTGTGCAATCCGCAAAGGGAGAAAGTACCGGCGACGCCATGGCAGGATGAAAAGCAATAGAAAGAAAAAAAAACCCCCACTCCGAAATCAACGTCCAGCGTCTATAAAAAAAAGATCCCAAACTCCACACCGCAAGTTCTGAGCAGTAAACAAATCATTTCAAGCCAAATCCTTCGCTATTTACAACTGCATCCCAGAGTAGCTGCTGGAACTTTTCCCGTGTGGGATAGCGGTAAAGGCCCAGCGTGTTGAAACATGTACGCGCAATCGGGTAACGGCGACAGTCATCTCCAAGACAAGCAAGACGGATGATAAGACTTGTAGCCCCCATGGCTGGAATCCGATCACTGCCAGTAATGAATGACAGGATCTTGCGCTGCGCTTGAGGTTCCGATTTCTCGAAGAAGTCCCAGAACCATCGCACCACGGGGACGGACTCTGGTCGTGGGTGCGACCAGTTGTCATAGGTGGCCACAGCTCGGAGAGAGCTGACATCGAGTGGTTCATCTGAACCGCGGACTAGCATTTCGATCTCTTCTGGTCGGAATAGTGATAGCGCATTGCCACCGCAAACTGTGAAGAAACCGCGCTTAAAAGGTTCGAATTGTCGAGCCACGGCTGTATCTAGCAGATATCTGACATACAAATCCACAAACTCACGCTTGTTAGAGTTGGTCACCGGCCGATTCTCGCCATTTGCACAGAGTGGCACACTGACGACCTCGCCATAGCGTTCGACCTGAGCAACAAAATCGTAGCAGAATGTTTCGGCAACATTGCCTTCGAATTCCAGTAGACCCCGGAGTCCTTTGGCGAGAGCTGGCCGGTACTCGGCAAGATCTTCTAGGGTACATTTGAAGGGTGAACGCAAGGAGATAGCCGCTTGTGGCCCGCTTGCGTGCGGCGCCGACGACAGCAACTTCTTGAACGCAAACGGCGGGAGATCAACATCGAGGATGGTGGAGTTGTAAATGGCGAGACCTAGAAGAACCCCAACCAAGAAGAATTGTTCGGATGACTCGAAGCAATAAGGATTGAAGTAGCAGTACTGCGAATCATCATCGTAGATGAAGAGGCCTTTTTTGGATTAGCCGGTCACTTAACACTTAAGATCAGAAAATGCTTACCATGAAGCGGGTCAAAGACCTCTCGGACGAGTAGAAGGAACCATTCCTTCCGCAGCCCACCAGCGTCAATGCCTTCTTCACCCAAAAATTCGATTCGGAGACCCTTTTTGATTTCTTCTTGGCCAGTACCAACAACTTCACTCACCCCCTTGAGGCTGTCTTCGATCAAACACTCGCGTCGTACCTTCAGCACAAGGTACTGACTAACCGCGCTGTGGTTGAGGACGCTGTTGAAAAAAGCATCGCGTGCTTTCACTTCCATTTGACGACGCGCATCATGCTCCATGATATGAATTTTGGCCCAGATGCTAAGGAGGAACGGATACTGACAGAACGAAAACTTCGTGACTTTAGCTTCCCAAGTCTCGAAGTCCGTTACTAGATCCGAATAGTCCAACAGTGTGTTGTAAAATGTACTGATCGGAATCATATGTCCTTGACGAGGGCCTGGGTTCTTGGGCATTTCAAGACTGCGCGGGGTTCCATCAGATTTCCTCGTTGCAGCGGAGATGTTAGCCGTAAAGAACAGCGACATTACTCTTCCCGCCGCTCTGATCTGCCAGTCCTCGGCGTATACTATGGGGTCTTCGGTTTTTTTGCCAGACTTCTTGTTCGTGTTGCCTCGATTAATCGCAGCGTGGAGTTCCGCAGCAGTGTTTCCCGAAGCACTGGCGAAGCTCGGTATTAGATCATCCCCATCTTGAGGGATTTGCTGACGTTTTCGCCCATGCTGACGACTCAAACGGTAAGTGAGAAATCCGCCGACAAGTTCTACCAGTCGCTCGAAATGTCTGACAGAGAAACGGGAAGCCCAAGACACGAAGTAGTGATGGCAGTCATTGGGCAAGTTGGACATGAGTCCCAGGATTCGTTTGATGATTCCATAGTGGTGACTGGGGCCCTCTGGACGAGCAGGGGCTTTGGGCAAGGCTTTGTGTGAGGATTTTCCGTCTCGGTTTGCCGGCTTCGGAGGATCTTTTGGATGCGAGGGGCGTCTGTCGTCTCGGTGAGACGGCGTGGCCGGCGTATGCTGGGTATACAACGCAGGTGAAGACAAGATGGGATTCGCTAGCAATATAAACAAGAACCTGGTGTCTTCTGGCTTCTTCAGAACACAACGCGGGCGCTTGAGGAGGCCCTCGGTAGCTTTCAACAGTGCCCGTTGTAAATGTAAACGAGACTCGCTGATCTGTCTCCCGATCAAAGACGGATCAATCGACGCCCATCTCTTAGCTCGGGTCGAATCCGCTTCTGATCGTGTCGGGTCGGGTTTTTTTGCCGCCCATAACTCAGTCCAAGAACTTCCCGCCGACAAAATCAAATGATACCACTGGGCTACCTCGGTCCAGTTGATCCGAGGACTTCGCGATGATACCATCCGAGACTTTGGGGCGCTCTTCTCTTTGGAATACGCGGGGTTTTGTCCTTCAGCCTCAGCCCATTCATTCATCCACCAAGAGGAGTTCTCAGTCAAATCCCCCAAAAGAAGAGTTTTTGCATCCGGTTCAAAGACAGGAGTGTCCTGCGATGGTTGGGGCACTGTGGTCGGTTCTATCTTCATTTTCGACGGATTGCCACTACTGGCTGATCGAGCTGATCGAGCTGATCGAGGAGGTGGGTATGTGGTGAAAGATTCGTTGAGGCAATCACAGCCTTTGAAGGCAGTGGCGATGGTATTTTCCAGCCGTGTGAAAATGTGTGTCCGATTGTCACAACTTTGAAACTCTGGGTTCCCAGCTTGCGAGACACCTTGCGGGCTGCAGTCTAGCTTTGGGGATGATCGGAGATCTGAATTTGCTCGGACTCTGACGGGTGTGTCATTGCCCTCCCAGCGAACAGATTGTGGTGTCAAGTAACCCGAGTTCTCTTTTGATGCCGCCAACCTTTCCCGTTCACTAGAATGGGAAGCACTCCGGCCCCGAGAGCCCTCGGTGCGCGGGGGTGAGAGATTGTTTGAACCAGAGGCATGAGCCTGCATTGGTGGAAGATCAGGCAGCGGTTTGTTCTTTATGTCGTCGTTCGGCGGCACCCATGACCGAGAGCCATTGTCCAAAAGGTTATCAAAATACATATTAAGACACCCTCCGATCATACCACGGGTTTGATTGACCGTCAAAGGAAGCACTGTGGTAACAAATCAGCATCTTCCACAAATCTATGAAGCAAAACTACCACTGGTGGTGTTACCTTTGTTTCCCAACTTGGACGCCCCGCCCTGAGACCCTTGTGGAGGATTGTCTTTTGATTCATGAGACATCGGCTCGAGGTCTGTGATCATCAAGCAGTCGGTGCATCTAAACACCTTCAAGTGTCGTGGCCACCGGACAGTAGCATCACACGTTTGGCACTTTCCCTCGACGATATCATTTCCAGGTGCTGCACCTTTCCGGGGACTTGACGACTCGGGCTCTAAGGGATAGGTTACCTCATCGTCATCATCATCGTCAGAGTCCCAAATCGCATGCTTGGCAGGTGTCTTGTCCCGTTTGCGCCCAAACCCAGCGAACGGATTGCTGATCGAGCGTGAATGTCCTCGGTGGGATGAACTCTTGGGCATACTGCCGTTTGACGGTGGCACGATCGAAGCATCGCGAGGCCGAACTAGGCGACGTGGGCTAATTTCCAGGCCAGATATTTGAGAAGAGTGTAGTGGGATGGCGGCGGTGCCAGAAGTTGAGCTCGGAGGGATAGGCGGATGACGTTCAAACCGGGACGGCATGGAGGCGCATAAACGTTATTGGGTCTAATTCAACCAAATTCAACCTCTCCAGTGTGGTATCCAGCTAGTGGAGCTTGTTCTTCGTGCCAGACACATGCGAGTAGATCGTGGAGGACGGAGTGGGGGTAAAGCAGTCGAGTAAAGCGACCTCAGCTGTGCTTCTTTGTTTGGTAAATGACAGGTTGGTCTATCGCAGGGATGAACATTCAGTAAGCAAGTCAAGTCTCACTAAATAAAGAACTATCTCACCTTGAGGTCCAATAGAAGAGTGATGGATTGTTACAGCTGCATTTCATAGTCTGTGGACGGATTGGGAAAGCGGCCGGGGGTGGGAAGTGGTTCATGCCTCAGGCTCTAGATTTCTATTTATGGATTTTCCGCCTGAAATCGCAGGCGACAGATCTATTTTTGTGGGACGACGCCTATCCCGATGATCGTTAATCAGACACCAGTTAAGGTATAGTGATCCCCAATTTTTCAAAAACCATATGTATTAGCTTCCAGCCACAAGGGGACTAGACCAACTGCTAGCGATCCGCTAAGGCACACTACTATCTGACAACGGTTTGGCCCCCGGGGCCGCGAGTACAGCACAAAGACATGAAATTCTGTCAAATCTCATGATGGGCATACGCACATCCATAGAACTAGTACAAAATTACACTAATCCAAGTCTACGAATTCTTCAGTACCAGTAGCATGGAGTTGAACCAGTCATACTTCGTTAATAGGGGAATTGAAAATAGAACAAGATGGCTTTTTGGCTAACAACAGAACCGGCTGGCCTGCATTAAAGTTGAACCCAGCGTGGAGAACACTGTCTGGGAAAGAAGTGCTTCAATAAATGACCACATGCCGTAACCAACATTTTCCAACCGAAACCACTGGAAAAGTGCACTATCGCACTTAACGGTAACGCCAGTAGCTCTGGGTGTTCTGGCGCTTCCAGGTGTGGCGGCGACCAGCCTTGGTGTTGTTGTAGCGGTGACCCTTGTTGATACCACGGGACTTCTTGCCGGTGGCGGTGAGGCCACGGGACTCGCGGTGCTAGAAAGAAAGATCTGATCAGCAAAGTTCTTATTGCAGTCGAAATTTGAGCGAAACTCACCTTGTGGACGGGGTTACAGATCCAGTTGATGCGGGCATCACGACGGATGGCCTTGTGCTGGGGGTCGACGAGGATGACCTCGTAGTACTTGTAGGTGGAGTCCTGGTTGATCCAGTAGGAGTTCAGGACGCGCAAGTTAGCAGCGCGGCGGCCAACACGCTCCTCAGCGGTGGACTTGAGAGCACGCTGGTACTTGAGCTGGTTAACACCGTGGTTGGTGGGCTTGCCTGTTCACACATTCAAACATTAGCCAAAAAAAGTTCCTTCAACTCCCACAGATCTCCAGGAAATCTGTATTCGGCAGGAAAAAATTCGTACCGAAAGTGGCACCCTTGGCGACAGGGCGTTTGCGGCCACCGCGGCGGACACGGGCACGGTAGATAACGTAACCCTGCTTGGCCTTGTAACCGAGACGACGGGCCTTATCGGGGCGCGAAGGGCGCGAGGCACGGTGGATGGCGTTCAGCTGGCGGAGCTATATTATGCACTCTCAGCAAAGTTCAACGAGTGTATAGCAAGACACATGAAGCCCAAAAGGGTTTTCTTGCGTGCCACAATCATTTCCGCCGAATGACTTTTTTCAAGCCGCCTAGCAATACCACAAAAAGACGGCATATCCTAAGGCAACGCTCACGAGCGCTCGGCGGAGATGTTAGGCAATCGAGGGGCGAAGGGATTTATCTCACCTCCCAGCATCGGACGCGCAGCAGGAAGCGAATCACATCGGACTGCTTCTTCTTCTGGATTTCTTCCACGTACTTGAGGGCACCCATCTGGACGGTTGTAGGTCAGAGAAATGCACTGGCGGTTGAGATTGGATTGAATGAAAAATGATCAAACGTACCTTGTCGGCTGTACGAGGTCGTCGGTTGTCGTTGTCGCAAAAAGTTCGAGGAGGAAAACGTCTAGAGGCAGAGGTTGTGTGTGGGACGCTAGCGATTAGCGAGTTGACCCACTTCAGCCAATCACGGGATGAACTAAATTACTGCCTTGAACCTCAGGTGTCAACCTTTTTTATCCTGCCTCAGGCAACAAATATGTAAGCATTGACCAACACCCCTACTGATAGGTCAGGCGAGCCCTGGTGCGAGTTCTGTTCATTTTCTTACTTGGGCAGTATTGAATGAAAATCAAGGGTTATAAATGGAAAGGCACTTCTTAATTATCATTTGCTATGCTTTGCCCTTAGGTATTTACTGTGGGGTTTGTTTTATAGGCCAATGGCTGGAAGTAAAAACAGACACTAAAAATCATCAAGTTTCTTCAAGTCTTTGTCAAGGACAGAGGCGTTACGATAATTGGAAATTTTTGTTTCGAATTGTTTGACTTTGAGATACGTTCTCCAAATACTCAATCGCTATCAAAATCTCATACAAAAGCATTAACATCATCAAATCACCACGCTCGGTAAATGCAATAATAATTCTCGCTCCCTCCATGCTGGCATAGAATGCATAATCTTCCAAACCCAAAGAACTAAAAGCAAGCAAAAGCAAGCAAAGGCAGTCTCGCGTGTTATATTCAAGAGCGCCTCGAAAGATACTCTTGTTCGACCATTTCATTGGTCACGGAGATATAGTACGAGCCTGCTGGCAAGACGGTCTTCTTGCATAGAGGACAAAGGCAGCAGTTCTGAGTCAGGAATGGATCGATGCAAGCTGAGTCAAATATGTGTCCACACGGCAGTTCGCGGACTGTAGATGATCCAGCAACAAAATCGTCGAGACAAATAGCACAAGTTGTTTGGGTGTAGCTCAGACGGTACTTGCTTCTGGAAGAATCATTCTGTCCAGGTTTTATCACCGCTGCTTCTGGCTTCTGGATGCCAGCATCGTCCTTGGCATGGTTTTCTTCGTTGGGCGACAGTGAGTTGGTCTTGTCGCCAGAATCAGGCTCTATTGGATTCGCCGATGTATTATCTTGTGGAAGAGTCGCTTCTGTCGGAGGGCTGATCTCCAAGTATGTATAAAGTGGCATCTTGTTAACGACCTCTTGGGGGGCCATCATTTGGTTCAATGCCAAGGCCTCGATGTCGACTTGACCTGCATTAACACGTCTCTGGAGCTGAGCCCGTCTCTTGCGCAGGACAAGTCGATAAACAACGATTAGGAGAATACTGAGTATTAGAACTGTTCCTGCAATTGCAAGTACAAAACTCCAGACGCTCGTAGCCGGTGTAGTGTCTTCGCCTGCGATTTGTGAGTATAGATTTGGATAGTGACGCATTTGGGTGACTTACCAGTTTCAATCCTAGCAAACAATCGGCTAGTCTTGGTCTGTATCGTAAAGTCCTCGGTCAAGTTCTCTCGCTTGCTTTCTGGTGTCTCAGCTGAATACCATGAGAGATCATTGATCAATGAGATTCCAGCTGGCCCTGGAATAGCATACACTGGGTAATTGTTGTCCATTCTCCATTTATCTCCGTCGTTGATTGCCCAGCGAGAGTCATTTGAGTCAGGTGGTAGGCTGGTCTCGTTGTCTGACGGCTGGAAAAAGATCATAGCATGCGTGCCGACCTTTTGGGCGGCAGAGAGGAACGATAGCGAACATTCGGCTGTTACCCATGGAGCAAGGCCAACTAAGGAGTATCCAAACTCTGACACATCTTCATAGCGTGTCACATTTGGCGGGACAGACGAAGCCGTAATGTCATAGCACGGATCATGCGGGTCTATACTGGGCACAAACAAGAGGCCTGATACCAATCCGTCTTCGGGAATGCTGTTGCTCGATATCGTTTGAACCTTGCGATCGAGAACAAACCGATAGGCGACATTCTCCTATACAATTATGCGAGTTAGTATCAGCCCCGGAGGCTGTTGTCAACTTCTGAATGGAGAAGGTATACTCACTTCGACTGACGAGGTGGTATTCGAAGCTTGCCCTTCACCTGCCCAAAGTGTAGCCACTTTACCCGCCGAGTCATTTCTCGTAGACATGGTAGCAGCTGACATGATGCTTTATATTGTGTTCAAGTGAATAGTGAAGATGAATGTCAAGTAAAAGATTCAAGTGAAAGATCTGGAGTCTAGGTGGTGCCCAGTGAGGAAGGTGTGTGCGTACTAGTAAGGGAAACAAGTTGAATATGAAATAGTTTGAAAATGGCAGCTATGATTTGAGGCAAAGTCATTTGAGACGATACTCAGCCCTGAAGCATCCCATACATCCTGCTAATTAGAGCTCTATGGCGGAAGAATGCGAGAGTCAATCGGGACCGTCACAAGAATGTAGAATAAGCCTGGTTCCAACCACGAGGCAAGAGGCAAAACGTCTTGGCTAAATTACACTGAGTTTCACATTTCGAAGAAATATCCGTGAACGAGTAAACAAGTGAAAATGACCGAGGGCATGGTCTACATTGTATACTTCGCTAAACATGGCCGTTCGCGGTAGACCGGTTGTGGAGATGATCATCAACCGGCAACTTTTCAAGCTTTTGCACTTGGCATGGGGATTTAGCGAGGTTATGTTATAAATAGTAATTCTTCAACGCTTGCAATTCACAGAAGATCTGGATTACTCTGTGATGCTCATCCCTCAGAATGCGGTCGGAGTAGCCGACATTGGGCTTCTCTCCGCAGAATGTCAGAATAAGATGTGTGTCAACATTTCCCGGAGGCTATGTGTCAGCCGTCATCTCGTGAGGCGCAAGCTGTATAGTGCGTTATATAGTGCAAAATGACAACTGGATCATCTCAAAGCCACATACCCAGGCCCCGAGAATAGATGTTCATTGCCGGTGCTCAGGAACCAATAAATTGAAGATGGTGCACGTGATGATAGTCGTATCGCCATCACGTGCATATGCTCTGGCCGACGGCGACCGCCAACCATCATTCACCTTTAGGAAAGTCATAATTCATCCGTGATTGAGAGGATCTCTTGCTCTGTATCTGCTTTAGCTCATGATCAAGCACTCTGGGGGATATTCAACTTCCGTTTATTCTTCTTTGCTCCCAGTGATCAACGACAGCATGTGTCTGTCTAGTCCCATCCACACCTCCTAGGATCCTCTCTGTCGACCAATCTCTCTTTTCGTTGATACTGTCTTTGGTGTCTTAATCATTTCATCCCTTCTTTTTCCTTCATCCGATTATCGATCTGAAGAAACACCATGCCGTCCGCATACAAAGGCAAAGGCAAAGGCCGCGATGCGCGCCAGTCGCGTAGCCGCAATACCACCCCGTCCAGCGCTAGTGCTCCCACTATCCCATCACTGCCCATCCAAAACTACCTGGATAACGATGTTACCAAACACATTGACTTGGCTAGTGTCCAGTATTCCGATGTGTTGGACCTGGTGTCCGCGCAGAACATTCCAGATTCGAAAACACTTGAGACATTGGTGGAGCACCTGAAGGGTCTGAGTGGCATGGCCGATATTCGGGGCGAGGTTTGCAATGCTGGAATGCGCGAGATGTCTCAAAAACGCAAAGAAGTTGAAGATCAGGAGCTTGATCGTGAAATTCGAGATCGCTCCAAGTTGAAACGTGAAACCGAAGAGGGTGATGATATTCATAAGGGCGGGAAGCTGAAGAAGCGGAAAGAGCGCCCAAGTGGAAAGGAGGAGCGGCCCTTAAATCATGGTGCACATGAGATAGCGCGTCAGGATGGAGCTGAGACTAAGGTTGAGGGAGGTAAGAGATCCAACTCGGCGCTTTCTTCCCACTCTTTGTTTTTACGGACCCATCTCCACAACTCTGATCTTCTTTCAATTTCCCCACCGTTCAACCTTCACTAACCATCAAAAGCGGCTTCTCCAGCATCGAAAAACTCCAAGAATGCGATATCGGATGAAAGCTCCTCGCTTTCACCTCCATCGATGATGTCCCCCAACGGTACAACCACTGCTGGCGACGGCCCTCCCCCGGGACCCCCGGGTCTGAAACCAGTGCCGATTCCCATCAACCCGAGCCCCAACCTGCAATTCCTCAAATCCAAGTCTTTGGCGAGAACCCGCTGAAGTTTGACGACCCGACCATTTACAACATTCGAGATGTGCTCCCAGGCATGACAGACGATGAGAAGAAAGAGATTTACAGCGTTGCCCACTTCCCTAAGACCGATCTTGCCCACATGGCAGCTGGTGTGGCTCCAGACAAGGACTTCAGCAACGCCAAACCTTCCAACCAAGTCAGCGCGAATACCTTCCAGACTTACATTGAACCTTACGTCCGGCCTCTTACCGAGGAGGACATTGCCTGGTTGAAAGAAAGGGTGAGTCAATTGCAGCTACTTTCATGTCAACACAAGCTGACCTATCACAGGGTGATCGTACTACCCCATTCATCATGCCCCGTCGTGGAAAGAAAAACTATCGTCAAATTTGGGCGGAGGAGGATGGAGTATCCTACGACTCGAGTCAAGATGACAAGGACCAGCTGCCTTTGAATCAGGGCCGTGGCAGCATTGAACAGCTGACTGACGATAAAGCTGAAACCAATGAAATCTCGGTTGGACCTCTCCTCAGCCGACTCTGCTCTCTCCTCCGTTACGAGCACCGTACCTTCCCCGAAGATTCCAACCCAACCGCAAATGGGGATACTGGTAGTGTGAGTGGACTGGGTGGAGACGCAATGGACATCGATCAACCCACTGTTGAGAAGGAGAACAAGAGCGAAACCAAGCCTCTCCCTGCTGCAACCACCTTCCGCGACGCGGATCCAAACGACTTCAAAACCTCGGTCGCAAAGCTAGATCACGCCCAACTGGATGAACGCGCCAAAGCCGAACTGCGATTCATTGGTTTCCTCGGTGCAGATGATAACCCAGACTACGACGCTCACTACGATGATGAAGTTGCTGAACGACTCCGCCTACTCCAAAGCGAGCTCAAGAAGCAAATCGTCACTAACAACGCGCGCAAAGCTCGAATTCTAAAGATTGCCCAGGAGCACATGGCCATGCTTGAGTTTACTACCATACAAGATGACCTCGACTCTCAGGTCCAACAAGCCTATCTTAAGCGCACCCGCACTATGGGCAAGAGCAAGAAGGGGGCTCAGCCCAAGCACCGTCCTGGTGGCGCAGGCGGCGGCAGCCACGTCGCTGGTGCTGCAGGCGTTTCCCGTCCTGCTGTCGGGGACGCTGCAAAGATCGTCATGGACCGCCGTCGTCGCTGGAACGAGGCATTCCTGCCTATCTTTGACGACATCAAGACTACCATTCCCTCCGAGGGAGAATCGATCTTCGAGCCAGAAGTTATGGCTGAGTACGAGAAAGCCGAGCTAGAGAACTGGGACGAGGAATAGATTCTCCGTCCTCTTTGCTCTCCCGGGTTTTCATCACTCGACCCGTCTTCTGTCCTTTGGCTGCCTCTGAGCCACCTCAACGTTGTTTTTGATTTATTTCCCGCACGATACGATACGAATGTATGATGGACTGGCGTGGCGTTAGCGGATACCTCTTTTTTTTTTCTGTTCACAATATCAAATGTTGAACCCCCTGGCGTGGCTATGTAGTCCGCTTGAAGATACACACTGGATCTTTTCCACAACATGTATCTAGCTACATAGTTGGATGTGACTATGTCTTTGTATTATTTTTAACCTCTGAGCTGTACGCTTACAATGAAACCAAATTCTCCAACCTTCGGTTTTCAATTTTCAAATTTTCAAATTTTCAGTTGTAGACCTCAATATATATTTCCAACCACATCAACGCCAAAATGATAAAAAGTAGGGTATCAATTCCAACAATCCAAAAGCCAAAAGAAAAAAAAACTCCCAACTCATCTATGAAGAATTAAGACCTCCCAAGGATACCTCTTCAATCTAGCCGTCAACTCCCTCTCACTCATCTCCAACTCTGTACAAACCTGATCAAAGCAATGTGTACCATCAAGATACTTCCCAAGAACCTCATCCCCAACAGCCTCCTCATCCTCCTCCCAAAACGTCGACGGCGCCCCTCCACTCCCGTTCCCGTTCCCATTCCGACTCCCACTCATCAACGACCCGGACCCAGCCCGCTCACGATTAGACTCTCCCCTCATAGCCGCCGATATAGGCGCGTCCTCTGACACACTCGAGACCGCATAGGGTGTATTGGTTCCCGTAGTCGCACGCGACGAGAGACCCGTCGGCGTGAACGAGGACGTGCGCGGCGGGGGTGCAGGTTGGCTCGTTGCGCATGCATATTTGTGCACGCGATACAAGAAGCCCTTTATCACGCCGAAGGTTATGAAACGGCGGATGTCGATGTTTGCTAGGGCGCGGCTGTGGGCTGCGTACCATTGCTTGACGCTCTGGCCCTGTTTCAGGCTTGCGTAGAGTTCGACCAGCGCGACGCCATCGACGAGCGCTGGTTTGTGGAGTGCAGTTGCGGATGTTGTGGTGGTGGAGGTGACTGGGTTTTCCTCAGGGCCCAGCAGGGGCCAGATCTCTTCGGCGTCGAAGCGAGATTCCTCGCGTGTAAGGCTTGGTGCTGGGTCTGTGGTGAGGGAGCTGGAGAGGGGTGCTGTTCCTATGCTGCCGTTTGTGCTGCCGTTGACGCTTGGGGATCGGGCTAGGGTTGCGGGGAGAGGGGAGTCTGGGCCGATTGGTGGGTGTGGTGCGAAGCGGAGGTTTACGTAGCGGGCGCATTCCAGTTGCATTGCTTCGTCGGAGGCTATTGTTGTGCTGAATTGGGCGGTTGGGGCGTAGATGGCAGAGAAGGAGAAGATGTCGAGGATAAATAGGCAGCCGTAGTAGAGGAGGTGTCGGAGGGCACGGCAGGTGAGGGAGAAGTCTGTGTCGGCTAGAACAGAGATGATGCGGACGCTGTTGACGCCGTTGATATGTGGTACGATCTGGCAGGGTTCAGCTGTTGTCTTTCTGGCCATGGGGGCAGAGTCATCTTCACATACCCTTTGCATGGTCAAGTCCCAGTTCTCATCCATGAAGGCCTGGTATCGCAAGGTGAAGAGCGGTACTTGCCAGGCCTTGACGGGCGGGGGAGAAGGGTATATCGGGAAAAGCTTGATGTTCAGAGTGTTTAATTCGTCTAGATGGAATATTTAGCAGTGGAATCATGCTAAATGGGTCCATGGACATACCAATGGGAATCATGCACTCGCAATAATTGTTCAAGTCCTCCATCAACATCTCACAGAGACTATATACCTTCCCTTCACCACTCTTCGAGAAATCGCGGGACAAGAAACCGTTCTGCTCCTCCAGGCCATGCATTAGGTCTGCTAGTTTCTGTACCACGCTCTTATACGTGCTGAAGTCGTCTTCCTCGGCGAGGACTATGCAGAAGTTGAAGATGAACTCATTGCGGTCATACCGCACTGATTTCATGCAGATTGGGTAGCCCAGAATACGATATCCGTTTGTGCAGACTTGCAAAAGGTTTCCACAGAGCTCCTGGCGGGGGATTACGAAGAAGGAGACATCGAAGAAGGTGAGGAAGGGTGGCTGTGAGGGTGCAGTGGGGGTGGGTACGATGGCTCCATCGGGGACTTGATGGACGACTTTGGGACCTGCATAACAGTAGTCAGTATCGAATCGAAGGTCTATCATGGTATTGAAGGTCCTTACCCTCTATCGTGTCGAATTTACTGTAGAAGATTGCCTTGATCATGGTGGAGATGTTGTGTTGGGAGGAGTGCGTGACAGCACAGTCTATCGGCCAAATTTAATCAAACATAGAGCTGAAATGAGGTTCACGTTCACGTTCATGTTCATGGCAGATCAGCTGCGGAGCGGACCTCGGAGCGGAGAGCTTATCGTCAATATCTCCCATTATTCCAAATTAGGTTAGACTATGTACATTGTGTCTGATTGGCCGCTGAGTTATTATCACGTGATATATCCTTTCCCTTTGTCCAACTCTCCTCGATTCATCTAGTCTGAAAAGCCACTAGAATATTTACATTTTCTTCACAAAGCCAACCTCCACCACCCTGTCAGTCTCAACATTCAAGTGTTGAACTTTGGTTCGGCTAGCATCTCGCATCCACAAGAATGCCCAGAGGAACAGTCGACGAAGGATGTTCGACTCCGCCGGAACCTTTAACTGCTCTTTTCCCACAATGTAGATCACCTGAGAGTTCCACGCCCGATCAAGCGCATCCAACTTTTCCTTATCACTCTCTAGTGATTTGGAATTATTTTGGGAGGTTAGATAGCTCCGAACTAGATCGTGAACCAAGACCCCAAGGTCAGGTGTGACTATCTCATCAGTATATCCATGGCGGACGATCAGCCTATAACAATGAGGTATGGCTTGCCTGTCCTGATCAACGGTGTATGTGTAGCAACGATTGACTGAATACCGTTCTTCTGGAGCGATTGTGGGCACGGACAAGGGTCGCAGATGAAGGAAAACGGTCACCTCAGGTGCAGCGCTGAACTTTTGGATGAAGTGAAGGAAAACACTTGGTGTGTTATTCGACATGCCAGATTTGTCGAAGAATATCCCCAGACCGTTGATCGGGGTAAGGGTAGAATTCTCTGAACCATTCTGTAGGAGAAGCTTGTTTTCTCTCAACACGGTCGTCCGGGACAGAGGTGTATTATCGGACTCTTCTGCTTTCCACTGCTCCTCTTTTCCGTACCGCCAGAGGACAAAAATGCAGGTCAAAATAGCAGCTAGCATCAGCGTGAACCATGCACCATGTGGAACCTTGCTTAAGGCGGCCGAGAGGAACATGCCATCCCAGAGAGCGAAAATCAGGAACACAGGAAGGACCAAGTACACAGGCAGCCTCCACACAATAAGTGCAACAACTGTCACCATGCAGGTCGTCAGGAATGAGACAAGTATAACACATGCTCCATAGGCTTCGCCGAGGGCAGTGGTCTGTAGTAAGGTTAGTGAAATCAATATAAAAGGCAGTTCTTAGAGCACATACATTGTTGTAGACGGCTGTCACAATAACACTTCCAATCATCATGAGCCAGTTGGCGAGAGGGATGTACACTTGTCCGTGGACAGTCTTTGAAGTATGGTAAGTTTGAATCTGAGGGAAGTATGATAACTTCATGATTTGGGAAAGCAACTAGAAGAAGTTAGATACCAGTTTGGAATCACCTTATTCTTCACATACCTGAAATGATCCAGTGATGACGGCCTGACTTGCGACAATACACGCTAGGATTGCGACCACGAGGCTTGGATATATCATCCCAGGTGGCAAAGAGAGGTAAAACGGATTAGCATACGCACTGGGCACTCGACTAATATAAGCGCCTTGGCCAATATACTAGGGAGGTATAGTTAGAATATTTGTCTCTGATCAGTAGGTCACATCAGGAAACTAACCGACACTAGAAGACACGGATAGACGAAAAAGAGCCAAGAGATCCGAATTGCCCTGCGCCAATTGTCAGTGATCATGAGCATTGCTAGTATTCCCAACCGCGTAAGCATACCGTTGGCTAAATGCTCCCAGGTCTGCGAACAATGTCTCAACACCGGTAAAGGCGAGCAAGATTCCTCCCAACTGAAGCCATCCGTCTCTCCCATTTCGCACCAAGAACGAACCCGCGAAGTAGGGAGAGAACGCTTTGAGTACGGATGCATCATAATGGACCAGGTTCTAGAATAGCGATAATAGATAATAAGTATTGCTCTTGGAATTTCGATTTCTCTTGCTTCCAACTTACATAGATCCCGAACGACAGATTGAAAACCATCCATAGTATAACAATTGGAGCAAAGGTGGTTGCAATTCTGCTGGTTCCAAAGGGCTGGATAAGGAAAACGAAGACGAGGATTGCACATGATACACCGACGACGGTGGGGGAAGAGATATCCGGGTTCACGACAGTAATCCTAGACAATCTTAACACTGTGCGGATGTATTATGTTGTAGCTAAGCTTACCCTTGAATTGCCCCAAGAATAGACTGTGCAGGGGTTAATACTCCATCTGAAATCAATCATTAGCGACTTGAATGGGAATCCTAGTGGTGGTGCTTGCCTGCGAGAATGAGTGAAACGCCAAATGCGCCGATGATTTTGAGTGTCCATTTGATGAACGCGCTTCGCTCCATGACATTGCGAGTTATTAGATTCGGTTTTTTCAGCTCGTTTGTGTTGTGTCGTTGCATTTTCACAAGATTTGTGTGGCGAGGGTCGTGTCGGACGAGATTAGCCTGAGCGTAATATTAGCATGTCTGTGAAAGGTCAAGTGAGCTTGGTGTAGCACTTACATATCGTGATAGGAGGGAATATATAGCGAATGTCCCTCCTTCGCCCTCATCATCTGCATAGAGTACTATGCAAACATATTTGATAGTAACCATGATGGTGAGAGCCCAGATGATGAACGACACCGCCCCGAGGACATCCTCATGGCTCGGTTCACTGCTGAAAGTAGACGAGAAGACATACAAAGGACTTGTCCCAATGTCGCCATAGATGACCCCGAGTGATTGATATGCGAGCCTATAAACGATGAAACCTTGAGTAAGTATTGAAGAATACCTCTCTGAGCGACTTCTGGAATCGAGTCACTTACAATGCCAGTGTCCAGCCTTTGAATACCTTTTTGACAATTAGTACATTCAATAATGACGGAAGAAAAGCAATTCCCAATTACCTGCTTGCTGTGGAAGTCCCTTTCCTCCAACTCAGGCCCGTCCGAGATGGATGCGACCTCCACGTCCATCTCCTTGGGATTTGCAGTCTTGTTTCCAGCCGTATGAGCCCTGCGCGGTGTTACACGAGAAGAAAAAACACCTCCCGCACCGGACGAGGGTTGGATATTCATGCGATCCTCTGACGAGTCATCCTCAGTACTGGTCGACATAACGGGTCTTTCTAAGGTCTGATATCCTTATGATAACTCAACTCCTAAGGGGTAAGGTAGGTGTAATATAGACAGGAGCAACACTGTTTTTAAGGTCTCCCAGTTGCTTTTTTGATATTCATGACTGTGATTTCTTATCTATACTCAAATCCTATAGCAATGCCTGTCAAAATACACGTGGGAAGGAGCCAATTAGATTGCGAAGTTTGACTAGGGTGCGATTAAGGCGACACGAACAAGAGGATCCAAGAAAAATGCCGCATACTTATGTATACAAAATAATGATACTACCTTGATCTGGCCTCTGTCCCTGAAAGCGAACCACATCAAACCACAGAAAACAAAATTAACTATGTAGATAAGAATTATGGTCAACTTGAGCTTTAATAGGTGGTGAGCTTCCAAGGAATTTGGGATTCTACAGTTATGAATATATGAGGCAATTATCTCCTCCACTACCATGTCGAGGAAAGAAGAAGCTTACCCCACGACTCACTCATTTCTATTATCAGGACGATGATATCTATGATACGAATCGATTTGAGTATTATTCTTACTCAAATGCTTTAACAATCAACTCTGATTAAGGAATAAGCAATGTAAACATTAGGCCTCGCCAAAAAAATCCACTCCGTACCCTCGAGTCTCGGGGGACTTTTGTAACGCTTGAAAGTCACAGCTACTACCACAGAAAAGCAATCAAATAACACCATGCATTTGCCTCGTAGCCAACGATAACCAGAATCAATCATGTGTATATATATAGCCTTGAATCCTCTCAAAATTTAACTGGATTATTTCTCTGAACTACAAGTTATCCTCGTCAAGGCTCGATGAAAATTATCTTGTTTAACAGCTCACAGACTGTCGGGAAAGTTCCTGGTCCTTATTGCAACAACGTCTTGGTAAATACGTTCTCAGGGATCGTAGGTGCTTGGATTTCACTACTCTGTAAATCAGATTATGATCAGATTACTCATGTGATCAGATGGATTCATGCCCAGGTGGATGCTTGATCGGCTTATGTAATGCTCTGTGAGCACCTGACCACGGGGTGTGCTCAATTTTACTCTGAGATCAAAAAGCAGCAAAGGTGAGCACTAAAATGAAAGGGGAAAGGTCTCGAGTGACATTATCCGGTACCCGGCCCGACGCTTAGGTTGGATGTCTTATCGGTGGGATGTTGAGACAGTTTGAGGTTGATAGCACCTTGCTCCCTCAGATTGATATTCCTTCCTCTCTTAGCTAAATACAATGATTTCTTTCCCTCGTCAGATCGGCGCAGTCTCTCCTGAGTCCTGAAGGTACGCGACACTGAAGAGTGTGTCTCTGAGATATTGCGGAGTATACAGCAGAAGTTTCAGTCGAAGTTCTTCCGGTTAGATACCCAATCAAAAATCATAACATGATGAGCGATATACCAAATTAGGAAGGTGGTAACAGCTGGAGTGTTTAAACTTTTGCGGAGTGACCGCTTCGGTGGGCCCTTCGCCGGCTGCCGGAAGATGCTGTATAAATACGGGGTACCCCACACCCGTGGACATCTTGGCGTATTCCAATTGGGAAATCAATACAGGGACCTCGGGAATAGGGTTGGATAGGGCATTGGTAACACATATGGGCTTGGGATTGAGTTCGGCTATAAGTTTAAACCCTACCGTGGATTCGGGTAACTGTCCTATACAGACAATATAGATTCGCTAGTCTGGGAAGAAACAAACAGATCATGCATCACTCATGGGGAGTAAGGTCAATAGCACCTAGGGGTCAAGCACAGAAATACTGAAGTCAAGCAACCAGTGCAAGCAGATCCCGTATATTAGGACACTTTAATCTCCATTTCGAGTCGAAATGAATCAATTATCTTCCCCATTTGCCTAAACCCGTAAGAAGCTGGAAGATCTATCCCTGCTCCCCGTGCTTTGGACCGTATGTCATTTTTTAGCCACCGACTTCTTCTATATTAGAGGGATCTTAGGCAGGTCAATCAGCTGGGGCATAATGATTGGGGCACCGTTTCTACACCATATGCGGTTCTGGGTAATGCTAATTTCTGTACAGACTGCCAAGGAAACAAGAATATTGTCGATCTATATCAAGTCCACTTTCCTGATTGTTGATAGCGGCAATTAGGACGACATATAAACCCTGGAGTATCTCTGAAATGTCCAGAAGACTCATCTTTCAGCATCAAATCTAGTCGAAGGTACAGTCCCGGTCTAGGCTGTCCAACGACATGTTTTCTGCATCTGCTCTACTTTGCATTGGCACATGGGCAGCGGTTGTCCTCCAAGTAACCGCCGTCCCCCACGGCCCACTCTACAACAAGATTGCCCGAGGTAACAATGACACCTGTGGCCCAGTCGGACAGTACACAGAGAACCGAAGCTCCAAACAATGGAACCAAGCCAACACCGACGCCTGGCTTGAGACATGGTGGACCGAGAATGCCAAAACACGAACAAGCAACGCAGGCGGATTCGCCGGTGCTTTCGGCTACTACGCACTAAGCCAGTCTGACTGGTCGTGTCAGAACAACGGCAACAACGATAATTGCGGGGTCCAGGTTTGCAACAACCCCAAGATTAACTCCCTAGGCGATAGCACCGAGCAGGCGTACTATGTTCTGAAGGCGCTTAATAACCTACACGGGTTTTACCTCGGTCTAGAGGAGTCGTTCAATATCGCTGCTGTCGTCTCAGCCCTGGAGAACGATGAGATAGTGAACAATTTCTGGCATGATGAGAATGCCTGGGATCCATTGGTCTCAAAGGAGATCATGAATCTAATCGTTACCCTGGTTGCTGTTGGTACAGTCGGGTTAAGTGCACCTGTTTTAGAGCCGCTCGTCGGTACTGTTGCGCCTAGCATTGCGGGAGCAAGCTCAACCTTGCTTAGCGGTGGAGTTAGCGCAGCCATTCTAGCTACCACTTCACTGTGAGTCCCCCCTCCTAACCCCGCCCGTCCCTAGACGAGAGAGATCTTTAACATAGATCCATTACTATTACTATTACTAACCTCCCTATGTAGAGACACGACCGATATCACACAGGCTAACCTTGGCCATCTCATGGCAGAGGCAGTGAGAAATATCGCAGATTCATTCGTTACTAGCAATAACGAGCTGATGTTTGGTAATGGCTACGGAAATGGCGATATCCGTGACGTACTCAAGGGCGGAGCGTGGGTTAACTACCCGGGATTGCAAAAGAACCAAGCCCGAAATTCAATGATCGCTACCATGCAGGCGATGATGATCAACTCTCTATGGCGTTCGCAACGTGTGTTTATCATCGGCGGTGGTGCCTGCCATGATGGCCAGGATGTCGGCCGAGGTACCAGTGACGGCGATAATGTTATCTGCGATGAGGAAAATCGCGCTTGGTACCTATACTATTGGCAGAAGGATATTACGAAGATGAACGAGTGGGACAGGCCCAACGGATGGATTTCTCGGCCCTGGGGATCTGATCGCATGGGTGAATCTCCTATACTACAGGGCTCCGGACCATTCTGGAATAATCTTAGTCCATTGGTATGTGACCGACACATATACAGCAAATATCGCATACTAACGTTCCCTCTAGGACGCTATCAAATCCTCTCTCAAGTCCTTCAAGGCCGCTGGCAACAAATACGACACGGCAACCTTCAACAAACGTATGGCCGAAATCGTCGGTTCTGGCGCTAACCCTTACTCGGAGGGTGCGAGCATGGAAGGTGTCTGGACTATCCCCGTGTGTGACATTAGTAAAACTGTCAACAACCCCGACTACATATACGCCAGGAAGGGGGATATCCTCCACCCATACGGGTACGACGAACGCCCATACTGGTGTGGACCGATTTGTGGAATGGACAAGAACATGACGGCGGAATTCTACAAAGCGGCCAACTTCAACGGTGACTTTGATAGGCCGTTCCTGGCGGATTGTGCAGTCGCTAAACAGGGAACTGATAATAACGGTCTTTGGTGGGATTGGACTACAAACGAAGACCATGTGAAATCACCATGGGGGTAACGGTCTCAACAACACGCATGGTCAGTCTGACTGATTGGAGAGATGTATCTTTGGTTTATTATTGGTGAGATGCAGGTGTCGTTCAGCCTGGATTTGGAGCCCCCTCGACCATAACATATCTTCCTGCACTTTCCTTGATGAAGCTATATCCCTGGCGTTTGTATTTAGTCTGAAGTACACTACTTGGGTTTTTGAATAAATGTCTCAAATCATTGTTCTGATACTCACCTTGCCCTGGTATCAAGTTTGAGAATGTTCGGCTTGAGTCGGATTATCACACGCCGGAAAATCGGTGACACCGCTTTCTTACATGGTGACGTAAGTTCACCTATTGATATTAAGTTCCCGAAGGCCTAGAGGAGCCAGGCAGGATATGTTTGTTTGTATACCACACCAATTGCGTCAGTTGAAATGGGAAAAGACGGCCTCGTAATCTCCATGAACTCAGGTGGCAATCCGTTTTTCGATGAGTGACGTCAAGGACCGCAAAGAGATCCATCGCCCCTCACAATCGGAATTTTGGCTATATCCCTTGCCTCCTGTATAGAAGTGAATATGAACAACTATCAATTGTCAAGTTACAGAAAGTTGAGCTCGGAATAGCATCCTCACGGTATTGGAAAATTAGGCGTGATCTGAGTATGGACAAGAACAAAGAGACAACTTCAAGTCCTCTCCCCAAAGATCTTCAAGATCTCGTGGACAAGGACGAAGAGGACAGAGAAATCCGCGCAGACTTCGAAAATTCATGGACCGCAACGTGAGTAAACATATTTCTTTGAATATCGGAATCCTTGGATATCTGACAAGTTCACCAGACGTTCTGAGGATGAGTCTTCGGGCCAAGCCTCATCCAATCAACTGGATAACGTTTCAAAGACGAAAGATCAACCGCTGGATAGAGCGGAAAAGGAGAAACAGTGTTGATATTTGCTGAGGCTGATGCAGCTCAGGAACAACCCCATAAAATCTGAAATGAACCCTCTGGAATATCAAAACACATGTGGTAGAAAAAATATTAGTGACTTACATCTCCCTGTCTTAACTAATAAATGATTAGAACACCAACATCTCAGACGGCGCCAGTATGTTGTAGCCTACTTAGGCTGAGCGAGCACCTGCCCAGGTGGGCATATCGCTTTGATTATGTAATGGCCCGTGATCTGGAAGGTAAGAGGCACCAAAAGGAGGAAAGGTATCGACATTATCTTCACACAACAGTATCTAGTCTGCAGGTATATCTCCTCTTAACCAATAACCACAAGATAATATTGACTAACCTGGGTCGCAAGGACATACCAGAAGCGTCCCCGAGATCAAACCCAACAAGAAAGGGAAAGAACATTCCCTCCGTTCTAGCTCAAGATGGAAGATACAATGTCTTCCACTACGACAGAAGATGGAAGATGCGATACACCCACATTTAGTAGCGTTTGCGGTGAATCAATAGACAATTTTCCGTCGAGGCATTCGGTCGCGACCCCTTCCAGGAACTGTCCTTGGAAAGGCAGATCATACATCATCCGCGACCCTGCTACAAACCTTGTCATTGGACTTCAAAAAGGAATCCTACGCCTGATGCCTGAACGCAGTGGACATGGGTGTGGTATTTACTGGTCGTGCGTCGAATCCGACCACATGTTCCTGGGTTTTCAAAACCTGGTTTCTGGCACCTTTATCGGACATAATAACAAGAATAAATTCATCGCGGAGGCCAAGGTTCTCAATGACTTTGAGTCGTTTTGTGTGCGAGCACATCCAGATGGCGGCTATCTTCTCCTCGTGAAACAGGGTAGAGGGTTCTTGCCGATGCGGGTAGACGGGGGAACACGGCTTGTGGTCAGCACTAACAGAGATGAGGGCATAGTATGGGAGTTCATTCGTGTCGAAGATGGAGATGTTATTTAATTTCGTTCTTTTCATTTCCAAGCATTGCTCAGAACGGCTGTAATGAATATCCAGTCTGCATCTCGTTTACAGTACCCATCTATTGGATCATGAAAACAAGTGATATTTCATATATTTCTGAACTTTTGCCGTTTGCTGCAAATCCCCCGATTACCACGTTGAATATGAATATATTCGGCAAAGCAAATGATGAAAGTTGACAAGTCAAGCAACGCATGAGGAACAGGAACATGAGGGTATTAGATGAAATGAGACAGGAGACAACAAAATCTATGCGCAAGCAAGAGACTCTTCTGGGGGCATAAATAGAGCAATGGATATAGATGAAAAGCAAATAGAACCCAGAGAAGAAGGAGCCAGTCCACTTCAGACAATGCGAGGGAGGTAAGATGCGCCGTATAAAAAAAAATGCAAACACAAATCATAGCGAAAGCAGTATTCAAAAGGTTTGATGGTCGAGTAAATCGTATGCAGTCATTGAGCCGTGCCAGAGGCATGGTTAGATGTAGATGGAAGAGCGGTTGTCGCGATAATGCTATCTGGCACTGTGAACAAGGCCGCCCTTGTGACCACGCGGGCCGCACCGCGACCGCGTGGGAGTCGGACGTTGTCAGCGACCAGAGTCAAAGGCTGGTTCGCACGAATGGCCTGCACGATCTCGTAACCGCCGCGCTCTCCAGCCTCCTTCAGCCATTGTTCCCAGTCTTCGTCGAGCGGCACATCAGTGCCTTGATCGCGAGCGGCCAGCGCAGCATGGATGCGGGTGTTGAGGGCTACACCACAGCTTTCTATTTCCTCGTCGCTGAGTTCCTCTTCAATTTCGTGCTCTTCCGAGGTGGACCGGTAACTGGAGGCCCGGGAATCGATCGCACGGACTGTATCGTTGCTCTGTGTTTCGATGATCAGGTCATCTTCCTCTTCTGTCCCGCAGAAGTCGCAGTCGTTGAAGTGGATCTCGATTGAAGGGGCGGGCTGGGGGGATGCCGGTCGGACTGAGTGGGCTGTGGTGTCCCGCACGATAATCCCTTCTTCTGCCTCGTATCGCTGACGCGCGGACTTGGTCCCTTCCCACCGACAGAGATTGGAGATCTCCTCCTCTGTCAGACCGAGTTCGTCAAATGTCCGGAATAGCCTTCGGTGCCATGGGAAACGACCCAGTCGCATGCGATGTGGTCCATGTGAGTAGTCCAGCCCCGGGTATTGTGCTTCGATGCAGTCTAGCGAGCCGTAGAAAAGGGATGTTTCGATACGCACTTCTGGGACGAGGTTTCGGGTAATGTGAGCACCAAATGATCCAGGGTCGTTTGTGCGAGGTCGTGGGAACGTGGCGTTATACACGATCTGGCCGACGGATGGTTTACGCATGGTGAAAACCTCCCGGCGGATGTGGAAGGAAGAGGTAAGAAAGCAAATGAAGGAGGCAAGGTTGTCCCAGACTCCTTGGAATGTGATGATTCAGGATATCCTGCCCTGGAGGATTCCCCCCTTGCCCTTTGTCAAATTCCCGGATGGACGTGGATGTTTTGGATGGGGGATTGGCAGGGAGTGCACGCTAAAGAGGGCGCATATAGTAAATTCTCATATACGAACAGAAATATTTTCTTCCTGAATTCTCGTAATCCAAGTCAATGGATTATAATATAAGAGAAGAAAATCCCGATCAGGTGCCCAGCTGACGTTTCGGCTCTTTGACCCTTGGGGAATTGAAGGTCTCACAGGCGTTCCATTGAAAATTTATAAAGATAGAAAGAAATAAGAAAAAGAAAATAGAACGGGTTTATAGGAAGACAACAACCCGGGAGACTTACAAGACTTTTATACGTAAAAGAGTAAGTGTGTGCGCTGGCAATGGCCACGATGCACTTGCCCAGGTGGACTTCGATCGCATATTCACCTGTAAATGATTCATCGAATCATAATGCTTTAAATTAAAGAAACATTTAGACATCTTTATTGGCTTGAAGTTGGATGTTCATATCACGTGGAATAGGTCCAACGATTTATCTTCACTTAGGCAACCCTGGACAACATCTAACATCTTTTAGTTACCATGTCGACCTTTGATGGTATTATAGAAGGTGAGACTGAAACGTCCCATGTCACAATTTCACGCTAAATCATCCGAACAGAGTTTCCCGAGATTCGCAGTGAGCTACTAGATCAGCCAAACTTATTGGGGCTTGCTAAGAAAAGCAGTTGACTATTTTCGGAAATGTCCCGAGCGACCAGCGCCACTGGCTTGCTTCCTTAGCCATGTGCATAGCGATCATTTACAGGGCCTAGAGTCCTTTCGGACATCCTTTATCTACTGCTCGCCGGCCACGCGAGAGGTATGCTCATGTTCATCCTATTGAACATCATTAATCTAACCATGAGAAGCTGCTCCTCCGGATTGAAAAATATCCCCATCGGATGAACTTTAATAAAGGCATCTTGGAGTCACGCCGACTGCACTATAAGCATCTTGCCAAGCTTCTGGTTAGTGTGTTCTAAACTTTGACTAGGAGTTGAGAGCTCATCCCGCACAGCGCCCAATTCCACTGAATACCCCAACGGAAATTGAGCTCACCCCCCGACGTCGTATCAAGGTGACATTGTTTGATGCCAACCATTGCACTGGGGCTGTGATGTTTCTAATTGAAGGCGACGGGAAGGCAATCATCTACACAGGTGACATTCGAGGTGGGTCAATAATATCTCATCTGAATTGAATTGCTGGCTGATTACCTTCAGCCGAAACATGGTGGGTAAGCAGCTTGGTCCGCCACCCAATATTAATACCGTATACTCTGGGCCAGAAACGGCTGGATAAGTTGTATCTAGACTCTACCTTTGCAAGCAAGACAAATCCATTCCGCGAGTTCCCTTCCAAAGCCGAGGGATTGTCTGAGCTGCTGCAGAAAGTCCAGGCTTATCCTGATGATACAGTTTTCTACTTCCGTGCGTGGACCTTCGGCTACGAGGATGTCTGGATAGCGCTCTCAGCTGCGCTTAACACAAAGGTGATTAATATTACGCAGCTCAAACATGACACTGGCTAATATAGCGTAGATTCATGTGGACCGTTACCAGATGGGACTTTATCGGTCTCTGATCCAGACTCCAGGAAATAGAGGAGTCAGCGAAGCTCCTGCCCTCTGTGGCTTTGAGCTGGGAAACAAAGCTGTAGCAGGCTGCCTCAGCAACAGCGAATCAAGTCGAATCCACAGCTGTGAGCCTGGAGTATCGTGCTCGGCAGCTCGCGGCACTAACACGGTCTATATTGTACCTATTGTGAATCGCACCACCGGTGGTGCGGAAATCCCTGAGGTCGGCGCGGGCGGTGGTATTGGGGATCTGTACCAAACACATGAACTCGAGCTGCCAGATGAATCTGCACTTGCTGAGTTGGAGAAGCTGTGTCTCAAACACGTCCAGGACAAACAAGCCCTTTCTCAGGTGCGAAGTGCCCTTCTGGATGCGTTCCGGTCGAGAAAGAAAGCACTCTCGCTTGATACATACGGCGTGAAGGACGAGGGCGAAATTTCATTGAAGAATCTGGTGACCGCTCTAAGCCACGGTCCATCTGATACCGCTAGTCGATCATCTCAGCCAGATCTGCCTACCACGATAGTAAGTAGCACTACTGCTTTCTTTCGATAATCCTCTCTAATGACATTATAGCGATTCCCCTATTCACGACACTCTTCCTACTCCGAACTATGTGAACTCATAGCTGCCTTCCGGCCCAAGGATATTCATCCATGCACCGTGGATCCAACGACCTGGAACGAAAACGTCTCCGTCAGACGTTTGTTCGGTCACCTCTGTTCAGGAAACAATTTTTCGCATGACACTCACATGCGGCAGACTCTAACTACTGATGTCGATAACGAGGGAGATCTGCGGGCAAGAAAAAGAGCCCGATACGACATGGACCTCTCCACACAGTCCACACAAGAAACCAGTAGTGGCATTGAAGATTTTAGTCTTGGTACCGCCGATGCAAGCCAGCTTCATGATCAGAAGCAGGACCCTCTACATCATTTGAGTCAATCTGAAGAGACAGCCAGAGTTAAGCGCAACGAAATCCGACAAGCACACCGCTATCTTCAAGAGCATCCAGAACCTGGGCTCTTCCAGGTCAATCCTCTCCCGTCTACATGGCCGGCAGAAAAAGAAGACAGTTTCGATCCGGCCAGTGACGAGAGAAGTGAAGAAGATGATACGCTCATACCTGACCAGTCGGGTTTAGAACCTCCGGCGACAGGACTCCGACTCAGGTCCGAACAAAGCACATCTACAAAAATCATTGACCTAACTAGCGATGGTATGACGTCTCCTCGTCCAATCACCCAACAAACAGAAAGTCAACACACAGACGTACTTTCTCTCTCCATCTCCGAGTCAGCATTTGACTCTCCGGACCAAAATTCCGTTGAAAATGGGCTACGGGATCCGGCGCGAGGAGAAGAAATAGTGAATCGCTCACGCCGTGCGCGTGTTGCTGCTTACCTAGCTGCTCGCGAAGGTACTTTCTCTGCGTGGACAGATGTATCGCTTGTTTCGGCGGGTGATAATCATGGTGAGGAGGAGATTGAGCTATGAGCTTGGTCTTTCGAGTGAATCTGTTCCTCTTCTTTTTTTTTTCTATCTCGCTCTTCAATTTTACTGTGTATGATACCCCTTCTTACTATCTTATTATTGATCTTGCCATCTGGTATTTTGCCGATGGAACTATGCCTGGATACCTGGAAGCTGGCCATCGTGGGGTTTTGTCCCTTTCATAGGAATGGACATTGTATTGTAAAAGATTTACGTGCTCCAAATTACTATCACTTTGACTTGCGATACAAAAGAAAGGCCGGTCCACCGCTGAGGGCCCTACATCGTCGAGACAAACCCTAAGAACCTGGCGAGTAAAGCACCGATATCAACAATCTCTTTGATTAACATTACCGTTGCCCTTCACCTGGTTTATAGAACAAAGAACTAAACAATGGCCTTGCGAGGCTAAAATTATAGCAAATCCTTAGTGAGTGTACCTTGGAACTACCTTCATTCGCCTTGTATACCGACTTCTTGCAATATCATGGCCACTTGCAGATATTAAGAACAAAGAGAACAAAGATTCCCAACAATAACTCATATGTCTTTCATTCCTTTCTCTTGATGAAGGCTTTGTCTCCAGTCTGCTCAACCCAGCGACATACGAATGTATAAATAGGCCCCAATGTCCTAACCATTTCGAGGTATCATCCACTTCAGTTTCTCACAGTCCATCAGTGCGACCAGGTTACTCTGGTGTACTCCCAGCTTCACAGCTTCACAGCTCCACAGCTAACCCAACCAGGTAAGCGATACATCCTCTGCATTTAATCGCCTCTCCATTTCATATAAGAGGACAGCCAGAGCACCACTCTTCCCACCATCCACGATGCAGTCCATCGCTGTCCGTGTCTTCCGCGGTACTCGCGCTATCGTCAAGTACAAGACGGAGCGCGATCTCCTTTTGAACAACATCCGCCGCTACATCGGCATTTTGCAGGAGGGTCCCGAGGGTAACTACCTCATTGAGGTTGCCCTCAACATCCAGTCCCTGAAGGTCCAGGCCGACAAGATGAAGTGGGCATCCCAGGCCCTTGTTACCGACGCCGCAGCCATGAACTTCGTTACATCCCGAGACGCCCGCTTCTACCTCTTCATCGTCCCTCGGGCCTGCGATGAGGTCGGCCATTGCACCCGCCACCTCTCCGAGCTCCTCCTGGACCACATCCACCGTCCTGTTGCGAACTGCGAGCGTGATATCGCGATTGAGCTGGGATATGCACTTGCTGACCTGGAAGCCCATCTAGAATAGATCCCTCGATATCGAGAGTCGCGGACTCGCAGCATCAGCTATTGCTAGTAGCTGCTTAGTTCCAGAACCCAGGTACGTTCCACATTCATTCAAATTAACATTTTCTATCTCCATCTAGATTTATAGAACCCATACAATCCCTCGCTGCACATGGCACATATCAACCAATCCCTCGTATCAGCCTTCCGCAAGGCACGAGACGACCTAGTAACCCTCCTAGAGCAACAAACAACCTTCCTACGCCACGACATCAACAGTCGTATCTACGTAATCCCAAACCTCCGTCTACAGATAATCCATCACCTCGATATCATCGCCTCCCTCTCGATGGAAATGGCCGTCGAAAGCCGTCACCACCCCTACGTCCTAATCCACCAGAGCGGCTTCTACGAAACCGATGTACCCATGCACTGCGCTGCACTAAAGGGCCAGTGTGCCCATCTAGCGGGCCGATTACGCGATAAACTTTGCACTGACGTCCCTGTTGCTGTAGCGAGATTGATTGATCGGATTGTGGCTAATTTGTGTTTTTAGATAGGACTGGAATTGGAAAGAATTATCAATTACTCCTGGTTTTTTATTACCTTGCTTTTTTTATCGTATATCACATTTATTCGACGTGTTTTTTCTACGACGTTATGGCTACCCGAACCGGCCCTGTGTCAACTTTTAAACGTGAGCGCGCGGCTTTCGTCCTCGGTTTGCGAATGCAGGCGAGGCTGCTGATGGAAAATCCCCTGGCTGGTGAGGCTGTTGCTAAGAATATGCGTGAGCTTTTTAGTAGTGTTCATCGGCTTAAGGATGCCTCTATGGCTATGGCTGTTGATGCTCGGGGCAATGCTTATGTTATGGCGAAACCGTACGGGTTTTATAGCTATAATGTGCCGCTTATGTGCAATGATCTTGTTGCTTGTTTGTTGCACTGGGCGGATATTCTTGTTAATACTGATGGACGGAGGACAGATGGAATTGTTGTTGATTCTATCGAGGGGGTTTTAGCTTCTTTATGTTTTTGAAAGAATGATAATTTGCTTATTGACTATGTGTGTACCATTGTAGAGGATAGTAGAGCGTAGATTTAAAGTAAAAGAAAAAGAAATCATCGCTTTCGTTGGATTATCAAAATCCTCTACGCAAAAACCAAAACTCGAGCTCACTATCGAGCGCCGAGGTATATAGGAACTGTAAAAACCAAAACAAAAGCTAAGGGTATGAAAGACAGAAATCCAAAATCAGAAGATATAATACGCCTGCGTCAAAGGCAACTCGGAAGCCGGCTCTGCATCACAAAGCACCCCATCCGCCTCAACCGTATAACTCTCCGGATCGACCTTCATCTTCGGCATAGCATCATTAAAATTCATATCCTTCTTCCCGACAGAGCGACAATTCTTCACAGCCTCAATGCGCTTCTTCAATCCATACGTCTGCACAATGCCCGCATCAATAGAAGCCTGCGAAACAAACATAATAGACGTAGCCGGGACGCGGGCAGCAAACATCGGCCGCATAATCATCGGCTCGACAGTCGGGATCGACGCATTTGGATCTCCAACCTCTGCAGCAACGATCATTCCGCTCTTCATAATGGATACAGGCTTTGTGCCGAACGACGCCGACTTCCACATCACCAGATCGGCGACCTTGCCGACTTCCACGGACCCGATTACGTGCGCCATTCCCTGCGCGAGGGCGGGGTTGATCGTGTACTTGCTGATGTATCGCTTCACGCGGAAATTGTCTGCGCCAGTGTCGGCGTCGCTGCCGAGAGGTCCGCGCTGGGTCTTGTTCTTGTGTGCTGTGTGCCAGGTGCGGAGGACTACTTCGCCGCAGCGGCCCATTGCTTGGGAGTCGGAAGACATCATGCTGATGGCGCCGAGGTCGTGGAGGACGTCTTCGGCGGCGATGGTTTCGGCGCGGATGCGGCTTTCCGCGAAGGCGACATCCTCGGGGATGTTCTTTGATAGGTGGTGGCAGACCATTAGCATGTCGAGGTGTTCGTCGAGGGTGTTGAGGGTGAAGGGACGGGTTGGGTTTGTGCTACTAGGAAGAACGTTGGGGTGTTCGACCACGGAGATGATGTCTGGGGCGTGGCCGCCACCTGCCCCTTCGGTGTGGTAGGTGTGGATTGTGCGGCCTTTGAAGGCTTCAATGGTCTGCTCGACGAAGCCAGATTCGTTCAGAGTGTCGGTGTGGATCATGCACTGCACATCATACTCATCGCAGATTTCGAGACAGTTGTCGATTGCTGCTGGGGTAGAGCCCCAATCTTCGTGAAGCTTGAGGCCTGCTGCGCCTGCTAAGACCTGCTCTCTGAGACTCTTCTTTCCGGAGTCGTTGCCCTTGCCCGTGATGCCTAGGTTAATCGGCAGGCTGTCGCATGCCTGCATCATCTGGCGTAGGAGATTCGGCGACGGTGTACATGTCGTAGCGTTTGATCCAGTGGTAGGGCCGGTGCCACCGCCGAGGAACGTGGTGATTCCCGAGGCCAGAGCTTCCTCCACCTGCTGCGGGCAGATCAAGTGGATATGCGTGTCGATACCACCAGCGGTAATAATCTTGTTCTCTCCAGCAATAACATCCGTACACGATCCCACCACCAGATCAGGATGCACGCCATCCATGACATCCGGGTTTCCAGCCTTGCCAATACCAGCAATCAGTCCATTCTTGATACCAATATCAGCCTTGTAGATACCAGTCCAATCGATAATCAGCGCATTCGTGATAACAGTGTCAAGACACTCGGTCTCAGACAGACCAGACGCCTGCCCCATTCCCTCGCGCAGCGTCTTGCCTCCACCGAAAGAGCATTCGTCCCCGTAAGTTGTCATGTCCTTCTCAACCTTAATCCACAAATCCGTCAACCCAAGCCGCACCAGATCGCCCGTCGTAGGACCAAACATGCGCGAGTACGCCTCGCGCTCCATCGAGAACCCAGAAACAAGCGCGCTATCCGCCTGCGGCTCCGGCACATGCGCAAACCCAGCTGTCTGCAGCTTGGCCATGATCTCATCGGCCCGGCTCATGTCCACCGGCCCATTCGCCAGCCAATTTCCACCACGGATGACGCGATGTCCACCGATCTCGACAAGCGTGACCGTCTTCGTGTCGCCAGGCTCGAATCTGATCGATGTGCCGGCAGGGATATCCAGTCGGAAACCGTACGACTGCAAGCGATCGAAGTGCAGCTGGGGGTTCGTCTCGATGAAATGGTAATGCGATCCGACCTATCAATCAACACCGTAATTAGCATCACTCGCTTCATGTCCCCTGATTGCCTCCCCACTCTGTATCTTGACAATGTACATACCTGAATCGGCCGATCTCCTTTACTCATAACCTTAAGCTTAATACGCCTCTTCCCAGGACTCAACTCCACACGCGCTTGCTTAACAGTAATAACCGCGCCGGGCATCTTCTCGGGTGTAAAATCCTCCGGGTCCGGGTCTGGGAATGCCTCGGGCGCGGGGACGGGCAGGAAACTCCCATACAGAGCGCGCTCGAGATCGCCCTCGTCGCTACTGATCGGGTGGTGCACAGTTACCAGATAGGTACCGGAGATGAAAGTTCCCTCGACTTGGAGCTCGACGAGGGTTGCGAGTACGGAGGGGAGGACATGGCGGCGGCCGAGCATTGTTTTGCCGATGGACATTAGATCGGCGACGGAGTAGTGGCCATCGCGGATTAACTGCGGGGGTTTGGGTGTTAGTTTGCGCGTTGGATGAACTGGGTATATGGTATTTCCTGATGCCATTGTAGGGGATTGTGTTATCGTACCTCGTGTAGCACTGAGGCTATCAGGGCCTGTTGGGGATATGTTAGTGGTGTCTTACAACCCCAGGATATAAACATACCACAGCTTCTGCATGATTGAGCCGCACTCCACGTGCTAAGCGACGCTGTGCCAAGAAGCCTAGATGGGCGATGGTGAGCTTGTCAAGCTGCAGGGGTGTTAGTTGTGTTTGTTTTCTCGGGGGTGTGACTTGCCTCCTTCGGAATAAGCTGCATGGTTCAAGTGGAACCATGAACCTGGCAGTTCTTGGCGTGCAGGATAATTGGCTTCGGGGGCAGGTATTGAAGGCAGTTTTGAAGCAAATTTACAAAGAGTAAAGAGATGTAGACAGAGGTCAAAAGAAAGTAGAAAAGAGGAATGTGGGGGATGTCCATTTCAAACCTTCTTGGAATGCTGATAAGGCCATTGTCCATGATAAGTGCCGCGAAGGCCGATTGGGCCGGGGAACGGAGGACGGCGGCATTAGTCAATGCTTTGATTGATATTGAATTATATTGAATTAGTTCGATTTAGTGGTATTTAGTTGATTTAGTTGTACTTAGTTGGACTTAGTTGGCTGTAATTGGATGTAATTGGATTCAATTTGATTTAATTTGATCTAGTCTAGTTATAAATGCTGTATAGCGGGAAAGTTAGACCCGCACCTTTTTCCTGGAACTATACTTGTACAATATAGAGGGTAAACTATTTAGCTACGAATACTAGAGATATCTAGAAACCACATCCCATCAGTCCATTTCACTAATTCAAGCTAAGTAGGTACAGTTTTTCCCCAAACGCCGCTGAAAAAAAACCCGGGGGGTTACACATCCAGTCCACCAGACCGAAACCATCTCATCTGACCCTAGAGTCAAGCAAATCAGAAATCAGAAAGCAGAAAGCAGAAAGCAACTATTCATTTACACCTCGCTCTTGCGCTTCTTGCTCTTGCGCTTGTTATCAGCAGGTGTCTTGGCAGCCGGTGTAGAAACTACAGGCTCAGCAGCCTTGCGGCTGCTCCGCTTAACAGGCGACTTGGCAGGAGTCTCAGCCTCCTTAGCCTTGGTGTCGCTGCGGCGGCGCTTGGTGGTGCTACGCGGGGGAGTCTTTTCCTTCACGGGAGAGGGGGACTGCGACTCGTCGGATGAGTCGGTAGTCTCCTCACCGGACTCGGGCTCAGCCTCAGCTTCAGCCTCAACCTCGGCTTCGGCTTCGGCTTCGACCTCGGGCTCGACCTCGGCACCGGCAAAGTCCTGCTGCAGTTGGCTGGCGGCGGGATCGTGCTCCTCGTCAGCCTTGCTGCCGGCCTTGTAGGCTGCCATGTCGCGCTTGTACTGGTCGTAGTTGGCGGCGTACATCTTCTTCCAGACCTGTATGGATGCTTTAGCTCTGCATACTTACACACAACATTCAAGATGGGACTGCGTCGCTGCTAATACATACCTCCTTCTGGGTATCTTCCATGCTCTGCCAGCGGCGGGTGCCCTCGTCGGCGACATCCTTGGGGCGCGCGTCATTGCCAAGGTCATCGGCGATCTTGCTGCGGTTGTGCTGCATATACAGGAAGTAGGGGGTCAAGGCACGCTTGGGCGCATTGGGGTCGACGGGCGCGCGCTTGCGCTTCTTGGGGCCACCAGCCTCGGACTTGGCGCCGGGGCTACCAGCGCGGAAGGGGATGTCCGGGCCCATGAATCCAGAAGGACCGAGGGGAAGCTCAATGTTGGCATCACGTCCCTCGGTGATGTTGCTCACGTGCTGGACGTAGGCCTTGCCCAAGTCGGCGATGTAAGACTGCACCTCCATGAGGCGCATGACGATCTATGAGGCATTGTTAGCGATGCTACGTCAGAAGCAATTGCGCTTGGTCATTTAGTATGTGTATGCATATAGAGTTAGGGAAGGAAGAGGGGTAATCAGGCGGCGCGTAAGTTCGCAAGAAGTGTGCGATGTCAAGACGATCCTCGGGTCTGAAGGGAGAAAGGGTGGGGATTGTTCTTTTTTTTTGCACATGAAGCTTGCCAACATGATACTGAAGTATGACATGATGTAGATTAAGCTTCAACAGCTTAATGGGTAGCTTTATAGATCTTCGAACGCGACGCGTAGTAGGCGCGCAGTGGGGATGCGCACAAGAAAACAGAAAAAAAAGAACCGACACGATGAAAATGCCGAAATCAATAGGGTAAAACATGAAAGGGGAAAAATACCAAGTCGCCAGCCCGTCTGAGCTCTTCTTTGTTGACCTGAACGGTCGTGTCATCTTGGTTGGAAGCCATTGTTTTGGAAGCCGAGAGAGTGGTTGGGGTGAAGAAAAGAGAAAATTTCGGGGGGAAGGGGGGGAAGGGGACGGGGGGTGGAAGGGCCGAGTACCCACTAAATAGCTTAGGCGCCCCGAAGGTGCCCGGACATGTCGAACTCTGCTTTAGGCTTAGGCTCTGGTCATGAGACACCCCCGGAACCCCAGGCAACACAGTCCTTTGAAATATTATTCTATTCAGTTATAAATGTCTTAAATTTGATTGAAAACTATATCATTCATATATACCCTATAATAGCCTACCTAAAATATTGTGGGGGGTTCTAAATCGATAATAAATACATAACTTCCTAGGCTTAGGAGCCCCCGAGGGGTAACAGCCACCTGGGCACTTGTATACTTGCCAAACAATCACATACATTTAACATTTTTATTCCTTTATATAAATTCCCACATATCGTTTTGTGATGTGATACATCTACTTCTTCATAATCTTACTGTTTATCCTGCTCTTTTCCCTCTTCTTGGGGGTGCTGGGATATGTTCAGGTGTGGGCTATGCTCCCCCGCCGAAATCTCAACTTCAGGGTCGCCCAAGCCCTGTAGAGGGGCTCAGCTGAGCACAAGGTGTCAAGCTTGTAGTACAAACGCCTGTTCTAACTTCCTAATTCAATTCTATTTGAAACTGCCTTTCGATTCTTTTCTCTCCGCAATGACTTTAGAATGTACTTCTATGGTCTAGTGTCTGTTGTCGCTTGGCTACCAGTACTTTCTGTATACATATATGCATGTAGGCTTCGGGGCAGCTTGTACACTTGTGGGCAATTATTTTGCTACATTTTAAATGTGAATTCCTTTGTTTTACTGCTTATTACTACACAAGTAATGACTCGGTGCTGTTTACACTAGGTATCTTGTATTCTACACAGGTATTCCCACAGGTATTCCCACTGGCTGTGCAAATATATATCCCCCACCCTTCCCAGTTTATCACATCCCCTGTGGTTTTTTTTCTCTTTCAATATCTAATTCTTTTCATTGCCCATGCTGCCAGAAATAAATACAACTGTCAGATACACCGGATTAAATATTTGGAGGCAATGTATTTATTCTATTAATGACGTCCGAAGCCAGCCAGAGACGCGGCAACACGCTGAAAACAAGATGCACCAATATACATGGCTCTTCTGCCGCATATCCAACTAGCTAAGTATTCTAGTGACATATTTTACAATAATCTAGAACTTGAACACCTGCTCCTTGCTGTAACCCAGATCCTTCAAGATACCAGTAAGCTCGCCCTGGTCCTTGGGGCTGACCTTAGCGCCGGAGATAGCCTTGTACATGGGGGGAGGGCCACAGATGAAGAGCTTGATGTTCTCCTCCTTGGGCTCTGGCAGGACAGTCTTCAACAGCTCCTTGGTGATGAAGCCCTTGCCACCGGTCCACTCGGCAGGGGGCTTGTCCAGGACGTAGAAGGCGCGGAAGCGCTGGGGGTAAGTGTTCTCCAAATCCTGCAGCTCCTTCTTCAGGAGGATATCCTCCTCGGTGACGTTACCGAAGACCAGAGTGACCTTGGTCTTGTCCTCAGGGTTCTTGAAGATCTCACGGGCAAGCTGGTACATCGGGGTGATACCAGTACCACCGGCGATCAGGCAGATGTGGTTGTGCTTGTTAGCCTCCCAGGGGTACTTGACAATAGGTCCCTTGAACGACAGACGCTGGTCGATGTTCATGGAGTGTATGTGCTCAGACATAGGGCCGCCGGGGTAGGCCTTGACGACGAGCTCAAGGTAGCCGGGAATATCTGCCATGTGTTAGCAAACGAGAAGCAAGCCGTGGTTTATGTTGATCTTACCCTCATCACTGGTGGGGGTGTAGGGACGGAGGATGTTCTTCTCGGCACCCTCGGGCTTGAAACGGGTCAACAGAGCAGCTATATGCTTGTCAGTGATCGATTGACAATCATCCCCCGGGACCAGACTACTCACAGGCAACAGGAATGCCAGAGACAGCCTCCTTATCATCGTACTCGAAGCGAAGACGCTTGGTGTTGGGGCTCAGGATCTCAATGTTAGCCAGCTTGAGGTCCACCCAGTCCTGGCCGTTGAAGACCTTGGGGCGGTCCTTGGGCTCAGCAACCGCGCCGGTGCTGTAGCGGTAGACACCAGCAGCGAGACCGGCGAGACCCACACCAACGTAGATGGGGGTCAAGTTGGACTTCTTGGGAGCGGCCTCCGCAGAGTACTTGCGGAAGCTCTGATTGAATGGCTGTTAGTATTGTTCGGAATTGAAACGACCTATTTCAACTAACCTGCTTCAAGGGCTGCGCACAGCGGAAGGAGTGACGAGCAAACATGATTGCAATGAATTGGGGGGAATGGGGGAAGAGGGAAAGGAACCTGAGAAAGTCCCGGGGAAGAAATCGGATTACATATGCGAAAGCGGACAGCTCCCTCCCGACCTGATTTCGAATGACGCAATAAGAGGTTCCTGTATTGCGACCTGCACAGATCAATACTTTCGGTAAAGACTGTTTTGAGTAAAGATTGTCAATATGTTCTAAGCAGTCCTTATCGACAGGCCAAAACAAAAACTTGTAACTAAACGGCAGTTGAAGATAGCCGGTAGATGCCTGATCTACAAGGCATCAATATTCGGTATCGGGCGGCTGAAGAAACTGCGATATCTGATATTTACTCCGCCGGGATTGAAAGTGTAATGTACAGGCCCGGGGGATGATAGAATCGACTAGTTTTTGATATGATATTATTGATAGCCATGGATATATATGCATATAGTTCGTTATGAATTGTATGACCAGCAGTAAGCGATTTGCAACGACGTTCCTATGTACATCCATGCCGATGATCACGCTGTGAATGGAGGGATTTGCAAGAAGCCTAAAGGAAAACAGCCCGTTTTCCAGGTCGATATCCATAGGCATCTACCAGGTGGGCCTACTCTCCATGTATGCTCATTGTCCTACTAGAACTCGAATAATTCAAGAAACCCGATGATTTTTTCAAAATAACCTAGAGATGCCACCATACGGGACTAGAGACATCCAACCATCTCGCCCGTGAACGGGGCGGTGGTTTCCACGCGACCATCTTTCATGCATGCCATGGCCATAAACAGTCATTCATCCACACACTCCAAACCCAACACCCAGAACGTCACATTTAAGCAAAGGTAGAGGGGCGGGAGTAGGCGAAGACCTTCTTTCCGACCTTGCCACCGGAGCGGTGGGGCAGAGGGAACTTGAGGTCCTTCTGGAGGAGCTGCTTGATGTAGGGGCGGCGGATGCTGTCGTTGTTCTCGATCTCAACAACCTTAAGGATCTGCAGGGAAAATATAATTAGAATGGGGTCATTATCGAAAGGTGCAAGTGGCGTAACATACGTGGATGGAACCGAAACGGGAACGGTGACGGGCAGCCATGTCCTGGTAGAGGGCCTCGACAGCCTCGGTGCGGCTCATCTCACGGAACTCCTTGTACATGTTGTGGGTACCGGAGCGCGAGTCGTAGCGGATCCAGATACCGAAGTTCTTGACCTTGAGGGGACGCTTCTCCGCGATCTAAACACAAAAAAGATGAGCACCATTCCTTATCCTCGGATATTCAATCCCAACATACCACGTTCAGGGAAACGATCTCGCCGTTAGCCTTCTTGAGCTTACGGAGCTGGGACATGAAGTACCAGAAACGCGACTTGGCCACAACGGTGTTGGGCGCAAAGATGCGCATGCGGTACAACTTGGGCGTGGGGTTCGCCTCGTTGGGCATGTGACGCCCGATGACCTGGTACTCAGTAAGACGCCCTGGGAATCCGTCAGCCATTGTTCGTAGTGGATATTCCAATTGCCCAGATGTTCAGTTCGATAGACGAAACGGTGCGCGATTCAAGTTGGCAAGAATTCGAGAAGACCAGGGGTGATATGTGGATATTGAACAATTCGAGATTCAACCATGCGTAGCCCTGACAGCGTTGTGCGTTCCTTCATAAACAATTCCAAGCGACGTCGATTTGCCATTTCATCCTCCTCTTCTGTGATTGCCTCTCTCATGTCGATAGTGTCGGGGTCTTTGCTGTCTCGAATTTCCTCCAACCATATGCGCGCACCGTTGTCTCGAAAAAAAGTCCTGGGGTATCGGGAAGGGAATAAAAATCACTCACCCATCTGGAAGAGTTCAACGTTAGTATAAATCTCCGATGAAATCTAGTAGGAGGTACTCACTGTGATTGTCGCTGTGGTGGATGAGTCGTTAGTGTGCCGTCGGTGGAAAATGAGAATTGTGAGGTTCCAATTGTGCTTAGGGTTGCCGCCCTTGCCCTAAGCGAGTGGAGGCTTTCCGTTCTACACTAGTCCGCTTTGGTAATACAACTGAGCCACTATCCTTCCGCCACAACTAACCAGCCACATGGCTCACCTTCCCCACATGTCTTCTCCAAAAGTATGGCGTTCCTCACTTGATTGCCTTTGTCTTTGTCGGGTCGGACTTAACCCTTACCCCACCTCGAATGCTTCTTTTTCAACTGATCACTTCTCAATTCAACTAAAACGCTCTTCCGCCACAGGGCAGTTCACCATGGGTTCTCTCGCGATCGCGTTCAAGAACGCGTACCTCAACGGGTCCGGCCCGGAATTAGCTGCAGTGCTCACCCCGATCGCGCCATCTGAAGATCGCGATCGGCTGCGCTCGTTCTACCGGTTCTCCAACGCCGAATATCGATCCAAAGATCTCAGCTATGCTCTCTTCCACGGGAAAAGCATGAAATTGCCAAAGGCCGAGCAGGCTGCCTGGGTTGACATCTTTATTGTTTACTGGGAAGCTATAGGCGAAATACTTCACTGTGAAGATCGCCTTCCTGGTGCTAGCGTCGTTATAGTCTTCAATGCCTGGAAAAAGGTTGCCAATGCCCTCATCCGGGGATACTCGGGCTCTGCCGGCATTCCGGCTTGGACATTGCCATGCTTGTACACTGTCGGAAAGTACTTGCGTACTTTTGCGATCAATGCGGATCTCGAAGCAGCATCCCAAGGCTCTGCTGGGTTTGGGTTCCAGGATGACATTGCAGCTGATTTTGAGAAGAATGCGAACTTGGAGGAGGCTGCCCGAGTCATCAACCGGATGTTTACTCTGTGCCTGAGTGATAGGTAAAGACATGATTGGATTCTTGGGTTGTTCCGTCGCTGACCAGACCCAGAGCACCCCTCGAAGAGTCCCGCAAGTGGGGTATCTATAACATGACCAATCTACTATTCAAGACATATTTCAAGGTATCAAATCCCGACCTCACTGTCGCTAGCAAAATGCTAATCTCTCTCTTTTAGATCAACTCCGTCGGCCTTACCAAGAACCTGCTCCGCGCCATCAAAGCCTCGTCGGCCGATCTGCCCCCTCCTGAAGCTTTCCCCAAATCCCACATTGTCACGTTCGAATATTACGTTGGGGTCATCCACTTCTTGGAAGAGAATTATACAGAGGTATTACCAAGAGCTGTCCGTGGACCAGTACCGGGACTAATAATTTGCAATATAGGCCGAAGAACACCTGACATGGGCTTGGAAGATGTGCCACCGAGACGCAACCAAGAATCGAGAGTTAGTAGCCCTCCAGCTACATATAACTTTCCACTAACCACTATTAGATTGATTCTTACCTACCTTATTCCCTGTCACCTCGTCACCACACACACGCTTCCCACCAAGGAGCTCCTTGCACCATTCCCACGACTTGAGAGGCTTTTCCGGTCTCTGTCGAACTGTATTCGAAAGGGTGACTTGGTTGGATTCGACCAAGCCATGACTGCTGGCGAGGAAGAGTTTGTGAAGAGACGTATCTATCTGCCGTTAGAACGTGGACGCGACATTGCCTTGCGCAACCTGTTCCGAAAAGTTTTCCTCGCTGGTGGTTTCGACGAACCCAAGGAGGGTCAAACTCCGGTTCGACGTACTCGTGTCCATGTGAATGAGTTTGCGGCAGCTCTCCGTGTGGGTACTTCTACAAGTGGTCGCTCGCGCATTGATATCGATGAGGTGGAGTGTTTACTCTCCAACCTCATCTACAAGGTAGGATGACAAGCATGGTCAATCATTCAGGGCTTACTGACATTTCGCTCCCTCAGGGACTCATGAAAGGATACATTGCACGTGATCGAGGCATCGTCGTTCTGAGCAAGGGAGGCGCTTTCCCGGGCACAGGTGTCTAAACGTTTTTGGGTGGCAATGCACTGCAACCTATTTGAACCCCATTTCGTCTAATGATCATCGATAACTCCCCGTTGGCTGCCAGTACCTTCGAAGTCGCCAGGTATGCATCTACCTATGACTTATATCCATACAGCTATATTATTCGGCATACCATAATACTCAGGCTGATCAGGTAACACTACTGCCGGAGACTTTTGGCCTGACGCGGTACACATTGCACATCAGCAGCATGATACTTGGCCATCGCCCGGATCGAAGCGCCAGCTTCATCAACGTCATCAAGTCCACGTTTGCCCAATACATGAGACATATCGAAATTGGGCTGGCTGGGCTATATTAGATCCTATCTTTACGAATTTACGCATCAATAGAATTAACAACCTTCAAACAAACTCTCCATTCATCAGATATCGAAACATAGTAGTACACGGGTATAGAACACTGCCAGCAGCGACATAGAACGGAAACCGCGCAATTAATCCAAAGCCCAACAACCAACTTACCATCTAAACCCAGAATCAAATACATCCCTAACAATGAGTCGTAACAGCCGAACTATCAACCGACTGACCAGTATAATCATCCTATATCATAACCCAGATTAGCACCTCATCCTCCAAACCCCAAAAGAGAAGTAAACTCACCATGTGATTACACAACGCAACAAAAAGATCAAAAAACAATTTCCCTCCACGCTCCATCTCCGCCTGCATAGTCCCACTACGCATAAAAGTGCCCCGCGATCGCACAATCAGCGCAAGGTAATGCGCCCGCAGCTTCGACTCCGTGTCCGGCGTGTTGTCGTACGCAAACCGCGCACTCGCAAGTATCGTACTACACTGGATCCCAGTGTGTAGGCCTTGCTTGCGCAGCGCGAGACGCTGTAGATGGGGGAGGTTGTATTTTTCTGCTGCACAGCTGCAGAGGGAAGATGCGTTAGTACACACGCATACACACATTCATAACCAAATGAAACGAGTCCTGAAAAGAACCAAGAAACCACTCACTAAATAGCCGTATCCCGCAATATCACCCCCTCCGCCCGATGATGAAACACCGTCGCCGTCGCCTGTCCCAATTCCCCACTAGCGCCAGCGCCAACACCCGCGTCCGCATCCTCCAGCTCCCACGTCTGGGTCTTGCGGTTGTGTCGCAGACGCGGGTAGTAGTCGCCTTTGTAGAGGTACTCGAGGACGCAGGAGAGGACTTCGGGTTGTTCTTCTGGGAGGTCGATGCGCTTGCTTGGTGGTTGGAGGGGGAGTCTTGGGCGTGGCGCATCTGGGTTTGGTGTTTGGGCTGCGCAATGCGCGGCGAAGAAGGGGGATGCATGGAGTATGGCTTCATGGGCGGCGAAGAGGCGCTTTTCTGGGCCGACGCGAAGCATTACTATTGGGCTTGTTGAGGGAGTTCTAGGATTGGTTAGTGGTTGGATTGGATCTATGAATGGTGTAGATGATGATGCGATGCGATGCAGATGGAGATGGAGATACATGTCGTGGCAGGACTTACGTTACATCAGGGGGTTTATCGAATTTTCGACGCTGCTCAACTCGTCGAGTCTTACTGCCAATTGAGCCAGAGCCTGAACCAGAACTGTCTCGTTCTTTGTCTTTGAGGGCTCGGTCTTTGGTTCTCTCGCGAGGAACCCTGCGCGACTGGAGCGTGAAAGCTGAAGCCTTTGCCGCGCGATACCGGCCAGGAATTGGAGTCTCTGGGGTTCTTTTGGACAACATTGCTATTATATTATGGTCTTGATAGGAGACGATTGGGGAGAATACAGAGACAACTTTGGATGGATTCAGGGGGGGGCAGATGGGGCACTATTTATAAACAGAGAGAAAAGGATGCAAGTTTCCGTTACGGAGACAAGTCACATACACATATATTGTACTCTATGGATATTACCGGACGGTCTGTATACGGATGATCTGCTGGATAGCCCCAATTATTCTACGCAGAGGGGTAGAGCTCAGCGAAAGACGCGTCACAAATGAGTTTCGACCGCGTAAAGGGGTTTTTCGAGTCGCCAAATGGGCGCGTGGTCACGGGCCTGGATTTGGCCAATCAGAGGCCGGCATTGAGACAAAGGAAATTACGATTTCCTGTTTGGGCAACAGTTGTGGATTGCAGTGGATTATTGCTTTGTTTCCGAGGCAAATTCTGATGTTCTCTTCTTGGAATTGATACGTCCATTGGCCTTGGAATGGTGAGGTTGATTTACCTTTGAACTTGGTTCGAATATCAGGTTTGAAATACATCGCAGTGCTCCATATAGCTTTGAATGGACCTGCATTGCAATGTCGCAACAGATGAACCCCCTGAACGCCGACGCTAAACGCCCTTGACAAGACCCGGTGTTCCCGAAGTTACCCGTATCGCCGATTGTCATGGAAAGAAAATACCCAGAGATGTGGGGATAAAGAAAGTGAAGAAAGAAAGAAGAAAGAAAGGGAAGACCTACATTACAGGAATACTTTCCTGGCGTCCTTGGGGTGGCTTTCGCTGGGACAATACGGGCATTTGAAACGGTTACCTTTGCCCAGGCGTTTCAAGGATTCCTGCGCAATCACATGTCCACATGGCATCATCATAGGAGGGTTCTCATCGGTCGCCTGCTCCTTCGACACCGGACAGACAAAGATAGAATGAAAGAGGTATTGAGGAGGGAGCGGTATTTCGACCTGAAAATACGAAAAAATATTAGCGTTGCTTGCAGACAGAGTAGTAATTTTCTTACCGGAAGCTCGTTGTCGGATGTCCACTCCGTGCGCTTCGATTTCATAATGGTTTGTAGCTTCAAAAGCGTCGGCAGGGCGATGGCACCGGCCGTAGCAGCAATATAAAGCGGGGAGTCCGCCGAAAGACCCAGCAAGGAACAGAACTCGCGAGTGAAGAAGTGAGCTACGTCATCCCAAGCCGAAGTGGTGTTGAAGAGAGCTGCATATGGCGATCCGCCGAGATTGGGCGAGTACGCCATTGCGCCGACTAACTGCTGAACTTCTCGCAAATATCGAGGCACAAAGACATGGAACTCCTGCCGCGCATACTCGAGGGCAGCTAGCCATCCGCTTCCAGTTCCCTCGCTATTCGCTCCGCCATGGTATAGCCATACATATTGTAGTCGACAGAGCTCGAATTCGAGGTTACTGCCTCGGGCTTCCAGCGCCTCGCGGTTTTCCCTTGACCACTCGATTGCAGGCAATAAGTTCCTGTTCTCTTGTAGTTGTTGTAGGATATAGTACATCGAGGCGAATTGTTTCCGGATCTCGGTCGAAGGAACTTCGTCGATATCGAGCAGGCTGGCTGTTGTATTGGTCGATCCACGCCCATTTTGGGAGGCTGGGTTTATTGTCTTCTGCTCGGCAATCTCGGAGAGGAAGGTGGCGGCCACCCCGAACTGGCCTTCGCGAAGGAGGTGCATGGCGATGGCGCGGTTGATGAGGTGTTCTTGTGCAGAGAGCCCATCGTCGTCGGTGCTAGGCAGTGGTCGGTCTTTGAAAAGCTGTTCCAGGTGTTAGATTAGTGGCAACGCATGGACGATCAGCATTCTGGAATACCTTATCGAGAGACTTAGTGTACTTGTTGAGGCCACTGTGAGTCTCTTTCAAGCTGTCATTGATAGAGTCAAATGAAGACTTGACCGAGTTTTGAAGGGTGGCTAGAGTGGCAGAGGCCCTGGATGGATCTATTTGGAACCCGGTCTTGTCAGTCGAGGAATCTAGCGGGGAAACGTTTACACTGGCTACTGACCAGCAGCTATGGCATCGCGAGCAGACTGCAGTGAATCAATTGCAGATTGCACATTCTTGATACCCTGAGAACCTTCGGTCCTCTTGAGGAGCCGGCTGTGTTCTTTCTGCACTATTTCCATTGCAGATGGGTTTGCGTTGACAGGCTGGGAGGTGACTGGAGAGGTTACCGAGCCTCGCCATGTGGAGCACTTCAGATAAGAGCTCTTTATCTCGCGGCTTCCAAATTGGATAGAATATATAATATGTTGAGGCAGTCCTATGGTTATTTTGCTCCAAAATGATGCTCAAGAAGAGACAATAGACGGAATCGTTCGACAGAGCTGTTCCGGGTGATCTTCCACGTGATTCAACCCCTCTATCCGGAATGTGAATGGCAAATGACGATTGAGCACTACTCCGTGTTGTAGATGTATATTTAAGTTGTAGGTGAAATTAAAAGGTGTACCATGTACGGAGTAATGTAGACATACTTCATGTCTATGTTCAAATGAATATCCAATACAGAGCCCCTCACATGGTCACTATGAGCTTGGTAAAGTCCACAATGTATTATTCAGATTTATTGATGCTATCTCCAAGGATATTGCTACAAACATGTATATTATCACCTCCACTGTTGAAATTCCGGTGAAGTTAATTCATGTCACCCTCCTTCTGGAGGATTCTCCTTATATTGCCACCATATACCGCCTCCGCCCCAATCTTTACTCACAACAGCTATCCCCGGCCAATACTTGATACTCGGATCATCCTTTATCCGCTCCCTTACCTATATCGGATTATTATTCTTCCGGGGTCGTCCCCTACCGGCGTTTGTCTGCTCCTGCAGCCGGTGGAAAACTTATAAATACCTGGGGGCCCCCAGTTTCCTTCCTCTTCTTCTTTTTCTTCTCCATCCTAGTGCACGGGTTTTACACGTATCAGTGAGGAGACATCCGAGATCGTGTTTTTGCTAGTTGAAAACTACCAAATTGACTACTCCAAGCGAGCTTCTGGCACGCTTGGGAATTTTTGAAACAATACTGCCTCAACTCCTTGACTCTTGAGTCCTCGAGTTTGATTGATACTTGGATGGGAGGCTTCACAGTCACCCTCGAGTATCTTGAAGTCTTTTCACTACTTGTTACCCATGCGGTGGCTCTTAGAGAAGAGGTTAGATAGCCGTAGCTCCAATTAAATTATCTTGTCTTCCAATCGTATGTCGGGTTTCGATCAAAGTGTGGCGCGTATTGATTGTTTTGCTCGGTCGCACCCTGACGTCCGTCGGCCTTAGTGATTTTTTGCCCCTTGTGCCTGTGTTCCCCTTGATGACACCAGCTTCGATGGCGATCAGCTCCCTTGCCACTCCTTACTGAGATGTGATTTTCAACTGTTCTTTGGTTGCTAATTCTCCGTATCCATGTCACCTCATTCCTTACTTTTCCACTGAAGTCTCAATACTGCCCCACTGATGTAAAGAATGTCTCAGGGGGTCTACTTCTATTTCTGGCTGTCCACCCTTGTACAGTGGAAATTTGCGCGATATAAGTGAACAAACTGTGTTGAATCGTCGACTTCACATGGCCTCACTAACTCCAGGCTGGTGCCTAGTCGCTAGTCGTACGCTATCACACCCATGCACCTTCATTTGGATGGTACTTCAATTCAGGGGCCAATCTGTTATCGAATTACATGACTGACGTATCATAGAACACCTCAGTTTAAGTGTACTGGCACATTCCTGACCGATGAACGAGGCACATCCGTCCTCTTCTCCGACAGCAATTGCCATGCTGTCAAACCAGGTCGAACGGTCGAAACAGCATGCCAGATACCTCATGGCGGAAGTCGAGGGATCCTGGATTCCATCTCCCATCTGCGTTCTCGCTCATGTCCGTATGACACGCCCAATCTCGGGTTCACAGATACTCCGAGTTTATCGACCTCTCTCTCTTTTCAAAATCGGTATCTGAAATCATGCAGGTACGGTCACAGTCCCGGAAGCCGGCGGCTATTCTAGCCTTACACCTGGATTCGAGACCAGCCATATTCTCATGAGACTTGCCTTTGAAATCACAATTTCTTCCGAGAGTTGCCAAGGAATACATATCTTTGATGCAAATTTGGTACACTGACATGATACGCACGATGAGAATATACAATTTGTTGATGCACGCGATCACTTCCGCCTCCACATCTGCGGTATCTTACTCCCTGCCATGTGCATAATACAATGCTTCTCTACCGTCGATGAGCATCCCCAGCCCCGCCCCCACTGATGGTACTGAAGGATAACCATTTGAAGAACTGTTTTATGGAGATCGGTGGATCAACAATAAGATTTTTCATCGCACTGCTTGGGCATCCATCAAAGCATGGTCAAATTCATTATCTGCCTCTCGAGTTTCAAGAGTGTGACATTAAAATACACCACCTTTGTGCTAATTTTGTAAACCAATCTATCTTTCATATACGAAACGTGTGTTTCTTTACACGAAACAACCATCAAGGGGCTACCAATTCCTTAATAGACCCACATACCATAACTGACCCATAGCTGACCTTCGTCATAGGGGCAGGAGAGTAAGGATCGACAGGCACAATCTCTCGTTGCCTGATTCCCAACGTAAGGATCACTTTCTCTCTTTGTCAACTGCTCGAGTAAAGAGATGTGGCTGGTATCCAACTTCACCAGCCCGCGCTCTTTGATACTACCTCTATAACAAGACTATGACTGCTGCTCCAAAACACACTCCTTAGCTATACGCACACACCATAATGTCGCTCCCTTCCTGGCTCTTTCCGACCGTAGCCGCGTCCACCTGGCTAGGTGAGTTTCAATCATCCACGGTCACGTTGACCAATGATCTAACACTGGATATAGCAATGCTACTGGCTATGTTGGGCCATTGGACTATGATCGGTGAACCGAGATATGGCCTGATGAAGCCTGGCCAGAATATACCGTGAGAATTAGCCTCCCGTCAGCCCGATCGCCGCGCCAAGATTTAACTAACAGCTTTTTGAACAGATTCATTTCAGATATTGGAGCGCAGGAATTAAAGCCGCTATTCATGATTGGCTGTATCACCACCGTCCTACTTTTAAACCTCTCTTTCTATCAACATGTCCAAAACAAGGGATATATCAACAAGACGTGCACGCACGGTTCATTCTTTTTCACTGTCGTTGGGAGTATCGGCTTAATAATGCTCTCCGTTCTCGACAACATCGGCCACCATTTTATGCACGATGTCTGCGTGACGATCTTTATGTATGTCCCTCGCCGAGAGCATATTACCTATGCGTTACAATGTACTGACGACTGCAGTGTGGGATTCCTAGTCAGCGCGGCCTTGATGTGCCTGGATTATATATACCTTGGCATAGCACATGCTCTCCGGGAACCTATGCTCATGACAAGTTTTGTCATCAAAGCTTCGTTCATTGTCGTTGAGCTTGGGCTCATCATCGTCTTCCGGATCACTGAACATACCCACTACCAGCAGAACAACATGGCGGCTACTCTTGAATGGGGTAAGTATATATATGGTCTCCACCTCTATACTGCCTTGAATCGTACTAACCGGCTCCACAGTCATCGCCTTTGTTTTCACTGGGTATATTCTTTCTTTGATTGTCGATCTCATGCCGTCCGCTCAAAGGAATCTCCACAATCCAAAAGGATATCAACAACTCGAGATGAGTACTAGCTTGATGCCTTAGCCCATGGCTTGATTGGTCCTTTTTTATAGACGCTTGGCTGGTACTTATAGCGTTGATTCGATTCACGACCTTTTTTAAAATGTACATATATATTTCTTTACTCGTGAAACGAATACCAAGACTTTCTTCCTTTATGACAATTCCGATATGAAAATAGACCTGACATCCCGAAATATAGCAACATCCGCGAATGATTGCTCTTTCGAATTGTTTTATTCGATACAAGGTAGGCTAGTTGAAATAACTCGTCGGAGCCCCATCTACCTACCGGTTATAATGCCTACGACCGACCCTTATCCTAACAAATAATGGCAATTAACTCCGAGAACGGCCCTTGGCCCCTTCAACCCCCGTAGACTTGTTAGGTGATGGAATCTCGGTAATAAGAGTAGGGCTGGAGTTGTGGGGAGACATACGTACGCATCGACGTATAGCCTTAATGCCAAGCCCAGCGGGTGAAGACCGACCACCAATCGATCCCCGATTCGTAGGCCCCAAGATAATCTGCAAATGCTAATATTGTGTTGCAAAGCTTGGCTGTTTATATTGGCATCGAGACTGAAAGGCTGCAAGTTCAATTTTAAAGGAGAACTCTACCGAATACAGATATATATTGCAACAACGGACTCGATCAACAAATCAACTAAGAATGCCAGATCGATCTGAGATATGGTTATGTCTTCCTCGATCGATGCTCGTAACAAGTGGCGGAAATAGGTTGCCTCAATTACAGGACTCTGTTGCTCCACATCGGCGGTCGTAAGTGATGCCATCATCCCCATCTAGGATTAGGCTCGGTGTATAGCATCTTCGCACTAGTTTAGCATTATTCTGGTTGGTGACGCCACTCACTCAGTCTTTATAAAGGGGAGTCTGGGGCCTCTTCATCCTTTTCTTTCTAGAATTATACTCACACTCAAATATACTCTCGATTCTACTGTTCATCAACCTCTCACTTCCCACATCCTCATACCATCATTAATCACAATCATGGGTCTTTTCAGCCACCACGACAAGCACGATAAGCACGAACACGACAAACACGAGAACCACGGCCACCAGCAAGGCCCCGGCGGACCCCAGGGTGGTCTCCAACAAAACGGTGGCCCTGGCGGTCCCGGCGGCCCCGGCTTTGGAGGACCTCAGGGTGGGTTCCAAGGACAGCAACAATACCAGGGTGGACCCGGAGGCTTTAGTGGTCCTGGACAACATCAGGGTGGTCCCGGCGGTCCTGGCTTCGGGGGACCTCAGGGTGGATTCCAAGGACAGCAGCACCAGGGTGGCCCCGGCGGCTTTGGCGGTTCTGGACAACACCAGGGTGGACATGGTGGACCCGGTGGCCCTCAGGGAGGAGTATGTATAGCTCGTTCACTCATATGAGTCTTTTGCTGACGTTTCTACAGCACGGTGGACGGTAAATGCTTCATTGCGGAAGTGGAATCTGGATACACTAGAGCTTTTGGACCAAATATTTCGAATTGATAGGCTCATAACATTGTACATTGTTAGAATTATGAATCGTGTCTTCTGTCTCGCTGGTCAGGCATCCTGGTGATGGGTGACTTTTGAAAATTACCTCTTTCTTCTATCTAACATCCGTCGCCATCCACGACATCATAGAACTTGCTACAGTTGCGACTGGCTCGAAGGGGAGGATGTAGTGACTGAGGTAATACCATTCGACAACCTGACGCAATAGCATTAGCCTGAGCAAGCGCTGGGATTGGAGTCGGTATATGAGAGGGAAGGGTTCAGCTGCAAAAGTTCATGGACTGTAATCCCGATAAAGTAGGCAATATAGTCACATGTGTTCAAGGTACTGTACTTGTTGGCTCCAGGGTTGTAATATTGCTGGTACTTAGCACAATTAGACGCTGTTCCAAATGAAACAGACAGAGTGGTATAGGCGGGCATGACTGTGGCCGTACTGGTCGCATTCATCGCCGAAGGAAACTCCCAGTAGGTGTCAGTCGGCAAGGTGGTGGTTGCTAATCACGAACTAGCAATAGTGCCTTTGTACATACATTTAGTCTCATCGATGCCCTCATAGCTGGAATAAGTGTTAACATCTCCAACTGCCTTCACATAGTAATATTTTCCCAGTATCAAGTTGTTGTAGCTTGTTGAGTTGACTTCTGGGTTCAGAAAGTGAATATCTACTAAACTGATACTTATCTTCACTGGTACATTTTTAGTGAATTTGTGATATGGGGAGAATGTGTTGGAGGGCGCCGCTACACCGACTCATTGTTATGATACCGTAATGCCTCATGGAATCGACGAATGACTCATTCAATATTTCGTATATAATTCCAAATTGAAATGTCTCACTGGAATTGAACCTCCATACTCACTGTAATTGCAATCAAAAATGGCGCCAGGCCCATCTGTGCCTTTTGAAATAAAGTACGCCAATGCATCTGAGCTGAGTGCACTCGTGAGCGTTGAAATTCGCTCTTTCCCCTCGTCCAAGTATATGCATAGCACATATAAGGGGTGTGATCCATTGGCAGTTCATACCTTCAAAACAGTCTCTTCTCTCAGATATTTTGCCAAATCCGAGTGCCATATTCTAGCGGGTGTCGACTCTGAAACCGGTGATATCATTGGACACAGCCGCTGGCATATACCGGCTATTTACAAGTTCGAAAGAGCTGTGGATACATGTTTGAGCAATGACGCGCAAGCGCAAATGCAGAACATGTGGGCGTATGCTCCAAAGATGAACAAGGGTACCTACACGTTCTACGAGGAAATGATAAAATGTAGTAGGAGCATACATCTCAAGGAAACTGATATTGGTTCGTCAACCCATTTTACCACTCTACATGAGCATTTGATGATATTGACTGCTAAAAATACTGCTAGTCCTTGAACTACTATGTGTCTTACCCGAGTATCAAAGAATGGGAATAGGAAGTGCGTTTCTCAGATGGGGTATTGAGAAAGCAGACGCTAGCAATGCCCGCATCTATCTGGAAGCTACAATGGAAGGAGTGCCAGCGTATCTGAAGTACGGGTGGAAGGTTGTCGAGGAAATACAACTGGATTACACAGAACGTGGTGGAGAGGGAAGCCAGAAGTTTGTATTGATGATTAGAGAGCCCCAGACAACAATATTTTGACGTAAGGCTCTTTTCTCTTTGTGTATGTATTGCTTCGGCTATGTAGCTCTGGAGCCTCTCTCATTATGAATCCGATCTAGAGTTAACTAGAGAGCCAGCAGTTACCTGAATTCACAAAACCTAGGAATTGACGAACCTCTGTAGCTCTCAATCTTGTAGTTTACAATATTCCCTAAAGTAGGTCATCCACTTAGCAGAGCACTAACTCTATTCCCGGAAGAAGTAGACTGTGTTCTGAGTATCACATCCAAGTAACGTAATCGGTAAGCGAGTCGGCCATGTAAGCCAGCCGGCCACCCAGTCTAACATACTAAGTTTAAATGGATATATCATAGCCACAACGCCATTAAATTAATGTAACTAAATTCATTTATCTATTTGGACATGTTTCTCTCCTATGCCCCGGCTGCCTACATATTCCACAGGCTCGCCCGGCCCGTATAGGTGGCTGTAAACCCTCCGATACCTGCTCACGATAGGTATTGATACGTGCAACTTGGGCCTCGAATGGTTCCCCACGTAGCTCACGAACCTCCTGGACTGAAAGATCTCCTTCGTGGACTATCGTCCTCGTAGACCGAGTCCGCTTTTGCTTCTGCTTCTCGTTGGCGGCGCGTAAATCGCTCACTTCTTTCTCAAGTAAAGCGGCGGACTGCATTGTGATTTGACAGGCTTTTAAAACCTTGTTTATCGCGCAATTTAGCGGGCTCGGAGGGCTCTTTGATCTAGCACGAAGTAAAGCTTTAATTGACGAAGCTTGCTTTTGTAATTGCACGTAGTTCGAGGGCGTTTTTGGGTCCCAATCGCTCCCCCTACTCGGAGGGGGGGTCGGGGTTCGAAGACGGATATTTAGCTTCGAGATCACTCGATTAGGTGCAAAAGGTATTAAGCCAGCTGCTCCGAAGCTATTCTTAATAGTCTCCGATTTAAAAGCTTCGATTCGTGCGAGGGGGTATGCTTCAAGGAAGTCAAGTTTATCGATATGGTTGATCCCGTTCCGCATTTTCATTTCAACTAGCCGACCATATGATCGCTTTAACACAGCAAAACAACCGATATCCAGGGGTTGTAAAAGATGAGAGGAGTGCGGAGGCATACAAATTGGTATAACCTTATTTTGCTCGCAAATTTCATCGAATTTAGGGGTCAAATGGCTTCCATGTCCGTCGAGTATTAGGAGACGATACCCCCCTTCGTACGCGAAGAAGTGCTAGGAATAAAGAGCTTTTCAAGCCAACGAAGTCCAATTTCATCAGAGGTCCAACCGTTCGGACTAACTTCAAATCGCCAGTCATCCGGAAGGCCATCAAACCATGATTCAATAAAGACTTTGCCTTTAAAAATGATACACGGAGGGAGGGCCCAACCCGACGAATTTGTACACTCAATAGCAGTCACCCATTCGCGATTTCCAGGTTGTAAAAGCGAGCGCCGGCCGTAGAATTCGCTCCTTGTAATCACCTTCGCTGTAGCGATTAGCCCCATCGCGAAGCCGGTCTCATCGAAGTTATAAACGTCATCGGGGTGGATTCCAAATTGGAGGATTGTTTTTTGAACAAGATCGAACCACCCTTGGATGATTTTCGGGTCTTCGCACTTCGCACGTTCGTAATTATAGCGTCTCGAGAATCGGGATGAGAGGAGAGGGTGTCGTTTCACAAAGTTATAAACCCATTTTTCGCCGACCGAAATAACCGGGGTGGTTCCACGTTGTTGAAGTAAAAGGTTCGCCATTTCTCGTACAGTAGAAGGCCGGGGGGCAGATCCACGAGAGTCCATAGAGAGAACCCATCTTTGAAGAGATTCCTCTTCATATTCGGTCAATTTATGCGAATTTGCGCGACAAATCGCGCGATTTTGGTGGCCACGTAGTCGGTCTTGAAGTGTTGAACGTGGTATGTTAAAAACGCGTGCCACTTCGCGAATTGAAGAGATTTCTTTCTTTTTAAAAGCTTCAATAGCTAATAAAACCCTACCCTCTTGCTCTGCTGAATTGCTAGAGGATTGGGAGCGAATTGGTGGCATGGTGCGCGGTTGAATTGACTAAGTGCTAATCTATGGACGCGTTTTGGGCTGGGTGGCCGGCTGGCTTACATGGCCGACTCGCTTACCGATTACGTTAGTTAGTAACTAACTAGTTGTACAAATGTTGATGCCTGAGGGCCCAAAGCCAAGGAGCCACGGTCACATGATACGTCCGCCATAATGTACGGGATGACGTCGCCACTTCTGCACACATCGGGGGGTTTATGTGGTTTGCAAGGTGTTCGCCCATATTACCTTTGTCTTTTCCCTTTTACTTTAGGCTAATACTATGCATCAACCCCCGTTGCCTGGACATGCCACAATTGTTCCGACCTGACCAAGAGTGCGGGAGGATCGAATGAAGGCCCTTCCTTTGTATCTTGAGCTTAGGAGCGGTGACCTGCTTTAGGGTTGAATGATCAGCGCTACTTTCATTTTTGTCCCCTTGGCAAATTAGCTTGGAGGAGAGCAGCCATAATGCAGCCAAATGCCCCGGGTGTCTCCCCGGTCGATCGCACCGACTCCGTGCCGTCGGAGGCCGCCTCCTACGCAACCGGAGCCGAACGTCTCCCGGCGCAGGGTCACCAGCGACTTGTGTTCACCGATGCGGTCGCCCTCCGATACCTCGAAGAAGACCCCTCGACCGATGTGCTCCAGCGACGTGTAACACTGCAAGGCTATGAAATTTATGTCGTTGAGCAGTGGGCCTGCTCTCGCGTGCATCCGACATTTATCATCTCGACCTATACCGGTGACCCTTCGCATACAGTGATTGTGGGGGTATTGAGTGTCCCGACCAATGAAGCTACATGGTCGCCTCGCTTGCGGATGTACTTTGACGCCATGAAGCAATGTCACGCTAGAAGGAAGGAAACACCACTAGGGACGGTCATGGTTACCGATCTGGTCTCATTTCCTTCTGCCCTGAGTCTAATTCCAATACCCAATGGCGATATCAAGAGACACCGGGAGGACTTTATTGTGAATGAAGACTTGAAGCGACTTGGGTGCGCAGGCCGCGCGGGCTTGAGGCTTCAACCTCCTTCAGCGGCGACCGAAGCCAAGTTTCATCAGCTGTACCGAACGAGCGAGAGGGTTCCTTTATACCATGCGGTTATGGAATTGGTTAGACAATGCCAGATTGCTTTGATGGTGTTTGACAAGCTAGCCCCGGAATATGTGGACGGGCTACTTTGTGATGTGACCGAGGCAGCTGTGAGCGATTGGTGGACAGACATCGGGACAGACCTATACAACATTGAGCCAGGCGATAGTAGCCTAGGACCCACTAGCGTGGCTGCGTTACTGGGCACGTTGCTTGGAGCTCGAAATCGATTACACGCCTATGGTGCCCCTGTAGGGAAAGACGCTTTCGACCTCCCCAATCTGAAAAGAGGAATTGGTGGATTCCAGAAATCTCAAAAAATGAGGCGATCGCGCAGACTGGACCGACTTACGTTGGACCGGTTACACCGCGCCACGGCCAAGGCTGCCAATGCAGAAGGCTGGACCGATGCAGTGAAATCAACCATGGCGGAGCTTAGTGGACAGGGTGGCGAGATGGTCATGGGAATGGTCCGCGGGCGCGACAAAGGTGGCATTGCCGATATCGAAACACTGGATCTTGACACCTTCGTACAGTGCTGTAATGGCGAGAGAGCGAAGTGGCTGTGGCTGGGTAAACCGCGCAAGAGTGGTGTTGAAGACGGGTTCACTCGCGGGGCTGGATCGGATATGATGTTTACCACCGATGAACAAGGCGGTTATGTCTGGACCAGTCGCAAGAAGCATTCGACAGAGGATTTGAATGATGAGCGAGTGAATCCAGGGCTGGACCGCTCTTGGAAGATGCCAGAACCGGGCCCCGAAGAAAAAGATCACCGAAAGAAGGGCGTTAGCGGACGAGTATCAGACGCGCGAGCAGGGTTAGGACGCTTCAAAGATGCAGTTGGACTGCAGGGCCTTCGCCATCACCACCATCCTTCACGAGACAGCTCCGAGATGACACACGATCTTGCATACCATCCGTCCGTCGATAGTGACAATGAGGCACCGTCAATAAAAACGCGGACTGACTCTGGGCTCCGGTCAGAAAGAAAGATCTCAAACGATATCGAAAAGCTCATTGAAGACGAAGAGAAACCTCAAGTGTCGCCAACCCCCGAGCCCGCAATCCAAGCTCCTGAAATCCACATCGAAACTGTACCAGACGATGAGCCAGAAACACAAGTTCAAGACTGGACCATTGCACAGCAGCCTCCAATCATCGAGGAAGATTCAGATATGGAACGCGTATTGTCTCGGTCGACGGCAGCATCAACGGATCGCGAACGTGACCGAGAAGGTTCGATCAGCGGGATAGCTGTCATGGCCCTACGGCGGGCGCAAAGTTTTGAAGAATTCCGGAGCCCTGAGAGTGAGATTGAACGGCAAGACAACTTCTGCGCACGACACCTCTCGTTCAGCACAGTTGAAGAGGTGATATTCAACTGGGAGCCAATAGGCGGGAAACCAACGTTCAAAGAAACCGATAACCTCGAGGAGGCCATCGTTCAAGAAGACATGCTTGCTTCGGAGGGACGCATTTTCAGCTCGCGGATTCAAGAGTTGAGCCAGCATACCGTGCCTTGGGTTGAGCGACAAGTGGATTCCGTGGAAGGTCTTAATCAACACCTATATGACCGACACGATGAGCTCAACTCAGTCTACTTGGAACGCTTCGCCGACTACCAGAGACTGCGCGAACGATCCAGTGACATCCTCATAGATGAAAGTCATCACCTCACCGATAGCGTGAAACGCGTCGAGTTGCTGGGCGCTAAACTGGACTACGAACTACACGTCCTCGAGTCCAAAGTTGATGACATGGAAGCTGGCCTGGGCGACTTTGACCGTCACATTGTAAATGTCGAGACGAGGATCAAAGCCCTGGTTAAAGGCGAGGAACGGCACAACACTTCCTGGACCGCATGGATAGCGCGATCCATGGGTTTCTCGACCTGACGGCGACATTTGTATGATATTTTCTTTTTTTCATTCTCTGTTTTTCCTTTATCCACCATATTGTACATAGTCAGAGATAGACCGGCGATCGTGCCTCCCAACCGGGATGGTATAAACGTGAACCATCATTCAAAACAGGCCCAATTTCAGTAGGCCGAACCAGTCAAATAGCCTTACATAGAAACAAAGACCACCGAACTCTCTAGCTTCAAGGCTACGAGAGCTCCTTCCCAAGAAATTTCGTTGTCAACACGTTTAGAAGCCCATGCCGCCACCCTGCTTGTTGGCATTGGCCTCGCCCTGCATCTTCTCGCTGACCTTGATGTTGACATCGAAGAACTTGGACACGCAGCGGTCGAGGCAGACGGACTCGCCCTTGTTGAGGTCACCTTCGCGGTAATCGGCGGGGACACACTTCTTGGTGCAAGACTCGGTCAAGCTATCGCGACGGGAACAGTTAGAATGGGGCTCGAGATATATATAGTCCAAAGATAGATTTGGAATGGGCGTTTCTGCAGTCTTCTGGTTTCTGAATCGAGATAGAGCGCTTGGGTATTCCGTAGAGCTTCAACTTACCGGTTGAACATGTCTGAGATCATCTCGACTTCTGTCTCGGCGGCAGCGATCTTCTCTGCCGAGGACATCTTGGGGGCACCGCCGAAGAGGAAAGACATGATGTATAGTGAATGGATTTGAAATGTAGATGGGTGATGAGTAGATATGTGGAGTAGAGCACCAGAGTGTCCAACGTATTCGGAGCACGGGAGGTCGGAGAAGCTTGGGCCACCTGCGTGGAAAAACTCGGTTCTTCCGTTTCTTTTTTTTCCTCTTCTTCTTCTTCTCTTCTCTCAACGATGTGAAAGCAAAGCCAATTTGCTATGCTTTCAATTCGCCCTAGATGGGCTTTATCTGGCTTTGGCCTGCAAAACAGGTAAGATTTGCATTTACTGTTTACTATTTTACTGGGTTTTCCATCGCCATCTCCCATTCCCCTTCCCCCTTATATGATGATATATCCCCGCATTAGAACCGCTACAGTGATGTCCTTTTGGGCACTGAACGTACTGGATTTTATCTGACAAAGCTTAATGCTTAATTTTGGATCAATTGTGTCTATTTTCTCGACCATTGCTAACCTAAAATTCTCAGTGCAGGACTGCGACTCGCTAGACAATCTCGCATCCATACCCCCTTTACAACCCGACTAACCATACAGCCAATTCGGAAGAATAGCTCTGCAGCATCGCCAGGAAAGGCCCTACAGGAGCGCGTACAGCAGATCAAAGATGCCTGCGCAGATCCATACCCTCGCCTGGCGGTGGATAAACGCACAGTGAGCTGCGCCGAGTTTCGCACTCGCTACGCCGAGCTCGCCGACAATGATTCAGTAGAAGACACAGTCGTTGTATCTGGTAGGTTCTGCTCTCTGGCCTTTGCAATGCCCATGTACTTAGAATAGTAGGAAGAATCCGTACCTATAGACTCGCAGGAAGCAAATTGATCTTCTTCGATATCGTGCAAGACGGCCATAAAGTCCAGGTGATGTGCAACAAGCGTCGTCTGGACAGTGTCTCCCCCGAGGACTTCAAGAAGTTCTATCGTCTTCTGCGTCGCGGTGACGCTTTCTGTATGTCTTGTCTCCGTCCGGCTTGACTCGAGTGTCGCCGCTAAATGCTATTCTAGCTGTAACCGGTAGACCGCACCGCACTGGACGAGGTGAGCTCACTATCGACGTGAGCGAGTTGCCGCAGCTGCTCTCGCCGTGTTTGCATGATATCCCCGTTCACGATACCGAGCACGAGACCTCTCCCTACCCTCGCCATGTCCAATTCCTGGCCGACCCCGCGACGGCCGATATCATTCGAGCCCGCGCGGCTCTTGTACAATATCTGCGCCAGTTTTTTATCGACCGGTCCTTTATGGAGGTCAGCACCCCGATCATCGGGTCCGTGGCAGGCGGCGCAATTGCTCGTCCGTTCAATACATCCGCCACTGAGTTCCCAGATCGCCAGCTGTCGCTGAGAATCGCACCGGAGCTTTGGCTCAAGCGGTTGGTGGTTGGTGGATTCGACAAGGTCTTCGAAATTGGACCTTCGTTCCGCAATGAGGGTATGTTGAGACATATAAGACCTATTTCTAGCAAAGCTGATGAGATATAGGACTGGACAAAACCCACAACGCAGAATTTACTACCTGTGAATTCTACCAGGCATATGCTAACCTCGAGAACCTCATGACAATGACTGAAGATCTCCTCTCTGGCATGGCAGCCCACATCCGCGCCTTAAACACAACAGGCACTCTGAACCCCACCACAGCCAACTTCACGGCACCATTCCGCCGCATCGACTTCCTAATAGGCATCGAAGAGGCTACCGGCCACAAACTGCCTGACCTCGAATCCCCCAACGCCTTAGATAAAGTCCACGCCATCTTCACCCAACTCTCCCTCCCACTCCCATCGAACCCAACCCTCCCCCGCCTCCTTGACGAACTATGCAGCACCTACGTTGAATCGCAATGTATCGACCCAACCTTCATCATCAATCCACCCGAATGCCTCTCACCACTCTCTAAATCATTCATCCACCCTACGACCAAGCAGCGCGTCGCCGCGCGCGGCGAACTCTTCATCGAAACCAAGGAAGTGGTGAATACATATGAGGAGGAGAACTCGCCCTTCGAGCAGCGCCGCAAATTCGAGGACCAACTGCGGTTTAGCAAAGCTGCTGGTGAACCCGGCGAGGTAGATGAGAGCTACCTCGAAGCCCTGGAGTGGGGTTTACCTTCTACCGGTGGATGGGGCTGTGGCGTTGACCGTCTCTGTATGCTGTTCACGGGAGCCAAGCGAATTGGCGATGTATTGCCATTTGGCAATTTAAGGGCCGTGACTAGACGGCATGGACAATCGAGTAGCGAGTGAGGATGTAACACTAGTGGCTTGTACGATATACTAAGAATGAGATATAGAATTCTCGACTCCTATTGGATATGTTCTTCATATCCCAGTAACATCGTGTCCAGTTTAGTGCAAATAGGCGAACGCCGTTGATATTGAAAAGATAACTAGCGCTAAGATAAACTGGAAGCGGGGAAGTTTTTTTTTTGATTTCTACACACATCATGGAGAGCAAAATTCAAGTGGCTGATGCCGTTACTGTTAGCCTGCAGGAACTTGTAGATGGTAAGTTGTGTTTTTAGAAGAAAAAGAGTAGATTGCTAAGTCATGCAGGAACTATATCCTTCGACACTCTGACCAAAGCCTTTGGACCGTCCTCTCTAGGTATCATCGTTGTCAAAGACCTACCTATCACCTTCAGCGACCTGCGAGCAAAGGTTCTATCCAATGCCTCGTATCTGGCGGCTCTCCCTGACCCCGAACTGGGTAAGTCTCCAAACCCAGAGACGTTCCTACACTACAGTCCAACCGCAAAATCAAACTAACCTCCACGTAGAATCCCTCACCAGCCCAGAATCCAAATACTTGGTCGGCTGGTCCTGCGGTAAAGAAACCCTGAAATCAGGCCATTTCGACACCCTCAAGGGTTCGTACTACGTGAACTGCGCCTTCTATCAGGATCCATCTCTAGATAGCGCTCCGGCAGATGGTTTCCCAGATCTACCCCAGTATACCGCGCCAAACATCTGGCCTTCATCAAGCAAATTACCCGAATTCAGGGGTAGCGTGGAGTCACTATGCGGGCTAATTATCGATACCGCGGCTCTCGTCGCCAAGGCATGTGATCGGTATGCGGAAGCCAACATCGAAGACTACAAGCCTGGATATCTACACCATGTCGTGACAACCAGTCTGACAACCAAAGCACGACTGTTACATTATTTCCCGGGTAATCAGGAAGAGGTTGAAAGCAGCGACGATGACTGGTGCGCCACGCACCTCGACCATGGTTGTCTGACAGGCTTGACATCAGCCATGTTCCTCGACGAAGCAGCTTCACCTCCAACTATCGATCCGTCTACGGGATCTGCCTCTGCCCCTCTCCCTGAACTTCCCCGTTCCCCCGATCCTTCGGCTGGACTGTACATCCGCTCGCGCACCGATGAAATCGTTAAAGTCAATATCCCCAAGGATTGTCTGGCTTTCCAGACCGGCGAGGCTTTGCAGTTGATCACTCGTGGCAAGTTTATGGCCGTGCCGCATTTTGTTAAGGGGGCCAAGGCTAGTCCTGGACAAAAGATTGCGAGGAATACTCTTGCTGTGTTTACGCAGCCGAATCTTGAGGAGGAGGTTCAGCCTGGGTTGAGCTTTGCTGAGTTTGCAAGGGGTGTCGTGCAGAAGAATTATTAAGTATAGTTTTTAGCATGTGCTTTTGATTGGAATTGAGTTGATTCAAATCAAGCATTGAATTTTTTGGTCTTTCAAAGGGAGAAAATGATGGCCAACCAGAACGGAGAATCCCCGAGGGGCGAAGTCGAGCTGAATGCAGGGTAGTGACGCACCTCTTAAGCCTAATACTTTCGGCAATGAATATCGGCATTGACAGAGTATTAACAGAGCTACCAAGTCCTGCAGCCAAGGAACTACAATATAATCCAATGAAAATCATTGGGGTCAGTATCCAAGATACCGAGGGACAATCCCACATAATCCCCCTAAGTGACCCTGTTATAAGCAGATCCAAGATCTACTTTCTGGATATCTCTGCATTTCCCCATAGTTTTAAGTCTAAGATGAGATCTGCGTGTTGATCTTCACTTGATGTATCACTTACAATGTGATCGTCTACGGACGTACGGAACTGTATATCCCCACTAGTATGGGGTACACTTGAGTGCTTTATTACGGCTCAGATGTGAGGAATTCCAGCAATGCCATCATCCTTTCCCCTTTTGTGAGACTCGCTTTTTGGTCCCTCCCCCGCACTATCGCCGATCTTCCCCGGAATTCTGGTCCTATGGTGGCCATTGGTGGCCATAGTCATGATTCCTAGGTGTAGTGTCTACGACTCTCTACGCAGTATATAAAGCAGGACGAACTCGCAATTCAATTCAGTTCCTTGTCAGACTTCTCCAGAAGTATTGTACTACCGTCCTGGCCATCCTCATCCCTTCTCGAACTATACCACCCTTTGCCTCTTCTATACATCCAAACCTACCTCACACTCATAATGTCCCACGAAGATGGAATCAGTGTCAAAGACACAAACAACTCTTCCCCAAACAGCGACGACTACGAAACAGGCCATTTCGGCCCCTTAGCCCACGTCAACACAGCCTCAAGCCGCTACCCTGCCTTCGGAGGTGACCTCCAACCAGGTCTATACCGCGTACCCAAAGACCGCAAGCTCGCCAACCCAGCACCGCTAGGCCTCTGTGCATTCGCACTAACCACCTTTGTGCTGGGATGTCTCAATATGAACGTCAAGGGCATCGCTGCGCCTAATATTATTGTCGGGCCTGCTTTGGCATATGGTGGATTGGTGCAGCTCTTGGCTGGCATGTGGTATGTTGCCCCATTATAGAAGTGAAGTGTAATGCTTTTTATCATTTGCTAACGAGATCAGGGAAATGGCTATTGGTAATACCTTCGGTGCGACTGTGCTCTCATCCTACGGCGGTTTCTGGATCTCGCTGGCTATTACTTTTATCCCCGGTGGGTTTGATATTATCGGGGCGCTTGAAGAAGCAGACCATGGGTCTCATGCTATGTTTTATAATTCATTTGCGTTATATCTCTTCGTATGTTATTCTGAAAAAGGAGAATGGGAACAAAGCTAACTTCAAATGCTCCCTTAGGGCTGGTTTATCTTCACAACGCTGGTTACCATGCTCACTCTCAAGTCCACCGTCGCGTTCTTCTCCCTGTTTTTCTTCGTCGACCTCGCTCTTCTCCTGCTCGCCCTTGGATACTATTTCAATGTGGACGGAGCGCCAAATGAAAAGTTGATAAAGGCTGGTGGACTGTTTGCTCTGCTTGGTGCTTTCTTGGCTTGGTATAATGCTTTTGCTGGTATTGCTGATAGTAGCAACAGCTTCTTTTTGCCTCCTGTTGTTCATTTCCCCTGGTCTGAGAAGAAGCGGTCCGCGAGACGGAACTCTGCTGGACAGAGTGAGGTTTGAAGCGTGTATGAGGCGATGGTATGTCGTTCTTTAGACATAGATCTGAAATCGATATCACGTATTTTCTACTTCTCTTTTAGTAGATTGTTTTAGAACAGCATGGTCGTATTTTGCGCTTATTATTCTAGAAATTGACTCCGACTCTACGTTACGGATTTACATGGCTGTGGGAATAATAAAAATACACTGAATTACAGTCTGACTACTAGTGCTTGGACGTTGTAATATTCGCACATAATCTTATTTAGCTAAGATAGAATCATCCCTCCGTAACGCCCATGGGTATCTTGGATATGCCGCTAAAAGGAGGGAAAACAAAAGGCAAGATCGAATCGATCTACGCAAACGGATAGTCCTCCGCACTATCATCCCCAGAAGAAGGACCGCCCCGAAGGCCCAGTCCAGAGACACCACCAGACACTTGACTGTCAGTCAATCCATTGGCATCATCAAAGGACTCATCTTCGGTCTCCGGCGCACTGCCGATAGCAGAACTGACCAGTTTGCTGTTCCGCGCAACCTGCGCAAGACCAGTCTTCGGCCGCGAGCTAGTATCTCTCGGAACGGAAGACGAAGACGAAGACTTAAAGGGCCGACCACCAGAAGAAGGGATGTGAGCATGGCGTCGGAGAGCGTGGCTGACTTCGCCGTGTGACATTTTGATAATCGCCTGCCACTTGCGCGGGTCTTCACGCTGCGCCGCCGTACGCCCGCATTCTACGCCGTTGATCTCTGTCAGTCCGAGCGTCTCCACCCGGCAGTCGCCCCAGAACCATGTGTTGTTATTGACCATACGTGTATCGACTTGTGAGGAGTATGCACGACCTTCCATCACGCCGGAGAGGTCGTAACCCAAGGTGTGAGTGCCGAACATCAGCTCTGCCGCGAGTGGTTCGTAGCAGCGACCGACGATTAGCTGCGGAGAGACGTTACAGATTTTGCCATTGGCCATGCGGTACCAGGGACCGTAGTCGCTCATGCTGACCTGGCGGAAGGTAGCGGTTGCTTCTTCCGCAGTAAGGGGGATAGGTTCGGCTGCTGCCTCGGTGGATGGTACTGGGGTTGTACATTTGAATGGGCCCTCTTGGGTAACACGACTTGGGTCCTTCGTGAACATCTTGCCGCAGATTAGGGCTGTGTAGTGGTCTGCTAGCTGCTCCTGGTCATCGTCGACGCACCCCGAAAGGCAGAGTTGAATTTTTTCAATGACCATCACATCCGTCACTTCGCCGACTGTTCCATTTTTGAGCTGGCTGTGATGGAATCCATTTGGCCGTAGACGGACGGTGTCATGTACGGCAAGGAGTTCGGCTCCAATGAAGATTCCTTTGCAATGGATCTTGGCGTTGGGCCATTCACCAACAATATGGAACTTGTGAACCACGCTCCAGGAAGACATCACAGTCATAGCGTTCTCAATAGATGGGTGTGCGTCCTCTCGCTTTTGTCCATTGAGAAAGGCTTGCCATGTGTTAAAAGGTTTGATGTTACGCAACGGAACATAGGCGTATTGCACCGAGTAAGACTTGTCATTACCCAGCGGATCCGGCAGAGTCTCCACACGGAAACCAGAGTAACTTAGTCCGCGTGGACTATCCGGGGTTTCGATAATATTCACCATATGCCCTTCATCCTCAGGGGTTTGGGTCACCACACCAGCACGCCAATTGGGCACGCCATGCCACTTGTTGTCGTTGCCGAATATTTCAATGAAGCCAGTCTCGGGGTTGAGCAATAAACATCCGTCTTCTAGACCCTGCCAGATCCAGAGAACAAGTTCACCACGACGAGGGACGTAAGCGGGATCCAGAACCAGTTTCATAAAATAATCAGACAGCCATTCGTGAGTCAACACCCAGTCAAGATTGAATCGCTGCTCAATATCTTCATCAAGCTTCCTTTTATCTTTCAATTTCATAACTAAGATTCGCCAGTAATCTGGTCCCTCTGCATCGGTGGGTCGACGTTCATTGATGACTCGATGTGTGTCAATAAACAATCTAACATAAAAGACATGGTAGTACTCACTTGGCTGCATGACTCTTTTAGTTCCCTGCACGGAAGTCCCCCGAACTGAAGTCCCCTGGCTCGTCTTCATCGAAGCACATGGCTTGCATTTACACTTGTCCAGCTCATCCTTGACTAGACATAGGAAATGGGGCAAGAAAGTGGCCTGTGACTGGAAATACCGACCGCTCGGGTGACCAAAGAGGAAAGGGTCAAACTTCACATATAATTGTTAGTTGAAAATAAAGATGGGAGCACTGGGAAAGCTCACCATTGAAGGATTGGTGCCACGAGGTCGCTGGAATAGGCAATATCCATCAGGCAACTTTTCAATTGTATGAACCACACCTTAGGTATGCTCTGTTAGTCTGAGAGCATATATATGAATCCAAGAAACAGAGAAGAAAGGAGGGAGCAGGCCGGCACAGAGCACAAATAAGTGAAGTAGCAAACGACAGTTGGGTGAAGCGATAGATGCAGTCACCCGCAACGCGCAAAAACACGCAGTGCAACACAGCCAGCATGTTAAATAAAACGTGGACCTAAACCATCTGTTGTCAACTCACCCTCTTCAAAAGTGCCCATATCCTTGAGCCAATTCTCAGCAAGTAGCTCCCGCCAGCGAGAATCGGAGCGTTCAATATAATTGCCCTCAGGCCAGGTACTCATGTCTCCATCACTGGGAAAGTTCTCCATGGGGATAACATTAATATTGGCGTCTTCATCCTCGCTGCTAGAAGACATGTTTGTCTTCTTTTTGTCTTCCCTTGTCTTCCCCACCTGGGAAGCCCAGGGAGTGCAGAGAATGGATTGTAAGGAATTTGGGACTCAGCAACGCTAGAAAAAATCAGATAAGAAAAGAATGCAGCACAAGAACTGTCTTCAGACAGTGAGTAGAGGGCTGGTACGAGAACGCAAGTGAGGAAGAGTTGTTGATAGGATGAACTATAAAAATCTATGGTTTTCGCGTTGAGGTGGGCTTATCGATAAGAGAACACCGCCGCTTTAAGAGGGCGGTGAGAAAGGGGGAATATGATCTTGCCGCTTTAATTTGAGTCAACTGGTTATACACGACCAAGTCGGGAATATCCAGGGATCTAAACATAAGACATAGTTATATAAAAACATGACTAGAGAACTATCTCTACTGTAAATAGGGAGATGGATCTGTTAAACATCACTTGAACAATTAAGATCGGAGTGCTTCGAAATTGTCTATGCTGACTCTGTACATTCAATTTGCAGTTACTTCAACTAGAGCCTCAGAACCAGAGTGCTCTTCTTCCTGATAAGGCGGCGGTGCGACTTCACCCTCATTAGCCCAAACCTTCTGAAGCTCTTGATCAATTTCCTCGCGGCGCTGTTTCCACTCATCCACCTTATCCAGGCGCTTCCGCAGCTCCTGAAGTTCTTTCTCGACGCCAAGCTTCTCCTTCTCAGTACCGATTCTCTCGAACTCCCAGACCTCGCCTTCAGCACCTAGGCCAAGATTCAGGTTATAGGTATGGTACTTTTTCAAAGACGCCCGCGTCGAAATGGTGATGAGAGTGATACCTCGCTCCTTGGCATTATCGTATAGCAAGCCCTCAACATCCGAAGAAACAGCAGAAGTGCCTTCGTCCATGAATGCATACCGTGGCTCATGGTAAAAGAGCCGTGCCATGCCCATACGCTGCTTCTCACCACCGCTCAGAACATCCTTCCACTCCTTGCGAGCGTCCCAGCCGCCTTCACGTTGTGGCAGATAACCTAGATGGGCGTCGTCGAGGATCTTCTGTAGAGCGGCGTCGGTCTCGCCGGCTTCGCGCATGTCGACCTCCGTGTGCGGGTAGATCACTTGGTCGCGCAGAGTGCCGACGCTGAGATATGGCCGCTGGGGGAGGAACATGATTCCGTCGAGGCCAAAGCCTCGAGGACGACTGACCAGGCCGCGGTATACAGGCCAGAGTCCGGCCACAATACGGGGAATAGCAGACTTGCCTACGCCGTTTGGACCTGAGATGAGGAGGTGTTCGCCTGAGTGGACGATGAATGAGAGCGACTCGATGAGTTCGTCGCCGCCCATTGGGTGGAGGGATGGTGCGACGATCGGGACCTGCTCTAGGCGGACTCCGTCGAAACCGTTGTGGGTGGTGCCTTGGGAATCGGCAAGAGAGTATAGTTCGGGATGCGAGCCCCGCGGGGTGTAATACGCATCGGCATGAACACGGTGCAATGTGGCGATGAGGCTGTAGACGCGAGAGGTGTAGCCAGCCAGTTCTGAGATGTCCTTAATGCTGTACATCATGCGGCCTCCAGCATCGGCGAGTGAAAGCATGAGGCGTTTGTTAGTGATGAACTCCTTCATACGGCCACGCTCGCGACCCGTAGCCTCGGGTGCATTGGCCAATTCCATTGCACCACCTGAGCCACCCCAGGCGGGGAGGAAGATGGGTAGGGAAGTTATCAAATAACCAAATGCTGACCAGGAGTACTTCAGGATCATGTCTTCGAGCATGTTGTAGCGGATCTTGAGGCTGTAAATGCCCTCCATCCATCGTTGCAGCTCCTTGAAGCTTCTGACCAGGAACACCCGCTCGGTATCAGCTCCGCCGTAGAACGAGATTTCTTCGGCATTGGCTAGAAGTCGAGAGTGCAGGCCACGGAAATCTCCTTCCTTCTTGCCCTCTACTGCCTTGAGCTTTCCAAATGGTGGTGACAGTTTCCGGAGCACCACAGCTGTACTGAAGTACCCAGCCAAAATGCCGCTCAGGGCAAGGGGGCCGAGTGAGCGGTAAAGTTGGTAGTTGAATACGAAAAGATCCACCAACGGCTTTCCCATTGAGGAGTATAATGATGCGGCAGCCGTGCAGAACAGGGTAAGATCCTGCGTGATAAATTGATCGGGGCTTTGACCAATTCCACCGTCCAAATTCATCAATTTATAGTAATTGTTATTGTCGGTTAGGTATAAGTCGTGGATATACCGGGTCAACCGAGTGCGGAAGGCGATGGACACCTTCGATTGGAGGAATTTGATCATCGCATTGGTATATGAAGCCAGAGTTCCAATTCCACACCACTTGAGGATACCCCAAAGGAAAGCTTTTCCCTTTCCAGCGACTAGATCCCTCACAATCTCACCGTCAAGCCGTGCAATCAATAGTGAAAGGTATGTTCGCAACAAGAGAAAAAGGCCGTGGCTCATCAGCAATCCAGTCTCTTTGCTTCCCCATCTCGGGACCATAATACTACCCAAGCTTAAGAACTGATGTAGGAATGCCAAATTTAGACCTGGTTTGGTTGTAGGGGGAGGGATCTGGCTTGCCGAGCCATCATCTTTGCTGCGAGCCGATGCCGGGGGGTTGAGGAATAGTCGTCGATGAGCGTCAAAGGTAGTCGGCTTGGTGGGATGGATCAAGACCTTGGAGGTTAAAGAGTCTTTGTATGGTACGTAGATAGTACGAGATCCATCTTTACCCCGGATACCAGAGTTCCGGCGTAATAGACGGCGACCGCGGGCTCGCTCCTTGGCTCTTCCTCGGAACCATTGATAGCCTCCATAACTCGAGCCGATGATGGAGAAAAGAAGGGCTATCGTTGCAATCAAGCGGGTTGTTTTGGATGTGCGGTGGAACTTGGAGCGTACGAGATCGGAGTAATGACGATATAGTGCTAGGAGGGGATCCTCCGGACGCCGAAGGGTTGACTGGACAGCCATCTTCAAATGGCCTGAGACCTCCGACTCACGAGGTAACTGAAGGGTCCCTAGACTCCGAAGGCCTTAGTTTTGAGTGTGTTTCGAACCATATGAAATGCATCTCAAGGTGAGAAAGTGAAGTTGACGGGGTTGACGGGGATGATGATAGTGCATTGCATGTGAACCTCGGATATGTGGAGAAGCCTCACGTGGGGAACCTTCGAAGCTGACTGATCTTCTGCCCACTGCACCTTGATCTTTTGGAAAATGGCCTTGGATAATAATAGAAATGGGGAACCCTGTTAACCCTGGAGATTTTCCTATGGATTGCATCTCTAGTCTCTATGTTGTATAAGGTACATCGTAGTACGGAGTATTGCTTTCTTTGATATCCTTTGTTGGCTTCATGATGTTCAAACTTCCCCCTATGAAACATTCCAACCCAACTAGACCTCGAGAACTCGAACCTACACCAACATCAACAGGTATAACCCAGTTTGCAGTTCCCAATTTGCAGTTTGGGGGTTGGACTGGATCTAATTTGGGGTCACATCAAATGAAATCAATCACGTTTTGAAGGCCATAGCTCCTCTTACTGCCATATGAGTGGTCCTTAAAGCATAAAAGTGGCCATAAAAAAGGGGCCGTACATAGCAATCACAGTTAATATCCACAATTAGATGACCCCACAGGCCCTGATCGGGATCATCTCAAAAGGAGTCTGTTTGTTGTGACTCACACCCTATGTATGTTGGAGGGATGATGTTATAGAGTAAAGGGGGAAAGAATCCCACGTTAAAATGTAAAAGTAACATCGAGTAGGTACTCTGCACAGTGTGATAACAAGTCCGTATTTACCGTAGCCGCCGATGGCTTGAAGTAGCGTGTGAAAAAGGGCCCCCCTGTGCCTTGCTAGCCTTCTTAGCCCTGTTTAGCGTCAGAAAATGGAAAAAGGAAATAAATCCCATTTCCCCCCGTTTTCCCACACCGTAGGTTCACGTGACCATACCCCCGACTCCTCTCGACTCTCAGCCCCCCGAAAATACTCACGGTAGAGATATCACATCCATTTTCTGTTCATTTAGTTTGTCGGTTTCGAAACTGCAATCAGTGGGTGTTGGATCACTCCCGGGGTCAAAGGCGGTACGTGCGAAACATCTTCTGCTTATCCAGGAGGCGTGTTAACGTCCCTATTAGCCGCGCTCTCGACCTTTAAGAGAGTTCTGGCATTGATTCGGCCTTTCAAACCTGGGAACTGTTTCGCTTCACTTCCTTTATCTATATTTATCTGTGTTGAGGCACCTGACAAAGTCATCCGAGATGAGTGGAGAGACAGGGCGAGATTCAGCTCCGGAGTCCGCAAACAAAGCCCCTATGAATACCTCCGGTCTTCCGGGCTCAGCCAGTAAGTGAATGCGCGTTCTGATCGCTTGTACTTGAATGGGGATATGATTACTGACGTCGTTCCTTCTGTAGTTGCTGAGTCCGAACGAGGTACCGATGCGACCGAAATCCAGGACGCAACCTCTGTCGCACCTTCCGACCCGGCTTTGCCTTCCACTGTACCAGCGGATAGCACACCGGCTGCTGCTGAAAGCGTCAACGCACCGAAGAAACGCCATTTGTTGATTCCAATCCCATCGCGACGATCCTCGAGAGCCAGCAAAAAGCAGGGGTTGGAAAAGTCCGAGGAAGCAGCGCAGGATGAGCCTTCGCGACGGAGTTCCAAAGTGAGCATCCTGCGGTCGAAACGGGATCACAGTCGGGCAAGTAGCCGACGGTCGCGCCAGTCTCAGGACGGAGTGAATGTGGAGGAGAGTAAAGAGGCGTCGACTATGCCTGATAACAGCCCCTCAAAGCCTCAACAGAAGAAGGGTCCATCTAAGCTCCTAGCTTTCTTGGGTTGTTGCTCCTCGTCGGATGTCGATGCAGATGACACTACGTTGCCTGCAAAGAAAACGACCATGCGGCCACCTGCTTCCAACAGGTTGCCTACTCCAGACAAGGCAGAGGCTCCTACTGCCGATTCCAGCACTGTAGAATCAAGGGAGCCATATTTAGAGGAGAAGGCGAACTCCACAGTCAGCGCCGATCAGCCTGGCGAAGAAGACCGCAATGTCCCGGTCCAGGCTACCACGGCCAGTGTGCAAAGCGAGGGTCCTTCTGCGGATGCCACGCAGCCGAAAGTGTCTGCCCAGCAAGAGAAAATCAACGATGTTACCCCGCCTGCCCAAGCGGGAATTGTGATGGGACCAGTACCTGAAGTGAAAGCAGACGCAACGAAAGCAGATGTAAGCACTCAGGATTGGGAAGGTCAATCAACCTCAACCACTGAGGACCTCACTTCTGCACCAACCTCAACCATGCCCAAAAACTTTGGCACCGATGGCCAAGAAGAAGAAGAAGAAGTAACATCTCATCAAGAAGTGAAACTCCCCGTGGTGATCCCTCCGCCGCCGCCACCGCTGCCACCTGCACCCCCTGCTCCTGCTCGAGGCCACTATGAGGAAACAGGAAATCCTTTGCTCCCTGCACCCTTGCCTCACTTAAGCAACCGAAAGTGCTTGGTTCTTGACCTGGATGAGACGCTGGTTCACAGCAGCTTCAAGGTGAGTCCCCATCATTTTCAATATGCGCCCAAGGCGTATCGTCGTATTATCGTATCAACTTACTCATTATTGATTTCATAGGTTTTGGAGCGTGCCGACTTCACCATTCCGGTTGAGATTGAAGGTCAATATCACAATATCTACGTGATCAAACGTCCTGGTGTGGATGCCTTCATGAAACGCGTTGGTGAGCTGTACGAAGTGGTGGTATTCACTGCCTCGGTTTCAAAGGTCAGTTGATAGTTGATGGTTTTGACGAGTAACACACACTGACTCTAGTTATAGTATGGCGATCCTTTGCTTGATCAACTGGATATCCACAACGTGATTCATCACCGCTTGTTCCGAGAGAGTTGTTATAACCACCAGGGAAACTACGTCAAGGTGAGCTCCTTTGTCCTCAGTGATTGAGAATAACCTAACCATTATCCAGGATCTTTCACAAGTCGGTCGAGACTTGAAGGAAACAATTATCATTGATAATTCCCCCACATCATACATCTTCCACCCTGAGCACGCGATTCCCATCAGTAGCTGGTTCTCTGACGCTCACGACAATGAGTTGCTCGATCTCATCCCTGTCCTCGAGGATCTTGCCGGGGCCCAGGTCCAAGATGTCAGCATGGTCCTGGACTGCACCCTCTAGATGCCTCGACGGGATCCTTCTTACACCTGAGATATCCATTTTGAGCGAATTGTTTTCTTTTCTACGCGAGAAAAGCCCCCTCCTTTTACGTTTCTCCAGCATTGCTGCCATTGATGGGTAGTCGCCCTATTTCCTACAATCCGATTCCCCTTCTCGACGACCGAACACGGACCCAGATGGAACTGGTATCCTACTGGGCCACGGCCCCCGTCTTCTGCATTTGTTGTCGTTCTTGGATAGCACATTACCCTGACCATCTTCGACCTTTTGCATTGCAATTTGAATTTGTATCTCACTACGCTCCGAGCGAGCCCATTCCCCTTTTTTTCTTTTTTTCTTCACCCCCTGTGCTTTATCAACATCCTCTCATGTCCTGACCTTCCATTTTTGTGTGTATTCTCTCCCCTTCCCTCCCCAACACCCAACAAGTCCGCTTTTTATGCATTCTGCAGGCGTCTCTTGATTATCATATCCCCGCTGTATCCCCCCTATGTTTCTATTTTCCCATTTCTGCCTTGCTACATGGCCTTACTGCCTCGATCTCAGCTCACCAATACATGGGCATGCATTTCATTGTGTCCTCTTTTGCTGGGACTTCTGGCAGTGGTATACATCTCCTTCATAGTGAGCAGTGTCTAATAATCCCCTTTATGCTGCCTCGAAGTGATTCTTTCATGCAATGTACATGATCACGGCTCTCGATGCTGTACATAGCGAGAAGACGTATCCAGAAAACAAAATGGAGCAAGTTGTATTAGAGTAGAAATGAAATTAACTCATTAATTATTATTCATCTATATGGTCTATAAATTGAAATAAGTTAGTAAGTTGAAGTGCCTCGGGGCTATTCCGCATTGAGACCGCATTAAGACAATGAAGTCACCTCATCCCGAAACCAAGTTTTCGTTCTTTACTCTCAGCGCAACTTCTTTGTTGTCCCTTTGTTCTTTCGAGCTCTTGGATTTCCCTTTTAAAACCATTGGCAATCACCCGATAAAACCGAAAGCTCTCCGCAATCGCGATTCCCACCGCCCACCTCCAAACATCCCACATCTCTCACGCTGGCTGAAACCATGAAGAACAAGGAGGGCTGGGACGGAAAAATGAGGATGGAGCCAAAGGCCGTTATTACAAACCCGGAGGCACTTGAAGATTCAGATTACTCGGATCCGGATGCACCCCCGGTCGATGAGATTGAGGCTGATGAAGGTACGGTCGCTGGATTGATTGCTCAGCGCTGAGCGGTCATTTACGAGTCGATAGACTAACGACTGTTTAGACCTATTGGCAGATGAAGATGTTAACGCAGAGGTAGGCAGATAGTCCTGGACTTTCCGCTGATCGACGCGCGCGCAACGTGATTGCTAATCATTCTTCTGCTGTAGGATATTGACCTCGTGCATTGCCGGATATCGTCAATTTCTGCTCTTAAATTGGAACGCTTCCCTAAACTTCAGGTACATACCCCCAACGACCGAGAAATCCACATGTGTCTTGTAACGGGGAGGGGCATATGGTACCACTTCTTCCTCGAAAGCACAAAAGCGCGACGGCGCGACATTCCTTTGTGTTGCCCAGATGGCTAATGCGCTGGGATATACAGAGACTATGCATGCGCCAGAATCAAATATCACGCATCAACTTCCCTCCAAATGTCGCCGCCACTCTCACCGAACTCGACCTCTACGATAACCTCATTTCCCACATCAAGGGCCTGGAGGACTTCCACAACTTGACGAGCTTGGATCTGAGCTTCAACAAGATCAAGCATATCAAGAATATCTCGCATCTGAAGAAGTTGACCGAGATTTTCTTTGTGCAGAACAAAATCTCCCGTATCGAGGGCTTGGAGGAATTGACCGGAATCAAGAACTTGGAGTTGGGAGCGAATAAGATTCGGGTTCGTACTATATGATACCTACGTCCGAGGCGAATAATGGAAAAGCTGACACGAGGTCTGTTCAGGAAATCGAAAACTTGGAAACACTGACGGCGCTGGAAGAACTCTGGCTTGGGAAAAACAAGATCACTGAAATGAAGGTGCGCAACTATCACTCGACATACCTGAACAAGCGAAGAAGCTGACACCCTCGCAGAACTTGGATAGCCTCTCAAACCTCCGCATCATCTCCATTCAATCCAACCGCCTCACCAAAATCACGGGTCTCTCCGCGCTCCCCAAGCTTGAGGAGCTCTACCTCTCTCACAATGCAGTAACAGACCTTTCAGGACTGGAATCCAACGAGACACTGCGCGTGCTCGACTTTTCCAACAACCAGGTCTCCCATCTTGAACATCTTTCTTCACTAAAGAACCTTGAGGAGCTGTGGGGGTCGAATAACCAGCTTGCTAGCTTTGAGGAAGTTGAGCGCGAGCTCAAGGATAAGGAAAAGCTGCAGACCGTTTACTTCGAGGGTAACCCGTTGCAGTTGAATGGGCCGGCTGTTTACCGGAATAAGGTGCGCTTGGCGTTGCCGAATATCCAGCAGATTGATGCTAGTAAGTCTCCTCCCCCTCTGTGTCTCTATTGTAGTATACAGATGGTTTCGGATATTTTGCTAATGTGATATTCCACTCTACAGCGTTTGTCCGAGTTTAAGGGAATGAGGGTAATACCTTAATCTATTTTTTATACTCTGTCTACTTGACTAATGGCTCTGATGTCTTACATTCTATCACCAAGTGTGAGCGAGTTGATTCTTTACGCATAGAATGTGAGGACCTATGAAATTGATGTTGACAATGACTGCCTCTGGGGCTGGCTATGGCTAGCTCTACATTCGTACTTACCTACCTAGGTAGTAACGAAATTGTACATTGACATGGTGAGAGCCAACAAAGCTTTCACAAACAGGAATATAAAGAGCAAAAGGAGGTCTGATAAACTCTGCCTCAGCAAGTAGCAAGCGCCTTACAACACGTATTCACCAAAAGTCCGACCGATCCTACAGTTATATTGGTTAATCTCAATTATTTGAAGTTAACATACAATATTAAAAATACTTATCAATTGCTATCGGCCAGTCATAAATTCAACAAAAACGTTGGTTAAAATACAAGTGACAACTATATCGCTTTTACTATGTGGTTTGGCGTAGACCACTTGTATGTGGAATACGTTAACTAGTTACTGCTTATTGGGGACACCTAAATCACAACATCCCTGCAAAAAGTATCTTCATCAACCCCATATCATGAGAACTCTGTGGATGTGTTCTCTGGCACACTTCGTGTGTTTTGTCAATGCTAATTACAACTGTCTCAGTCGGTGGTGTGATACATGTCTTCCTGTGAAGGTCCACGATGCACCTGGGGTAGGTTTCGATCTGACCCCCTCATACGGGTGGGTATACCATCAGTCTTTTTTCTATTAAACAGAACATATCTAATGCTTGATCTAGGACAGCCGCGGTGCACTACTACAATGGAACTGTTGTCGAGGCTGCTAAGGTTCTGGGGAGTCCGGAGTACATCGAACTCATGGCACGTCTAGCTACCACATCTGAGCCGCTACTGGACTCAACCCTTGGCTTCACGAGTGAACTTCTATCACGCTTAGCGGAATATATACTCCCACGCACATCGTCACCGTGGAGAGACTGGTGGCGTCGACTGAACACAAAGCTCGGTCGACCAGTAAAAGCAGATGACGTCCAAATCATCAGTGATCTACTCCAACAATTGAAAATCTCCACCGAAAATAGAATAGCTCAGCCCCTCGAGAGGGTTGCCGTTACAGATCCCGGCTTCCATTCGCTTAACTCGGCGACAATCAGCGCTGCACTTCGAATGTCAAATCTACGCACATGGCTAGGCGACAGCGTGCATTACCCTTGGCGACTCGTGGAAGGAGATACTGTCTACGCAGCGAACGGTTATGGACTATGCGCCGATTACTCGGAGTCCTTCCATTGCACGAACGAATTTGACGAGTCATACCATCCTACCATCTTCTTTGTTTCCTATAGCCGCACTCTCTTATATGCTAGCATCGTGGAAGGTGCTACTGCTGAAGCTTTAGCTCCGCTTACCCTTGTTGAGGCACAACTGGTAGATTACGAGCTTGGGCTAGATCTTCTCCTTGAGAAAGACCAAGACGCATTATGGGACCATCTGCGTTCACAACTCCAGATCCTCCCTCGGGAGTTCGGATATCCTGTTACGCATGTCTTTTTAGCTGGTGAGAGTGTAACACACCCTCGCTTCCTGGATATCTTCAGGGACGCTATGTCTAAACTGTCACTCGAATCTGTCAACATCAAATCCGGAATCGACCCGACTTTCGCAGCGGCTCGTGGGGCGGCACTATACGCCCGAAGACGTCAAGAGGTGCCGGGCGACTGCATGGAACGGAGGGAATGTGAAGAGACGAGGATGCACGAGCGATTGCACACTTCCACACGAGAGGAGCTGCGCTAAACCGGATGATATGAACTATTGCGCTGCTGCTCGAGGATGTCTGCAGTATCTCTAGAATTCATGGAGATAAAATATGTCAATAGCCTTCTTTAATTACTGTATGTTTAGCCCCCGTTTCTAGCCCTTATCTCGGGGTAATATTTTACTCATTTATTAGTTAGGCTTATACATCATGTTTAAAAACACGAGAAAACGCGTTATTTAGGTAAATTATAAATTATCGAGGTTTACTTAAAAAGTAGTAGTACTCCTGTACAAATACCAAATTTCTGTAGGTAGAATACAGCGATTATAAGACGCCGGTTTGTAAGCGCTAAGACTCCCTTAATGGGCTATAATAGGGGCCTTATGGGCCCCCACGAATGGGATGTGGGTTGGGTTGGGCTTCGAGGGTTAGGCCCATAGCCCACTACGGGTGGGGCTTTGGGCCTATCCTCGGGCCTACCGGTGGGCTGTAGGGGCCTAAAGCCCATAATAAGCACTAAACAATACAAACATTCTAAGAAACGTGACTTTTCTAATTACCTTATGTTTAGACCCCGTTTTTAGCCCTTAAATCAGGGTAATATTTTATTATTTTAATTAATACGTTATTAATAACTAGCTAAATATATATATACAACGTTTAAACACGCGAAAAAACGCGTTCTTTAGATAAGTCTTAAATTATAGAAGTTCACGTTAAAAATACAAGCACTCCCGTGTAAATCTTAAATATATATCTATCATAACTTCAATATTAAACTTTTTTTAACATCCACCAGTCGGATTCCATTCAAAATTAGAGTATACACTTATACAGCTATTATAATTCTAAATTCTGAATTTAAACCCTATATAACAAGTAGAAGGGTCAGAATACAATAATTACAAGATGCTAGTTGAACCCCCTAAATGGGCTTTGCGGAGGTCTAGTTACTTATATCTACCATTGATATCATGGAAGACGCTTTTCTTGATAATAAGTTGACAACACTCACGAATAGCCTAATATTTTGGTATGCCCTTATTCGGCTATTTACCTGTCGTTGTTGTACAATTCTTTCAAGATAAACCGGCTCGCGTAAGGCTTGTAATGGAATGATCTACTGTCGATCATTCACGCGAAGTTCCTTTTGAATCTCATAGCTTGAAGGAGGACTTCTCAACTTCATGGTTTCGCCACACGCTAGACACGAATATATATCAGTGGTAAAAATGAGTTCAAATTTAGCCTTGTGCGTAAGGGCATGTGGTTATGTTGTCCACGCATTTGCATGTTATTAACGCGCAATCAATCCTCCTTTCGTTCCATTGCACCTCCGTGGAAGAATACCCCGATGTTACAAAGCTTGCTTAGAGGATTGTGTGCACGGTGTACCTCTAAGAAAGCCCTCGCACAGGTCTTTCCTCATGATACGATGCATGCAGGATTCGCCCACGGGCAATCCATTCGGTGACAAATAAAATCGCAAGTCCGCGCTACTTCGTATGACGAAGGTGATGCGAATCTGTAGAGTCGGTGGCCTCAAGAACGCAGCGGTCGTGAAGTGGCTCATAGATCTGCGCTAATACGTGTTACTACGCAAATCTATCCAGGAAGAACCAAAAAGAAATCAGGGAAGCTAAAGGAACAGCCGAAAGGGATCTCTGAGTCTCGATGATTCGAGGGAAATATTGCATATGCACTGAACATAATGTTATGTTGGCCTCTGCAAGTTGTAAGCCTATTTTCAGGGTTGCCTTCTCTCGATTCAATTGAGTCTTAACTTCATGCGGTTCTCTTTTCTTCCCCCTTCAACAATGGACCAATCCACTTATTCTCAGAAGAAACGGACCTCCTGGCGAGTGAATATAGGTGCAAAAGCAATCAGACTCAACCAGATAGTATAGTATATGTAAGCACGCTCATGCTTCCTTGAGCAACAGTCTCCTTGCTCTCGTAGCAATAGATAAGACACCATCATACCCATCGCTAATATACCACAAGCAAAAGTGGTTGCCGTAGCAAAACTAGTGAAAGCAATAAATACACTCCATCCCATGATCATGTAAGCTGTGACTTTGATCACTCTGGAGAATCCCATAATAATGGGCAGGGTTCTTCGCCCAAGTAATATATCCCCGTTCATGTCAGAAAAGTCGCTGACATGGATAGTGCTCGGAACAACCGCGGAAAAGACTGCCAACCACTGGCAACTCAGTGGATCCAGTTCTTTCCAATGGCATATATACAATTGAGTCAGAGGCTTAGCAGCCGTGATTGTATTAATACGCCTGGAAGTCCGCAAAGCCATCATATCTGCACCAAGACCCAATGTCGCATAGGCTAATGAGCAGAAAAGATTGCGTGCTAAAGCTGTCTTATGCACAGTTGTGTTGTTGTAAAGAGCACCCAGACATAAGAAAAGCACGACCAGAGCGCTGACTCCAAAGAAGTGCGAGTAGATGGCGCAAATTGAGATGGCAAAGTATCTGACCGTTATGGCCCTAGAAAGCGCGATTCGGTTTGATGGAATTGGTCGCCATTCTTTATTGATTTTGTCTTCGACGATTGAGTAGCTGCGTGTTTGATTCTCGATGTTGAAGATAAGAAGATTCAACCAACACCACAGGAAGGAATTGGCTAGTGCAGAAAGAAACCCCCAAGTGCGTACTTGGATATCAGAAGAACTAACAAGAGCTGATAGCACACAGCACATTGTAGGTGCAATGATGGTTTTGAAGTCTGACTTGGTAAAGAGGAAGGCTGTGTAGAGATTGAATGGGATGGCGCACAAGGCTCTCGAAAGAGCGGCTCTTGTATCCATTGGAGGCATTGAAGTAAATTGGGCTCGCCTTTGTGTAATAGAGCTGGTAGTGTGAACGCGGGGGATAATGGAAATTATATAGAGAGAAGTCTAATTCAATTGCAGATCTTACGGGCAGTGCTTTTTAATATCAACGTTGATCTATGTCAATGGTTACATGATAGGAAAGGTCTTATTTAAGGAGAAGAAATTTGAAGTGGTGTACTGACGTTAATAAACTGCTATAGTATTATTGCCTGTGTCCCTCATCAGCCTCGCATGCGCATACATTGCAATTCGCATTTGTGGTAAACTTGAATGGCCGTGTAATGTCACACGACAAGAGCCAAGCGGAGTGATCAAACAATACCTGATGAAGATAGTCGCGTGTATGTCAATTGAATAGTAGGATCAAGATGAAATTGGTAGCCAGCAGTGTATTATAAGTACTCCACAAAAGCAAGTTTTTCTTTTCTGATCTTCAAACAATCTCGTCGGTATCAAAATGATTTCGCCCTGGCTGATAGCTGTCTTTCTGGGGCTCCAGTGCCTTCGTATGATATATAGGTTGTACTTCCATCCCCTTGCCCGGTTTCCGGGACCAAAGCTGGCTGCTGCTACGAACCTTTACGGCGCGTATTGGACATTGGTCAAAGGGGGACAATATACTCTAAGACTCCCAGAACTTCATCAAAAATATGGTACGGGCTTTTATGATATAATTTTTATTCACATCTCACCCCTAAATAGGGCCAATTGTCCGAACCTATCCTGACGAGCTACATATCCACGACGTGGATGCTTATAATGAGGTTTTCAGTGTCGGCACAAAGTTTGACAAGGAGCGCCTATTCTACGATCATCCTCTTGGGGAAGGATCTCACTTCAACATGTCGGACCTCAAATCTTCCAAGTCCCGACGAGACATGTTTGCGCCATTTCTCTCCAAAGCAGCCGTTGCAAGAGGCGACCCTTTGATTCATGCCACAGTCATGAAGTTCATAGATATCCTGAGAAAATACGGCAAAGATGGCAGAGTAGTTGATCTCACAAGAGGCTATCACTCGCTTACTACAGACCTGATCATGAACTATGGATGGCAGCGAGAATTTGGGGCGCTCGATTTCCCAGATTTTGCTTATCCATCTGTGGTTTATATGAATCATTTTCTTGTCTCTACAGTCCTTATTCGCACATTCCATGGCTTTTTCAGGTCTATTGTTGGTCTTGCCCTGCAGTTCCCTGCTCTTGCAAAGTGGAACAAAATGCTGGCCGCAGTGTTTCACCTGCGCACTGTGAGTTGTTCAATAAATTGCTTGCGTCGTCTTTCTTTCTCGTTTTGATGGCTGATGACTTCGTGTACAGCAAGCTCATGGCTTAGTTGTAAATGCCATCAATCGACCTAAATTGACAGGGCAACAGCATCCGAGCATGTTCGATCTGATCTTACAGCCAGATGCAAAATCAGGACTACCAGCACCATCTATTGATGATCTTACGGCCGAGGCTTTAGTTTTTCTAGTTGGCGGAGAAGAGTCGACAGCAAATACTTTAATTCATGGTACTTTCCATGTCTTGAACAACCCCCAAATTAAAAGCAAACTCCAGCAGGAGCTTTCAAATGCAATACTTGTTGACCAGCCAATGCCAACTGCAGACACACTTGAGAAGCTACCTTACCTGGTACGTAACTGAGCTTTTGCTCGGATTATATATGGTTTGAAAGAGACTAATTATAATGTTTCCAGAGAGCCGTTGTGAAAGAGTCGCTTCGCTTCTCTCATGGGGCCCCTGGACGACTCCCGCGTGTCGTACCTCCGTCCGGCGCGACACTGTGTGGACAATATATACCCCCGGGAGTATGCCCCTGAAGTTCCCATTTACCTTAATACACTGACTCTTTGGCTACAGACCGTCCTTTCGCTTAGCCAGTATGTTTATAACACTGATGGCTCTATATTTCCAGATCCAAAGTGCTTTAGACCTGAGCGCTGGCTTGGTAATGACTTTAAGTACCTGGACCGCCACTTGGTATCCTTTTCCAGGGGTTCGCGGGGCTGTATCGGGATTAAGTAAGTTGGAATATGCGACGCCTATGTGCATCCTCTGTCTCACTCGCTGTGTCTTACGTTGGAACTTACACGAACAATTATTCTCTAGCCTCGCTTATTCCGAGTTATATCTAGCCTTTGCGTATATGTTTCGCTGTCTTGACATGCAGCTATATGAAACGACATCCGATGATATGAAATGGGGAGACTACTTCGCACCAATGACAAGAAAGCATCTGGAAGTGAAGGTTATCTCAAGTACGCATTTAACCTCCGATAAAGCGTTGGCTTAGATATTTGGGTGATTGATGGCTTTTGCCGGATTGGGAAATGAACTACAATCCGAGGACAGATCTTTCGGCCTCAGAATGATCCAAGACCATAAGTACTTGACTCCAATTTTTCGTCAATATAATTTGCTTTTCTTTCTATAAGTAGGAATTGAAATTGGAATCGAGTAAACGACAGTAAAGCAACTAGCCTACCTTAATATGCGAGAAATCTCAGAATGTACATAAATCAGAGACAGTTAGGCCGGAGATGGACTTTTAAATTGCATTTTTCTCTATCTCTCGTGCATCGTATCGGACTTGCAGCCAAGACAGCTTTGATCTCACAATGGATCACGGTAAACATGAAGGGTAGGGATGAAGAAGTGCCGAAAACAGAAAGTGACACTGCTTCCAGATTCCTCTCTGTTGGATCACTCAAATGCCAGTTCAATGATCTCACTACCGGAGCCTGCCTCATGCGCACAGTCTGGATCTTTGTCATTTGGCGCGAAAACAGATGTCGTTGTGCAGTATGGTATGCCCAACCTCGTACGTCCATCATTGCGTGATATCATAATACCTGATATGATGTCCTACGAACCGGATAGAGTTCTAATCTTTCCTTGTTGTATTGTGCATTACAAGATCGACACTCCCTCGTCGTTCCTCCGCGTGATGCAGTGTATCTTTGGCAACTCTTGCTATGCTGTATCATCATGCCGCTTGGTGCAAATGTAGAGCGAGTGGCGACTAGCCACTGTATAGCATTACCTGAAGAGAATGTTGGAAACTGGCTGCTTAAGAAGGCGGTTGCGAGCCATAGGAAAATCAATCTTATTCGATTCCCGACCTCCAGCACCACCAAGATGGCCGAAAAATTGCATCAATATCCTTTCAGGGTTATAATAGTCGGAGGGTCAGTTGCAGGATTAACGCTTGCCAATACGCTGTCTCGCAAGAATATTGACTTTCTTGTGCTTGAAACCCGGGATGCCATCTCACCATGCCCTGGAGCAGCCATATGTCTTTTGAGTCACGGAACAAGGACCTTGGATCAAATGGGCATACTCGATGATGTAATTCAGTTGATGACACCAAAGGGAGTTTTTCATACATGGCAGGGGAATGGAAGGTTACTGAGCAAGCTTGATACACTCAATGTTCTTCAAACTCGGTGAGCTTAAGATGAGTCCTGTGATGGACGGAAATCTGACTTGCATAGTCATGGATACCCAGCTGGGTGGATTGACCGTGAAAAGCTGCTTCAGATTCTTTTCAACCATCTCCACGAAAAAGAAAAGGTCCTACTGCGGAAGAGATTTGTCAAGGCTGAACATTCTGCCGAAGGGATCATTGCCCATTGTTCTGATGGCAGCTTGTTCAAAGGTGATATCATTATCGGTGCCGATGGAGTCCACAGTTTAGTCCGGCAGAGCATGTGGCAGCATATGAAATATGATGGATTAGAAGGGATCTTGAACAGAGATGCGACAGGTATGCTTATACAAGAGAATGACCTCAAATTTTCATTTTCTCATCAATAAAAATAGCAATGACGGCTCAATACTCTTGTGTGTATGGAGTATCTAAAGCGGTAACTGGAATTGAAGATGGAATAGTACATCGCACGATTGGCAGAGGATTCAGCCTCTTGCTCGCTCCTGGAACGAAAGGTATCCTTTACTGGTATCTGACTGCCAAAATGGATAAAAGGTATCAGAGTCCTCATATTCCAAGATACGACAGATACGAATTAGAAGCACATATTGGCCGTTATATGGATCAAGAAGTGGCTCCTAATATCCGGTTCAAGTCTATCTATGATAACACCACATATTGCCACCACGCTCCAGTTGAAGAGGCAATCTACGAGCACTGGACATGGAAACAATTTGCCTGCCTTGGAGATTCAATACACAAGGCGAGTGCATGCATCAATACATAATTAGAGACAGCTCTGATTCAATTCACAGACAACTCCCACTTTGGGCCTCGGCGCCAATACTGCCATCGAAGATGCCGCATCATTGGCAAACTGCATGGCTTCTATGCTGGAATCAGAATCTGCATCATGCCTCTCGGTTGAGGTTATCAATCTTTACTTATCTTCTTGGGCTGCAGGTCGAGGATCCCAGGCAAAAGCAATATGTATCACCTCGAATATTCTAACCCGCTTTGAGACTCTTGCTACCTGGCGACACAAGATTATCATGTTACATATTATTCCCCATTTGGGGGATATTATAGCCGATCTTCTTAGCTATTTTATTGTGGGATCCGAGGGGCTGGATTCCATTCCTCCGTCAACGAGGTCTTTAGAAACTGCTATGCCTTTCAGAAATCTTGACCAGAAGGCCAACGCGTCTGAGTGGAAACATTTAGCCACTTCTGACGCTCTGCGATTGAGACTTCAATCAATCGCCTTATATTGCTTGGGGAAATTTTGGGGTTAAAAGTTTTTAGAAATACTATTCTGGCTCTAGTATATTAAATCTGTTTGATTTCACACATTTAATAATCAATGAGCCATTTCGTCGTCTTCGACTTTTGTACATCAAACAACAGCAAGATGAATTACGTAGAGAGTTATAAATTCCCGCTTGGCAGGGGGAATTTCGTACCTACTAGGCCCTGCTTCTTGGATTAGGTACTGGATATGACGTTAGGGTTAATGTCTCTACGGGCGACTAAGTATGCCACTCGGGGCACAACTCTCTCATTGGATACTACCTGACCGTCAATATCACTGTCTATAGGTAACGTTGGGAACCAATCTCCTATATTGAATCTTTATAGTACGGGTGGTTCTTCTTCTTCCTTCAATTTATCACAATTAAATTGCTATCGCCAGCATAGTGCTGCCTCTGCTTTTTCTCTATTACCTGAACACATTGGCATGCCGGTAGTACATCAGGGATTCATCTCTTGCAACGAAACTCCTGATCACAACGGTACTTATAGAATAGTATCAGGCCGCCATGGCGACCCGATACCGCTGAGTGATGGTGTCGGACAAGTCCACAAAGGAAGCACTGCTCATAAGCTCTGATAAACTCAGACTCGCCTTCATTTCACGCGCAATCCAATTGCGGATTTCGCCAGCCACCAAGGAGTCCACCCCATACGTACTGGGGGGATTCGAGGGTACAATATCATCCGGGTGTAGCGACAAGACCGAGACAAACTTCCCCACGATAGCCTCGTAAATAATCCATCGGTCGTCCTCGGCAGACTGACTCTTGGACAACAACTGGGCTAGCGGTATGACCAGTTTGTCATTAATGTTCTCGATGCCCTGTTCTCCCATAAGGCCTGGATGCCGGCAATGGATAAATCGACTATCTGCAAACCAGAAAGGAGTACGGGAAGGGGACGGAAGCAAGCAGGTATAGCATTCGGCATCCCAGCTGGGATCATATTGCCCACTGATTACCGTATCCAGAATGTCATTGACATCCATGTCGGTGAGACCCTCATCGCCCCAGTCTTTGTCGATGATTCGCTGTCGACTGCTCTGCTCGGCAATATCTTCAACTTTAATCACTGGGCCCAAGTCGATGGAGACAGCAGGGAGGCCTTGAGCTTTCCGCATTCGTGCCAGTGAGCCCAAATAGGTTGTTACAGTACTGTATGCGGCGTGGGTTGGGGACCCAACAATACCAGTAATGGATGAGATGATGATGAAGAACTTAAGACTCTGGGGATCACTGAACCGCTGATGCAAGTTCCATGCACCCTGGACCTTGGGACTGACCACCGTGCAATAATTGTCAAAGGGCATGGTCTCGAATAACATGGTCTGGAGGGTAGAATTTAGTATATAGCAAATATGAGGGGAGGAAATATCAGATATACTCACTTTAAACACCATATCGCTGTAGATGACACCTCTTATGGGTGGAACAATCTTTGCACTCTCCTGGATAACATGTTCCAGGCTGCTGGCATCCGCAACATTACCTTGGAACACCGCCAGTCGTATTCCTTTCAGTTGCATCTCCAACTCCAGCTCGCGGACTTTTGGCAATTCTAGCCCGCTGGGAGTCATGATGATGATGTTTTTGGCCCCTCTGCGGCTTATCCACTGGATGATGCTACGTCCAACTTTACCGCTGTCGCCGACGACAAGGTAGGACTCATCGGGCATAAACAACGGCACACTTGACTCATCGACAGCCACCTATTCTCGCAAATCAGCTTTGGCTACTCACGTTTAAGAATCTAAAGAGTGTCTTACCGAGACTGGACCCGACAATGAGAGGTCAATGACTAACTTCCCAATCGAGTCACCCTGACTGAGATGATCGAAGGCATCTTCTATCGCTCCAATGGGGTAGCACTTTGGCGACATCGCTGACTTGATCACCCCAGTAGCGTACCAATCAATTCCCCGGATCAAAATATCGTGCAGCATCTGAGGCTTTTCCTTCATCAGGGACTCCAGGTTTACCGAGAAGAAGGATGCGCCTGTGTTGAACGGTCTCATAGAAAGATGGTTGTCATCCAATATATCTGCGAGGGCAAGATTCACAAATCTCCCATGCGGCCCCAGGCACTTCCACGACACATTCAACGCTTCATTGGATCGGGTATTCACGACGACATCATATCCCCCCCTGTCGTCGCATTCATCAGATCTTCATACGATGAGATTTGACCCCCGCAGAAGATGTGATCGAATGGAATCTGGAGATTGTCTGCGATTTCTTCTTTCTTCTTGGCAGAACCTACCGTCACATAGACCTCGGCACCAATATACTGCGCGATTCTCACGGCCATTTGACCCACACCTCCTGCAGCCTGATGAATGAGGATCTTTTCGCCTCCCTTGAGGTGACTGACCGTTACCACAGAGTAATAGGCCGTGACAAAGGCCATTGGGATGGCGGCTGCGGTTGTGTATGTCATTGAGTCGGGAAACTTGACAACCCGGATCGAAGGACAGCGTACGATAGATGCATATGTGCCTCGTGTCAAAGCGCAAACACGATCGCCAACGGCTAGATCCTTGACCTCGAGCCCGGTAGCTGTGATAACACCGCTGCATTCGTAGCCAAGGTCTCCAATAACTTTGCCGTTCTTGATTAGGACGTCTTGAAAGCTGACACCACTAGCCTTGACCTCGATTTCGATATCCAAGTCATGGATGGCCGGTAGTAATAGTCCATTATCAACAAATGTGAGACTTTGGGAGCTCCCCGGTGCTTGTACCTGCATCTTAAGTAACTGTCCACTATCCCAGCCGGTTTGAGACCTCGGTGAAAATTGCTCCCGGGTATCGGTAATTAATTGGTTCATTCCACTGTCCGGCTTGTATCGTGGAATGTGAATGACCCCGTTTCTTTCAGAGAGCTCGAGCTCTGCCAGAGGTGCATCCGGCTTGACAAATGAATGTGAAAAGACGCGGAGAATCATTGCAGCTGCTTCGGCATTTGGGAGCCGGTTCTTGAGATCTAGATCCAATACCACTAGCTTCTGATGGTGGTTTTCCTCCCGAATACTTCGGGCGAGCCCCAAGGTCATGCCCGCCTTCGGGTTTACAGATTCCTGGTTGGCTCCGGCTACCACCCACAGATTTCTGTCCGCCTCGCAGATGCGCTGGAGGCCCCAATATTGAAGCTTGCTTATACTGTGCAGAAGAGGAGCGTCAAAGTCCTCTAATACAATGTAGCTCTTCGAAGTATTGTGTTCGGTGGCAATGGCCTCGAGTGTCCTGACATGTACGGTAATTTGTAGGGATTCTGCTAGACTGGTCTTGAGCGCTTCTGCAAGGCCCTTTGAGGAGCCGCTCGTGGCAATGGTAAGGTCATCGCTTGGGCTCCACTGGTCAGGTGCTGTTGCCGAACTCACAATCAAGCTAGATTCTTGCTCGAGGGTGTCGGGGTAATCATAAAGCTCTGCCTGGATACCAGAGAAACCTCTCGATCGTAGAACGCTGTCCCAGGTCATGGAGGAAAGTGTCGGCCCATCTTGACGGAATTCCTCTTCTCCAAGCCACCAGCCGGGCAATGTCGCAAAGGGAAATGATGCGAGGCTTGGGCTCGTGATCTCCAGCAAAAGTAGCTTACCGCCGGGTCTGAGAAGAGAGTGAACGTTCGTCATCGTGTTCGACATATTGACCGTTGCGTGTAGGACATTGGCCGCGATGATCAGATCGTAGGTCCCTTCTATCAGGCCCTGGCCCCCCGGTGAGGCTTCGATGTCCAGAACTCGAAAGTCCAACACCTGCTTCCATGCCTGGAGCTTGATCTTGGATTTTTCAAAGAACCCGGCACTCACGTCAGTGAAAACATAGGTTTCAAAGAGAGTCTGACCGGCTGCTTCTGGCTCACCGAGAGCCTGTAGAATGGGCAACGTTGCTCCTCCCGTTCCAGCCCCAATCTCTAAGATGCGCATGTTTGGATTCTGGTGAGCCAAGGAAGCAACGATCGATGCCGCTGCAGGATACAGACGGTTCTTCAGGGGCTCCAAGTTTTCGTAGTAGCTCGTGAGTAAGTCATCTTCCAGCATCAGGCTGAGAGGCTCCACTTCTTCGCGAATGATCTGGGCGAGGTTTTCGCCCATCCGGCAAAGGAATATTCCAACGGACCCAACTTGGCGTGCATTTTGTATAAGCTCCTGGGACTGTTGGTTATCTATGGTATCGTTCCATTGCTCGTGAACCTTTTCTTTCATCCAGCGATACATTTTCATGTGTCGTGACGCGCCATAATCCTCGAGCTGTTCCAGTGCCTTGTGCATGTAGTACAATGAAACATTCTTGAGTAGTCTGATACGCGATTGCTCGTCAGCAGCACCTTCACTTGACACTTGAAAAACGCGGCATAGTTCATCGCCCGAGAGAATGTCCACCCAGGGCATCCATTCGATCTTATGACAGAAATCGGTCACGGTCGAGGAAACTTCCGGTAAAAGTTGTCCTCGACATTGCAGGCCTTTGACAGAGATACAAGTTCCAAGGCCATGTTGCGCAGACAGAGAAAATATCGGAGTTTCTAGAGAAGGGTTCGAAATGATCCCGCTGATAGCGAAATCCTCGCCTACTGGCAGAATGGGAAGAGGTTGGACCTCAATTTCCTCAATATAGCGGGGGGTGTAGAGTCTGTCTAGCCCCCCAGACTTCGAGTATGAAAGGACTAAAGCAGTCTGCATCAGGATATCGACTGTCGCTGGATGCATCACATACGCACTCTCGCACATAGAGGGCATGATCTTGGCGGTGTCTGGAATCCTCAGTTTTGCAATAACTTCACAGCCAGTAGCTTTGATATCATATAGGCCCCGAAGTAAAGCATCATACTCAACACCGGTATTCTTGACTGCTGTATAAAAGGTAGTGTTATCCAGTTCGACTCCGGTAAAGCCGTCCGGGGAAATATGGCTACTTTCGACCCCAACCTGAGGCCTGTCTGAAACGCAGATTTTGCCTCTGCAACGTTCCTCAAACTCTGAATCTCCGGTGCATGAGAATATGGCAAACTCGTACCACTTTGTTGACTGAGTTTGAGGTCCAATGATACATGGGCGAAGCGACAGGGTTATATCATACTCGGCCATCTCCGAAAGTATCAACGGGTGTTTGACCAACACCTCTTGGAGGATGTATGATGCGCCATGAGTCTTCCCCTGGAGCAGGTTATATTGCGATGCGGCCTCAATCGCCATTGAAACGTAGCCGGCCATAGGGAAGACTACTTCCGACTGCACACGATGATTGCGAAGCCATGGTAGGTCATCTAGGCGAATGATGTTCCTCCATCGAGGCTCCAGGCTGTTGAAATCCGTAGCAAATGATCCCAGTAAATCATTATAGGGCATCTTGTTTGTGCGGTAGAACTTGTTGATTCGCGACTCATGCCAGTATTCTTCCTCGTGCTTCCACGGATAAGACGGAAGATCCCCCAAAACAGCGAACTGCTTGGATAAATTTGGGCTGTTACCAAAATTTACTTTCTCCAGGTCGACGGGGTATCCCTTCAGGAATAACGAGGCTGCCAGTTCATGCATGGTATGGATCCCGTTCTTGCCCTTGACTAGTGTTGGGAAGTATCCAATATCCTGGTCCTTTGCAATACCTTTCAACACTTGAGAAACAGGACCTTTGAGGGCTGCATGGGGACCAACTTCCACAAGGATATCGATTCCCCGCTTCTCGCCGTCAATTGACTCAGTATAATGACACATGGCCGAGAGCGAGTCCGAAAAGAGGACTTTGCCAGTCATATTGCTCGTCCAGTAGCAATTATCAAGCTTTGGCTCTTCAAACAGGCTGCCCTCGGTTGAGGAAAAGAATTTGATTGGACTCTCGACACAATCGATGTCGCCCAGGGCCGCGAGGTAACTTTCGGCAACGAAACCCATGTAGGTTGAGTGATAGGGGATATCAACGTTCAAAATACGGTTGAAAATATTCTGGGCATCGCACAAGGCATGAAGCTCCTCAATTGCGGTGCGGTCACCAGATACCGTAAAGCTGGAGGGGCTGTTCTTACACGCGATGGTGGCCAAACCGCACCACAGAGAACCCAGTAGGGGCTGTAACACAGCCTCGCTGCATCCCACGGCAATCATTGACCCCTTTACATTTGGAAGTTTCTCTTTCATCTCCACTGCTGCCATTCCACGATGATATGCCACCTTGATACATATGGCAGCAGATAAGAGGCCGGCTGCATAACCAGCCGCGATTTCGCCGCTAGAATGGCCGACCACAGCGGTAATATCCAGTCCCCATGAACGTAACAAGTCCACCAGAGCAATTTGTATGGCGCAGCAGGCGACCTGGCTGATCTGCGGGACACCAAGCTGGGAGTCTTCCGGGTTTCTAAACAGTTCATCTATAGCTAGTTAGCGTACCGCTCATGATATTCTTGGATAAGGATTATTCTAACCTTGCAGTTTCCAGGCGGCTCTTTGCTCCAAAAGTATGGCTTGCGATTTCTGTAGGGATTTTGCAAAGACGGGGTAAGAGACAAGTTCTTGGCCCATCCGTGGCCAGTGGGCACCTTGGCCGGTGAAGACTAGGCCCACCAATGGTCGCTTGGTCGAACGCATTGAAATCGTAGACTCTGCACTTAGCTTCTCGATAAGCTGGGTATGACTGTTTGCCGTGACGACGGTCTTCCAAGGTAGCAGAGATCTTCGCGTCGAGAGTGTAAGAGCTAGATCTTCCATGATGGTATGGTTAAGAAATAGGGGATTTTTTCGCACATAGGTCGACAACTGGCTCAGCTGAGTTCGATTTGAGTATTCGGAATTGGCTGAGAGGGCGAAAATATACGAGCAGTTCGACGGCTTTTGGCTAGGCCTTGGTGGTGCCTGCTCAAAGATACCATGCGAGTTAGAGCCGCCAATACCAAAATTATTGACAGATGCCCTGCGAACTCCAGACTTGGGCCAGGGCTTTGTCACAGTGAGCACTTGGAGGTTGTTCTCTTCCAGGTGTAGTTTGGGATTCGGATGAGTGAAGTTGGTGTTGGGCAACAGCATTCCCTTCTCAAGCATCATCGCAGTCTTTATAACCGATACTATGCCACTGACCCCTTCTAGATGGCCGAAGTTTGACTTTGCTGATCCGATAAAGGTTGGCTCTAACCCGGTGCCCTGTTTGCCGAAAATATTGGCAATAGCTTGCACCTCGATTGGATCACCGATGGAAGTTCCAGTTCCATGAGCCTCCACATACCGAGTTTGGGATGGGTCGAGGCCACAGGAGGCGTACACGGATCGAATCAAGCTCTCTTGGGCTTCGCCACTTGGCACAGTGAGTCCAGCATTTGTCCGGCCATCCTGGTTAACACCTGTGTTCTTAATGACAGTATAGATATGGTCGCCTGCTTCGATAGCCGCGCTGAGGGGTTTAAGCACCAATGATGCGGCTCCCTCTCCTCGACCGAATCCCCCTGTTGCCCGGTCGTCGAACGCGTAACACTTTCCGTCGGGAGAAAGAAGCCTGTGCATTAAAGTTAGCGTAAGCCAGATGAGAAAGAACTTCAAAAATTGGACTGACTGGGATATAGAGTATATAATAGTACTCTGAGGATAGATATTCAGATGTGCAGCGGTCACGATGGCATAAGGTGCATCTCCCGAACGAAGACTTTGACAGGCCAAGTGGATAGCAGTCAAGCCAGAGGAGCATGCAGTATCAATGGTAATGCTAGGACCGCGGAAATCGAAAAAATGGGACACTCGATTGGCAATCATGCAGGGGTCACAGCCAGTCATTGCAAAGGTGGGTGCAGTCTCGGGATCCCGTGTGATACCGTGCAAGTAGTCCGAGAATGAGTTAGCTGCAAAGACTGCAACATTCTTACCGGCCATTTCCTCCATTGGAAAGCCGCCTGTTTTGGACTTGGTCAGCAGGTTGGGACTCAACCACAAAGGCTTGCTCTTATCACCTACCATTCTCCAACGCTTCGTAGGTGATCTCAAGGAGAAATCGTTGCTGCGGGTCCATAGCCTAGAGCGGAGGAATCCGTTTGTTAAACCAGCAAAATGAGGCTCTCGGTCACACTCACCTTTGCTTCGTTGGCGGTAATGCGGAAAAATGGAGCATCGAAATGGGCAAGGTTGTGGCTCAAGTAATGCCCTCCTTTGTTGTTAATCTAATCATTTGGTCAAACCCGTAATCTCTTGATTGAGGATAAAGACGCCCACCTTTCCCTTTCGGTCCGAATTCTTGTTCCAAAAGGCTGCATTCTCAAAACGGCCGTCGGGATTCTCAGTCCAGGCACTTTTTCCGTGAGCACAAAAGCTCCAAAACTCCCCCAAAGTAGAAATGGCCGGAGGGAGCCTGCAGGCCATTCCGACGATGGCGATAGGCTCTACGCCGGGGTGGTTGATTGATTCCATTGTTGATAAATAGTGAAGTCCGAAGTGCAAGATATATGTATAGGAGCAAAATGGGGGAAGAGAGCCCCCACTATATATAGGTGCCCAGCTGGATAGTAACACTATACATCCACAATATTAAATTTCACTTTCCACCCGCTAATAGAGACTTTTTGTCAATGCATGTAGCAACCGTTTGTTCTTTTCGGGCTCCACAGCTAAGAGCACTAACCCCAATGTCAATTATAACCCATTTCTTGCCGTCTAATGTCATAAATATGTAGCAGAATACGTCACATATGCTAATTCAGAGCATCTGATACCGGATGTAATTAACTCAGTTGCATGTATTCGATATCCTTATTCGACTGCTTCTAAGAGACACGTCTACGATCTACATAGATTCAACTTGAATACAAAGTTAAAGATATCTGCTGTGAGAGGGATATACGAGATGTAATTAGGTATTTCACGCCAATGACGAATACTACATATGTTTATTCTTCCAGATGACCGAGCTAAGTGTATTTTATCTCTCCTCTAGGCCTCTTGCACCAAGAATATACATATGCAGTGCCATTAGGTCTAATCCAACCAGCGATATCACCAACCGATAACATTTCCACGGACTAGAATCTGATATACAGTTAGTCTCCGCTTGAACAGCAATATTTTGGTATAGTTCATAGGATGATCTACAGACATTACTACTCCATCAATATTTGTTTGCATGAGGTCAGCGGGACCAACGCGAGGGCTAAAATCTGATATGCACCAGCTCGCTGCGAGCCCTGCTTTAGAAGCACCCGTTTAATGACGTTCAATGATGCTATGATGGGGCCTATGCCCAAAAAAGAAAAAAGGGTCGAATTGAACGGCGATCTCTTGGCATAGTTCATCGGACCTACAGATAAAGCTACTCCATCAATATTTGCCTGCATGAGATCAGCGGGACTGTGCAACACATATATTTTGGAAATATCTGTCTGGTGCAAACTAGCCGGGCTGAAGTAGAGCATAAAAAGGGATTGAGCATACTTGATCATTATCGTCCCATTATGACAATCAGAACATGATGAACCCGGTATACATTGTTGGGGCGGCGAGGACCCCCACCGCACGCGTGAGTCTAGACAATCAAGCTCCCTGGAATTTGAATGGTCACTTAATCGGAGTAGATTAATACCCAGCTAGACTCTGTTCCAAGTACCACACTGGGAGCCATCGTGATTCGCGAAGCCCTCCGTCGCTCACAAGTGCCGCTTGATTTATTCTCAGATGTTTACATGGGTCAAGTACTTCAAGCTGGCGCTGGTCAGGCCCCCGCAAAGCAAGCTGCGATGCAGGCCGGGTTGTCGCCAGATATTGAGGCTACCACAATAAACAAAGTATGCGCTTCTGGACTCAAGGCCATTACATTTGCGGCCCAGAATATCCAACTGGGGTATGCCGTGGCTCAGGTGGCCGGGGGAATGGAGAGCATGTCAAATGTCCCGGAGTACTTGAAGAAAGGATATGACGCCAATTGCGAAGAGAAGCAGGTGATTGATGGTCTCTCGCTTGATGGGTTGACTAATTCCTCAGATGGCCGGTCTATGGGCGCCTGTGCCGAGGTTGTCGCTCAGCAGATGGGTATATCCCGTGAAGACCAGGATGATTATGCCTTCGGCGCCTACAATCGGGCATCTCGAGCACAGCAGAACAATGTCTTCCAAGAAGAAATCACTCCCGTGTTAGTAGATGCAGGCACGGCCGAAATATTTGACACCGATAGTCTCCCCCACGAGAGCCTCTTTAGCCGACTTCAGTCTTTGAAACCCGTGTTCGGCCCGGATGGCACGGTCACCGCGGGGAATGCCTGTCCGCTAAGCGATGGTGCTGCTGCGGTGGTGCTGGTGGACGCCCTGGTCGCCGGGCAGTTCTGCCGGGAAAATCGAGTGTTGGCGAAAATAGTGGCTTATGCCGATGCCTCCGTTGCTCCACATGAGTTCGCTCTGGCTCCAACCAAGGCCATTCAGCTCGTCCTTGAGAGGGCCCAAATGTGTGCCGAACAGATCTCGTTATGGGAAATCAACGAAGCTTTTGCCATTGTGGTCATAGCTTCACAGCAGGTGTGTGGATTGATGATCACCTTCTACGTCGCTTCATTTCACTGACTTTATCGATTAGTTGCTTGGATTGGATCCTGATATTGTTAATGTTAACGGGGGAGCTATCGCATTCGGACATCCGTTGGGCAGCTCAGGTTGTCGACTTCTGGTCAGTCTCTTGCACCAGCTGGCCCATGATCAGTATGGCATTGCCGTTATTTGTAATGGGGGTGGTGGTGCTACGGCTGTGCTTATCCAGCGAGTGCAAGGCGATAGTTTAGGTGTCCCAACATGAAGGTCAATCTGAAGTTGTCCATTTTGGGGTCTACGGCGTCAGGACTGCGGTTTCAGAGTAATCACGTACAATTTTGTTTTGATTAAAGCTACACAATGTCCTGATCTATCTCCAAAGACACATATATACGATTACGGACTCCTTTATGTGTGGCTAGGATAAATGATTTTAATTCTCTGCGTCGTACAGCTTCTGTTAATATTCGAGTACGTCATTTTTAGCCCATTTCGAGTAGCATGCACGTCCACGTACAAAAGGTCCTTTGTTTTTCGCAAATAATATCCGTTTTCACTACACGTCAAAGATGCCAATGCGCGATCTTCATGATATTAATGACAGGATGTGTTACCATGGTGGTCAGAAATTACATTCCTATGGGGCTTTGTGTACCTTGTGTGTTAATGTTCGAAGTCAAGAGTTACATAGCACGAGAACTATCTGGAGGCGGCTAACCAACCATTATTCCATTTTATACTCAGTGGTCGTGTCAGCGCACGAACCCTCTCCGCAAATGGGGAGGAGATTGATGTAGTCACCACCGAGGAGAGCGAAGATGAGGTGACACAAAAGCGACACACAATGAATACGAAGGCAAAGCTCGGCTGGCGGTACAACATGGATCATAGGTGCATAATTATAGGTGGTACATGATATGCCCGAGACGCCCTATCAGGAAGGATCTGCAGACAAAACCGACGGGCGACGGCAGTGGCGGCGAGCTTATAAACATGTACATATGTACGTATGTTGTCATGATGCCAATATCGAGGCTCAGATATTCGTTACTCTTCGCAGGGTGGATCGGAAGGAACTTATCGGCAATTCATATATCTTCTTTCCCCGCGACCTCGAAACGTTTATTGATTGACTAATCATACTAACAATGGACGCCGAGGATGGGACCCCGGAAGGTGGTGGCTTTAAGCCCATTATATGAGGTACAGTGACCAGAAAACTCTAAGGAGAGGTCGGTACTTTTATTGACTATTGGTAAACTATATGGGGTTGTGGTATTGTGCGCATTCGACATCATATGTTGCTCTATATATACAATCATAGTTTCAAGTCTAAGCAGATCACTTCCTTATTCAGAATAGGCAGCTAGCCACTTTATTAATGTTGATGCTTTCTTGAAGAGTTGAGTTGAGTTAAAGAACTTACTCTTCCCAGATGATGCTGCTCAAACCCGTCGACGAATTACTAGCCTGGCCGGGCTGTCCAACCTGCAAGTTGGCGAGTAGTTTGCCGAGTTCTCCACTCCGCGGATTCCTTGCGACAATGGCTACATTAGATGAAGCCTGGTTCCCAATAGCCACCAGAGTACCCTTCTTATTGACGACCAAAGTGCGGGGGATTGTGCCATATGAAGAGGTGATTTGGCTGAAAGTCACCGTGCCATTGGAGGAACGAGCCAAGGTCGACATGGAATCATTCGGAGGGAATCCTTCATCAAAGCGAATCGAAGCATAAAGAGAATTCCCAGCCATACGAAGCTCCGCCGGCGCAGCCCCAGCCGGTAACTGTCCGCCTTGGTATGGCACAAAGGATTGAGTTTCCCGGAATGCGAGACAACCGGAGGACAAGTAAGAGACATCGAACGCATTGAAGTGACCGCCTAATTCACTGACGGTGTAAAGTATAGTCACTGGAGCTTGCTCTGAGTCCGAGTGTTTGGACTTCCAGAACAATCCGTGTCGTGGTCCACTACCGGCTGTGTAATTCAGACTAGGGCACACATTCAGGCGTCCCGAGTGCTGGTCAATGGCGTACACACGAACCTGATCGGCGCCTAAATCGGGAACAAGGATGAAAGAACCGGTTGGATCGAGGATCACCTGGTGCGGGTGCGGTGCATCCTGCTGAGGTTTGATACCGGGCTGGGACATTTGGTAGCGGAAGACCTGTAAAGGCTCCTTATCGGACCTAAGGGGCAGGGCAAAGGTCGAAAGGGCGGAACCGCCGCTGACGAATGTTAGTTTGTTTGCACGGGTCGATCTACACGGCTGGTTTAAGTAGACATCAGAATCACTCACTAATGCGCAACAGCCAAATACTTTTTGTGCCCGTGCATACCCCCATACATAGTGCTGTGGACTGCGGCGCCCACGTCCACGGTCTTCGCGAGCTCTGTCAGTCTCCCATGCTGATTCACGGAGTAGGAGCTCAACGAGCCATTCATAGTCGTATTGCCTGCATGGTCTGAGCAATAGAGTGTGCGCGTTGACGAATCAAACGTAAGCCAACTGGGGGCATCACCACATGTTTTCAAAGACGAAGCAATCGAAAGCGAGTTTCTGCTATCGAAAGAGAGTGTGTAGATGCTGCCGTCATAGTGAGTGGCATAGAGGTTCGTGGCAGCTGCCAGGGAGACGAAGAAAGAAAGATAGCGAAACATGGTGGAATCGGAGTTGGCAAGTGAAAGAGCGGAGGTACGGGACTAACGAGACAGTACATACTTATGGGGATCCCATTCCATTAGGGTTTGTTCCCTCATTGTTCAAGGTGCTTTTTGATTTCGTGTATTTCCCCGCAGATTGCTAATAGGCCTCTGCCTATTAGCAGTCCCTCGATGGGCCTTAAGAGTTGAAATTGGATCCACTGGCTTACCCATTCTGGGACGACTTTGCGGAGAAGAGTCAAGCAATTCCCTTTACTGTCCAAGCGTGGGTCGGGTCGGCGTTTGAAAAGAGTGAAGACATAGCCGCAATTAGGGTTTGGACTTTCTAGTCCGGAACAAGAAAAGATCGCCGAGAACCATAATTATGACAAGGTTATGCCACTTATGAAGGCAGTTATATGTCAAAGTTGTTTGCTACTAGATCGGGATATAAATTTGCATTGCTTTCCTTCCTCCTCTCCCCGAGTTCCTTCATCTGAGCAAACCTCTCTCGTCTTCTCTTCGCATTTCTATCTACATCAAACAAGCTCATAGCAGCAACCAATCATCCATCTTCACCATGGCTTCCAACGAAACCACCAAGCCCAAGGCTACCAAGAAGTCCGTTGCTAAGCCTGCTTCGGAAACTAGGCGTGACATAGTGAAAGAGAGGCTCGAGTTCGTACTTACCTGTATCGAGGTGACAGGAATCAAGCTTACTCGTCTCCCACTCATCAGTTATTTTTCAGAACTAATATTAGCATTATATCCCAGATCAACTTTCCCGCTGTCGCTCAACACTAGGGAATCTCCACTAACGCAGCGCACAAGCGTCTTCAGCGTGCTCAGGATTATGTGGATAAGCTTGCGGAGGCTAGAGAGGCAGCCCGGCAGGACGATAACAAGGCTGTTGAAACCAGTCAGGATGAGGAGGCCTGAAATGACAAACAAGAATAAAAGAAGGACAGGGAAGACATTTACCGCGATATGGTGTTGGAAGTGTGGCTGCCCGAGGCATACTTACTTTCCTGTTAGTCCAGGATCCCTCTCTCCTTCCACAGCTGATCATTGCATGATACTTCTCTGGGCTTCACCTCCACATGTTCATATTGAGAAAACTGGGTGGTATTAAGATCTTAGGGAGATTATATAAAGTTCTCTCAAAGGCTCAGATTTTGGAGACACGCCTTTAGATAATGCTGCCTCCTACATGTAGTGCTATTTGGCTGAATCTCAATTGTGAATAGGTGATTAGTATCAGAAAACATCGCAAAAAAGCCTGAATTTCCCAAAGTATCAAAATTCCAAATGTACATGTATTTATAAGCCTCCATATTCGAGTGTATCTACTGGCCTCGAAGCATGAAATATATAGACCCAACCCAGATTATTACAAAAAGTGCAGTCAAGACTCCCGCGCCAACCCTATCACCTGTAGTGATAGGTTCAGGCCCCACCATATCCTTTGTATTGGTGCCTCCATGGGGGTCACTTCGGGATGTTCCACCATTGTCGGCATTGTACGGCCCTTGGCCCTTGAATGGGACCATGATGGCATTGAGAACACCCAGAACAGACATCTGCTGCTCCAAGCCTGAACTCCCATCCCATTCCGCCTTCTTCGTCCAGCGAATTCCACAATCCGTCCCATCGTTTCCACCAGAGCATTGTTGACCGGCGGCGACAGCGGAAACCTTGAATCTCCCCATTACGTCCGCGGTGACATTGGATGGTACAATCAGCGACATGAATCCGAGCCATGAAGTGTAATAGGCCTTGAAGGTTTTCTGGTTGCGATCGCACTTATTGATCGGCTCGCAGGTGATGTCGGATATAATTTGCTTCCCACCGGATTCTGGGAAAAACTGTTCAGATGCACCGATCAGTCCTGAGACGCCTTCAAGCCATTTGCTTTCAGTGCCGTTGGTCTATAAAATCAGTTAACTTCGATATCCCGGTTAGTCAACTTGCACAGGGGGTAGACATACGTAGTTGTGCATATAGCCCGCACCGGCGATATACGTAGCGTAGTTGTAAGTCCATTGGTGATCACCATGATCCTTACAATCGGCAGCGACAGAAGTGGTATCGGCGATAACCCAGTTCTTCCTCAAGAGCGGCGTAGAGTGACTCCAATCCCAAATCTTCTCGGCCCATTCGGCATAGGTCGCATTCTTGGTGTATAGTGCTAGACGCGCTGACAGCTGGAACAAGCCGCCGTTGGAGATGGCGTTTTTCAACCCATATCCGTTCTGGTAAGGCCAAATCTGCCATCGCAAACCTCCGCCGCAAGTGTTCATATCCCAACGAGGAACCTGTCCATTGAAGACACCCTCGGCCAGAGAAACCCACGAGGCTTCGCCGTCTCTTTCTGGGAAGTTCAGTTCTCCGGCCGTTATCGCTGCTAATCCCCAGAACACTTGATCGTCGTTACCGAGGTATTGGGAGTAATTGCTGGGGAAGAAGTCGTTTTCGCCCTTTTGCCAGTACATGCCTTCTTGGATGGCGGCGTTGAACTGGCTGTCGCCTGTTAAATACCAATACTGGATGAGGGTCATGAACATCGAACCACCCTCCCACCAGGTACCGTCCATTTTACCCGGAATATCTTTGGAGTCGCGGTCATCGTAGAACTTCATCATGGTGGTGGCGACGGTTTTGGCGGCATCTTTGAGGGAGGCTATCGGGAGAGGAAGATGTAAGTCATTTGGAGTGATTAGCTAGAGTATGAATTAAACCTACTCTCATCCTCGGGGTTAACCTCAATTGCGACGACATTTTGTACGAGAAGGCAGGTCAACACGGTGGTCAACAACCACCTAGAAAGGGTCATAGGCCTCATTTGAAGCGACAGAGGCGACCGACATCGGAGACATCGGAGGAAATGCATGGGACTGGCAGATAAACAAAAGGAGTCGAGAGCATTGAGGCCAGGAGGGAAATATGAGTGTATTATCCCCTAAGACAAAAGGGAGATCATTCAATGGAACCCATCAGATTTATGAAACCAGTCACTTGGCGAGACGCCATCTGAGCGGGATTATGTACAAAGCGATCCAAAACATTGGCACAACCAATCCTGCTGCCTGACTTCGTTCTGGATGCAGATGCCCAGCTTTACTCAGCCCAGTTTTCAGACTCTTGGCGTCGAATTTTCCTTTTGTAGTAATGCCAAGGCCCCCTCTTCCCGGTGTACCCGGCGTTAGGCGGTTAGGGGGAGGCAAATAAAACACTTCAACTGGATTTCTTCTAACACACTTTCAAAGTCATAGGGTATGAATGACTGACTCATTTTGGAAAGTGTCTCTGGGTGTTATTTCTCCTAGATAAGGGGCTAATATGCCAAGTCGTTTCCGCTGCGCGGAGTGTCACGCGGCGCCAAAGTGGTCTTGGCGCCTCCTGAACGTGAAATGAACCCGGGTATTTTTAGTAGCGCCAAGACATGGCATCGCCACTTCCTGCTTTTGGCCTGGTCTTTGTATGAAGCTTTAATAGTTCCACTTAGATCCCGGGGAAGTCTTCAGAATGTGACCCGTATTTCATTTAAGCTAGCAGTATCTATTGACAGCCACTTGTTCTAGCTCTCAAAGTTTGGAGCTTGAAATTATGTACTCAGTACGGAGTAGTGCTTACTTATGTAGTCACGTTCTTTGTTTGCCCCTATGCCCACTTGTACGCTTGAGATGTCAGGCTTAGAGTAGCTGTATATAATTGTATAATTGCTGCTTTCATTTCCAGCCTCTTGCTCAACCATTTCCATCAGCTGTTCTATATTTGCAGTCTCCAGCTATCTACCTAGAGGTCTCAACTCTTTTCTTATATTGAAATATGGCAAGCACGCACTAAACCAAAGGAAGGATGTCATGCTTGCTTAACCCGAAGAGCAGCCTTGGAACATCCCCAAGTTGTCCATCTCCTTGCTTCATCTCTCCTCCATCTTTCTTCATGCTTCCTTGAAGACCCATATCAACTTATATTCATGGATGACATTATCGACCTTTGAGAACCAATATATCTTTACGGCATTCCTCAGGTCCATCATGCGTTTCTTGAACTCTCTCTGGGGCACGCGTCCATTCTGGGCGGCTTGCCATTATGATCTCAAAGCGTATGTAAAGAACCTAGGTATGAGATTGGAGCTGAAAGTACTCAAATCAGTGAAGGTATCCGATTCGCTATCAGTTTACCAGGCCTAGAGGAAGATTGCCTTCGTCCATATTCTATTGAGACTGCTAGACTTATTGAAACCCTCCTTCACCATGCAAGGGATGAGAGGCTCGGTCGACAAAAGCTGACACCGGAGACCATCGATATATCCGTGTTACTCTGGCTCCAGCGTAAAGGCTTGACGATGCAAGCGTTAGAGCAGGTTGAGAAGCTCGTCGACGCAGCAGACGTGTTTCTGACGACGCTCGCGGGGGCCTTACACTGGGAGGGTCTCATGTGGCACCTACCACAATGAGATGAGTGACTTCAGGGTAATAAGGCGCTGAAAGCTCGCATTGCCCAATCCAGATGGTTATCATGCACTCCGGGCACTGTTCCCCACTGACACTGTCATATTACAGATCACCTTCCACACCATCGGCCAACCCTATATATGATATTTCACCTGCTGCAGCAGAGATGCACTTCCAACTCTGTGACATTGCATCTCCCACTTGCACAACATGACGAAGGATGTAGTTGTCTAGGCGTTTGCGGCCGACACGACGTTCAAGAGAGTCTATGGGACGCTTTCCTTCTCTCCTTCCGAGATATCGCGAGCCAGATATAAACAAAGCCACAGTGACCACTTATATTTCTGTCCGGCTTTGCTGTGATTGGTGAAAGGTACGCCCGAGACAGTGATGTAAATGATCTGTTGCGGCCCGACTCATCGGACCCAATTCCCTACAGTGATTCTAAGCCCAGCTTATGCTTGACCTCATTCGGTACCGATGAAACCTGCCTACACCGTGTTCTTCATGTGGCATTCAATGATCCCATTCTACTCTGTCGCCAGCATCCGTTATGTTTACCCAGCTCTTGGGGATCAAGGGCAAAGGTTATGCGACCTCTGTCGTAAGAAAGACCCTTCCTACACTGCGTGGTTCTCCCAAAAATGAGCGAATGTGCTATCTGCCACTGGGATGGCCAGTGCCGAATACAGCTTCCACCGGATGTGGCTCCAACAGATGCTGAGATTTCCCAGCACGACACCCTTGCCGTAATTAGGTCCGAGCAGACCCTGCCAAAATGGTCTCTCTAGCTGGTTAGCCTGCTTCCGGATGAGGACTTCTCAGCTTCTCGCTCGAGGCCTCAATGTTACGACTTAAACGGGCGAGGACCACGTCACCGAAGATATGAATCGCACATACGATAGCAGTACCAGGTGGGATCGCATAATCTGTGCAAACTGTTACCCAAAGCGCGACATGATCTTGCTTGAGAAATGAATGACTGGCCTAAGTGAATCGGTGCGGTGAGGGAGATGTGATAGGGAAGTGATGGGGAATGAACGGGAACGAGTATGTGAGAAGAACAATGGGAAGGACTGGGGGACCGATGTGAGGGACGGTGACCCGAGTTCCTATCTTTAGCAACTACCGATGATTACATTGGCAATTCCAGCTCTGTTTACCAAATATCCAACCCCATGTAATGACGTACTAGAAAGTAAGAAAACCACCTGCCTAAAAGGCCTGGGCGGAAGGCGAAGGATCGTTGGGAGGAGAGGAGAATGATCCTTCTCATTTTGTATAAAATTGAATTGATATACATGCAGTTCACAGTCACGATCGCTTGGCCCACCTATTAATAGACTCTCTCTGCTTTTTGCGGTCGCCAGGGGCCTGCCTGGTGATCTGGCAGACTGCTTCAATTACGGGGGACATGTTCTTTGACATAATCTACCCGGCAAAATGATCCATGTTGGCCATATAGATGTCATGAACCGAGGAAGCTTGGGGTCGTCATGTCCAACAGCCCAGACCGAGGAACAAGCTCTCCTAAGCAGACAGGTTCTGACTGCAAATCGTCCAAAGCAAACCACGGCCGTGGAGCTTGATTGTATGAGGGGAATCCCATCTGCGCCTTCAGTCCACGGCCAATGCAACGAAGTCTGTCTTCCGTTGGATTTGCTATCCCGGCTCCAACCGCAGCAGTTGTCCAGAATGAAAAAAAAGTTCTTCCATCTCTATTACCATATAGGCAATAAGAAAAGGCCAAAACCAGTCTCAAACTCAGAACACCGAACTCTTCTTATCGCCTTCCAATCCCTCTCCGGGCTCTCTAATGCCACCACCAACGTTTCCAATCTCAGATCCATTCTCACCAGAATCCTGCCCCTCATTCTCAATCTCAATACCCATCCCCTCCTTCCACATATTCACCAAACTCGTCGCGCCCATGCGCCGATTTTCCTCCTGGATATTAAACTTGACGCCAGCGCCAATAGGATACTTCTTGCTCGAGAGCGTATCAGCCAGTTCTTTGAGCGGGATACCCGTCTCTTCGCTGATGAGGTCTTCGTAGACGGGGTTATTTTTGAAGAGGTTGTAGGTGGTGTAGAAGGGGCTTCGTTTGAGGGCGGAGGCGTGGTTGTGGCGCGAGGGTTGGATTTCGAAGCTCAATGAGCGGCGGGTATTTGATGGTGAATTGGCAGTTGATGTGAATGGAATAGAGGTTGAAGGATGAGATTTGGAGGTTGAGGTCGAGGTGGATGTCGGTACAGGAATGGTTATGGGCGAAGCTGCTATCGCGCGGTCTGCTGCATCGGCTGTCTCGAAGATCGCGACGATGGGGCGGTTAGGGTTTGGTGATGTGTTGGTCGTGTCGTACTAAGGGAATTGTTAGGTCAGGGCTTGTCTAGATAGTAATTTGGAGAACACCGTACCTTGAGATTGCGGTATGTTAATACTTCTCCGAATTTCTGGAGCGCGCCTAGCAGCAGCTTGCTTTCGGCTAGGTTCTTTGGCATGGGATATCCGGTAATATGGACCTGCGCAGTCATGCGCGCTAGAGTAGGGGACACCATTGTGAAAGATATTGGGAAGTTAAAACGGAGGTCTGGAGAAAAATGGCGGATCGAGATCGGCTTGGCGGAACCTACGTACTACCTAGGTAAGTACATCCATCCATACTCAGACTGCGCTTAGTGAGCACACACAGGGCACCTTTCAGGCCTGAAAATAAAGGCGGAAATAGGAGTTGACCACGTGACATGTGGATCACTTATCAGCCATCTATGCTGCGATGCTAGCGCCAGCAACTCAGACTCCATCTAAAATTGACCTTTTGTTGATAGCCTCTAGGCTTCTCCAGGACCCAATTGGACCTAAGCTGGGGCTTGGGTTACACTGCTTGACCCAACAAACCCCCTGGGTACCCAATTGGGTAACAAACATTATAAACATACTAAGATCCTATAGCTACACTATGTACGGAGTAGTAGGCTGCGGCAACATCTTCAATATCCATGAATATCCACATATCCTCTCCGCAAATGAGATCTATCCCATACAGAAGTGGTCAGCCCGTGGGGGCTGAGAATCCCGGCGCGTATCGTCCGCCCCACACCTTGGTACCCTGATCATCTCTCTCCTTCAATACTCTTCAAATGGACCACATAGAAAGTGTCCCAGGCTCTCAATATGCCCCCATTCAAGTCCCTTGTCTGAGCTCTGAGCCCTATGATGGAATCGACTTCTCAACCTACCCAGAGCGCGCGGGCTGGGACATTACCCGCTTACTTGCCGGAGACTTCTCACAACACCCCGCCGAGCCAACTGGCGCATTTCTACAGAACTGGTTATATTTCGGTGTCCTCTGGGAAGTCTTCGGTCCTATAATCAAAGGAGCCAAGAATAATTACGTTAAGCCGCAAGAAGACACAGCGTATGGAATCATCACCGTTGCATCCCTCGAAGATCAAATTGAGCAGTTATGTTCGTTGGTCGGCTCCATGGTTCAAGGCGGGGATGATATTTCCAGAGAAATGATAGGTCATCGAATTGTGAAATGCCTCACGACTGTATCCGGATTTTGTCGTCTAGCGACATGTGAGGATGACTCACGTCCCGGGTTTGCAGTGTGGCCGTTATCTCCCGAAGTCGATCTATCTATCAGAACTCTAAGCCAGCGTCTAGCCTGGAGCCTTCCTTTTGGGGCGCTGGGACGGGCGGTGAGAACCTCGGGGTTGCAGTTTCCTTGTGCTTGGTTTCCACTTGCACGCATGCAACGGATGGGATGGTGTCCAAATGAGATCGCCATGGTGGAAAAAACGTTTACGTCGGCATCGGCGTATTATGCGTCTCAAATGGAGAGGCCGCCATCTGCGGTACAAAGAGACCATGGTGAATGTACGAGGAAACTCTGCGTTGCGCGACAGATCAACGAAGCAACATATCGCACTGCACACACGAAGGCGGAGTGTGACTGTCGGCATCTAGGCCCCGCAATGGAAGAGGTGGTGGCAATTATTGCATCGGGAGGTGTGCCGCTGCTGTCCATTACACCGACGAAGAAAGAGCCCTATCTCAAAGTCGAAGTAGAAAGGTACTTTGGGTTGAAACGTTATGTCGCCTTCTCTCATGTCTGGTCTGACGGACTTGGGAACGCGACAGCAAATACTCTCCCTACATGTCAGCTGCTCCGTATTAGGGACTTACTCGACGAACTATTGTCTGGAATCAGGTCCGTCGACCTGGTAAACAGACTGGCCTTCGGAGCCCTATGGAAGAAGAAACTCCATGGGCCTTCTATCTCATTCTGGATGGACACTATATGTATCCCTGTGGCCCCAGAACACCACGAGCTCCGCTCAAAGGCAATCAAAGGGATGAAAGCCGTCTACGAACGAGCCTTCCGTGTACTAGTCCTAGATTCCGACATCCAAGAGTGTTCCACGCGCGGCTACACGCAGTCATTCATGCGAATTCAAATGTCCGCCTGGATGCGCCGACTCTGGACACTGAATGAAGGCGTCCTGGCAAATCGACTGTGCGTCAAATACGCCGATGGCATTCTGGATGTTCACGCTGTTTCAGAAAGCTATAAGAAACAGGTGAGAACAGCTGGATTGTCGCCTTTTTTGAACTCATATGGAACACCCATGCGTGACGCCGACTGTTTTGGTTGGAAGTTTCGCTTGTTGCGGGCGAATGTTCTTCGGGACCCGGATCCGAAGATCGTATCCACTGTTAGGATTATAGAAGGTGGGTCTACCACAGCCGAGGAAAAGCGGTGCTATGCAATCATGGAGGCTTTTAGTGCTTCCTTCCATCGCTCTACTAGTAAATTGACGGATGAGATGCTCTGCTTTGCCAGTCTTATTGGGTGGGATACGTCTCTGCTGAAGGGTATTCCTTTCGAAGACCACATGCATGCCTTTTTGTCGACGGAATCGCAGCTCCCGCAGGGGATGTTGTTTCTCGCTGGGCCGAGAATGCGACAGCCCGGTTGGCGGTGGGCTGTTAATCGGTTCGGAGATAATGGTGCCATACGGCTGAACGTTAAATTCGACGACATGACTCCTGGGAATGTCAGTGAGAATGGGTTCATTGTGGACTATCCCGGCCTTGCGTTGCCGGTGGACTGTACCAGACAGCAAACCCAGAGAATGATTGTAGCCTCTGAGGATGAACATGGGGTCGTGAGTAGACTTGAAATCTCGCGACACAACGAAGGTCTCATGAGTCGATTGGATGAGCCCGACACAGTTTCTGAAAACATTCTGCATGATCGACTCTATGTTCTCTTCTGGATTGCTGACACTTCAATGGCTCCCAGAGAGCCTATGCCGGCTGCATTGATTTCTGGTCCTTCCGACGAAGACAGTGTAAAGGGGGAGGTTGTGTACCGATTTGAGTCCCTTGCCTACGTGGAGGTGTTGGAGACGACCGCAGGGTGGAATTTGCAGGAGAAAGGAGATCCGGTGGTTCAGCTGACCAGAAAGAAGTGGACTCTCGGATAGCTCAACTGATGCAGGATATTGATACAGCCTCCCTTCTGATTAGACCATTCCTATGTCGGATCCATTTTGTTCCAAATGGCCTAAATGCTTTCCTTGATAGATATATAAACTTCTTAAACTCCTACTTTTGTGCTGTATACCACGGACTAGGGCTCAGTCTATACTACAACTGCGAAGGTTTATAGATGCCAGGGGTCAAATGCCTAATGTACATACAAATTGATGACTTCCACCCATATTTATTGCCTGATTCTGGCCTAGACTACTAATCTTGTCCTTCGCATAGTTAGTTAGCGGCCAGGGGTCTATAATGCCCGATTTTCTAAGGTTTATGCCTGAATTATGCCTGATTTCAGACTAGCAGAAAGTCAGATACCTATATTACTATGACAGAGACCTTAATAAGTAAAGTGCCTATGTTCAGCCCCTTTTAAAATAGATAGGAAAAATGAAGTCTTTCATAAAGTATGTATAAAACTATAGATCGCTAGACTTTAGCGTAGTGGCACTAGCCATTTCCCTCCTGGAATTTACCGAATCCCTCCGCGGCTTCAATAATTCTCAAGCAGGGTCGTATATGAAAGGAATGTGCTGCTGCGGGCATGTAATGTCAGGCCGTGGAACTATGCCTTGAAGGTATGCCTGAACGTGTGCAAAGTAACAGTCCGACGCCCCCTGGTCGATGACTGTATGCTGCATTCAAGAGAAACATCCCAGTAAGCCTAAACTCTTGCTCGACATGGTTGTGTGATTATTTGAAAACTTACACCAACGCCTTCTTGCAACAAAAGTACCGATCCAGCAAATAGAGAAGACATCTTGCGCGCCCTGCGAAGAGGTAAAATCAATTAGTAACATGCACATACCAGACGGGACAATTTGGCCAAAACGTACGATTTCAAGGGTGTGATAGGGTCGATTGTATTACTCGCAAATAGGATTGGGAAGGACGTAGGCCTGTCTAAAGCACTTATTGGGCCTACAGAAAAAGGAACTGGTTAGATTTTGCTTCTAGTGTAGATTTTCCGAAGGTGAAGTTCAGAGGATGCGGGAAAAGAGACAGACAAAATGAGGCTCGCTTACCTTGAATCACCATGCTATCAGGCAATTGCGGTCGGAATGATCTACACAAGATAGTTTCCAAGAAGATAGGATAGATATCACCGATATACTTGCTCTTGGAACTCGTGTACTCGACATAACTCTTGAATTCTTCAATGGTAGTAAGTCTGTTTCTCCGATATGAATCGGCGCACTGGATAGCGAGCCGGGCATCGGACGTAGAATTTAACCCGTCGAACATGCCCACAAGAGCAGACACGTCCCCATGCTCGACCTGGTGTAAAATGTCGGCCATGATTGGGAATTTCGCCAGTGGGGCATAGATAGTGTTGAGGGAAAGAGCCTTCAGGTCTGAATAGGTGACCAGTGTCGGCAGGCCTCGACTTTGGACTCTGCTTACCGGGACCGGATGGCTCTGAAGCTGATGGATGATGCCGTCCATTCTGGCTGTGATTTCAGCGGGCGTGGGTCCCCAGAAGGAACACTTTTCAGGGCCCGCGGAATGGCAGAAGCTCGAAAATTTGTTCATAGCCTCGTCCATTTGATCAACGTTGTCCCTCCAGTCATTGTTATAATATTGCTCTGTGTTCACAACACCATCGAGTATCATTCTCCCAACTCGGTCAGGAAACATGGAAGCGAAGGTGCTGCCGATGACAGTGCCGTAACTGATGCCATAGGACCACAACTTGGCGCCTGATGGTGACTGACCGGCCATCTCGGCCTCGGCTTCTATAAATGTGAGCAAATCATGGGCGGCCGCCGGTGTAGTCACGTAATATCCATGAGGCGATTCATTTTTGACGGCATCGTTGCACCACTCTCCGTAGATAGAGCTCGAATAGTACTGCGCCTCAGGCGATGTTGATGAGATGTTGGTAGCGCCTGTGCTGTGCAGTTGACTGAAGGCCAACCTTGCTTCTGCGTTCCCCGAGAAGCAGTCTAGACTCAAACCGCTGTTGTTCACACCGCGAGGGTCAAAGGAGACGAAGTTGTACTGCTCTCCGAAGATTTGCCCTGTGAGGGTCCGGTATGTGAGGAGGAGGTCGACACCAGAACTACCCGGACCGCCTAACAAAGTGTCAGTCCAGTCACATGGGCTTCGGATAACCTTTTATGATCTGATCGAGAGCTTACCGGGGTTGAGTACAATGCTTGGGGACTCGACAGTGGCATTCTTGCCAGCCAATTTTATGAAAGCAATTGACGTCGTGCCAATACTTCTGTTTGAATAGTCCAAAGGAACTTCCAGTCTAGAGCATGTAAAGTCATCGAAACATGGTGTCCACGTGAGGTTGGCTGATGGTTCAATCTAGATGGCTAGTTAGAAAGCTTGAAGCCTTGGAGGATATGGTTCGGCAAAGTCCAAGACGTACATTGTCAAATCCATAGACCATGCCCGGATCATGCCAACTATTAGCTTTGCATCCCAAGCTGAAAAGAATGAGCGCATTCACAAGTCGTGTCATTGTTACCCCGAGAAGATTTCCCATTGAGCTTTCTGCTATGTTTCTGGCAAGAAGAAATGTAGATATCCATCATTGCAGCCGGTATGCGATATCAGGGAATATTTATACCAGTTGGGTTTCCTGAGAGACTTGTCAATGAAATTTGCCGGTTCCAATTGCTCAGCTCCTTAGGCTACTGCATCCTTCCTATCGACTCACATATTGCGCACACTTTCTTGGTGGTCTTGTACGAACCAGCCAATCAATATCCATTTTAACACCAGGTTTAACTACGGAGGGTGGCATAAGCTTACCCCTGTCGGTGTATTAGTGGGTTTAAAGCTTTCATTTAACGAATCTCAAGTGAGATCAAGGCTCTAAATACACTCTCTGCATAGATACTAGAAGCTCTTGGCGTCCTTGTGCGGACTAGCCAATCAATACATATGAGGGCACTATGATACCCACTCTCTATTGATATCTATCCCGATTGGTTTATGCTTAAGCTATTGCGCCCCATCTGTACGAACTAGCAAATCAAAATTTATCATAAGCACTAGTCAATATCAGCTTATGTGGAAGATGACTTCCCCCATACGAACAGACGAACAGACGATCCTGAGATTCGATCTGTATCCCATATAAATTGCTTCTCGAGATTTTCCTCTGCTTAAAACGGTGCGTACGTGCGTACTGCAAATCTTGGCATAACATCAACGTGATGGACGAGATCAACGAGAACAAGACGGCCAGTCAAGCTTGGAGAAGAAAGCCTCGCAAGTTCGCTCCAAAGTCGAGACTAGGCTGTAAGACTTGCAAGTGAGACTTAACTCCGTGTACTGCTACAGAGCATCAATTGTGTGCAAAGACTCAAAAACTGACACTCAACCTCGGTGAACGTCTTAGGATAAGACGAGTAAAATGTGATTTATCTCGGCCTTCATGCATGAAATGTCATTCCACAGGTCGCACCTGTGACGGCTATAGTGAAATGCCCCTCGTTTTCAAGGCCGACAAGACCAAGACTGAATCAAGTCATGATCGCAACGAGAAGGCCGACAGAGCAGAGAGCTGCGACAGTTACCACCCTGGCACCACGATCAGGGCATATCAGCCAAAACAATGGTGCGCGAAATACCACGGCCTCATTTTTCAGAATCTCGGATCCCTTATGGTCTTACCAGTGACCGGGTCAGGCCAGGCAGAGGCAATGTGTTTTTTCGAGTATATTTCGATCAAGCATCTGAATGAATACCACCCCTGCGAGTCATGGCGGAATACACTTATATTCTTCTCCCAAACTGTGCCATCAGTGCGATATGCCGCGATTGCTCTGGCCTTGGTCCACCGAAACTACCTGGATCGCGACTCTAGCGACCGTATGCATCAACCGCAATCCTTCAAAGACTGCCGACCGGACAAGGCTCCCTTGCTTTACTATAATCAGGCCATTCAACTTCTTCTGAATCATGAAAGTGGTGACAGCACCGAGACAACAGCCATCACCCTTTTAGTCTGCTATCTCTTCACCTGCTTTGATCATCTAGCGGGCAACTACGTACAAGCAGTGAAGCACCTGCGCGGAGGTGTGGAGCTCTCACGCGACACCGACAAGGCTATACTGAACAACGACAGAATTTATGATGATGCCAAACCCTCAGGGGCTTGCATGCTTATCTGCCAAGTCACAAAACAGATCCGCCGTCTCGATATGCAGGCTGCAACGTTTCTGGTCGACTGGACTCCAGCCGACATCCAAGAGACATTTATGTCCCAGCTTCTACCCTCCGACGGTACCTTCCGGTCTCTCGACCAAGCCGCCGACCACCTCCAGATCCTCGTCGCTCAGGTAATGAGACTACGCAGCACGGAGCAGCAAATTCCCCCGATGGGTAAGATGCCATCACCTTTGTCACTCAAGGATATCATTCTCCGACAGTTGGAAACGTGGTCGAGTCTCTTCCAGAACATACTACAAGGCAGCTCCTATGAGACAGATTCTGAAACTTACCTGCTCGTATCACTTCTGCGTCTACAACATACTATCGCATGGACTCTCCTCAGTAGTTACGGACCCGGCAGGGAAATGGCCTATGACAACTTCCTGCCCCAATTCCAGCAATGCGTGGCCTTAGCGAGCGACGTAGCGGCGGCTCATGAGCGGTATTCGGGGTCATTAAACCCGACGTTTACGCCGGAGATCGGAATTGTTCCCGTGCTCTACATAATCGGGGTCAAATGCCGACATCCCATAGTCCGACGCGAGGTCTTGAGTATCTTGCGACGGCGGCCGATACGGGAGGCGGTTTGGGATAGCATTTATACTGCCAGGGTGGTTGAGCGGGTAATCGAGATTGAAGAAGGCGGTTCTGGGGAGGGGCAAATGAAACAGAGCATGGAACAAATTGCTGTTTGGCAGAGGATTGAGACTTTGTCTTGGGTACATGTCGTTGGTGGACACACTGCGGCTAGGTTGGATGTCACGTATACGTTCTGTGCGCGAGAGGGAACGCATGTCGAATCTCTCATAATATAACAGAGAAAGTCTTGTCATCACAGTTTATACATGGAAAAGTCATTTTCACAAATTAAGCCTCTTCCCGCCGCGCTATGCCATCTAGCTGCCTATAAAACCGAGGAGGGCAAGGAAATATCTCGAAGACATCTAAATAGACTATCTGAGAGGACTACTAAAAAAGACTAATGAAAAGACTAATGAAAAGACTAATGAAAAGACTAATGAAAAGACTAATGAAAAGACTAATGAAAAGACTAATGAAAAGACTAATGAAAAGACTAATGAAAAGACTAATGAAAAGACTACTGAAGCCGTATAACTGGCCGAATATTCTTGTTATGTCATAAAGAGACAGATAATTGTGACCCCGTAAAGCATCTAATAAGATTATGAGTACACTTATATATGGGTGATTCAAATATTGGCGTTGCCTTCCTAGAGCTCCTACCATTCAGCCTATGTAGGCTTTTCGTAACTACAATTGCCATTGAGGTTGAGCAAATTAGTATCATTTTTTATTACCGTATTGCTAACAACTAAATTCCCTTCAACTCCCTATACCTTATAACTCGTACCAGTTTGATTTACGAGGTGTATACCAGAGGGCGCTTGACCAAGATCTATACATAACCTTTTTGTATCGGTCATAAGATTACAGGACCGCAAGTCTTCAAACGATCGAGGTGACGCATTCTCAAAACAGACCCGGGCACTGGTTTTTCCATCACATAGACTCGGTCTCACATTGCCAGTGTGGAAACGGTCCACTAAACCGACATACCGTGTCCGACGGGGATCATCTGGAGATAACCCAGCCCCGACATTAAACCACTTTGTAATGATCAGAGCTGCCTCGGTCTCGTATTCGCAGATTTAAATCGGCATCGCAACGGCCACACGTGTAAGTGGAGAATGGGGCTTTTTCTCCGGCTCGGTTAGCCTCCACGATGGGGTTTATCAAGCTAGCAAGCTCCCTTCGAGGAACGTGCAGACAAAAATACATAGGTTCGTGCCATTTCTCACATTGCCTATTTTGGTTGCAATACAATAGATGTCGCTTATGACCGGAAACAGATAATATTTCTTGAGTCCTTAGAACGAGACCTGGAGGCTCGCAACAAATCTGTGCGTCAATCCAAAAAAGCCAGGTTTTTTCAGGGCTGCCGGACTCTTCGGGGTAGCATTGAACTTGAGTGTGGCATATTGCCTCGGTGCTGATTTCAAAGTGCGGACCATAGTGGAATCTCCTCATGGCAAGCTGAGGGTGTAGGAAGTAGAATACGTACCGGACAGTGCAATACGGACTCGGATCTAGTTGCAACCCTAATTAATAGTGGTGCCCCCATTTTGAGAAGCATAAAAGAGGATAGGATTGATTCTCGAAGATTGGGCGAGGACCAAAGTATTGAGAGGCATCATATTTGTGAAGACGGTGACAGATGTAGCAGATAAAGTAACTCGGTCGATCTCGTTCCAGCGATTCAAAAGGGGAATTTCGTCTCTTCCTAGTGGCAGGATAGGATGATTCCGACGGTGAAACGTAGCAAAGAGTCGACGATTGCAGAGGGAAAGGCAGATCGCATCGACCGGAGGGAGGAAATCGGCTATTGACAGCAATAGCTCGACAGGTAGACCAGCTAGAGTGTTTTGCTTAGGGATCTCAAAGAGTCGAGTGTCATTTCCCCACAACCGGGATGCCAATGAACGGAAGAGTGTGGGAAGCGACGGGATATTGAAGGTGGGGTGTTGAGTTGGCACAGATCAAGAGAGGCAAAGCGATAGGCAGGAAGATGTTTTGCCGAATTAGGCACGGATTAGTCCATTCTGTGCAATGGGTGTTTCTCGAATAGGAAGTATCAAGTAAGCACCAAATCACATGCCCTGGCATAAGTCTGAACCGGTGACATTCAGCCTGGCCTATACCTTACCTAGATAGCATAAGTGCTAAATATGGAAGATCTGAAGATTGAAAAAAATTGAAAATGGTATGTTTTTATTTAATTTATCCAAGGCATAAAAATCGTCATAGTATCGCGGAGAATTTCCCTCTCCGGACACGGGATCTCCTCCGTCTCCCAGAGTCTAGACGCGCTTAGAAGATGGGGATTCCAAGACCGTACTAAGAAAACAGTCAGTATTAATAGTCAATACTCCGCAGGAACCAAACTTACAGCAATGGGGTCGTTGAAACGAAGACCCTTGTCCAGAGCACTGATAGCCTCAAGCTCAGAGGTCTCAAGGTCGAAGTCAGTGACAGTCAAGTTCTGAGCAAGACGAGTAGGGTTGTTGCTCTTAGGAATAACAGCGATGTTACGCTGAGTAGACCAGCGCAGCAAGACCTGGGCGGGGGTACGGCTGTGCTTCTCAGCAATGGCGGTGATAGTAGCGTGCTCGAAGAGCAAGGGAGTATCCTTAGCGTGCTTGAGGTCAAGCTCGATGAAGCTGAGAGGACCGAAGGAAGAGTAAGCAGTAACGGTGAGGCCCTGCTCCTGGGCGTAGTCGACGAGACGGGTCTGGGTGAGGTAGGGGTGGTGCTCGATCTGGAGGGTGGCGGGACGGACACGGGCGTAACGGAGCAGATCCATCAGCAGCTGGGCGCTGAAGTTGCTGACACCGATGCTGCGAGCGAGCTTCTTGTCGACGAGGGTCTCCATGGCGCCCCAGGTCTCGTGGATGGGAGCGTTGGCGAGCTCGATCTTGCCCTCGGCGGTGGTCCAGCTGGGGGGTAGCGGACGGAGGGATCGAGGTACTTTAGGGCAATGGGGAAGTGCACGATGTACAGATCGAAGTAGTCGACGCCCCAATCGGCGAGCTGCTTGCGGGCGATGGGCTCGACCTTGTCGGCCTCGTGGAAGCTGTTCCAGAGCTTGGAGACGATGAAGAGCTCCTCGCGCTTGACGAGACCGTCCTTAATGGCGCGGGCAACACCCTGGCCAGCCTCGACTTCGTTGCCGTAGTCTGGTATTAATGGTGTTAGTGTCAATTAGGGCTTTTGTTTTTGGGGAAGGTGAATGTACCGCAGGCACCATCGAAGAGACGGTAACCGGCCTTAATGGCGTTGTAGATCTGGTCGGCACAAGTGTCATTGTTGACCTTCCAGAGGCCGAAGCCCACAAGGGGCATCTCAAAGCCGTTGTTAAGCTTGACGGTAGGGGCAACCATTGTGAATTGTAGTTTAAATAAATCTAAAGAAAAAAGAACATAGAAGAATTTGGGGGCATGGAGGGGTATATGTATCCCCGGTAGTATTTAAAATGTCTCTAAGACACGAGACACAAAATCCAAAAGGTCCAGGCTAAATCAGCCCAATTTAGCTCAATTGATCTTGCCGTAGCCTCCCCTTTGGCCTTTCTTTACTGGAAATCCCCAGAATTGCCCCACCGGTGAAGGTGTTTTGCGGCTAAAGTGGTTGATTAAGGGGAGTTTAGCCGACAGACTAAGAAGAAATATTAATTCGGAGAATTGCCAAATAGAAGTGAATGATTGGTTTATAGTATTCCTATTATCAATTATTCAATATTGCAATAATCCATATTTTTCTCCAAACGCCCATATCCCAACACTCCAATTCCCTGATATTCCCAATGAATCACAAAAAAAAAAGAAAGTAAAGAAAATCACAGAAAAAAAATACAAAACACTCCAGAATGATTAGTGATTATCATTAAGTTTTGGTAAAAAAAAATAATGTCGTTATACCGCATCCACCGTGGCGTTATCATAGCCCGCGCTCACATCAGGGCCCGCCCCATGCATGCTGGGACCATTAGGCATACGCCCGACGATCTTATCCATTAGGTCCTCCGACGGCAAGATATTGTCAAAATGGTGTGGCTGAGACTCGCGCGATACAGGTCCGTGGTGTTCCGGCTGGTAAGGAAGGTGGTAACTCCCAGGGCCGACATCCCCGGGAATGGATGTGGAGTGTGCACCCCATGAAGCCTGACCGTGACTGAGATCATCCAGCGGCTGGGTGTTTGAACCAAAGAAGCCGTGTAGCACGCTGTTGCTATCGTGCATGTTCACATTGTGCTGTTGAGATGGCACGTAGTGGGATGCTTCATGGCCCATTGTGTAGCCCATCCCTGGGTGGGAGAGCGGCATATCGTGCACGTTGAGCATGACGGGTGCGCTAGAGCCGTGGAGGCTTGTGGATGGGATGCTCTCGGGTGCGAGGCTGGTGGAGAAGGAGTCCAGCACGGAGGTGACGGCAATTTTATCGTTGAGTCCGTCTTCGGCTTTGCTGATGGATGTCATGAAGTCGAGATGGGAGGGTGTAAAGAGATGAGCCACGTTCTCGTGGGAGGATTGGTACATGGGCCATTGCGAGTGGGATTGGCTCGGGTGGTGGATGAGGTCATGAGGCTGAGGGGCCTGGTAAACACCCTGGTGGGATGGTTTGTTGAGAAGGATGGAATCCAGAGAGAGGGGAGGAAGATCCACCCCGGAGATTGGGCGCGGACTGTTGGTTGTAGTCCGGTCGGGAGCGGGAATTAGTCGTCTCCAAGTAGTGGTGCCGACTTCGCCGGGTCGGGTTTGTCGGAACTTCCAGGCCAGAATGGCCATGCGTTTGCTCTCATCGCCCTGATGGCCTTGGTATTGATTAGAAAGCCGGCGAGAGCTGGGCGAGGTGGCACGGAGCTCCTGTACGGCAGACAAGGAGCGGAAGAAGTGACGGGTATGCTCGTCGGCATCGCGAGCAGCTTGGAGGTTTCCCGAGTCCTCGGCCATACGCTTCTCTTGGGTCAACTTAGTGAACAGCTTAGCCCACCAAGATGATTCGAAGAGAGGCTTGACCTTGGTCGACTGGGTTTTGGGTAGGTCGTGGTAAGTCTCGAGGAGACTCTGGCTATCTTCATAGACATGCGTGCTGCAGGTCCAGTTGTCCATCTGGCTGACTCCCAACACATCGCCAGCAGTAGGGTGACCGTAGTCTAGGTCAAGCTGGATTCCCAGCCGTGATCCCGCAGGAGGGAAGTCGGTCATGAGCTCAAGGTTTACTTCTAACAAGATGATGTCGCAGTCCAGGGGATTGTTGATGTCATCCACCATGGAGGCCAGGTGAGGGAAAGAGGACCGCCACCCCTTGAAATGCTCAAGAGGCATGGGCGGTTGAACGGGGTGGTGCAGATCACTTTGCAGACGAGTGTATGCATGCAATGCCTTGTCAATGCGATTGACCTGCTGAGGAGCGCTGACCCACATGTCGAAGCTGAAGCCATGAATGTTGCTAGCAGCAGTCTCCTGCATATTGGAACCAAGGGTATAGTGTGGCGGTGGGAGATCTCCAGCATATGGCTGCATGGATCTCATGTGGTCATGGTATGATGGGTGTGTGTGGCTGCCATAGTGGTTGGACGCCGAAGGGTGCTCCACTGCCGTTCTCCATTTAGGAGCGGGTGCTGAGCCATGCACACTCGAGGATCGCTCTGGTGATGCCTCACGGACAAGTCGCTCCCCTGAGATACTGTATTAGTAAAAGAAGAGGCAAATATCCTTCATATTTGACAACTCACAATCGGGATCACCCTTCAAGAAAGAGTCAAGGACCTGCAGATGGCTTGACACCTGCTTGCGAGTCCTCCGCTTGCCAGTCAATTTGAAAATGTACTCAGCAATCAGCTCGTTGCGGCCATACGACTTGCCCCGTTCAGACCACTTTCTCCGACCCATAGGAGGGTTAGCTTCGAGGGCTGGAATCGGCTGTTAGCTTCTGGTCAACGCATCACCATGGTGGGATAGACCTACCCTGCTGGAAAGCGTCCTCCAACTCATCAGACCACACCGGCTCTCCATCCTTGCCAGTATCACGACGAGGACGACCCCGGTATTCCATGTACTTATGGGACTTGAGGTAGCTGCTTCGTGCCCGGCGAGATTGAGAGTTAGGCCCAACCGAGTGAAGTCTGCGAAGCTTCCGTTGATGAAGCCGGGCGGCTACATGCTGCTGTTGCAAGCCAGCCGACAATGGTTGAGAAGGGTAAGGGGCATGAGGATACTTGAAGCCAAGCTGATGGAGTTGATCCTCACGAGCAGCGATATCAGCATGAGCCAAATGGTCTGAATAGGACTGGACATTCCCAGTGGTATTCTGCAAAGCTCGATCAGAATGAGCTCCAACAGGATCCAGTGATGGCTGGTTCTGAGTGACCAGGCACTCCGGTTGCCAGTCAGTAGCCATGGGAGGGTACCAAGGACGGGCTTCTCGAAAAGAATGACAGATTCCGATGAGAGAGGGGACTGAGAGGCACCGTCAAATGCTTACTGCCTGGCAAAGAACGCAGCTCAGTCACAAACAACGACCCAAAGAACGCGAGATGTCAAGAGAATGTAAGAACCTGGGAAAGAGAATGTGAGAGCGAGCAAGATGGAGTTTATAGGGAACCATAACTCCCCTTTGGAGAGGGGTTCTGTAGCCCCAGTAGCAACATTGCTCCGCCAGGTCTGCTTTGCCTGGCCTACGGTCCCTCGAACGCCTTGTCCATACTCCTGGGCAGGCCCTAGTCCTGGCCCGCGCACGTCCAGGCGTCGTGTGGAGAGCAGCGAACCAAAGGACATAACGGCAAGCCGACCTTGCCGCAGCAAATCAGGAGTCAAGACAGGGCTCGATATGAAGGGAAGTTGGTCCAGGATGCAAGGGATGCTCATCAGCACGATCCAGTGATGAGTGGGTCGGAGATTTTGTGCAGCGCGAAGTGACCTTGAACACCCATTATTTGGACCAGCAACAACAAAAAACGACAACAATCAGTGGCAATCATGGCGTCGCAAGAATGTTGATGGTCCAACGACATTGTCTTCTCACACGGGACCTGGAATGCTTGACCACCGCCAAAAATCACCACCGGAATGCAGGCTTGGCTGATCTCTGTTGATGATAGTCCTGCGTACCATCAGAAGATTAAGCTAAATTAGGTAAACTGACCCTGCAATCCAAGGTGCACTTTAGCTGAAGTTGTGGGGAAGAATAAAAAAAGGTGTTGCACAGTAAGGTCAAGTAGGGTTACAGTTACGCCTGGATCAAGAGGGCACGAGACGCACGAGGACGGGACTGCAGGCTAATTGACAGCCGCAAAGAACGTGTTCAGAAGTATTCGGGGTATCTTTTTATTGCCATAATGTAGGTATGGTAGTATGCAAGTAATCGTACAGTACATTAATCCACTTTTTCCCTGCAAGGGATGTTAACGAGCCAATCCATGGCCGTGTCCTTGTAGGGAGAAGGGACGAGGGCTTCACTCTTCCTCCTGCCCTCCTACAGTAAATTTCTTGCGCCCGGCGCCAGAAGTAAGCTGTTGAAGTTTGACCCTGTCCATCTGCTCTCCTACCTTCTTTTCTAAACGCGCGAGCTCCTCCTCGGGATCGACGGCCTCCTCGTTCACGAACTCCAAAACCAATCGTCTCCCCAGGAGATGCGTGTTTTTCAACGCGTCCATGGCATTCTCCGCTTCGCGAGCGCTTACAAAGTCTGCAAAACCGAAACCACGAGCAGTGTGATCGAACTTCTGAGGAACACGCACAGACCGAAGTTGTCCGTAAGCCCCGAATAGGGATCGGATATCCTTCTTGGTGGCCTGGAACGGCAAGTTCTTGATGATGATTTTTGTTCTGCGCGCCGCAACCTTCTTCGCGGTATCTTCGCGTCTTCGCTCCTCGGCAGCGTCCTTGCCCTTGTGGGATGCACGAATGAGAAGCTCGTGCTGATCCAACTTGTAGCCGTTCATAGCTGTCATAGCAGCCTGAGCTTGACCTTTAGTTTTGAAATCCGCAAAGGCGAATCCCATACTGAGGGTCTGTCCTGGTCGCTTGGGATCGGGTTTGGTCTTGACCCGACCGGTAATAAAGCCATCCAGAGATCGGAACACTTCCAGGAACTTCTCATTGGTGGTTGAGAAGTTGAGGTTCTTTACGAAGAGTGTTGTGGTTGCTACGCTGTCATCAGGCTCATCTGCGGCGAATGTGTCCGCAGTTGAGAACCCTTGATCCTTGCCCCGAGTCTCTGGAGCAAGTGCGCGTGGAACCGCTGAACCATCGAACAAATTCTTCGGTGCCTTCTCCAGGAACAAGATGGAATCACCCATCTTGCGGTATGCCATGCCCTTGAAAGCCTTCTGGGCCTCGTCAGGCTGCGCAAACTCCACAATAGCAATGGTGCCACTCGGAGGCATCAACAATCGGATGATCTTTCCATATGGATCGAACAGATTCCTGAGTTCCGCCGAGGTGACACCATATGAGAAGTTCTTGACCAAAATAGCCGTATTCCCACGTTCACGCTGCTTGAAAGCATCAATATTTACCCCGTTGGAGGCAAAGTAGGCTTTCGTTTCTTGAATCACATGCGTTTCAGCATGTGCTTGCTTCACGGCGGCTTCTGAAGAGGTGGGATCAAGCAGTTCTGATTTGGAGACTCCGAGCCTTCCGGCCACTGATGACATCACAGCATCGGCCTGTATCAAAATTAGTCTCAATGTTTCGATTCGGGGTAAAAGGTAAACTCACGTTCATGTATAGGGAGTTCCAGCTGAATGAAGATGAACCGGCATTTTGTTTCCGCTTGATCTCCCTTTGCTTTTTGAGAGGAAGCTTTGACAATTCGTACTCGTCAATCTTGTAGGTCTTCTTCGCAGAAGCCGGCAAGATATGGAGCAGACGACCCTGGAAATGCTTTCCATCAAGGGTCTGGTAGGCATCAATGGCCGCATCAGCATCGGTGTATTGCACATAAGCAAAGCCTTTGCTGGTTGTGGAACGGGTGTCAAAAGCAACATGAATCTATAAACAATTAGTACTCAAGTTCATTGAATATAATGTGTAAATGTGCAAAAGTGGGTTGAGTGGGCTCTTTCAGATAGTCAAGAAGCATCTACTAAAATATCTTGTCCTTGTAACATCATTTGCAATTTGCATCGGATGTCCCTATCGGGAAAATCATCATTTGAGCACTCGTGGCCAGCAGGCTGAAAGCCAGCTAGCCGGTGAGAGAAGGTGGGGCAAAGTGAAAAAGCAAAGCAAAAAAAAAAGTACTAACCTCTTCAATCTTCCCGAACCGTTCAAAGATCGGTTGGAGATCCGATTCTGTTGTGTCGTATGCAAGGTTTCTGAGGAACAAACGAGCGGAGTTCCGAATAAGATCAATATTCGGATCTACCGGCGTTGCCTCGGTGCTGTTCTCAACGTCAGTCGTGTTGGGCGCAATTTTCTCAATGGCCGCAGTGCGCGATTCCTCGTCACGCCGCGGCGACTTATCGCCAGACGAAGAAGGTGGTGAGGCAGCTCTGGTCGGCGCAGTAGTGGGTGCGACAGCCTTGTGCTGATCAAACTCATCTTGCTCTTCCTCATCGAGAAGGCCCAACAGACGACTCGTCTTGGACCGTAGCCAATCTGCATCAGATACAGGGGCAGCCTCCGCTTCAGGCTCCGCAGAGTTGTCCTGTTCTGGTGTTTCTTGAGCCTCCTCTTCCTCAATCTTGTCAACGACCATTGTCTCAGGCTGCTCAGGCTCTGTTACCGCTGGTGCTTTCTCTATCTTTGCTTTTTTCGGGTGTGAAGGCAACTCTTGTAACTCCTCCTCTTCTTCCTGCGCGGATTGGTTAATAACGGGAACAGTGTCCACAGACGGCTTGATCATCTCATCATCATTGGCCCATGTCCGAGTCTTTGATGACGATCCCATTAAAGAGAGGTACTCTTGTAGCTTAGGGTCTGATTTGTTTTCGCCGTCCCTCTTGCGCTTGAGGTTGTAATCCAACGATGCATCATTAGCATTCGTGGTATCACGTCTTCGTGTGGGGTGAGCATCTTCGGCGTCATTTGAATCAATCTGCAATAATACGGGTCAGTCTCAAGACCACCTTAATTGGTCAGCGTGCACGGGCGAAAGGATAGTGGCTGAAGCAAAAGAGTGGAGAATCGACATACCGGACGAGCGATGTCTACAGCGATCTTTGACATCTTCATGAATGTCTTGTTGAAGTGTTTCACAGCTTGTTGAGCATCTTCATGGCTCTTGAAGCCGACGAACCCCATCCTACGTTTAGGTAGGACATGAGCATCGGTGACTTGAAAGCGAGTAGCAAAATGTTTTTTAAGCTGATCATTGGAGCATGTGGGTGGGAGACCACCCACGAACACTCTGGTGCTCTCCATTTTGGGATTTTGTTGTGAGGAGTGTGAAGACTCGAAGTTTCTATGAGAAAAACTTTTTTTCTCTTCTTTCATAGTGCCGCGGGCGGTCTGGTGGGCGGTGTGTTTGCTCTACCGGCAATAAAGTTACCCTGGCTTCACGTTATCGCGGAATTACGCTACCCCGTTTTCTTTTATTGCATCACCAACTTCCCTTCGAAGGTTTCTGTTTGATACAATAATTACTAACAATGGCACTCCCCCCAGCTGAGAAGAAGGAGCCTATGGAGGGTAAGTTTATCCCCCGTGAGTCCAACTGACTAATTGCTAAATGATCCGTGCAGCGCAGATTAAGTCTGTGGACATGGTAAGCACACTCATGCGAAACAATGATGCTCAATTGATTCTGACCCACTTTCTAGACTGAGGATATGCAGCAGGAGGCTATTGCCCTTGGTATGAACTATTGAGAGCTCCCTGGATAAACAAGGCTAACCTACCCCTCAGCCATTGAGGCCATGGAGAAGTTCAGAGTGGAAAAGGTATGCGCACTCCTCAACTGCTGGAATATACGACTACGATAATAACCATTTACAGGATATTGCCCAGTACATCAAGAAAGAGGTTCGCCAATCCTACCCCGCCCCGATCGCATTTCTAACCCCATACATCAGTTCGACTCGCGCAAGGGCGCTTCCTGGCACTGCGTGGTTGGCCGCAACTTTGGAAGCTTTGTCACCCATGGTTTGTCGATTCCAGAACCCTTCTGTCAATAACCAGACACTAATCCTGTGTTCAACAGAGACCAAGCACTTCATCTACTTCTACCTCGGCCACTGCGCGATTCTGCTCTTCAAGACCCAGTAAATGCGATTGATATGTCTAGGCTCGATGTGCGGCACCGATGGGGAAGTGATATCCGGAGAAATGCGTTTCAAGCGACTATTTTGTCTTCAAATAATATTTGGTCTACGGGGCTGTTATCCTTTGATTGAACAGCCATTATTGAATTAAGCGCGTCTACCCAAAATACGTAAAACGACCAAAAAATATTATTGCCTGAATTTAGGCCCTCCGTAAAAACTTCATACACTACACTAGAGGTACATGTATAATCGCCGATAGTCTCCGGGTCCCTGCTGGAATCGACAATCCAGGCGATTGACCCATCACTTGACCAATCAAACGCCGTTATATGTAGCATCACGTGTTGCTTGCCAAGACGGCGCCAAGCCACAGCGCCACACCCCCAATGCAGCTGCCTTCCTCTTTGATCGGTCTTCAATTCCTCAAATAGCTCTCAGCTCTCGGTTGTTCTGTTGAGTAGTCCTGCACCAACTTTTCCATATCTCACATTCGTCATGGCTTTCTGCATCACGTTCGGAACGCATGGTAAGTCATATTGTTCTGACCCACGATCCAGAAACCAGAGTGGACCCTGTTCCTGGAGTTATATCGAGTGACGGGTATCCGTTTTGTCGACACTGGGGACATATCCAGTCATATTGAACGAGATACTGACCACAAATAAAGAGTTCTCGTCTCAGCTTGAGGGCTATGAGCAAGTTCGCGCATACTGTTACAATTGTAAGTTCTGACGTCAGGGGTCTATTGACCCTGTTACGGACGGTTTATTGATCGTCCGCTTTAGGCCAACATTGGAATGGTCACTGTATCACCCGATGGTATGTTTCTGTCCCGGATTACCTGACCAGGGTGGTTGGACTTGACTAATACTTTTTAAAGGCCATTTTTCACTGTCTGCTTCATTGTAAGTTTATGCTCGCCCGAATACTGTCTTGAGAAACAGTTCAAGATATCTAATGTTTACCACGCTACAGCCATTGATTCCTCTTGCTTTTCACAAGTACAAGGTAAAGAGACTTCGATCGATCACGTCTTGACTCTGTTGTTAACGTACTATATAGGAGGTCCAATGCTACACATGTCGTTTCACTCAAGACCTACGGTAGGCTCCAACCAATGCTATCGGCTTGGTAGGATATACTAATAATGATTGCTTCAGTGACCGGCCTGACATCACGCCTGACACACGACCTCCGGCAGGCATGCAATATGGCATTCAGCCCCCTCCCGGGGGCCCACCAGGCTGGCAGCAGCAACCCCCTCTGCAGCCTCCCCCTCAAGCACAGGGTGGACTTGGATACAAATGAGTTTCCAAAGTTGTTTTAATTCCACTAGCATGAATACGCAGCTACTGTTGCGGGGATGTGAGGCAGAACGACGGTTTAGCAGGAGACGCATGTCCCAGCTTAATACCGCGGATTGACCCTTTGGCGTTGAGTAACTTTGTTTTTTTGTTTTTTTGTTTTTCTTTGCTATCAGATCTCGAACTTTTCATTTGACCAGCCTGGCATATTTTGTTCCCTTCCCCGCATTGAATGTACATGGTTGTAAAGAGAAGAGTCAATCAAGCAGGTCATGGAGTAAACAATCAGGCAGGCATGAGGTACCCATGCTTTCAATCAAGAACAATTGAAGAAAAGAACTGCCCTCGGAAATCCTTAGGCAACAGAGAGCTATCTCTGTGGAAAGAACAAAAAATTGGCTCAAAGAGCACGGTGTTCAGCTCCTGAACGGTCAATGGAGAACCCAAGAAAGTACAGTCTGTATCCACAGCGGTCGATGTTGGGCACTACCCGAAGGTGTACCACCGACATGCTTCGTGCCATTAGATAGGACGGGTGGTCCCGATCTAGTTTCAGCCTAACCTGGGCCGCAGCAAAGATCCAATCAGTGCCCTCAATAAATCATTGGACGTGAGACTGAACTGTTGAGAGAAGAGAAAGAAGAAAGAAGAGAAAGTGGGAGGGGGTAGGTATTTATACCCCAGTTCCTTAAGACGACGGGGGAACTGGGGTAGGTGACGATGTTCCCGAATAGGAAGGCACCTATAAAGGAAGGCACAGATGACAATAAAGTGGATGAATTCCAAGTTCAGATAGACTAGGTAGCAGTAGGGGTATAAATAGTCGTAAACAAGATACTAAACCAAGACCAAGGCGCGAAAAAAACACCAAAAGATAACACCAGATCCTCAAATATCCTTCACGGAGCCCTGCTTAACCTTTTCCCCAACCATCTCCGTCGGCGTCACAGCCCCAGAAGGCGTAGCCGTATCATCAGCTCCATCCCTCGTGCCACGGTAAACCTTAGGCTTCTTACCCACAAGATCAAGCGACATCATCCGCACAACACGAACAATACTCGCCCGTCCCTCGTACAGCGGGAACACCACAACACCAAACAGGGTAAAGAACAACCAAATAATTCCGATAACAACCCAACCCGTGAAGAACTTCTTGCTGAACACATATGAAGTCCCGTACATTGGGATCGGCCAGAGGATGAGGAGGGCAAATGCCATAAAGACTGTCAGCGTGCGGGCGTAGAAAGCGGCGCGGTTGAGCAGGCGTATTTCTTCTTCGCTTTCGGCTTGTGTGGGACCCGCTTCGCCTGGAACTAGTTCGAGGTCAATGTGTGCGGCGGCGGCGACTTCCGTGTCGTCGACTTTGCGGATTGCGCGCATGGATTCGTAGTCGTAGTTTTGTGGGCCGAAGGCATAGGTGAAGATGGGGACAAAGACTAATGGGCTGAGAAGAGCGGCGACATTGCCAGCTAGCATGGGATAACTGGAGGGGTTTGTTAGCTTGGGTTTGTAGTATGGATGTTGGGAAGGATATGCTTACTTGGCGCCGGTGGTGTCAACGGTTAGGACTCCGTATTGCTTCTTTGCGGTCACTAGCCAGGCAATGAGGGAGACTGCCAGACCGAGGGGTGGTGATAAGGCAGCTGCGATGCTATTCTGGCCCTTCCAGAGGAGGGTCATGGCGCCGGGGAAGACGGCGGAAGAAATGATCACGCCCATCAGCAGGTAAAGATATCCCATGCCGATTCCAGCGTAGTAGAGACCCGTTGCAAAGGCCGCCATGACGATTGAGTAGACGATGCAGGACATGTGCGAAATCCAGACCAGTCTCTTACCCTTGGCGCTGGGATCGATGTAAGCTGCGTAGATATCGTAGGTGAAGATCGAAGAGACGGCGATCAGCTGCGCCGAGAACGCGGATGTCACGGCCATGAAGATCATCAGTGTTGTAGCGACGGCACCGCTATAGCCGAGCAACTTGACGGCTGCGAAGGGGAGAACTAGTCCGGCAGACACGTCGTTGGAGCTCAGACGCTGCGAGCCCTCTAGTGCCAGTGCGGAGAGACCCATTGTGGTTGCGCATAGCCAGGGAATTGCGAACCAGCAGAGGCCGCCGATCACGTATCCTGGGAATGCATGGACGGGGCTGGCGGCGATAGCTTTGTTGTAGTAGCCGTTGTCCAAGAAGACTGTTCCGAAGTTCCCAACTAGGTTGATGATCCAGAAGATGCCACCCTCCTTAGAGCGCATGGTTAGATAGCTGCCGTCCGCGTTTCCCTCAACGGGGTGACGCTGGGAGGCTGTAACTAGGGCATCATACACCTTTGATGGAGATCCTAGCTCGGCGTTTGTGGCATAGGCGGAGAAGGCGAAGAGGAAGATGACGACCAGAATTACCACAGTGTGCAAGTAATCCGTGATAAAAGTAGCCTTAATACCACCGAAGAGAGTATATAGTACCACGCCAATCGGGAGCAGGAAGCAAGCAGCCGCAGTGGGCACTCCAGTCAAAGATGTCATCACGGCCGATCCACCGGTGAGCAGCATCGCTGTAACCAGGATGTTGGTCATCAAGCAAAAGACTATAAACACGATATGTACGAGGGTTCCATAGCGAGCGCGGATGACTTCCAAGAAAGTGTGTGCATTCGGCGCGCGGCGTTTGAGCTCGATAGCTATTGTTGCGAATAGGAGAATCTGGACGGTAGCGCCTATTGATACACAATACGTTAGACATCGAGCCTCTCAGGTACTCATATCGGAACTAACCTGATGCGTAGAAAAATGGTCCAGAGACACCGTATTTGTATGCGACTGCAGACGACTGGAGAAGGGTCGCAGCCCAGGTCCAACTACTAACAACAGCGGCAGCAACCAGTCCTGATTTGACTGATCGGCCTGCAGTTGAGAACATCTCGGAGGTCTGGACTTCATTCTGATAGCTGTATAGAGATATTTTGTCAGTTTATGTGGCTGATACAGATTGAGGCATAGAGATGTACCGTTTCAGTGCCCAAGTGATAAAGATCATCAGCAGAGCAAAAGCAAAGCCTAGCCCCAGGATAATTCCATATCCAAAGCTCTGGGACAAAGGCGCTGTGAAAATAACCCCGTCGGACGGCATGTCGTGGACGTGAAAAATCAGAGACTCCACGGGTTTATAGCCGACAACAGAGGGATAAAATGTGAAAGATGTTGGCAGTGTGCCTCAAATTGAGAATCAGCGACTAATTCTCCAATTGATTTGGAAAGTATGCCTTATATAGCTTTCCAATATTGACTTGGGAGTATGTATCAAGCTCCCGGCAGATGACAACTTCATATAGGGCCGAGACGCACAGCATCATAAGCATGGAGCGGACCTCAGCTCCGAATTCGCACCCAGAGCACAGCATGACGATCTTTCCAAGGTTGATCTGAGCTTAGATAGGGATGCTGGATTTTGATTGCCAGATAAGGGCATGCTCTCGTAATGCCATGGCGCGCAAGGCAGGGATACGAACCGTATGGGTACGCCACTAGAATTAAAGAACCAACGTCCCGATGGAGCACTCCGATATCAAAAAGTCACTTTGATGTGAGGAAGAAGGTTTCGACCAGGGGCACACGCGTTGTCGGTCATTGGTTGGTGTTGGCTTATCAGTTGCTGTTCACCTAGCCCTGGTCCTTGTGGTTAGGTGGTTGTGATTGCCACTGATTGGCTGGAGAATATGCAAGATAAGAATTTAGGGGTCGGCAAACTCGCGCTCCCGAGCACTAAATATTTGAAACTGACCAGTGAGACTATTGTTAAAGGATCCTCCTATGTGGGGATATCGGGTTGCCCCGGCCCCAACGAGGTTGTAGGGTTTGATCAAGATATGCTTGGCAACTTTTACTCATTCTTATTATTTTCCGTGATCCACTATCTCCCCGCGTATACTTTATATTCTAAACATTATATTACTCGAGATGGACAATCTCACATTAAGTTTCCGCTTGGGCCAAACGTGGGATTAAGTTCGTTATCATATCCATTCCGATCTCGGGAGGTCTAGAGGCTGCTTATTCTACACTGTGTCACCAAGTCATCAATTAAATGAAATGCTTTATCTAATTGGACTGTGGGGATGGAACTATACATGTGCATCTCTTTTGGAAGATTTAGTTTTCTGTTTCACGCCCTGAGCGCCTGTTATATATATATATATATATATATGGTGTGAAGCGATCTTGGAAATTAATCTATATCAGACGAATTATAAGTCTAAGGAAAAATAACTAGCAAAAAGCTATACATGATTACTCTATAGCGCAAATTATATCCAATCCATATACGACGAAAAAACCACTATATCTGAAGAAACTGGGGACTATATTCCAGCTCCACTGATTGTAGCTTAACTCAAGATCAATCGGACCGGTGTAGGTATACATAACCGCCCGGAGGACACAAGACTATTACTAACTCTCAAATAAATCTAAATCATCTAGGAAGCGAGGAATTTTGGTCAGCTTCTTCATTCATCAACTCTTATACTGTGATATTTGATATCTCCCTTGGCAGCTTTTCCTTTCGACAGTTACATCTGTAGCAACCACATCACTAGAGTCTACAACTTGCTGCTGTATTCCAGATGGGTGAATGCTATATGGAGGGAGGTTTGTATGATAGAAAGGTACTGTGGAGGGTAGTTGTGCAGTACTGCCACAGTTCGCGAGTTGTCGGACTTGATAGATACATATGTCCCGGATAATGCGCGGCACCCGAACCCTTTCCCTTTCCGTTTTAGTGCTCACCTCTTGCCGCTTTTTGATCACTGAGTATAACCGAACCCCTGAGTACCCGGACTTGCCCAGGTGATCACTGACCATTACATAATCAACATGCTCTGCCCAGGTGCTCACTGGTAGGATCGAATCTCTCTGGGTTTGGGAAGATAATTAGGTCCCGGTGAATAAGGTATGTTGCGGAACTCACAGGGGTCTATGTTTATTAATATAGGTATCGCATAGGCAATTGATACATACGTACCCCAGGAGGAATTATATGACCTTTATATTGCAGGGTTTCATCCGGTACAACGCGAGGTAACCGACCAAGCAACCCATATGAGAGGCGCAGAGCCTCATTTATGATACCATTCTGCATTGCCTCCATAATTTGATCAAAGATTGCCTTTGCAACCTTGAACAGGGCTGCCGATCCTGGCTGTAACCAGAACATGACCTTCGACGGAACCACGTATGGAAGGTGTATTATCCATGGAATAAAGCGATTCGGGTGGACAAGGGCAGTGGCTTCACTAACAGCCGTGCGAATATCACTGCAGAAGGTCTTCTCCTCAATGAATTTCCAACTTTTCCCGAAGCAGTAATATGTGATGATATCAGGACGATAGGGCAGAAAATGTGTCACTCAGCTGAATCGCTTTTTTTCTTGGCATGACTCCTCAAACCGCAGCATCAACCTCTGTATGATTTCTTCACATGCAGGTGATAACTCCGAGACGGAGCGTTTAGAGAAGAAACTATTCAAGAGACTGCGCTGGAAGCGGTGATTTTTGAGAGGTACAGTGGCCGCAAGGCAGAGGAAGGGCAAAAGTTGGGACAAAAACATGGATCTTTGTCACGCACTCGGGTGCTAGAGGCATAGATCTCATCATAGAACATAGGATCGTTAACATGTACTTCACGGGGGTTAATTCGAACGATGAGGCCTGCTGAAGGTTAGTAGCCATAGAGTAAATCGGTAATCGAAAGTACCGTATTGCTGGTGCATCTTTTCAATCTGGAAAAGAAGTTGTCCCCCGCAGGTAAAATCGTAGTAAAACTTGTATGCGTGTGTTATGGCGGTTGATTTGGGCCCAGGAATTTTTCTCAGGGGATGGAAGTAGAGACGATAGATAGTTCTCAAGATAAGATAAAAGCCTATTCCACTGAAAACCAGCCAAAGGTAGGATATATTGGAGAACATGATGCTTTTAGCTTGTATCTGCTATGTCAGAACTAGCTCAACCTTGATAGAGGAAGGCTATTACCTGAACTCCAGCTTATATATATTCATCCCCTGGCAGCAGCCCCATATTTACCGGATTGGGGATTGGGTTTGACCGCGGTCGGTAAATGCTAGGAAAGATACTATCTTCCGAATTCTAGTTAGATCGATTGAGTCTACGATGGCTTCACACGCCGATTGCAGACATTTTATTTTATACCTGTCCCTTCCGATATCTCATTTGCCGTACAGAAATACTAGGTTAGATAGATAGCATACCCAGACAAGGACCCCCTTACTTCCCCATTGGAGCACCTGGAGCATCAGCTCTGGAGTCGGGTTGGTACCCCTCTCACCGAAGTTGAGACGATCAAGCCGTTTGTGGTCCGCCCCTGGTGGCAGGCAGCCGATATTGCGGTTGCGAAACCCAGGAACAGGCCCTAAAAAATCATCCCCAGGTGTTTGCGGGGGCCTATGAGCTGGTCTAGTTACCAGAGTCGAAGGATGAGAGCGATCGGAGCAGTACGTCCTGCTGACGACAGCGTTTGCTGGCGCGACAGTCTTGCCTAGGTTGCAGGACGGACTTCGGTTGCGCGGCAGTCGAGAGTTACCGACAGATTTGGCAAACAAAAGCCGTAGAGAAAAGCCTCCCTCAGTCAAAGCACTACCGCCTATGTCCGTGCAACGATGAGGTGGGTGGTGCTATTTATTCTGAATGATGCATGATCATGGCCTACAAAGGCCTATTGTTATCCAGGCTGAAATTACTGGAACCGTTGCATGGGCGAAGGGTCTGGAAGATCATGCTCGCACAAAGCAAATGGCCTTCAAATTACTTCCTTCGCGAGTGAGTTGCCTCTGGTGCCGTGAGCTGCGGCTCATCAACAAGCTACTGAGGGCTTCACTGATCTCCTTAATGTCACTGGCTTTTGTCGTTTTACTCGAGATCAATCCTAGAGCAGCGTAGTCCACCGACACATCGGGATTGACAGTCCACCTGCTAGAGAATCGCCCAACTCACTCGTGTGGGTGAGACTGGATTAGTGCAGCGAGGGATTGGGAGGATCGTGCTTATGATTGTGGAACAGCTAGCCCTGGAACTTTGCGCATTATTACCAAGAAAGACAAACTCGTCTGCTCCTGGTAACTTCTCGAAGTTGCCATATCGCGAGAAGTTGCCATGTCGTCCCCCTGTTGAGGAGGCTTTCCTACTGGCTAGCTGGGCAGAGGGGAGTTCCTAGGGGATACCTGGCTCATGGGGTATGAATGATGTTGACCGGATCGTGGAGGGTGTTTGAAATCTCTCATGGGTTCATTATTTTCTGGAGTAATGGATTATCATAGTCGGTTTCTTCCCTGTCTTTTTTATAGTTCTGCATATCGAATAAGTTCCTTTGGTCAGTACCCGCCGGCAATGGGAGCCAATCAAGATATGTTCGTTTATTGTGGTCCTAGACATCCATGTAGTATTCGGTGGTTTAACAACAAGGGAATAGTGGCTCGGGGCTTCTCCCACGGAAACAACATAGAGGCTTCAGTTGAGTGTATGCTCGAGCCGTATGCGAAGTACCAGGGAGCATAGAGGTTGTTCTAGGTGCATCACCTCCAGCATTGAACGAAGGAGCGGCCTATTTGCCATTCCATGGACTCATAATAAGCCGAGATTCAAGTGTACAGGATGGGTAACCAGAAGCTTGATAGTCTACAAAGTTACTAGAAAAGCAAATCCAATGCCAGGAACAGATTCAATCAAGTCTTTATATTGTACAGACAAACGTCCGGGTAGAACAAACATGTCTCAGTCCGAGCTGCCACAGCCACAGCACATTCCAGCGCATGATATCGCCAAGAAACAAGCCGATGGAGACAACACAGACAAGTCAAGACAGAAACACGAATAGACTAGTTCTATCCATAAGGACCTATACAGCAGATAGGTCGTTGAGTAACTCTCTTTTGCAACGCAAATGAAAAACACTACACACATCAAAATGAAAACGGAAACGGAAACGGAATCACGCCAGTTATTTCGGAAGGGTTGATTTGGTTCCAGCCACCAACGAGAAATGGCCCAAGGGTCACGGGGTATAGGAGTGGGTAAGTGAGGTGGTATGAGGAGAGGAAGATTCGAGGTCGGGGGAGGGCGCAGTCAACACCCGAGATAGATAATAAGCATCTCACGGGATATCAACTGCGCAATTGAAGCTGATCAAGTGCTTAAGCGGAGAACTTGCGGGTGATCTTGGCGATGACTAGAAATGAAGAAATTAGCAACGAATTCAACCACTCCATCTCATCTCTAGGAGTTCTTACCGTGCAGACCAACAACGGAGAAAATGAATCCCAGACTCAGGACCAGGACAACAACGGGGTCAACGCGGAGACCGGGGCTCTCGTCGGTGTAGAGCTTGAGCATGGTTCCGGACGAGCCACCGGCGCCGGCAGAGCGGGTGGAGCTGGGACGGGCATTGCGCAGGGTCTCCTTGTGGTCGGCGGCGGCACGGCGGCGCATGGCAGCACGAGGACCACCGGGGGTCGAGGGGGAGGAGGGACGGCCGACGGAGTTGCCGGTGGCTGCGACGGCACCGGACTTTGAGTCAGGGCCGGACTCGGCGCCTGAGGTGAGGGGAGATGCTGGGCGAGGGGAGGCCTGGTAGTACATTGTGTTAGTTGTGGGATTGAGGATCTAGATGGTTCGCAATGGGTTGTTGCGTTGATGGATGGGGGCAAGCTGGCTTGATCGTCGGATCGGTGATTGATGGGATCCGGGTCTGGTGTGGATGGACTTACCATTGTGATTAATGTGTGGAAGAGTGTAAAGGGGAAAAAGAAGATATTAAAAGAAAGACGGAATTGCAATTCAAGGAGAAAGGAAAGGAGGAGCTTGAGAGGGTCTGAAAGGGAGGTTTGCGGAGTTGAGGCCACGATCGCGGTTTCTTGGGTAATACCGTATTTGATCTGTCAACCCCGGCGGTTGGGGGCGATTTGGGCGACAATTACCAGTATTTACAGTACATAAAGATCCACCAATCAGAATGGCTCGGCGCACATTACTGCAATGGCACTCTACGAGATTAGCGAGTGACTTCAATATAAGTCTACAAGTCACGATCCTTGACACTTAGTAGTGAATGGCTAGCAATACTCGTTTTTCCATACACTATCCCTACAAAGTATGATACTGTATGATATTCTGAGATCAATTCTATTAATATAGCAGCTACTACACCATCCACGTGTCTAGTCCATTGAATTAATAAGAAAGACTAGCTCACATTCATCGGAGAAAGCATTAATGGCTGTCGTAAGACATGGAGAACACCTCCGGAAATCAAATCATCCAGATAACGCCGTCGGTGCACTCGTGCAGGGGGTATGGGGTATGGGGGTATGGATATGAACATGTAAAGGAAATCAAGGAAAGTAAAATCACAGGAATTTTTTGACAGCTCAGAGCCAGGGAAAATGGGAGATGGGTAGAGCAGATATGACAGCGATGAGGTATCATACTGAGCCGAAAGCCCAGAAGCAAGAAAGCAAAATGCACAAAGAGATCAGGCTAAATTTCAAGGTGTCCACACAGACACGAAGTTCACAGATTAAGAAAGAGATGGCGATCCAAAATTTAACGCCCCAGAGAAGGTACTTATAGAAACAGCACCGTTTTTCGCACCAGATGATCAATCGATCATCATTCGTGATGGTACTTGGGTAAGGTTCGAAGAGAGCTCGGTTGTCTTTTCTGCTTCCTTGTTCTTCTTTTTGTTGATGTGGGGCTTCAAACCGCGGTTGAAGTTGTGGACGCACAGGCAAGCGTTGACGATAGTGATCACAATCAAAATGATGGTGATGATGGCGAAGAAGGTCATCGATGGTCGAGCGGGCAGGTATTTGAAGTATGTTGCTGGGGACCACATTCGGAAGAGCTTGAAGCAGAAATATGCCATCGCGGCGAATAAGAGAAGCTGGTAAGATAGTTAGGAGCTGGATCAACATTGCTGGTGTTGCTGACTTACAATGATGATGATCATGCCAACCATGGTCTCTCGTCGCACAAACCAGGCGCCACAGACCAAAATGAGAATGGTCACAGGGATGGCAGCCACCGTAAGCGCAAATTCAATGTCCATGCTGGTCGAGGAGACCAAGACGAGGAACTGGACAGTAAAGCCCAGGAAGAAAAAGAAATCGAATTTCAAGAGAGCGATATAGATCTGATTCGCGAACTGGTTAGTGTTATTTATGGGAAGGTCGAACAGAACACAAACCTGGTAGGTGAGATAGCGACGCTTCATACGCAGATCAGCACTGATATGCTTGTAGATTGTCCACGCAAACTCGTCGTAGAGCTTATAGGCGACAAAAGTCATCAATAATGTCCCCAATGCCACAATGCATGGAATGATGATTAGGAACGGCTCGGACTGAGCCCAGACAACCGGACTGATCATCTTCATCAGGGCCAAGGTGGTGACCGCCTCTCGAATTTGTTTCACTTGAACAGCGCCGTAAATCAGGAGGCCAACATTGCAGATACACAATCCGATGACCTGAATTGTATTCTTCATGCGCAGAGCATCATATACTAGCACGAGCTCGTAGAGGAAACCGAAACCATAGAGGGCGAGGAAAGTAGGGATAGTTTTTGAAGCGGGACTGTTGTTTGGGAGTTCTTGGATTTGAAAGTTTGCGAAGATGTAACTATGAAAAGGACGACGTTAATATTGATTTCCGGTGGTTCGCTTCGAAATTCCATACCTTTCAAGGCCGAGTGTTACGATTGTTTGGACGAGTGTGACGATCGCAAAGGACCACGTCCAATGTGTGTTTGGGAGATACATCCTGGGTGTATGGGTCGCAGGAGTGACGTTGGCGTATCCCTCTCTTGCGCGAAAGCCGCCTCCTGGACGTCGAAAGGCGGGATCAAAAGACCCCCCTAAGAGAGATGCGCGCGACCCGTGTGAAGGAATCTTGCCGAGTGGCTCCGTGGTGGAGCTCAAGTCGGCAGGGTGGTGAGGGAAAGACACGGTGACGGTGTGACCACCTGACGGTGGCTTTTCACTTTATAAGGTCCGGTGGGAAATAGGCCCGACACGGGGGAAAAGGGCAGATTGAAACACCCGGAGGCTCGTGTGCTTCTGTGGCTTGGCAATTTAGTTGGCAAGTTAGGATTCGTCAGGAGATGCAGGCAAGCCTCAACAGGGGCATTCGACCGTCTAGCAGACTGCTCAAGAGATGAATTAAAGATAGATAATTCTCTTTTACTCCGTATGTTTGTTTGTTTTCTTTATCCCGCGGAGTTCCGAATTATCGGGCGGGGGAGTAGAGGGAATGTGTGCGATACAATACAATGCAACCCTCGAAAAGGAAAAATGGTGTAAGGAACGAGTGACAAGTGTTGAAGGGAAAAATAAGGCCAGGATTCGAGACGGGAGAAAAAGTAGGGGTCTGGGGTTCAGAGTTGTCCACATACCATGGGGCGGGTCACACACATTACGCAGTATGCACCTGAGCTCCTACTGGTACTCCGTAACAGTACGGAGTCCCGTACACAAGGCAGTGCTTACTACAATTCTAGACGCGACCATACACAGTTTCTCCAGCCGAGCTATTTTTTGCATTTCAACGCCTTTTCTCCTGAGTGGAGTGGGACCCATATGCGACAGGTACCAAACTTAGGTCGAGTCCAGACTCTTTATGTATTTTACCTTACATATATATGTGGGTAAACTGTACATAGGTAAATATATACTCTTCTAGTTCATCCAAGAGAACGACCTTGGAACTATGTAGTTCTTGATCCCGTGCGCCCGGGGTTCCAACCTTCCAGCCCTGGAGGTGCCCCAGTGGCTTACTTAATCATGTCAGTTTAATGCATGCTTAACTTGTGACACCTAGTAATTAATCCAAGCCCCAATGAATACGGAGTACCATCCCCGGAAATCAATGTGGAGGTAAGGCTGTGAAACATATATTGTACACATATGGAAAGCCATGTACGGCCAATGTGGCTGAGGAAGGTGGCTGAGACGTTTTAAAGATAGTCCGAGCCATGGCCCCTGAAGGACCATCCTTGGTTCATGTGTTTACCTACCTCGGTACTAAAATATAATTTGTTTTCATGTAGACTCTTATGTCTATTTCTCTTATTGCATCTTCATTCTCCTAAATCTACCAAATTCAAGTGCGTTTGCATGTATCTAGTAGGCTAGATCTCCGAACCGCATTCACCGGTATCAACCCTAATGTGCAAATGACACCTTGCGCCGATCAGATCCACATTCATCCTATTACAGTCGGCCGAAGTCCGCTAAAAAAAATACTCAGATTGAGACCAGCGGACTTGTGTAAAGTCCGATAAACCATGCCCAACCCAGTCGAAACATATATACCAACCCCATGTCAATAGCCATAATCTAAGACATGATCATCTCTGATCCATGTTCCAGAAGTAGCCGAGAGCATCCATAAACTAGTCGGCCCTCAGTCATCTGGCGCTGGATCCGGTCAATAGAAAGGTCCATAAGTTCAACCCTCCACGTCCCTAGCTAATAGATACCCGAGCCAATGTCTCAGTTATATATGTTTGTGCGTTAAGATCTAGCTCGCGCGGCTAGGCGACCAACGAGCCAATGGCTCATTCAGCCGGCGCCGGATAGCTCGGCAAAGACAAGCCCGACAATGAAACTGATGAATGCAGATTGATTCTCTACCTTTAATGTCTTTTATGCTAAGGATTATATCATGGTTAAGAATGCAAATCGCTAGCTGATCGTGTCTTTCTAGGACAGCAACCCGTTTGTAATATGTCTCGGGATAGGTAGTAAGATTGTTAATAGCCATATCAATACTAAGCAATCCAATTTAGGAAGCTGTCCACTATAGAAAAGCCGCCTCATGACTGGCCTACACTCCCAGGTACAATACAATACCAGAAGCATCTCGGAAGGCCAATACTAGCTATGGCGCAAAGATCAGTGCTGAAGCTCCTATTGATAATATATACATAGATGGGTTCAGAAGTAAAAAGGAATATCATTGCAACCCAACGCACCGTCGATTGACTACTATTTTATCCTTATTCTTGCAGTTTTCAATGATAAACGCGAAATATATCCAAATTGTTTTGTGGCTTTGATCGTGGCTTCGGCTGCGGTAAATTTGTGTTCGAGAGCTTGTGTGGTAACGCATGGCAAGCTGTGCAGTGGACGAATCAGATATCCAACGTCTAAAGTGATCGGCGGTGCCTTAAAATTTTTATTCAACAGATTAATATACATCAATTGACTCGACCTTTCGAAAGCAAAAATATAAGATGAAATATATGAAAAAGACAAAAAATAGTTTCCCTGGGAATCGAACCCAGAACCTTTCCGGAACATCTGCTAATCGCATTTGTTAACGGAAAATCATAACCGCTAGACCAGGAAACTGTTGGATGAACGCTCGGTCGCATAAATGATCTGTAACCCACTTGGTCGTATGGGCGACGAAACCATATCCCTGCAACGCGCCTTATATGAACGCCACACCGGGACAAGCCCGAGTAACAAACATTGGGAATGATTTTTTTTTTGTCAGCAACCCTATCATCTCCTCAGACTTCCCTTTTTGGTTTAAAGTGTGAAACGTTATCGCCTGTTTGCCCTTCCCCGCACTCCGATATGATATCGGCAAATCTCCAAGTCTATGTCTATTATCTAATGGGAATTGGGGATTCAATCAAATGATATAAATAAGTGTAGGGTGCATATTCGCTATTCTCAGCAACATTATAATATTCTGAAGCTATCTGAGACGATAACATGCTGTCTCTGTGGGTCGGGGCTATCTTCCTTTGCGGGTATATTGTCGTCCGCGGACTCCTCTCGCCCTTGTCTACGATTCCGGGTCCGTGGTATACTCGATTTACAAGTTTATGGATTAAGTATCAAGAGTTTACTGCGAATCGACGAGAGTCAGTCCACCGCTTGCACAAGATCTATGGTCCTGTTGTCCGGCTGAGCCCCAATGAAGTATCATTTACCAGCTTGGATGCGATTAAAGAGATTTATGCTTCGGGGGGTAGTGGGTATGACAAGACAGAGTACTATGACCTTTTCAGGCAATTCAAGATCAAGTAAGCATCTGCGCCAGATGAATAGCTTGCAGTCACTAATACAGAACTTAGGACAATGTTTTCTACTTTATTGAAAGATGAGGTACTTACTCCTGATAGAAATAAAATGTCCAAATGCTAATAGCCACCAGCATAGCAAAAGAAAACGGATCTTTGCCGATAGATATGCCATGACCAATATCATGAAAGAGAAGCCCATGGCTGTTATCCACGAAAGGGCTACGACATTCGTGTCCAAGTGTGTCGAGGCTGGCCAAAAGAGTGTGGATGTATACGTGAGTTTTCAATAAATTTACAACATCCAACATGAGAAATGCTAATCCTCTCAGTCTTTACTTCACTGCTATGCCCTGGACTGCGTTACCCATTTCATGTTCAGCCCCGGCGGCCTCAGATCTCTCAACATAGCCGAAGATTTTGATATCATGCACGAACTGACCTACCATCAAAGTCTCCAAAGTACGTGCTCTGCCCAATTCTCTATATTCCCGCGATAAATCTAAAGCAAAAACAGAAAACCTCCTGGAATACTATCTCCCTTCATTAGCACCCTATTTCCCAAAATCCCTCCACGCCCGCAGCGCCCCCAAAGCAAACCAATACGTCCTAGACATGGCCACCCAAATCGACCTCGACGGCCACTCCCTAATGGAAAAACTCAAACGCAAAGAGTCACACCTGGAACTAATGCAAGCCGCCGCAGAATGCAAAGACCACATGGCCGCCGGCATCGACACAACAGGCGATGGTCTGTGTTTCTTAATGTGGGAGCTCTCACAACCTCAGAACCTCTCTTTCCAGCAAAGTCTTTACAAAGAGCTTACCGGTGCACCGGCCGATGCACCCTTAGATAGCTACGTGTATCTCGACGCTGTTATTAAAGAGGCGCTGCGGTGTGCGCCGCCTATTCCAATGTCGCTACCTCGCTATGTACCTGCTGGTGGAAGGGAGATTGATGGGTTCGTCGTTCCGGAACATACGATTGTTAGCTGTCAGCCTTATTCGGTGCATCGGATAAATGAGAGTGTTTTCCCTGAGCCTAATCGGTTCAATCCTGAGCGGTGGCTTGTTGAGGAGGGGGCTGCTGAGCGGAATAGGCTTTTCTTTTCCTTTGCTACGGGTGGGAGGGGGTGTACGGGCAAAAAGTGAGTTATGCTCTTTCTTTCTGGGTTATTAGTGCTGATTGATGATCTGTTTAGTCTTGCGCTTGTTGAGATGAAGATGTTGCTTCGGGAAGTGTATTCTCGGTATCGGACGACGGTGGCTTGGGATATGACTGCTTCGATGAAGCTGGATGATCAGATTATCTCTTCGAGGCCCAAGGGGCAGAGCTGTAAGCTGGTTTTTATTGCTGTAGAGTGACATATATAGAGTGATATTGGATGTCTTGGTTTCTTTTTATCGAAAACTACTGTAAATTCAGAATTTAATGTGATAATCAGATTTTGATACTAACTCCCCATATAATAACATCACGAATGATACCTATGTACATACCTGGTATGTAATCACAGATCGACAAGGTGGAATGCGGGTATCTCAAGCCAATGCGGGGGAGGGGAAAGATAAGTGATCCTTCTCTTCAACATTCCCAATTCGGTCACATATCTAAGCAAATATATCCTAAGATAGCACAGACTATCTACAATTAAGCCAATCTCATAAACACATCCTCCCCATATCCAAACACTCAACTCTCACACCAAAATCCAATATGGCCATCAAACCCGACCAATCCAACTGTCGCTTCTCCAAGCGGATCTCATTCCGATGGATCACAGGACCAGCCGAAGAAACAACCGACACAATCGTGATGTCCGTGAAGGACTGGTACGTTGATCTACGGATCGAAACGGAAACAGGCAAGATAGACTGGGCAATTGCCGGACAGAGGATTGTGGAGAGCCAGGACCCTTGTAAGTTGACTACATCCAAAGGATGCATTGCATCAGCGAAGCAATATGAACAACTCTTTAACCAACTAAATAGTGCGGGTGACATTCTCCCACGAGCTCGACTCTCACAATGCCTTTGAGACCATCGATTGTGGAACTTTTGTCCCCTTACCAAACGGCGATGATCTCGAGATGGGATCTATGCCTCGTCATGATCTCCCCGGTGCACCCGACAAGGAGTATGAGGAGGTATGGCGGGAGTTGCCATTTAGAGAGGGCCCCGAGGGGCCCGACAAAGGTCTTTCGTGGGTGCTGGAGTCGGATGATGGAGATATCGGCAGTAGAGAAGGAGAAGTGACGGTTACGAAGACTTTTATCGGTCGCATCTGGGGAACGTATTTGGCGCTGAGTCAGGAGCAGACTCATACGCGACAGAAGACTCCTTCTGGGGAGTTTGTTGTTAAGAAATCCGCCGGGGATGTTAGTGCCAGAAGGGAAGAATGGGGATCGGGGTGGAGTGAGAAGTATTCGGTTGGGGAGGATGCAGGTGCTTTGCCTTCGATGATGGTTGGGTTTGATGGGGAAGGAGAGGGATCTTGGAAGGTGCCGGGCGAGAAGGTGGAGGTTCAAGGGAAGATGTATATCGTTCGGGCTTTCGAGCAAATTTAGACCAGGGCTTTCTTCGATTATAACCAGCCTTTACATGTTCAAGCATAGCTCTTGTGATATAGGATAATTGCTATTAGATCCCAAGAAGCTACATAGCGGAGTCAATCTTCCGAGGTATATATTCAGCGCAGACAGTCACTCCGAGGTTAGTCAGGTATCTTAAGCGCAGAATAAACGAAAGTTACTTATCACCCTCATAGGAGCTAGTTTAAACAAGCTTGTCAACACGCAATTAGTCTGCTCCAGTTAGTACATCCCGTCAGCCATTGGACAGATACTGAGCAGAGTGTTCTGGGAGGCCGAAACTGAGAGTACACGCTAACCTCAGCTACAAAATTGCCTCAAACCAGCTTAGACAATACAAAAAAGACACCCTGTATCAAAGTTGACATAAAACAAAGCAGCACATCCAAACATAGTATAGCTATAACCCAACTAAAAACCTCGCTGCCCTATACCTCCCAAACGGGACAAGCGCACAGATGACTCATCCCACGTGACAGCAATATAAAACCCGCAAACCCACCTCAACCCCCAAATTTCCCTTCTTCAAGCGCCATCCCCACCAATGCTGCGTTTCTTTGCTACACACGGCGAGCTCCCCAGCCCGTCCTCGCAGCTCTGGGTTCCGCCCAGAGCACGTCGAGACCCCTTGCAAATGAGAAATTCGGAGGAATCTTCAAACCCCAACCCGCGCCGTCGTTCGTTTTCGCGCGTCGGCGCCGGTCCTGCCCGTGAGGGCCTGGTGTGATCCTAGATCACTTCTTACCCACACTTGCACTTGACATCAGAAACATCGGGCGGAGGGGCGGGGCTTGTGGCAACTTGTTGTCATGGGTTCTTGTTTCCGATGCCCCTGGGAGAGTCAGTGCGGAGATTGTGTGTGATGACACTTTAGTGCAATACGCAGCATACCTTGCTCTGTCTTCTCTTCGGAGGGATGGATGGTATCATTCGATTCCGATCATTCTGGTGGGGATGGCGCTTCGTTTTTTTTTACAGGTCAGTTCTTGTTTCCCCTGGTTTTTTTGGGGATGTCTGGGAAGAGTTTTTTTTGGCGACCTTGCTGATTAGTGGGGTTGTGGACCTTCCCTGCGAGGTTCCTTAGGGTCATTTGCCTGCGGGCGCGTTGGGTTTCGGTCGCTGGTGTTGGTGTTGGGTTTGTGGGGGCTTTATTCAGAGTGGTGGGCATAATAAAATACATTTATTCATGAATTATATCTTTCTGCTAGCTGAATGGCCGGCGAAATATCCTAAAAATCGTCTTACTCGTAGTGATGTTGGTAATCTATGATTCTAGGTGAAGGATGCATGTTTGGAAAAATTTGCGAGATCGAAACCTCGACCGCTGAATGTGTAAATTATCGTGAACATCTTGTAAAACCCCTGTTGTCAGGGATGTAGTGAAAGAACATTTTCCTCCAAGTTCTCTCTATTATCATCGAGCTTCATTTTTAGCATTGCCCATATCCCCTCGAATCACCGAATGATTCGTTTACTCTTCGTCACCGATCTGTGTTTAAACCCGTTAGCTAGGTTTCCAATGATGTCGACGTTAGAAAAGTCAAGAACTTACCTTAGGAGCGAGGTAGAATCGCAGGTGGCCACTTCCGAGACCGTACTCAACGAGCAGCGGCACTTCCTGGGAGAGGTGCAGCACGACAGATGAAGACAGGTTGGAGGCCTTGCAGAAGTTGACGAGGTACTTGAGGGAGAAGGTCAGGGCGACGGGTTCGGAGAGGTTGATGACAACGTTCTGGTCGGGCTTGTCGACGTTGGTGTGTTGGCGGATGGTGACGGATCCGTTACCGATATCACCCTGGCAGGAGAACTTGACACCCTCCTTGCTGGCCTCAATCACGACTACAAAAGAAGTTAGCACGACGGGACTTTTCTGTCTGCCAGCCGGGCTTGGGTATCGCCCCGAGGAAGAAGTTACTAACCTGACTCGGACAGCGCGTTGAGATCTCTGCAGATGCGCTGGAACTCGGAAGAAGGCATCTCCACGGTGGCAGCGTACTCAGTCTCGGGGATAGCCAGGTGCTCCTGGTCAATATCCATGAGCTTGATGTCGTACTCGCTCAGTCGGTCTGTCTCTGCACTCTCGAACATCAAGTTGACGGCATCGGGGGAATCCTCGGCCTTGAGGGTCAGGATGTCTTCATTCTGGGCGGCGCGGAGCACCTTGGTCAGGGAGAGCAGGTTGATGCCGAGGGCGATGTTACGGTCGCAGCGGTAGGGAGAGAAACCCTCGGCGCGGAGCAGCATGGAAACTAGGGCAACGTGAGAGTTGTCCATAGCCTGGAGAGCGATTCCGGAGTCATTGCAATCAAAGTTGCAGTCCTGGACAAGATCCTTGATGGCGTCGACGACCTACACACAACAGTGTTAGTAGTTTGTCCATTGCCGAATTGTTTGAGTGGTATAGATCACATACGCGCTTCAGAAGGCTGGCCTGTTCCAATCGTGCTTCCAACACTAGAGAGTGGGTTAATTGGTCGATTCTTCGCACACAACAATCTTTTCGATTTGGGGGTTGGCTGACTTACTCTTGATGTGTGTGTATTTAAAACTGGGTCGTAAGGAAATATGAGGAGAGTGTGTGTCTTTTTGAAGTGAAGAGGGTGGTAGGAGGACGAGGAGAGTGAACTGGGTATGTATTTGAGCGAAGATGAAAGAGGCAGCAGTCTAATATAAGGATCGCGTTAAGAGGGTGGGGAAGACGCGGTCGCGTTTGGCGATATGTCCCTTTTAGGTTAAGTTTGACACCTCAGGCGACAAGGCAATAAGGCCTGCTGAATATACACCCCCATAGGGGTTTGCCGATATAATGATTTACCAGTGGCATAGATATTAGAAGGATAATTCATTTGCAGAAAAGTCTGCTGTAATGTACAAATTGGAAAAGAAATCGACGTTAATCCCACACTCAACGGAAATGAATGCCGAAATAATCGCCATCGAAGATCACTTAAAGACAGTCGGACAGGTAATAATGGTACAAAAGAAATAAGTGATAAGCAAAGTAGCAAGTAGCAAAAAGCAAAAAGCAATAGTCCTCGAATAAAACACCGCTGTCGCCGGGCTCCGTCTATACATGTTGTGGGTATCAATTTGTGACTTCCAGCTGCTAGCGCTGGTTGAAGTCAAAGCTGTGCCGGATGGCGCAGACGAAAATAAAGGGATTCTGTGGAATGCATCAAGCATGAGACAGAGATCCAAGCCTTGTCTTATATGCTGGTAACTCGCTTCGCAGAGTTGTTTCCTGGTCGCTGCTTGATGACCATTTCCAATTCCTTGAGCATGTTAGTGCTGGCATCTACCTTTTCTCTGGCAGTCGCCTGTCTGGCACGGTCTTCTCGTACACGCGCGAGACGCTCGTCTCTTGTCAAAGAAACTCTCTTGTTTCTCGAGGCCGGGAGTACAACAGCTTCGAAAATTTCCTCGTCATCATAGGTCTGGGTCAGATCCGGCCGGCCCTCGCCAGTTAAGGCTTCAAGTGCATCCATCGGGCTGCCCTCGACTGCGGTAGATCCTCCCAGGCTAGGAGTGGGGGACATAGGTAACAAGAAAGTACTTGGCGGTCGCGAGCGATCCCCGACACTAAGGCGATCATGTTGGTTTACCAAGGCGACTCTACCAACTTCCCACTCTTGGAGAAGAGCCCTAAGATCACTGCCAACCGAGTCATATTGTGTAAGGAGGGTGGCTTCAAAGTCGGGGTCTGCGCGTTCTAGATTGGCATGTGACTCCTCGCTGGCAATGTGCATTTTAGCATGCAAGGCACGGACCCCTTGTGACAAAGAGTTGAGCCGTCGAAATTGAGCACGTAGGTGGTCCCTGCTTGGCGAGGCGGAAGGTAATGGGGAGGGAGGAATGTTATCACCTGCGAATATTAGCCAACGTTTTCGTGTCATAAAATAAAAGTTATCACTCACGGTCCTCCTCGTTTAAAATTGCTGTCATTTTCAGCATGCTGTTGCCAGTCACCGTAGCAAGCTCACGCATTTCCTCAACGGCAGAACTCCACCGAGCAATATCAGAGCCACCACCATCGGCGCTGAGGGCTAGCAAGCAGCACAACACGCTTTTTCTCACGCTGTACAGTTTTCCAAATAGATCCCTCAGGGAGCGCAACGAGTATTGATCCTCGTTGGTTCGCTGCGACAGGGACACCTCAATTCCTTCGAGTTCTTCCAGTCCAATGTCATAAATGTCGTAATATTTCGCAAGATCGCCTTCATCGGTCAGTGGGCGTAAGGTATTCTGGGATTGAATATACCGCTCGAGCATGGAGTAGAAGCATTCGGACACCGCTCGGCGCAATCTCAAGCATCGTCGCGTTTGTACTGCATCCTCCAGCCGACTGATGGGTGGTAGAGGAGTACTTCTGTGATATTGCGTTAGTCCCGTTATCACTTTGAATAGAAATGTCGCGTTCTTACATCCGATAACCTCTGGATACAAGTTCAACCTCCTGAATAAAGACCACGGAAGCCGACGCAGCCGAATCAAATCCTTGAGCATTTCCAATAAAAGTTCCAGCTGCTTCAACAGCCTGGTGCCGGAGATATTTCAACCACTGTCGTTTTGCGAAAGCATAGAACAAGATACCGACAGCAGGCACAAATATAAGAAGCACTCCAACTTTCTTGAGACTGGGTCCTGACCCAGTCCTTGAACGGCTCCAATGTAATAACCAAGCAATAGAAAAGGATGTGAGGGCTGTGACAAGGGCGCCTTGAATTCCAAAAGTTGTAGATAGGGACGGGAGAGTTGAGGGTTGTTTTGCAGATAGGACATCTGCAGCGGATGTGTAGGAAGGAGCGCTGTGTTCGTTCAACAGTTGCGACGCGACAATAACGTAGCCAAATTGTTCCAAAAATCGTTCGTTGTCGCTTCGTGCTAATCGGACGTTCAGGGCGGACTAGACGAGAAGAAGCGTTAGTATGATCCCGTGCCATCGTAGACGAGGGGTCGTACCGAGCAAGCGTCATATAGTTTCCTGATCAGTTCCCCATGTGGTGTGCCTCGGAGATTGAGAGGCTTCGGTAGTTTGTTTCGAACGCGATCCTGGAATTTGGAAGACCCCTGAGGGGCAAAGTTGAAGGTATGGGTATGTTCATCGTCGCTTTGGTTCTCCACGGGCCAGCTCTCTTCGTTTCCACCCTCCCCTGGTACGGATGTCAGCGGATTTGAATTTCCCGGGTATCTTGGGATATAGCGAACCTTCCAAATATTCAGCCAAAGGCGAGTTCTCATACACGACTGATTCCATGTTGCGGGATCATGCCTCGGCGACAGGAAAGCGGAGAAGGTGGGCGAGTGGTGACGCAGGCAGGTGATAAGGACAGGCGCTTACAGATCCATGTCGCAGAAGTATAGGCGCCAGAGAAAAAAAAAGGATTGTAAATGTTAAAGGTTGAAAGTGCCTGGGGGCCACGTTGAGGGCACGTCCGGGGAAAGGAGGTCTCCCAGTCACGAGCTAGTTTAGACTTGACCCACTTACCTGTTCCTGGCGATGATGATTTTAATAGAAGCAAGGAGTATGTTTAATCTAAAGGAGATTAGATACATGAAACTATGTACCTATGTACACTAGTTTTCCAGCCAATCTGATCAATGGAGACAAGGTTCACCACATCTTGTTAATCTGGCCAGCTGTATGCAAGCGAGGTCTCAGCCAGTTTTTATGCAGATAATGCTGAGTCATTCAACATAATCTTCCTAGCATAGATTGGATGGCATTCACATGCATCCATTTAAGGGGTAGATCAGCAGCTATGCTTCTAGAATGACGATCATGATTCTGCTTTGTTTTGTTTTCTAAAAATGACCGCTTCCTTCGGACCAGCTACAATGACCAAGTTCCGTATGATAGCACTATATGCAAAAAGAGAACTATCTATAATTCACCCGAAAGTATAACATCTCTGATATCATATGAACCAGATAATCAAAGTCCTTATTATGGATAGTTAGTTAGATGGCATACAAAGGACTGCTTAGATAAGAGCTCAAACAATCTTTAAGGAAGGGTGACGATGGGCCGTGATGATTGGATCCTATATACTGCGGTACTGCCATGCATGATGTACATCTACATGTCATCAAGGACCGGATCGTCGATCAAAATCTGCGACTGTTCCGACATAACCGAGATGATGTTCTGCAGGATCTCAGCTGCCTTGTCATCCTCCCAGTTATGCTGAATTTCCCGGAGGTAAACGGACTTGACTCCTGAGAGGAACCAGTAGGTGCAAATCTCCTCCACCTCAAGTAACTCCGTATTTTTGAACCCCATCCCTTGCGTTTGCCCCGTATAGGACATCTGGCTAAAAGAATCCATAGAAATGCGAGGCAATTACTAGGAAACCCCTAAACACTTAGTAGTCTCACCGCTTCACATAATGAAAACATGAAATTATTGGACTTTTCCTCCAACTTTCCTGAATCAACGAGGTGCCTTATTGATTTCGTTCTGATTGATTACCCATACTCATCCCTACGATGCTACTGCCCACTAAATCAAGCTCAGATATTTTTATGAGCATCAAACCCGAGCACATGCGCAACATTGCTTCAGGTGCGAAGAACCACGAATACCGAGGATATCTCCTCCCGCCCAGTGTTCGCCGCATCTGGTTCTACACCACTTCTCCCGTCAAACGACTCGAATACGTCGCTCGTATATCTGCAGGGAAACCTCCCGGAAATGTGCCAAATGACGATGGAATCGGCAATGCAGATTTCAACGCCGGCAAAAAGAAATCTAAGTACGGATACGAAATCATTTCTCTGTGGATGTTGAAGGAATCCATCAGCTTGGAAAGGGCGATTTCAACAAATATCCTGAAAGGAGCGCCCCAAAAATACTGCTGGGTGCCAGTTAGTCTGATAAGGAGCCGCCCACTGGATGAACAACACCGGGTGATTTCGAACATATCGGAGGATCACCCAGGGGAGCGGAAGAAGGAAACTCGATAAGGGATTTAGAGACTTAACTGGTGGGAACACCCACAAGGGCGTGACATGTAATTGATATTACTGAGGGTACAGAGTAACAGGTACTTATGCCTCCTCGTGATTTCACTTTGGGACTAGCTCAAGTCTCTACCCGAATGGCCCCCAATTATTAATCCTGGGCTCCGCTCAAATATAACTGTTCTCTAGCGTCAATAGCCCTCTCTCGTTCCCTATCCTTTCTCTTTTAGATTAGCCCCACACGGTTAACCCAGTAGGGACCACTAATGACTGGCATTTGTCCGCGATGAGGAGCAGACATGTGGCCTGCCTGGCATGCCGGGAGCGCAAGATCCGATGCGATGGTGGCCTGCCCAGCTGCCAGAGATGTATACGAAAGGGTCAAACATGTGTATATCAAACCGAAAGAGAACGTGTGAACCTTGCAGATGCTCTGAAGCAAATGAATGGTAGACTTCGTAAGTGGGATAACATCAAACCTGCGAGGTATCGGAGCTAGCTAATTCCCCCGATCAGTCCAAGCAGAGGCTGCTTTAACTGCCCAGTCCAACAAAGACGTAACGAGAAACGAAATGTCGTTTCCTTCAAATCCGGTGACTTCGCTAGTTGACGAGCGACTGCTACCCATATCACTTTCTCCGATTGCTCCTCCCCAAAGTCTCGATGCCCGCAACTCGCCCTTATTGAGTAACAACTTCTCTGTTAATCAGTCCGAATCTGCCCAGTTGTTTGGATCATCGATAAATCCCTCCTTCTCAACCATGACTGATACGCTCCTCCCGTCTTTGGGAGGGAAAGACTGGGAAATCCTTTCGCCCAATAATTATTTTGGGAGCGCTAGTTCTGTGCCCAACTTCAACGTACCTGATACTTTTGCTGGCTTTGACCAGCCGGCAGCCAGCCCCATTGATTTGCGAGCCGATCTCGGTGAATTTACCGTCGCTCGGGATATGGGTCAAAGTAGTCCGAGTAGCACCCCAGATATACCATCAGAGGTCATCTTGAGTTTGTAAGTTGTCCAAACTCAACATGTTCACCGATCCCCCTCAAAAAGCATTGTATGCCTGACCGTTGTAAACCAGACAAAACCGCTACTTTGACACTGTGCATGTTGCATACCCGATGATGGACAAGTGGCGCTTCCTAGAGAAAATCAGTACGAAGCAAATCAACCCCGAGATGACATTTCTGCAATACGCTATGTGTGCCCATGCGGCAGACCTTACTCGAGACCACGAAAAGGTCGCAGACACATGCTACCAGCACGCTCGCAGGTGTCTGCATCAGATCCAAGAGGACGGGCTAAAAAGTACTCTGCATGGACTCCCCGTCTTGCAGGCCTGTATCCTCGTAGCTCTTTATGAGGTTAAGCAATTAAATTGCCACCGTGCAGTTTCCAGCATCGGACTTGTGACTTGGCTTGTGAGGCAGTTATGGCTGCATGTCATCGATCGTAACCCCAATAGTCGGCCGCCCACTCGATGTCGCAGTCGTCTCGGTCCCACTAGCGACAAAGTCGAGCTGGAGGAGAGGAGGCGAACGTTCTGGGTCGCGTACAACGTTGAGGCTTTCTCAAGTGTAATATATGGCTTGTGTATTTCTCCGGACCATTCAGAGGTTAGTGAGCACCATCAATGTGATGGCCATCTTAAGAGGTTGTGCTGATGATCAATTCACTTTCAGATCGAAACTCATTTACCGTACTTAAATTCCTTCAACGATGCGACAATCCTACTCTCTGGTCAGCCTTTGAGCCTAATGGATCCCCCCAAACTTGAGGATGACGTATCGACCTCTTCCTTCAATGCACTCCTTCTCACTAGCACCCTCGCCGCACTTTGCCTGCGACACGATGGCAAATCACAGCGACAAGAGTCTTCTAACGCCTCATTCGGCTACACCTTCTGGTCTGAACACTTCCGTATTGATGAGATAATCAGGAATATCTCAGATCATACACTCAGCCAGCTAAACGAGCCTCGATATGCAGTTGATGCAAATGCATTCTTTGCCCTTATCACTCTCAAAACAACCACTATCCTTTTGCATCAAAGTGCCCTACAATATTCCCAAAAGAGCAGACTCATGGAGAAGTACGTATTGGAAAGCCCCGGACAGTGCTTGAAGGCCGCTTTCGAAATCGCCGATGCTGTGCGACAAGCACACAACTTTAACCCAGCCAAGGTAAAAAACCCCCCTGCACTTTCGAATAAATGTCACAAAATCTAACTCAAACAAAGATGAATCCATTCACCGCTTGGCCCATCTTCACCGCAGCCCAGATTTTCGTCCGCGCTCTTCAACCGTCAAACCCACTCTCCAACGTAGGCAGCTTCGGACCGCAAGCTCCGTCTTCGAGTAGCTCTTCTACTCCTCCAGTAGCCGCGCCATCTTCTTCGTCTAGTGAGAACAACACATCACCGAGAAAAATTGGCCTCTTGATGGACTCGCTACAAGTCCTTATGGTTTCTCTTTCCAGTATGAAACTCCAAGGGGGCTTGGCAGCTACATGTCTGGTGCATCTCAATCATGAGATCAACGGCGGCGAAGATGTCACGAACGAGAGCCCTGTCGGGAATATAGATTTCGAGTCTGCACTTCCGGAAGTAATGGAGAGACTACGATCATGGACCAATACTTAGGGGATTTGGGGGGCACGTTGTTGTCGCTCTAGACATTTATAAATTTATCACTAGATGCTGATATAAACCGGCTTCGAATATTACTCAAAATATATTCAGAGATAACGATGTGGTCATTGTATTAGCGTTCCTATCGAAGGATATCAAGAAGCGTCATATTCTACTCTCAAATAATTTAGAGCCTCACTCACTTTATGTTCTTGATAGCATAACATAACCATCTTTCATGCTTTTGGTGCGAAACGCCTTCTTTTCGCTGCTATATTTTAGACTATTCAGAAAGACGGCACAAAAAGCTCTACTGTTATAGATTGATTAGTTTCATGCATGTGATTTTACTAATGCAGAAATTGAACTGATCGCTGGGTGCTCGGGGGGATCAGCCTCACCCCGGAGACCTTAACCCTAAATAAGTATAGACTCGGGGAGAGCGGCCCGAGCTTTGTTGTTCGGGCCGGGCCCGCGAACAGACTAAACCGGATACTGTAAAAGAGAAGCTCATTAGGACGATCCTTTGCAAACGCAAACAAATATGCAGTTCACAGTGCCTGAATTACCAACTCCTACCCAGGCTGAATAATTTCCACCACGACATATGACTATGCTGAATAATTATCGCGTAGATCATTAGAGATAGTGCTCGGCGCGGGCGGCGCGAGTTGTTTTATATTGAGCTGCATTACTTTTTGTTTCCTACTTTCCATTCTACTTTTTACTATTCACTCAACAGGGACCTTTACAGCTCTTTGGATAACGAACAACCAGAAATCAACCATGACGGATGTTGAAGCTTCAGTGGAGGAGTCTACTATCAATGACGCCGCAGCTGCCCCTCAAGACGTTGAGAATGAGTCTGGGGGCTCGGTGGCTCCCAAGGGGGAGCCGCCATCACCTCGTCATATCCATGGTTTAAAGGTTGGTCATTGTACTACTGATAGCCAACGAGGATAGGTCTGGCTGACCTGGTATCATAGTGGTTTATTGCGGTTTGTGCTATTTTGTCATCGACCTTTTTGTTTAGTTTGGATAACACTGTGGTATATATTGCCCTAGAGAATAAGACCCAAATCTTCCACTAAGATCATCTACTAGGTCGCCGACGTTCAACCCAATATTGTCAATGACTTTGGTAGCGCCGAAAAATTGCCCTGGGTCGGCGCCGCGTTTGGGCTTGGCGCTACATCTATTCTCCCTTGGTGATTATTCCATGCTGTTTATCGAGAACATAAAAGCTAATTGTGTGTAGGGGCAAGGCATATGGTGTCTTCAACATTAAATGGCTCTATGTGGGAACCGTCATCATCTTCGAGATTGGCAGTGCAATCTGCGGTGCTGCGAACAATATGACTGCCTTGATTTTGGGCCGTGTCATTGCGTATGGTCTAAACTTGTCTTTCTTGCATAAGTTCTTAGCTAATAAGTTACAGTGGTGTCGGTGGATCGGGCATGTATAGTGGCTGTCTCACATATCTCGCCATCACAACCACGCCAAATGAGCAGCCAGTGCTCATGAGTCTGGTTGGGATGGTTTGGTATGCATATATTTCTTTTCTCTCATATCGTTTCACCCCACTGACCTCTCTTCAGGGCAGTGGGAACCGTCCTTGGTCCCGTAGTGGGAGGTGCCTTTGCTGATAGCTCTGCCACCTGGCGATGGGTGAGTCCTATTTAAGCACTCTATATTGAAAACCACTATCTAACAGAATCCCAAGGCTTTCTACATCAATCTTGTCATCGGCGCCATATTCGCACCAGCCTACCTGTTCCTCCTCCCCGACATCGACATGCAACGCAACACTCCGCTCGCACAGAAGCTCAAGCAAGTAGATTGGCTTGGCCTCTTCTTCTTCTACGCAGGAATGGTCTGCTTGATTGTTGCAATCAACTTCGGTGGCAGCGTCTATTCCTGGAGCTCAGGGGCAGAGATTGCCTTTTGGGTCGTCGGAGGTATTTCTTGGATTATCTTCGGCCTAACCCAGCACTTCACTCCCTTCATCCAGAAGGCCCATCGACTATATCCCACGCAATTGATGCGTCGACCGCTCCTTCTCAATTTGCAATTTCAGCTCTTCCTTTCTTCTGGTGTACTGCTGGTAATGACCCCTACCCTACTTGACCAATTCTCCTCCTTTACTCGCCTTATCTTGAAATTTTCCAAACTAAAAAAGAGATCAAGGGAGCCGCCTACTACATTCCCCTCTATTTCCAGTTTGCCCAAGGTGACAGTGCCCTCCAAGCCGCCGTCCGTCTCCTCCCCTACATCATGATGGTCGCCGCTTTCGCCCTCATCAACGGCGCCCTAATGACAAAACTCGGTTACTACATGCCCTGGTACACATTTGGTGGAGCTTTGATACTCATCGGTTCTGCACTCATGTACACTGTTGATATATCGACTAAGATTGGGAATGTTTACGGCTACACCGTACTCATGGGTATTGGTGTTGGCTCCTACGTCCACGCCTGTTATCCTGTTGCCCAGAACCTCGTCGGTCCCACAGAAATCCCCGACGTGATTTCATTTATGAGTGTAGCCCAGTCGACGGGTATTACTGTTTTCTTGGCTGTGATGGGAACGGTGTATAATAACGGGGCGATTTTGAAGGTGCAGGCTGTCTTGCCCGATGCGACCAAGGCGGGTGTTTTGGAGGCTTTGACGGGGACGACTAGTGTTATTTTTGATAGCTTGGATGAGGCTGTTAGGAGTGATGTTATTGGGGCGATTATTGAGGCTATGAAGCCGGTTTGGTTGATTTTGGTGGTGGCTGGTGCGTTGAGTTTTGTGCTGAGTTTCTTTTTGGGTAGGGATAGGTTGTTTGGTAAGAGATAGACGGTAAGACACGTTGAGAACTCTTGAAGGAGAAAAGTCAAGAGATGGATGGTGTCTTTGCGGTATTTTATAGTCTTAAAATAAAGTGGCTTAGACTTTCTTCTAGCATCATGTATACCAATGAGATCGGATTTACTGTAAACAGTTCAGCAGATCTAATTTTGACATACAGAGGTATGAGCTATCAATGATACGCCGATGTGGAAGCCCCGACGAAGGATGGGAGTGGAACGTTATCTTATATGGCTCTAACCAGGAGTGCTTCTGTAGTAGTATGAGATGCTGAAATTCGTCGAGCCTGCCTAAGTGTGTGTAACCTTTTAGTACTGTTTTCTGAATGTCTTATTCCCTTAAAGTTGATACCAAGTCCCTATCTCACATGCCCTTCGGTGTTGATTACCTGGAATTAACTAACGCCCAAGGGCATTTTCTCATTTTTACTTTGGCGTATGCGAGGTCTGTCGGTCGTTCTCAGTCGTAATCGTTATTTTTCTACGTGTTTTTTTTTCCGTCACAACCTCTCTCCCTCCCTCATATTTATATTTTTTAAGCCATAGGAAGAAACGGGATAAACGCCGATAAAATCCAAAAATAGGACTCGGGGAGTTTTTCTCAGTTATTGTCACTGAAGATAAACGCCTGGTATATCAGGCAGCCATGCATGCCCTATCTGCATATGCCGAACAAAATGCAGCGGCCCCCACCTGTCAATTGCAACACTGCTTACTCCAGTCGCAAAGTCTCCCTAGGCATCTAGTGTTGACCAGCAAGAAACATGGCCCCTTCTAAAGTGTGGGAGCAGTCAGGGTGGCAGGAATATCTATCTGCTCGAAACGCAGGACTACCATATCTCCCAGCTGTCACGGAACTCAGCAGCGAGGTGGTACGAATACTTGGCGGAAACCCAGGTGACATGCAACTACAAGGAACCAATACGTATCTAGTCGGAAGCGGCCAGACTCGGATTTTGATAGATACAGGACAAGTGAGTGACATTGACCATCCCAGCTCAGCACTTGCAGACTAAAAAAGAGAATCATATCGATAGGGATGTCCAATCTGGCTCACAACTCTGGTCAAATATCTTGACCAACACCAGTTGAGCATCTCCCAGGTACTGCTGACCCACTGGCATTCCGATCATACCGGTGGTCTCCCGGCGCTATTGGCCCAGTATCCACATCTGGCCGCGGCGGTCCACAAGGCTGACCCGGACCGGGGCCAACATTCGATTCACGATGGACAGACCTTTACTGCCCAAGGAACTACATTGCGAGCCCTGTTCACGCCTGGGCATAGTCAAGATCACATGTGCTTTGTCTTGGAGGAAAGCGGCGCTATGTTCACAGGTGATAATGTGCTTGGACATGGAGGCAGTGTTGTTGTGGAAGAACTAGGACGATACATGAAGAGTTTGAAAGTCATGACCCGAAGTGTGCGCAATGAAGATCTAACAATTGGATACCCCGGACACGGTGCCGTGATTGAAGACCTGCCCGCCAAACTCATAGTCTGGAGCAGACACTGGGAAATGCGAGAAAAGAAGGTTCTGTCGGCGTTTATGGGGGTCAACGCAAGGACAAGGGCATCCTTGACGACACGGGAGATCATCGCATGTCTCTACGGGCCCGAGCTGGAGGCAATGGCGGGACCATTCATAGCTCAGGTTCTATCGAAACTAGCCGACGAGGGGAAGGTTGGACATGCTGTCGGAGGCCAAGAGAAGAAGTGGTTTATCTTGTAGAATACCTTTGTTCATCGCCTAGTTAGAGTATATCAGACCAATATATACCAGAATCACGAACATGTCCAACTCTTCAATGACTGTGTTGAACCGTAGGCCCTGGTTTTACCCAAATTATCGATGAGGACAAGCCGTGAAGTTCTTTCTCTAGTCGACCTGCATCCAGCCTATGCCGAGCTGGGTGGTGACTCTCTAATATTCATCATCTTGGATCAACTGGATGTTCAAATTATTCAAGTCTTACATCGTCAAGTGTAGAGGTCGGATAAGCGGCCGACTGTTCTTGTAACCCATTCCAAATCGCAATGCTCCAAAACTGAGTGCAAAAGACCCCGCATTGAAGAACGAGATCTAGATCTATCCAAGCCAATGAGTAGCGTCATTTGTGATTAGCTGCAACCTCTCCCGCAAAAAAGTAGCCATTCCTGGCAGAAAGTCCGTTGGCAGCTCCGATCCATTTCCTAGACTCTCCCTGTTTAAAATTTCACTTCCTTCATCAAAGCGCTCAGTCAGCTGCAAAATGAGCTTGGCCAGTTCAGAAAGCTCCACAAAAATATGTATAGCCGTAACCTCATACTCAGGAGACCTATGAGACCCGATACTGGAATTATCCCATGTCATTGGCTGAGTGACCAGCCTAGTGGGTGGCTGGTCTTTTGCAATGTTTGCAATTGTCAGAGCATGCATGTCGATGATGGACATGCAAATTGCAGAAACGAGCATCCCCACCTCCGCTCGCTCGGAACAAGGGCAAATCAAAACTGCAGAGAGGCGCTGAAAGGCCGCTGTGACGGTTTGTGCGGTCGTGTTGAGAAGATTTGTATCTCCGGGGGATACTCGTCTCATTTGCTCTGCTGGCACTTCTATTTCGGATAATATGTCCAGAGCGACTAGCAAACAGTCCGGATCAGAGGCGTCATGGCTTTTTGTGATATTGGAGTCATGTTGTTCCGGAGTAGAATTTGAGATTGAGCTATTGGAGGTCACATCGACGGGTGTGGAGGAGGCATTGAAGCGAGAGTATATCCTTGCACTCTCGTCTACGAACTGGTTCGTTGTTAAATCTCTCGTAGAGGATGTGCTTGTTTCTTCGCCATTCCCTCCTTCTGATAATTGTTTTTTCGACCGGTAAGGGCGGCCAGCCCGTCTTGCTAGGCTGTAAAAGCATGTGTATCCGAGCTTATCGCAGCGAGCACATAAGGGTTTCTCCTTTGTGCAACGTACTTTGGAGGCAGAGCATTTATCGCAGGAATCTTTGAGTTTTTGGGTTGGTAACGAAGAGGTGATATGCTGAGTGTTTTCGGACGATCGTGAAGTTTGGATGCGATTGCGGTCCATGGCGTCAGTCCCTGCTTGCCATGAAAGGATTATTCGTAGGTCGAGGCCCTGCTGATATACATGATTTCCTTGTTAGCCTTTTTAGGAGGCGCCTTTGAGCAGCTTTTGTCTTCGACTTCCCTTACCGACAAAGTAAATGGCTTGGTCCTGGTCCCGCTTGCAACCCACTTCCGCCCCTCCTTGCCAAGAGATAAGAAGTATGCAATCGAGGCTGTGGGGCAATTGGCCACTTGGACGATTATTCAGAAAGATGGTTCGGGTTATGACCTCGTTTTCGTCGGAATAGGATGTTTTCCAGGGTTAGAGACTGAGGGAAAAACCGATGTGATGGAACCTCTCGTGTGTTCCCACGCAAAAACCTTAGATTGAGCTAAATACGAACTAACCAACTCGGGTTAGTTCCTACGGACCGAGCATCGAGGTACCGGAGAATTCCAAGTTTACCACCGTGTGACACTGACTTGGAATGGAAGCAACCCCTGATAATAGCCTCTTCGAGGACTTGATGCCTCTAGGAAATGACTGTGATGATCTACTTCATCCATATATGAGGTCCGGTGATGGTCTGTTCGCAGATGCATCAATAGACGACCTAGAAGTCGATCTGAATGTCAATATTGACCCCGGTATATACCTTGATACCTTTCCAGCGGCTCAGTTCATGTCTTTTGGCGCTATTCCTGACATCTACTCTGTGTCTACGCCCTGCTCTGTTTCTACGCCCCATGTGGTCTCCGATGGCTTTGGCGATCATGATGAACCGATTCTAGATCGCTCCACGCTTCCTGATCTCTCCACTCCACTATTCGCTGTCCCGGATAAAATCCTCACCCCGTTCCAAACACCACCGCCCCCAACCACAGCAGCGTCTTGTCTCGCACAACATCACACCCCTTGCATAATAACTGCGACGCAGTCCCTTCGCTCACTCCACATCCCCCAGACCAGTTGCGTCTCCCGCCGAAGCGCTGACAGCCATGACAGCAGTGGACTAGAGCCCCCACGCATGTCCGGCTCAGTCCTTAAAAGCAATAAAGATGCAGGCATGTCAGTCTGCCGCATGCTACAGTGCGCCTGTGCCCTTCGCCCACAGAACCAGATGATCCTAGCAATTATCTGTTCCCGACTAATTGCGTGGTACCGCGCGATGATCCGCGCGTGCTTTGTGAACGGCCCTAGCATTTCCTCTGGGCGCATGAGTAATGGGTCCGACGAGAACCCTACCTCGTTGGAGAAGGTCGTTCATCAACCCGTCACTATCGGAGATCACTCGGTCGATGACCAGGCACTGGGATTGACTATTCAGGCGCAAGTCACGCTGGGCGAGTTGCAACACATGCAGCGACTAGTCGAGACTCTGTCGGCACGCATGCGAGAAACCGCTACCTCATACCCGAACGTGATGCAGGGCTTTCGAGCCGACGCCGGGCTCCCGGGCATCGCGCATGACAGGCTGGTGGGGCACCTATTGATGGAGATTCATGCAGCCAAGGCTGATCTTATGACGGCTTGGGAAACACCGTGGTCAGGATATCCCCTGGCAAAGTGATTAACGAGGTACACATATTGAATTAGAGCCATATCCGACTTGAACGATCTGCATTCGTAACAATGTACAGGATAAGAGACATGAGAGTTTACTCTCGCATGAAGGAGATATGCCTGTCGTAAAGCCTAGACGGACTTGGTGGGACTACCGACTTGCACTAGAGAGAACATTCTATCTAGATCCGATCTGCTCCCCCTCCCTATTTCATCCGATACTTTAATGCTGTCACGTGTTTACCCCCCACGTGTTGCCCTGGACAACCCACCCACAGGTCAACACGTCTCGTCGCAATCGACCGTTCCAGACACGCGATCCTCGGTATATTGATCTGATACACCACGTTACAGTTGCCCAGGTGTCTGAGATTGTTGATAGCATCAAGACGCCCCGCGTCTTCCCCGCGTTTGAGTCGATCCCTTGATTGACTTCACCGCTTCTCTGCACAACAAAACCCGTGGACATTCCCTCACTTTCAAAATAGTTGACCCAACTCTCATTTCAATATGAAACCTCACTTCTTGTTGGGAAGCCTCGACGCCAAAACAGGTCTTCTCGACGAAGGTCCCACTCCCCGCTCGTCGAGGCGCGAGTCTTCAAGACGATGCAATACAATATACATTCCATCCGATGACTCTATCACTCCTACCGTCTTCATGGGTCTTTATAGTTCACCTAAGCGGCAAATCAAAGACGCCAGCCCACATATCTCAGGGAATAATGAGGCCAACAGCTTCAAGTCACAGCTTGCTAGACGCCAGCCACAAAAGCCGTTGGCAAGATCTACATGGAGAGCTCCGCTCCAGCAAAGCTTGAAAGTTCTCCAGGCAGGGGCGACAACAGTTGATGTCCCTGGAACAGGTGGCGGCAAAGAAAACATCCCACCTGGAATTTCTGCCAATACCAACAACAAAAGCAAGATGGAAAACCATGCACCGATGTCCAAGATAGCCCGTCCAGTCGTACAAAACACAACTCCCAGAACACGCATAATAACCAAGCCCAAAGAAGTGCGAAAAGAGCCATTGATGCGAGTGGCTCCGGGTAAAGCCCAAGGGAATGTCGTCAGAGTCCCCAAAAAGATAGAATTTTCATCATCGCTTGACAATGCTTGGGCCTCTGCCTTAATGCGTGCCTTCTCCGCCATCGTTATTCAACGGGCATGGCGGTCTTCTAAAGAACGACGAAATAAACACGCGTGTGATATCGCCACGGTCAGGGTAGAGGCCGCATATGAGGTGATTACTCGATGGTGGCGTGGCGTCAAAGCCTGCAAGCTGCAAGAGCAGACAGAGCAGGTGAAGCTGAAGGAGCGCACTGAACAAACTCTTCGACGCAAACCTGCTGGTCCGAGATCGTCTGTTCGCCAGAGCCACCAAAATTCTGGCCGGCGAGGTATTCGGCGCCTCTAAGTGGCTTTTATTTTCTTTCTCTTTTTCTTCCTTTCTCACTTTCTCTTTTTTTCTTTCTTGTTTCATTTGAATGATACCCCTACCGCGATATGACAGGCAGGGCATCCGTCCCCGATATTTTTCCTTTTTGGTCAGCAAATTGCTTTTGTACACCTAACCTGCCTATTATGATGAAATAACATATGCGAGATTTGGTATGAGTTGGTTTATGCTAGTATAATGAGTAACTTGTGGAAATAGTTATGAGCAAAACATGATTTCGACAACACAACATAACAGTTGGGTAGATCTTAACATGGGCCTCAAGTTGTCTCTAACTCTTTCTCTTCCAATGTTACATTTGCTAGCTATCGATTCTACACTGTATAAACATCCAGTCGCATATTGGCCAATGTTATAGTTGCTCACAACAAAGCATGACTTCAATATATCTGACATCACAGTCTCTTCCACTATCTGTAAAGTGCTATTCTATTGCTAGAGTGTATTGCACCTTCTCAGATATATATAGGTAGGCTCAATTGAGCAGCGTTCTCTAAAATTCGATGTCGAATACTATTTATTGTCTGTTGAGCAAGTTCAGGGAAGGTTATAAATCACCCAAGTCCAGAATGGCTGGTCATTTGCCTTAACTCCAGATTTGACATTTGCCTCCGTCATTGGCTAATTATATATTAGAGAATATATTAGAATCCAATCTATATTGCCTAGGTGTAGGTATACAGCCACCCGTGCCACCGAGCCACCATGATGTCATAGGGCGGAGGCCCCAATATAACAATGCCCTTCTGCCACCTGTTTCTTTTTCAATATTTACCACGATCTATAATCCTCTAAATCTCTCCCTCTTACATTCAATCCGAGACTCGAGAAAATCTCTTCAACCCCACTCAAATCTACCACAAAACTCAATCAAACCATGCCGTTCGAAAGCAATCAAGATAAAGGCGTCACCGGAGCTGCCAAATTCGTCACATCCACACTTGGAAACACAGTCGGCGGTGTCACTCGCACAGTGGGTGGAGTGGCAGGAACTGCTGGGCGAGGCATTGGCGATACCATCACGAGCGCGACGGGGAGTGCTGGCGAGCCGGTTGGAAATGCGCTCGGTAGTGCAAGCTCAGGTCTTGAGAACGGGGCGAAACGGGTGGCTGAAGGAGCAGAAGATGCTGGGCAATGGAAATGAGGTGTCGGCTATGGTTCTATGAGTTTTGTTTCGTGCATATATGTCTATTTCACTTCTGAGCACCATTATCAATAGCCCAATATACCATGGCTTTGTGCAACTCGTCTTCATCCTGAATTCTGACTGTAACCGCACTATTTAACTAATAGATAATGTACGTATGTATGCGTGGATATGCAGCAGCTCTTAGGTAAAACCAATGCTATTTCAAGAACTATATTAAGCTACCATCTTCTTGAAAATGCTCTCCCACACTTCCGCAGACGGCACCAAGCTATCATGGTCAGTACCAAACACTACCCTCGAATCAAATTCAATTGCACCCCTCGAGTCCTCATTAACCGTTTGCCAGCACCGCTCAACATAAGTCCGACCCTTCTTACCAATCATGCTATCAGTCTCACCAAAGAATGCGTGAACTTTTAACGGCGCTCCATCTCGTCCTCTTTCACGCTCTACTAACTCACGCACAAAGACCTCATAGTCTTCACATTTGCCCCACGTGTTAGGCTCCTTCCGTAGACACTGCAGCGCCTCGCTATTAGAGCCAACCGTGTTCTCTGCGAACATACACTGCATCATCGAAGAGTCTATCTCCTTCTGCTGGTCTATATCTAGTCCGTAGTTCTGCGAGATATAGAGACGATTCTTTGCTTGTTCATCACCGCTGCTTGAGGGGAAAGAGGCAGTGAGATTGGCAATCATTGTTCCACTCGTCGCTGTTGCAGACCCATCTTTGACGAGAAAGAGACGTGGGATATGATGCCAGAGCTTGAAAGCTGGGGTGGGGATGTACTGAGCAATTTTCATGGATGTACTACCTGACTTGGCGGTGTCGACCCACGGTGCTATTCATGTGATTAGATCATAAGCTTTTATCTTGGAATATACCCATCCAATATGAACGATATGTAGGACAGACTGATCTGTAGGAAATGCAACATACCTAGAAAGTAGATCGTTGGGTTCTCGGGATACAGAATATCCCGACAGTGATACAGGGTATTAAGCAGATAAATAGTGCCAGCACTATGCGACGCTAACGAAACATGCTGGATGCCTAGATGCGCCAAAAGCCGTGGGACGGTCTCAATCCAGGCGGACACTCGCTGCGCCAGCGGAACTTCGGTGAAATTACCCATTCCGGGACTACATGCGATATCTTTAGTTCATGTATATAAGAGGGCTGGGGTACACCTACCGATCAACAACCAAAACGCGTACGCCCCATTTCTCGGCAATCGCGTGTAGACAGATTCCGATGTACCGGGATGAAAACATGCCCGGCATAAAGAGAAGTGTCGGAGTAGTTCCATTCTCATTGGGCACGCGGCCGTATTCGCCGTAAGTCACATTGAGAGGGCCATGGGTAGTCGACTCGATGATCAAGGAGCGGTGGAAGCGGGAGTTAGAGACAAAAGAAGCGGCGAATGAGCGGGGGGAATTTGGATCATATTCCATCGTTTAGACAGTGGAAATGGAAAGGTGGTTGGATATAGAAAAAGTGAAGACTTTTCAGCTCGTATTGAGGGAGAGAATAGGCATCTCTCAAAGAGTAGGTTTGGATGTGGCGGCCTAAGGCTGATAATTATGTTTCAACCATTTTCTCTGATCGGTCTGTCCAAATTACCCGATAGGCATCTACTGGCTCTTCATGTTAGTATAAACTTAGTTTGGTATATTTACACCGTGCGATGGAACATGCAAAGAAGACTGGCCGCTGACAATGACGGAAGTGGAGGTCCCCCCTCAGCCTCAAACATCCACGTGCACGAAGCATCAAAATCCTTCCATGCTTCGCTTCATTCCGTCTGACTCATCTCGTTAGATATGTCACTGACTTCCGTGAGAGTGTCCTAATATTAGCACTGTTCTTTTGCCCCAGTATACTGGTAAATGAAGGGCGAGGTGTACTACTAGGTGGGATGTACATCTAGTCGTCCTTAAGGAGGGACAGTATGCGATGATGATTAGTACTTACAGAAGCAGTGCATTATCAGATAAATGGATCGTCTTCACTGCGTGCAACTCATGAGTCATATCAGTGAGGTCACTCAATCGTTGAGAGAATTCGCTAGTGAGTTCGATGGGGGAAGTGTTGAATATTGCTACATGGTACTATGATGCAAATTGATATTTGAAACAAATATTCGACTCAGACACGGACTCTAATTGTCCCTATGTCGAGAGATAGTGCGTGACTCATGTTATACAGTATCAAATGCAGGGACAGGGTAGGTTGGTGACACATGAGCAGCCAGAATGGCGCTAAACGAATTTACTTTAGGTATAAACTCGCTTTACATGCAATAACATGAAATGAAAATACATGAAGCAGTTCAGTAATTCATACCAGCGCGTATACATTGTATTTCGACCGTAACCCTGATTGCCGGTTTAGGAAGTGAGATATCGACTACACTTGTCCATCCCTACATTTGGAAAGATCGAATCAGAGGAAAGCAGTTGAATATCATAATCCGATATTGGAAATCAAAAGCGTTATCATCATGCCCTATGATGCCATTAATGAGATATCTGATGTAAATCCCTGCCAGTGCAGACATCGCATCATAATTGCGGCCAGCAAAGATCCCCCACAGATCTACGAGAACAAATAAAACATCATATATCTTTCTTACCAATAAACAATGACAGTCTTCATCGCACGGCCATCTATTAATATGTTGTATACCAAAGCCCTACGTGGTACATCGTATATGGCAATCACTGACGTATAGTATATATCAACGTAGAAATATCTCGGGCAGAACCGCACCACTAGTGCAGGTCACGATCCAAGCACAACTTACCATAGCAACCAGCCACGCGTTTGATCACCGTGCGATGCCTATCTCCATCCGTGATGTCACCAGTGCGGAGTGTCAAAGAGCATCTGAAACGTTATATCGTACGTTGGAAGTAAGTTAGAAGCTCAAGCCTCCATTTCTGGACCCATGGTAGGGCGCATCGCTGATATGATATCAAACTCGCCGATTTATCCCTATTTTCGCGACCGCTGGAATCGCCTTCAAAAGGGCCCCAGCTTAACACGGGCTTTATATTGTACAGGGATTGGCTGGCGACCGAGCGAATGACTGGGAATATTGTAGGTTTCTTGCGCGATTACGTCGGTCGGGTTTTGTCGAGAACATTCCCGCTGATAACCTCCATACTCTTCCGTTTTCGGTGATCATCGATGGATATGTATTTCCGTGGTTGGATGATTTGTGGTCGGAGTTATTGCGATTGACACGGTTGGAACTGCTGAAACTGGCACCGTTTCTTGTGCCGCTTTATACAACATACAATACGCTGTATGCCAAATACAATATATTGCATAATATTGTAGGTTTGGTTCTGAATTCAATCTTGCTGCTTCGCACCCGAAACGTGTTTCAGTCCGTGTCATCTCGACGCCCTATTGAAAATGATATTATCCCGCCTATATCGTACGGAAATATAGAAAATTTCAATAATCATCGCCGTGTCATGCGCGAAGTGCATTAGATTGCATGGTCATTTGGACTGTAGATGCGACCGCCTTACCTGTAATGCGAGAGAGAGTATCAGATGGTCATGTTAGTTCTCCCGGGCTGCTGACACCCAGGTGCGACCGTTTCGAGACTCCCCCTCCGTCCTGTTGTCTGCGGATTCAAGGGTTAATTATCCGTCGGCATCCGATGCCGTGCTTTGAAACGCGCACGGGATTCCCACGCCGAACTGAATGGTCATTGGCAAGTCGATTCCCAGACACCTGATGGTCAAACGCGAAGACCAACCATATTCTGCGGAGAGGTCTATGGGCAGCGGATCCATGGCCCCGGGGGTGTAGTGATGGATTACCAAACGGTTCCAGAAGATTTGTAAATATCTGCCATGTTGGACGGTGGCGATTTGTACGCCGAAACAGAAATGTCACAAATGTCGGGGCACGTAGTCCGGTGTGCCTTGGACTTTGGGTGAAGAGCCCGGGCGCATCTGACGTGGAGTGGACTCACAGGGATGAACGCCTATAGCGATGGCAAGAGCCGCGCTATTCACAAAGTGGCGTGTGCCAAGGCGCAACTCGGTGCTTTATGAGAGGTTGCTATATTTGTTCACGCAGGTCTCAGTATAGCTACTTCGTACGCCTGCAATAGAAGAAATGAAGGAACGCCGCAGTGTCGATCGTATCCTATTCCTAACGGTGAAGTGTACATGCACAATGTACCTCGAGGCAAAATCCATGCCAACCCAACATACTCTGTACTAGGCACCTAAGTATACAGGTGCATAAACAGGCTTTCAACACATCTCAACCGGACCGGACCGAGTCAAAAGGCTAAGCCCTGTCGCCCGTCGATCCCGAGCCAGAATAACAAAGCACTGCCACTGTAACCCCCTAACTCAACGCAGTCACTCAGTGCAACCGCTTGGCACAAACAATAGCACGCAAATAGGAGCGGTGCCAAGACTGTATTGATGCACGCTCATGGTGTCAGCATGATCGCCATGATCGCCCTTGGCGAGCCCATTCCCCCATACATTGTTCGATAACCGCAGTGCCGAGACCAGGATGAGCTCGTTTTTGAGACTTCGCTATGCATAGCACATTGCTTGGCATCGGGAGGGAATCCTATCATCGAGCGTATGGTTATCGAAGGGGTTTAGTGCCAAGATCTCTTCAAGAAAGGGGTGTATCGTAAATAGAATCATTGAACCTGAACCCCCTTTGTGGAGAACTAGGCCCTTTTTGTCCCATCTCCTCCCTTGCTCTTGCTACCCCGTATTGTCACCCCGGAAACTCTCATTGATTTCCAGAACTGTTCCATACGACACCTCGAGTCGTACCGGGCGCATTCTGAATATCCAATGCCCAGATCTTGGCAGTTTGCTTCGCCACGCGCTGTCGCCAAGCATTCCTCCAGCGAGGCCTAGAGTAACTGACCAGCTCCTTGCACCCTGCACTGCCTGGTAGATCATTGATTTGTCTGTTCTACCTGTCTTGTCGAACAGGATTTTGTGAACCCCCAGGTTTATCTTGGCGGGGAGGTCATGAGGCTGATGTTTAAACTGTCACGTTCCTCAGAGGAGATGTGGTCAATGGAATTGGTATTCCCAGTGTGAGGTACGGAGTGGACTTGGCATTGGCCATCCGAGTCCGACTCGGCAGTCGATTCTTTGATGTGGTGAAGACCTGGGGTATTGAGGGTATCGGGAGTATCCGGAGGCAGGTAACGGTCCATACTGGAGATCTATCCTGCACAGGCCAGCAATTGGTATCTGATCTATTAGTATTTCTTGTGCATTGTTTTTGTTGCGTGACACTTGGGAAATTTCTTTGTCCTCGGGGGAAAGATCCTCCGCCAAGATCACCGTCACATCCCCGTATTCATAGAACAAAGAGAGAAGAGCCTCTTTCCAAATTGGGATCGAGATTGAAATCAATCCGAGTCAATTGAAGTCAAGAACACTATACGGAAAATTATTGAGAAGAATATCCAAAGTCAATTCGCATATACTAGAAACAATATAAAACGCCTTAGCTTAGTCTGTAGCTGCATCTGGCACAGTGCAGTAGTCCAAAAAATGGAAGATGAAAATGCCTCATACATAGTGGTATATCCTGTACAGGTAAATCCTCGGGATATTTCAACCATTTACCCGTCCCGCCTATCGCGCATACTGCATTGCAGCTTGCATCTGTCCAATCCCATTCATTGCTTTTCGACTCCACTTTCCCCGGTTGTGCTCCCGGTCAATGGTATTATACACTTGTGCTTCAATTGGGGTCCTAAGGATGAAAAAAAGTCGCGAAACGAAGATCCCGCTCGTGCCATCCGGAGTCCGTGTCCCATGCACAGTTCACACCTTATTGCGCTAGAGGTACTTTCGTTTATTTACTCCGTACGCTTAGGGACTTGGGGTAAGTGTTAGAGAGCGGGTCAGATCGGTTGCTAATCGTCAATTGAGTGCCACGATAAGCGGAGGATTCATCCCATCGTGCCACGAACACAACGCTACTACCAATGTAGTATGTTGTAGCCCTTCACATCAAACCATGTTCCCGACGCCGTATGGAACCTCCCGTCACACAAATTTCTCCTTCGACTCCACCGGGAGAAGTTCTCCGTCGGAGGGATCGGGAGGGGGTCCTCTTGGCCCATTCCACAATCCCAACCATCTGGTGAGCATTGCCGCCCAGGGTTTGATCCCATAATTTCCCTTTCCCGTCGCGTGCCGTGAGCCCAAGCCCATGTCCTAAGGAGGGGTGGCCAAGGAAACGTTTTAGCCTGTCCGCGATATCGTTGTCAGCGCGGGAACTTTTGTCTTGCATGTACTCTGTACTGCGGACTTTGTAAACAGCGACATTGGGTATGTTCGTATCCTTGTATAATTCTGGATACGATGTCTAGTTTCAAAACAGTTTTTGCGCCCCGGCTGCCTTCTCCTCATTGGGAAGATCGCCGCTCGTCCGTAGAACAATTGTCCTTGTCCTATGTACGTAAAATGTAAACTAAACAAAGGAGCAAAGAAAACAAGAATTTAACGAAGATAAAAACAAACCGCGACAAAGGACAAATTGCAAGCTGAACTCAATGGCTTCAACTCTTACCCGGGTAATGCCCGTCGCAAAACCGTTGCGTTGCTAACAAGCTTCTTCCATAACTCGATTCCAAACTCAACCGGTGGTCACAGGTTCGAGGGCATGCAAATCCAGTGAGCTTGGATTGTGTTTACAGGGGTTATGCCTGCTCGCACAGATAGACTGTGGGGGATCTCCTTGGATTCTCGAAGCTTGTCGCGATCTAAACGGGGGTTCATGACCCTACAGGTTTGAGGGGGTTGTGGCTGCAGTGTGCATATCTCCAGAATGTCAGCCTCGGGGTTTTTAGTTACTTGTGGAGTTTTTCGGGGTTTTCCCTGGAAGTTTTTTATTGTCCGGGTTATGCGATATACTTTGAGGTCCGGTTTACGCACCCGGTCAGCCGATCTAGGGCTGATCATGGCTGACCGCTTTTCTTTGTCAACGTGGGAGTCGTAAGCTTGATGCAGGTTATTCGTGCACAATCGTCTGTCATCAGACATGGAGAGATGTTTACTTTTTCTGATTTTGGTGATTAGTGTGGAGATGGAAAGAAACAAAGTTGCCTGTTGAAACAACTCATTGTACTCCGTGAGCTGTATTGTAGATCGATTGTATGCCCAACTTGACGATCATGAACGCTTCGCCTCTAAATGACGAAACAGTTGATGTCTAAATTTGGAGAGTCAATGAAGGCCATGCTGGCGAAGGGTTAAGCTTGGCATCCCTAGAAAATATGACTGCCTTTGGGCTTGGCACTGCAATAAGAACCAATAGAGACAATAAATTCTATCTACAAATAACTGGATGTACAGCCTGTTCTATGCGCTACGTTTATGTATACCAAGACTGATCTACCGGGAAGGAGCAGAGCCAAGAGTCCATTTTGGGGTGTAGTTCGGAGGACAGTGGATACAATTTTGTACTTCTGTACAAAACCTGTACGGCGTATAGTTTATAGTACAATATGCAACATCTCATTTACCCTAGACTTCCTTATCCGAGAAGATCCGATAGACTTTGAGTCATGGAAGTTGGAAATTGTGTAAGGCCATGATGGAAAGAGTGAGTAAATGACTAATATACATGTTACTCTACGTCAGATGAGAAAGAAGTGTTCCGGATTAGGAGCAAGGGAAGAGAAGTCAAATACCAAGCATTCAGGTATGACTATAGGGCTCGGCGAAAACCGCCCAGTGCCCTGTTGTAGACAATAAAAAGCAGAAACCACGAAGCGCGCACGGCGCGTTTATAGTTTCACAGTTATCATTGTCATTACGAGTTTCGGTCGAGTAAGAGAATTGAAGGTCTTTAACCTCGTTAGCTCTAGGGCAAGTTCGGCCAAGGCTGACGGCTCGGCAGCGCTCAGGTACCCCAATCGGGGAATGGTCATTTTCTTTTCATACCGATTTTCACTATGGGAATGGCCTTTGTAATTGGGAATATGACCATACCAATACACCTCCAATAGAAAGATTGCCTCCAATGGACTCCAATAGAGGTCTACAATGTACATAATTGTATAGGAACTACGATATACGGTGAGGATATTATGGTCCATGGCAGATTTTTTATCAATTCATTGCGTTGGCAAGTGGATTCGCACAGTCACGGAAAGTATTAAGAGAGGTCAGGTTTAACGGGGGGTTTTCAACAACGAAAAAGGACCCTGAAACGGGTTTAGTCTCAGCACAAAATCCCTCATAGCAAGTCCGCGGCCAAACTCCCAACAGACAATGGTCATCACGGTCCACTTGAAATTTAACAATACTCGAAACCCTTTATGCTATTAGTTTCTTTCTTTTTGAAACAAAGCGTGTAATATAGATGTCGATGCAAATAGAAAATATAGAATCGTAATACATAGTAATAAAGAATAACATAGAGTATAAAAATGTAACCTATGTACTTTGTATGGTATAGAGCATATTGTACATACTATAGGTTGATGCAAAAGTGGCAAGGCATCTCTATGTTACAGTCCAGGGCTCAGGGCTGTACTGGCCCTAGTTTATAAAACGGAGTAAGGCAATTTGAGAAAATGGGGGTCATTGGGGGTGAATTGGGGGTTTTTTTTTAAAAGGAAGGAAAAAAAAAACAGGAAATCGAAAAAGGTTAGGGAAAAGATTAAAATTACCAAAAAGAACGGAAATTGAAAAATTAAAAAACGTGGGAAAAGAAAATTTACAAGACCAAACTAGTCCTAAAACGACAGTGCCGAGCTGCCGTATCGTCACTCCCACTCTCTCTCCCCCTCCAAGACATCGACCCCTGCACTTCTATGCGCGATCTTCTTATTCTGTTATTATTGTCAACCTTTCCCCAAACTTCCCCTTCTTTTTTTTACTCTTTATAATCTCCACTCTATTTCTCCTTTTCACATTCTCGACATTCCTGTTGCTCTTTCCTTTATCTCGATCCCTCTGAAAGCACGGACCCTCAAGCCTAGAGGTATTCGAGAAGATCTAGTCTCCAGCTCCAACATTGAGTTGCCATTCTTAGGATTATCGATCTTGGCGAACATCCTCCTTCGTCTCGAATCCCCCTAGTCATGCGTTTTATATCATGACAATCGTCCTCGCTCGGGACATCTTGTTCTGCCTTTGTGGTCGATCGATTTAACATTGATCGATATCAAGACAGCATTTGTTGAAAGACCTCATCTTTCAAGCAACGTCCTAACCTCGCCTTCAACTCGATCCTACACCACTCGCCTCGCCCTCCTCCTTATACTCTGAAACTATACCGCGAACCCTTCTCCTTTTGAAACATGGCACAGTCTCATGGCGGAGAAAGAACGTTTTCTTTTCATAACCTATTGAAGATGCTCATGTCACCCAACTCGTCCCCCAAGCCCGTCAACGACGAGGCCGACTTGGCCGAAGACGTCGACGAACCCCCTGAACACGTCATGCACGCCACCCGGGTGAATTCCGATCAGATTGTGCTTGCTCGGCCAACGGTGAACCGCAAGGAATCACTGCTCACGCGCGCCTTGAGGAGCAGCCCGGAGATGTCCCCAACCGATCCACACGCCCCCAACTACGACTCCTACATGTACCGATCATACCCTCATAGCAACATCAGTGGCGTCTCCACGGCTGAGTTGACCAGCGACGGCGGCCTCACAAGTCCATCCTTGTCTAATACTCCCAGCCCGCCTTTACCACCTCAGATGATGAGAAATCCTGCGTCGGTGGGAAAGAAGAATACGATCCCTAAAGTGAAGGTCGTTGATGCCAGCGAAACTTCCGTCGAGGCTAACCTTGGCCGCAAACGATGCATTAGCTTCGCTTGTGGTCGTAAAACCGATGACAAGAATGAGCGGAGTTCTCCCGTCTCACCCTCTGCGTCACAAGAACTCCCACCCAAGGCCGAAGCACCGAAGGAGCTTCCCACGGAGGAAGTCTCGTTCCAACTCAAGCGCAAAACTACACTCACTTTCGCATGTCCTGGACGGGAGACTGTTGCAAACAGCCAAAGAGAGCGATCTCCTGCACGCAGGTCTTCCGTCCGGCCGCGATTCCGTGGCTCCCCTGCACCTGCTGCCCGCAGAGCCTCTCCCACCTTGAAGGAAAACCCCAACGAGGTTTCCAAGGAGGCTGTCTCTGCGCCCACAGACCACAAGGGTGTCCCGACCAGTGGATTGGGCAAGTTTGA